CCTTAACTAGTGTCTCAATAGCTTCTGTATTAGAATTAACTTTTTGTTCCAAACTTTTTATACTTTGTGTATTTTGGTCCAATTTTTGTGAATTTTGGTCCAATTTTTTATTCATTTGTTCCAAAGAATTGTTAATTTTGCTTAAGACAAGAGCCCAATCTTCTTCCGAGGGCATTCCTCCTTTTGATTTAGTATACATTGACACAGCTGCAGAGGGAACAGAGGGGCCAGATGTAGAGGCTCTCCGAAAGGTCCTGCCGGATCTAGTTGTCTTTTCCTGTAATGAGTCTATTTTTTCCTTCCCATCTGCCATAACACTCAAGGCTCTCAAGGTCAGGTACAATTCCCAGGGTTTTGTCTTTAAAACTGGAAAGTTCCACTCCTTATAACAGTTTCAAAGTCCTCCTCTAGAGGGAAGTAGTTGTTGTTTATCTTATACAGTGGTGCCTCGCAAGACGAAAAGAATCCGTTCCGCGAGTCTCTTCGTCTTGCGGGTTTTTTCGTCTTGCGAAGCAAGCCCATTAGAGGTTTAGTGGCTTAGCGCTACAGTATTAGCGGCTTAGCCGGCTTAAAGATCAGCTGATAAGCGGCTTAAGGATCAGCTGATAAGCGGCTTAAAGATCAGCTGATAAGCGGCTGAATGATCAGCTGATAAGCGGCTTAGCATCAGCTGTTAAGCGGCTAAGATCAGCTGATAAGCGGCTTAGCATCAGCTGTTAAGCGGCTTAAAGATCAGCTGATAAGCGGCTTAGCCATCAGCTGATAAGCGGTTTAGCGGCTTGGGAAAAGGGGGGGGGGAGAAACCCCGCAGGAACTCGCAAGACATTTTCGTCTTGCGAAGCAAGCACATAGGAAATTCGTTTTGCGAAGCACCTCCAAAACGGAAAACCCTTTCGTCTAGCAGGTTTTCCGTCTTGCGAGGCATTTGTCTTGCGGGGCACCACTGTATTAGTCCAAAGTAGCCTTTTCTTTTTATTTTTCTCTTTAAAGTTACTCTAACAACTTATGCCAGTATGTTTAATATCAAATTTTAGTTCAGAAACATGGTTGAAACTTTTAAGCCAAGAGAAAATAATTGAAACAATGTTTCACTCACTGACAGTTAGATGGTCTATTCGCAGTCAATGCGGAGCTCCACAATGCAGCAATTTTAATGGCTGCCGTTCCCAGGTTCCGAGCGGTGAAACGTTAACTTTTACCCTCTTTTTCTGCAGGGAAATAATGTCCAGAAATCCCCCCCTTTTCCCCTGCAGCCAAGGGGGGGTTCGCTAGTTTTATACTGAAGATTTAGATGTCAAAAGCAATCTTTCAGGCTTTAGTTTAAAACTCCTTGCTTCCCACTATTTACAAAGAAAGGAAGGCGGGCTTCCTGTTTTGCGCCTCCCCCGTTCGTAGCCAAATTCAGTTTGTTAAAAGTCCAATTCCTTCACTTTACTCACAGGTAGTTACTTTAGATCCAAATGTCCACAGGAAAAAGGTCAGCACTCCCCGGCAATGGCTGTGCGGCTTCACTCCGTGAAAGTAGCATTCAGTTCGCAGCACCGCGCCGCTCACCCCACTTCGCTCCGGAGCCCTTAGAAAGGATTCCCCACGAGTAGGGGGGCGCTCCAGGTGCCCTGCTGAACCCCCACGTTCCCAGGCTTCTTCCACCTGAGATTTCTGACGGGTCCCCGCCTTCGCCGTGGCGGGCGACCCAGTTTTCGCGGAGCTAGTTCCTCCGCTTAGAGGAACTCCGCCATTAGCCGCTGGCGCTGTCCCCGGAAGTGTGAGATGTAGATCTAAGTTTTAATGTGCTTGGTCGCGATTGCCATTGTGCTTAACTCTGCTACTGGAGAGTAGGCATCTGTCTTCCAAACCTGAAACCTCCAAAAAGAACGTGAAGTACTAGCTGATAATTGCAAATTCACTGGTGTTATGATTCATTCAGATTGCAGAATGTATTCAGCACTGAGGTCTTGGGTGTGTGCATGCAAACCCTGTGTACCTTGGAGATGAAAGATGTTGTTGCCTTAAAAAAAAACATACTCTGAAAGTCCCTCTTCTAATGCAAGCATTGCCAGGGGGCGGGGGCGATACTGCTGATTGCTGAAGGGTTGGGGCTTTGGTAAATGTAGGATCAGGGCCGTGGTGGCTACTCAGCCACAAGCCTCTGAGGCTTTCCTGTGTCATTCTGAGAAACCTTTTCCCCCTCTCCAACGTCACATCAGATACAAGGGAGTCTTGGCTATGACTCATCTCACTTCTCTTGCAAACTACCAGAAAAAGACGCAAGACCTTCTTTGGCTGTTGCAGCCAAGATCCTCTTCTACAGAAAAGGAAGCAGCCATGATAAAAATGGCTATCAGCAAGGATCTGTTTGAATAAAACCTGCCAATCCCGAGAAGCCAATGAGAGTTTTTAGCATCTTACTGAATGTCTGCTTTGAAAGGCATTGATGCACACTAAGCCCTCCTTCATTTTCAGAGAGGATTATCAACACTGTTAATAATCACCATTGCTGAGTGAAACCTCCAGCTCCAGAGGAAGTCTACCTGTGAGTACCATTTGTGGGAGAGCAGCAGCAACAGAAGCCTTGGTGGCTTTCCTGTTCTGCTTGAGGGATTAGCAGAGATACCTGGGTAGCTGCAACAGGAAGACAGGTGCCAAACCTATGTTCTGATCTGGAAGGGCTCTTTTCCCCAAAAACATTTTAAATCTTTGTTCAGCAAGCACAGCAACATCAGAAATACGTACCAAATACATGTATTGTTTCAATGGACAAACTGAAAAAACTAAAGAATTATTACATTTAATGACATATGATTAAAGATGATCGAGTCTGCTTTAAATCCGTGCCCTCCAGGTGCCTTGGACTACAACTCCCAGGAGCTGCAACCAGTTGGCTCCTAGACTCAGTACACAGGACAGCTCCCAGAATCATTTGGGGGAGCCATGACTCTTCAGAGGAGTATCAGAGAGGGGGTGAGAGAGAGATGGCCAAGGCCCCCTTGGCCTCCTGACCCCACCGTGACGCAGAGACAGCCTTGCTCCCACTTTGACGCCACCAACACACTTTCATTTCTGCTACACAGCTCCTGGTTCCCCTTCCGCTCCATCTCCATTCTTGAAGGGAGAACAGAAAGCCCAGGCCTGGAAGAGATGCCTGGCCTCTCACTTGGCCCCAGACTAGCTTCGCTTTGTTCGGCCACCCTGAGCCTCCCCTCCACACAGGCCTCACACCTGACTGCCATGGGACTTTGCCGCTGTCCCACCAACCCCGTCACTTTTGATCTTGGCAGGAAGAGCCCAGAATCGATACGTGGGAGAGGGAGGAGGAGCTGATGGGTCTCAAACCCTCGGGGAGTTAGGGACTTCCCTCTGGCGGATTGAGCAGAGGAGACCAAGAGTGGGTCCAAGAGTGGGACCAAGAAAGCGGTTTCTGCCCCTGCCATAGAGGGAAGTGAGGGGCAGATGGGGCTCGTCCGCCTGGGAAAGGAGCCCATCTAGGAGAAGGAAAACTCTGATCCTAAACCTCCACTGCCTGGCAGGATATCTTCAGGAGAAGAAAAGGCTCCAGGGTGGAGACTCTAAGGCAGAGGGTGCCTGGTTTGCCTCCTACTGGCAACTCATGTGGCCAAGCTGGTGCCAAATGTCGGGCTGTGCTTTCCTTTGGTGAGGCCGGGGGGGCACGTATTGTAGTCTGGGCAGCCCCCCCCGACACACTGCCCAGGTTTGCACCCCGGGGAGGCCACTTGGATGTTCCTCACACAGACAAATGCAAACAACATTGCAGTAATGTATAAAGTATAAAGCTTTGTATAAAGTAGTATAAAGCTTTTGTGTCAGGATCAAGTAAACAGGTGCCTTATTTTTGTTGGTTCATTGCCCCCCCTTCTCCTAAGGGTTCACAATGTAAAATTACAATATAAAAAATACAAAACACATAAAAACAAAAACGCCCCAATAATCCCCCCTTCCACACCACCTTTAAAAGTGCATCAGATGTCAATCACCCAAAGGTCTGGTTAAAGAGGAATGTTTTTGCTGGCTGCCTAAAGATGTATAATGAAGGCACCAGGTGAACACCTCTGGGGCAAGCGTTCCAAATGGGGAGCCACCACAGAAAAGGCCCACTCTCGTGTTGTTGCCCTCCTGACCTCACAGGGAGTGAGCACAGATTATGATCTCATATGGAAAGAAGCGGTCCTGGAGGTATTGTGGTCCTGAGCCGTTTAAGGCTTTATAGGTCAAAACCAGCACTTTGAATTGGGCCTGGAAACTAATTGGTAGCAGTGCAGTTGGACCAGGATCGGTGTAGTATGCTCAAACCGTCTTGCTCTGGTGAGCAACCTGGCCACCAAATTTATGCACCATCTGAAGTTTCTGAACCATCTTCAGAGGAAGCCCTACTTATAACGCATTTCAGTAATCTAACCTTGAGGTTACCGGAGCATAGGCAAAAGGAGTTAGGCTGTCCCTGTCCAGATAGGGGCGTAGCTGGGCCACCAGCCGAAGCTGATGGAAGGCACTCCGGGCCACTGAGGCCACCTGAGTCTCAAGGATTCAGGAGGACTCCCAAGAGATTTGTTAGGGAATCAGTCAAGAGAGGTGATTAAGTAGGGATGAACTCCCTGTGGGGGTTTTATTTTAAAAAGGAAACTAGCTTTTGACTGGCTTTATACTGAACTGAAAGCTGAAACTTGGACTGAAGCTTGTTGACTGTAATTCATAAACCACACTTAACAATGTTAAATGACGCCTACACCACCCTTGATCTGGGTTTTTTCTGTTACCTTCCATTTTAAACTGTAAGGTATACTCTAGTTTTTAAATACTAAAGTCCTCTTTCACTGGTTTTAAACAGAACTGAAAGTTGTTTTTTCCGTTGCGTCCTGAACTGGGTTCAACCAGATAGCTAAGTCTACTTTTTCTAATTCTAAGCTGAATACCCCACTAATTTTGTCTCTTCTGTGTGGAACTATATATTAATCTTTTCTTTTCTTTTTCTTTTCTTTTTTATTCCCTCCCCAAAGTTGGGATTTAATCAAGGTTTCCGGCTTCCTGTGGCCCTTAAAAAGTCCCCTGCTAAGGTAGAGTGAAATCCCACTGTGGTGGAGCTGAAAACTAGGATTCTCTAGACTTGTATCTTTAACTCCTGAGCAATGGGGGGGGGGGGGGGTTCGTTTTTTTTTTTTTAACAGATTTTAGTTTCTAGCACAGGGGTCAGCAACCTTTTTCAGCCCTGGGCCGGTCCACCATCCCTCAGACCATGTGGTGGGCTGGACTATATTTTTTTTGGGGGGGGGGGAAATGAATGAATTCCTATGCCCCACAAATAACCCAGAGATGCATTATAAATAAAAGCACACATTCTACTCATGTAAAAACACACTGATTCCCAGACCATCCATGGGCCGGATTTAGAAGGCGATTGGGCTGCATCCGGCCCCCGGGCCTTAGGTTGCCTACCCCGTTTTGGCACACTGCGGTCTTTGACACCCATGAACTCCAGAATAGGGTCCAGATTGTATATATATGTGGTATAGGTTTTTTTGGGGGGGTACCCCAAACCCTAGAAATTAATGAATTCTAGGATTGCGATAATTAGGGATGGGAAGGGAGAAATATAAATTGCAGCGGAATTCCTGGGTAGCCTGCCCAAGCCAGGACCATTAAGGGAACCATAGAGAGCCATTCCGTGCAAGAGAACTTCTTTCTTCCTGCCCTGGGGTATGGACAGAGGGCAAGGGGTTTCTTGGAAGAAGGAGGAGAGAAAAGGGCTGAGATCCATCTTTGGAGGGTGCTAGCTGCAGGTTGCCTACGTTGCTGCCTCTTGCAACGACCATGTCGTAAGATCTGGACTCTCTCCATGCAGACTGAAGGTGTAGATAGGTGAATAAATCATATTTCTTAAAGCCAGATAGTCGCCGGCTTTTCTATTTTCCAAAGGGACACAGTCCCTGTGGCGGTGCCTGGGACCCCTGGGCTCTTGACACCGCTTGGCAGAGAGAGGGGCAAGCACCTGACTTTTGTAACAATATATTTGGCCAGACAGACAGTGCATCTTGACTGCATTTTATTAAAGGATGTATTTTCTAATTTTGGATCTCTCATCTGCAGGCATTTCTAAAGCATGCCTCAGGAAATGTGAACTTAGAAAGGAAAGGAACCCCCAATATTGAGAATGCCAAAAAACCAAAAAGTCTTATGCATGAACTTAGAGCCACTTCTGTATTTCAATATATTTCATCATTTGAAATACACATTATCTTTAGGACCCACATCCAGACCCCAAACACATTCAAAATTCATTCAAGAAGTCCAAAGAAATACTAGGTTGTAAACACACCAAAAACACCACAGGAAATAAACTGACTTAGCTTTCTCTAGATTTCATTAATGTGACACTATCTTTGCCTTCCTGTATGTTTCACTCCCAGATTTACAGCTGAAACTTCACAAGATCAAAGTCGTCCATCTGTGGGGAGCCAAGGGGGCCGTGGCTCCTTCTCACCAGTAAGGGCAAGAGGGAGAGCAAAATCCATAGTCTGGCATGGCTGGCAAATTCTCTCTGCTTGATCCCCTCTCTGCAAAATAGTGCTTCTTAGCACAATCCTTTGGCATGCTGCTGTTTATCGGCAGAGTTAGAGCTCACTCACATTTCAGCCTGCGGTGGGTGAATCACATGGAGGGAGCAGCCCTCCCCAGGGGGATAAACATCTGATTTGAGCTGTGCGTAATGGGTGCTTGGCTTGGGTGCCCCAGGATTAGACTGTCCCCAAGAATGTCATACAGCAGTCAGAGAGGTTTGCAGAAGACACACTTTTGTTAAATGAAAACTTACAGGATTGCTCCTGCAGGACATGCGCTGATTGGAAACTGCTTCAAATCTTTTCCAAGTGCAAACAGTATTTTCCTTGTCTGCAATCCCACATTATTTGTGCTTGTTGATAATCCTAACATTTTTGGTTTAGTAAAAAACAAATTGTGTGTTTGTAGCATTATGGTTTAAAAAATGTAGACATGAAAGTTGGGGGTGGGGTAAATGTCTGCAGAAATCTTCATATATCAGATAGGTGACTGAATCAAATGGTAAGCAGTGGGAGCCCAGCATCCTTTACCCCCCCCTGCCCTATGACTAGCAAACCTGAAACAAAAGAAAATAGTACTTGTTCATCAAAGTGCATGACTTAGGCAGGTGGTGGGTCAGAAGCCTCCTGGCCTTATCCTGCCTGGCACATCCTTTTCTTAGGTAAACTGCAAGTGATAGGTTGCCGGGGGAAGTCAATAATTCATTCATGGCTTCTTTGTGCCAGGTGAAGCAGCTGCCTCAGACAGTGAGAGATGTTGGTGGGGACACAGTGTGCCCCACAGCCTGCCCTCCTGCCCCAACTAGCTCCTTTCAGGTGTGGCAGAGGATGTGGCCTCCAGGTGAGACAAAGATTAAATTCTCTGCTCATCTTGCTGCTGTTTGGGCAATAAGGAGGTTGGCAGCAGCTCCTTTCTCTCAGGCAAGATAACGTCTGGGGCTGGCCCTGTTGTTTCTGGATACAGGATCATCTTCTGAAGAGAAAAGTGTAAATTAGAGGAGGGGGACAGAACTTTCCTCACCTGTTTAAAGGTAACTGGCAGTTTTGAGTCAGAGAAATAAAAAGTCACGTTTTGGGCTCTGCTAGGCGACTGGCAGTCTCCCTGGAGATCTGCTGTGAGAGAAGGGGCCTTGGTTTTCTGTGTGAGTGCGAAATCCGTGCCACCACATCGTTGTAAATTAGGGCTGCCATGTTACAAAAAGTGAAAATGAGCATCTTCATATTGCCAACCCCACTTCCCATATGGGTTGCAAACCAATTTTTAAAAATTCCGCTACTTTCTACGGACGAATCCCTGATGTGTCAGGGAAATTCCGGACAGTGGTCTCCTTCAAAGGAAACTAGACTTTGCTAAGTGCTTCGCCTGTTGAACTGCTTGCCACTGAGAGATGTGTCGTGAGTGTAGGACAACATATATTTTAAAGATAGTTCTGGATGGAGTAGATCTGGCATGAAAGTGCTTCGCATTGTAAAACACAACTCTGGTGAACGTGAGGAGTTTCTAGAAAGAACCAGAGAACCATATTAATGCTCCGGCAAGAAGCTGTTCAGAGTCAAGTTGTCCATATCCGCCTCTGATCCATTCTCCCCACGCATCTTTACCCTTTTCACCCTGGGGTGCCTCCCTCCGGCCTCCTCTGCTTCTTCAGCAGCTAGCAGGGATGAGATGCACACCATCTCTGTGTGGTTGCGCTCATTCATTTTGTAGGCCCGTTTCTGGCGGCAGAGCATGGTCGCGAGGACACCAGTGGCCACTATGAAAATGCCGGCAATGAGGGCCAGGATGAAGATCCACAGTAAACACTTCCCTACCAAGATGGTGGTGCCACTGAGAAATGTCACTGAGCGGGGCTTCTCCTTGGTGGTGGTGATGGTAGCTGAGATAGCAACCTTTACTATGAAGGAAGGTTTGGTTGTGCCAACGGCTTGCCTCAACTTCGCTGTGGAAACATCTGAACTGGCCACCATGGACTGAGAGCTTGTCACATCATCCAACAATGGCCAATCTGTGGTGGGGCTTGGCTTCTCAGTCGAGTGAGGCAATTTCACCTTTCCCTTTGCTATGAAGGAAGGCTTGGTTGTGCCAACAGCTTGCCTCAACTTCGCTGTGGAAACATCTGAACTGGCCACCATGGACTGAGAGCTTGTCACATCATCCAACAATGGCCAGTCGGTGGTGGGGCTTGGCTTCTCAGTCGAGTGAGGAAATTTCACCTTTCCCTTTGTTATGAAGGAAGGCTTGGTTGTGCCAACAGCTTGCCTCAACTTCGCTGTGGAAACATCTGAACTGGCCACCATGGACTGAGAGCTTGTCACATCATCCAACAATGGCCAATCTGTGGTGGGGCTTGGCTTCTCAGTCGAGTGAGGAAATTTCACCTTTCCCTTTGTTATGAAGGAAGGCTTGGTTGTGCCAACGGCTTGCCTCAACTTCGCTGTGGAAACATCTGAACTGGCCACCATGGACTGAGAGCTTGTCACATCATCCAACAATGGCCAATCGGTGGTGGGGCTTGGCTTCACAGTCGAGTGAGGAAATTTCACCTTTCCCTTTGTTATGAAGGAAGGCTTGGTTGTGCCAACGGCTTGCCTCAACTTCGCTGTGGAAACATCTGAACTGGCCACCATGAACTGAGAGCTTGTTGCTCCAACCAACAGTTTCTCAGGAACCCCTAAAACCATCATTGTTTCTTGGAGGGCAGTAGCAACCTTTTCTGTCTCAGTAGGCATAGATTGTGATACAGTTTTGCCCACTGTGGGAGCAAGGCGGCGGACACGGGGCACTGGAGCACGAGAGCTCTTTGTGGTACTTAAATGGGTTACTTCTATGGTGGTGCCAACTTCTGTGGATACTTTCCCAAAGGTATCTAGAGTTGTTGTGGCATTAGTAGGCACTTCAGCAGTGGCACCATTGTAATTGTCTCCAAGAGATGTAGAACTCTCTGCTGCAGCCTCTGCGACTGTGAGACTTTTCCGGGCTTGTTCTGCGGTGGCCGCAGGAGGGTTCTTACAGCTACCATCCTTCTTTCCGCAAGGTAACTGAGGGGATTCCTGGCCATCATCTCCTGCTCTCTTCCACACCCACTGTCCTGGGGAAGCGAACTGAGAGCCTGCGTTGGCAGGGAGGTTGTATGACTCCACATCCTCAACAGCAGCGCCATCTTGGATAAGGAGTCTTAAGGTTGTGAGCCTGAAACTGCCAGCTGTGAGGAGACTCCAGAGAACCATCCAGAGGGAGAGCCAGAAGGGAGCCATTTTACCTGGGGTGGGTGGAGAAAGGGAGCCAAATACACATATTAATATTTTTCCACAAGTCTCAAACCCCCCACCTCCCTCCACCTTACACCTCAAAATGGCTGCCACAAGAGACTCTTGCTTAAGTATTGGGGGCAACAGGGGTGCCATTTGGGGCTGTTATTGAGGGGTCTTCGCCCCTCTTCTAAAGGCTCAGGCAGAGCATTGTCTGTCTTGGCTACTTTTTAATTTGTTTGTAACATTTAATAACCCACCCTTCTGCCCTATCCTGGGAGAAAGTAGAGGTGGGGGGAAAAGATCTGATATCAATACATGGCAGCCAACTCACAAGAGCCGAGGGGAAGAGCAAGCATCAATCCTAACATTATTAAAGGACTGAAAGGGTTAACATTAAGGAAATGAAATGGCCCCTGGTGCCCAGTGCCAACCAGCAGTAGATTCAGGGTCAGGCAAGGCTCTCTGGAGAGAACAGCATAAGTGGGGGGCATTTTTCAATTCTCTTAATCATTTCGCTTCAGACAATTAAGATGTTTCCATCGTGTCGCCCATGCAAACTCTTCTCAGCGTAGCATCACGTGTTGCAGGCCAGGTGCCCCCACCTGCAGTCTGGCCACTGCAATCTGCACCTGCTGGGCCTTCTGCACCGGCCCCAAGGGCAGCACCACATAGAGCACATTGTAGCAATCCAGCCTCGAGTTTGCCAGCGCATGGGCTGCAGCCACTCTGCAACACAAGCTTAAATGCAAGCACATCATGAGTTGCTGCCATGAGGCTTTGTAGCACCTGAATTAGCTGGGATGCCCAAAGCAGGAATGAAAGTTTGTGCATGCCTAGAAGCAGAGCAGTCTCTTGCCCATTTCCTGTGTCAATTAATACACACTAAAGCGCTTTCAGGAAGGGCAGCAAGCAAACCACAAATGTTTACGTATTTTTCTCTTGCAACTGAGCCCAGCCCTAAAGTGAAATGGTTGCTGGGTGGTGGTTGTTGATGGTTTTTTAAGGTTAAGGGAGGCCAGATTGGGAAATAAATTACTTATATCCAATGTACAGTGAATGTCTGATGTAGATTTTTTCAATAAAGATTATCGTATCGCACTCCTCCTGCATGAAGAAGATGCGTGAGGAGCCTGCCTGCCGGCCCTCAGGGACCCCCTGCAATCTTAAATCGACAAGGATGGCGGAGGAGGGGAAGAAGCAGACAGACAAGTATGAATGTGAATAAATTCTGCTCCGTGCATTTAAATTGGGTTTACTTAGAAATCCCCTACCATGAACTCAAGCGCCCCCGCAACAACACAGGAGAGGTCAAACTGGCGACTTGTGTCCTCTTGTACAGCTCTTTTTACTGAAATCTATACATAATCTTCATTGAACCCATTTTATCAAATATGCCAGGAGAATCAGATGCTTTTGATGTCATTTTACTGCTTTCAAGTCAAAATGCATCTATAACCTTCAGTGTGGCCAAGTTGTTGCAGCAAGCAAAACTCGCCAGCAACTGACCTCAGAGACATTCTGTAATTCTCCTCTTTGGAGTTTATGACAAGTCTATAAGTTTGAAGATGTTGCTGCCCATTTTATTTTATTCTATGCTACTTTTATTTCATTTCACCCTATTATACAAATCTAGATAAAGTGTTTCAAGTGCTTAATTTTACTTTCTGTCAGTCTACTGTTGAAATGCACTCAAACTCTGCCAGTGGGATTTTCTTCTGTTTTGTTAATCTTTGTTAATCTTTAAGAGCAAGCATTGTCCAGGGGAAAGTCAAAGAGTAGACCATATGAGTTACTGTCAGCCCAGAGGCTGAATCTCTGAGTGAGGCACTTCCTGGTCCCTCTGGGTTTGGACATCTCCTCAAAACGAGCTGCTCCGCAGTTCAGCTTTGGGCCACCCTCTTTCTTGTGACCCCCAAATGCAACTTCATTACCCCACCCCAAAATATACATACCCCGAATGCAGAACAGCCCAGTGAAGAGAGGGAGGCAGCTTCCTTAGACCACAGAGCCAGGGGAGACGGCAGTTGTACAGACAGGACACGCACCGGGTGCGAAAGGGACTGAACCTGGCAAATGTCTGTGGCTTCAGGCTCCAAAAAAGAGAGAAGCAACCGCCCACTTCCATGCGCACACATCCATTTGTCTTACCTGCTGCGGGGCAAAACAGGAAACCTTCTGTGAGGCAGTACGAGAAAGAGAGGCGAAATCGGAAGAGTTGTGGTGGTTTTGGAGAACACACATGATGCCGCTTCCTCTTCTCTGATGGCGGGGGCGGGGGCAGTGTGCAACAGCGGGAGGTGGGGCTATGGGCCCTACATTTGCTCTCCCTGGGGACCCTGAAGAAGACCAGGCCTCCAGATGCCGGGCTTTTCTTTAAGGACCTTCTGCGTTTGCCTCCTCGAGAGAAAGGGAGGAAGGGGACAATTCAGGACTCATTTACATTTACTTATTTGCTTTAATATAAAAATTGGCCTGTGATTGTTCCACCACCAAGTGATGTCCCTTCCGCTCATTTCCAACTTCAAAGGGAAATCTACTAGGGACTGTTAGGATACAGTTCCCTTCCACCTTAAAAGGGTCAGGCATGACTGTTGAGTATCACATGCCTGTTTACGTCCAGCACAGTCTGCTGGGAACTTCCCTTGTATGTTGCTTTTGTGTTACTGCTGCTTTGCTGGACACGGAGGCAAGCAGACATGTTTTCTTATGTTCCTGAGCTATGCTGAATAAAATGCTGTATGTTTTGCTTGCACATCTCTCTCTGCGCCCTTTCTACTGTGAGGTGTTTTACACACTCTCATGACAGAGTGTGCACGGGTCTTGGAAGGTATCTGAGGCTCGTGTCGCTGACTGACTGATGCTGTTCCACAGGAGACCGAGATCGTCCCAGCAGGGACGAGGCAGCCCAATCAGAGTTTACTTTGTGGCAACCCAAGGCAGGTCTTCCCATGGGGGCTGGTGTCATGTGCAGCCAGGTGAAATTGATCCAGCTGACATATATCTGCTCCAAAAAGACAGTTTATCTCCTGCAATACAAAGTAAGAAATCTGGAAAAGTTGGAAACTCTGGTGGAAGACCATTAGTCAGTCTCACTTGGGCTGTGACATTTATATATATATATTGGAGGGTGTTTCCAACTAACTTTTCCTCAGAGTAGGCCCACTCAAATGAACAGGCTGAAGTTATTTATGCCCTTTTGTTTCAACAGGTCTGTTCAGAGGAGGCTTAACATTGGATACAGCCCTCTGTCTTCAAGCATGCGGGCTTTCTGTAGTGTTGCATGAAATGCTGCCACGAAACTCCCTACACTTGTGCAACAAGTCTCACCCAAGGAGCTCCCTATACGTCGTCTTTTGCTCAACTGGCCAGGGTGCTGCAGTGGTTCGTGGCAGACCAGGGTTATGTCCACATGAGGGCTTGAAGTGCAGCAAGGCCCAGTCCTCTTATTAGAATACCAGAATGTAAGCGCCTGCTGGATCAGGCCAGTGGACCATCCAGTCCAGCATCCTGTTCTCACAGTGACCAACCTGATGCCCGATTCCCTGTGGGAAAGTCGTAAGCAGCACAAATGCAACTGTCTCCTGCTGCTGCTTCAGCAACTGGGATTCAGAAGCCTGGCTGCCTCAACTGTGGAGGCAGAGAAAAGCCATCCTGGCTAGTAGCCATCGATAGCCCTCTCCTCCACCATGAATTCGTCAAATCTTTTTTTAAAGACATTGGTGGTCATCTCTGCCTCCTGGGGGAGCTCCATAGTTTCCCTTTGTGCCGCGTGAAGGAGGACTTCATTTTATGTGTCCCAAATCTTTCAGCATTCAGCTTCATTGGATGCTCCAGAGAGTTCTAGTGTCGTGAGAGAGGGAGAAAAACTCTTCTCTCTCCGCTTCCTGTGTGCCAGGCATCATTTTATAAACTTTTCCCACATCACCTCTTACTTGCCTCTTCTCTAAACTAAAACGCCTGAAGGGAGGCAGCTTGGCAAAGGCATTTAATGCCTGCACTGCAGGGGCTGAAGCCCCACTTCTGGGCAGAGAAGTGCTCTGTTGGACCAGAGAGAGCCTCTCTTGGCCGGGTTTCATAAGCAACCGTTAAGTTGCAGGATTGCTGCTGCAAACTTGATGTTAATTGACACCCGCAGATCTCACTGTGCAGGAGGACATAGCTTTCCACCTTAATAAAAGCAACTTCCACACATGGATTCCTGCTTGTGTCTGCTTTTTGTTGTTGTTTTAAATTGTTTTTATTGAAGATTTTCTTGGGTAACAAAAGTACATACAGTGTCTCTGCTTTCAATGCATAGAGTCCTTTCTACAGATCACTTATATTTGATGTGAGACACTAATGTTACAGACAAGATGAGATGGGAGAAGAGAGATGGGGAGAGAGAAGGGGGGATATTGAACTTTTGATCTTTTATACGGAGTTCATGAAAGGTTTTTATGTCAGTATCATGTGGGTAGGTTCTTTGCTATTCATTTATTACTTTTGACTGGCTACTTGCTTTCATTGTCTTGATGAGTATATTTCAATATTGCTTTGGTATACCTAAATTTTTAGCACATCGGGTGGTGCTCAACGTTAGCCTGTCTCACAGAAACCTGCTGAAATTAATGGACATAATGACTAATGGACAATTCTAATGGAGGTACTCTTTGGGTATACCTTATCTTAGGTAGACTTCTTCCAGCGGCGCTGCTAGCAGAGGGACTCAGGAGCAGTGGCGGTTTCACAAACGATATATTGCCCAGTGAAACCGCCATCCCACTCGCAGGAGGAAAAAGCTGCGCTGGCAAGGGGCCGATACACCTTGTTCCTTCCTCTGCATCTTTAAGCCGCTCGGCTGAGGAGTATGTGGTTGCCACTCCACTCAGCCAAGCAGCTAAGGCAGTGGTGGCAAACCACATGCCAGGGTGAGCACTCGGCGCCCTCTCTGTGGGCACTTTCACAATCGCCCCAGCAGGGCCATTCCTAGGGGTTGGCAAAGTGGGCAGCCGCTCCCACCTCCACCCCCCACTGCGGTCCCCAGGACGAAGGCCTGTCAGATACTCTGGGCTTTACGAGGCATCTGACCCTCACCTGAGGCTACTCCAGCTGACGCATCACACACCTACTTCCCAAGCTGAAGCCCCACCTGGTCGATTTCACTATTCAGGTCAACTTTACAAGGTTTCTCCTCCAAGGTTTGTTCACCAAAACTCACCATTTCACAGCACCCCACAAAATGTCCCCTTGGTTCCCTAACCTGCGGGGTCAAGATTTTGCTGTAAATTCCATGTTAATTTGCTGTGTTGGCACTTTGCAATAAATAAGTGGGTTTTGTGTTGCGGTCTTGGCACTTGATCTCTAAAAGGTTTGCCACCACTGAGCTAAGGGATCCCCGGCACTGGCTCCTGCGCAAGCGGGGAGAGCACCGGGGATGGCTCTGCAGGGAATGGGGAGCCCTCCCGCACCCCAGCTGAGCTGTACAAACAAGCTGCCTTGTCCCAGCCCACTTGGCATGGGGCGAAACCGCCTCAGCTCCTGCAATGAGAGGTGCAGCAATTCCAACCAGCGCCTGGCAGGCTGAGGCCCGTGCAGCTTGTTTTTTCAACATTGCGGTGTATCACCAGACCGTGATGTTTGGCTGGTGATATACCACAACATTGAAAAGCTGATATCACCCAGCCCTAGTACACGTTATGATTGGTAAACTCACCAGGCCTGATTGTTTAATAGACAAGGAGGAAGACATTGTTCCCCAGTAACGATGCGTCATCCCCCTCTGCTCTTGCATTTCCACAGCCACTGTTTTTCAGGGAGGCAGCTTCTGTAGGACTTACAGGAATTTATTTCACAATCTCTTTTGATGCCACTTCCTGTCTTATTTATGCAAATAGATGATGCGACAGATGTGGGGGGTGGGAGAGATCTCACTCCTGGGCCAGCCCCCATATCTCTTGCTCTCAGGGCAGTGCCACACTGGTGGCTCCCTCTGAAATGGTCAGCAGTTTGCCTGTTGAGAGAATGTGGCTTTTGTGTGTGATTCACAAGCTGCTGTGTGAAACTTTTTCTGCTGGAAGATAGAGATGAACGTTCTTTAAACAAATCAATAGCCAAATCATGCTGTGTTCTGCTCTGTAGTGCTTGTTTTCTAGAGAAGAGGCAACAGGTTTTTATGGGTTCAATGATGTTTGGCCCAGTTGAGACCCTAATTGCCACACTTCTGTAATTCCAAGATTGATTGCCTGAGTTACGGACCTTGACAACCAGGGCTATGTCACCTGTGGCCTTCCAAATGCTCTCAGGCTCCCCACATGAGCCACAGGCAGAGATGGAGGGAGATGTGGCCTGTCCACACACAGCGGGTCTCAGGCTCCACAACCCAGTTCTAAACCAAGCACCACCTTTCCCAATGCCCAGTGACTGGTTCTGTGAATTTGGGACCAAATGCTGAGGGTTATGGAGCACACACGACTGCAAACTGAAAGCAACCACCTCCCTTTACCTCTGGTAACTTCCAAGTACAAAATGTGGACTTTTTATTTCCAAGTTTCTACACCCCCACAGAAGCTCGGGACCGGAATGTGAAGGCTGCACACAGTACAATGGCTTTGTCCAATGTTGCTGGAAGAGGCAGCATGAGGGAGCTTGTCTTAGGCTAGACAAATTCATGGAGAATATCTAAGGCCTGGTAGAAAGATGGAACCTCCAGGTTCAGAGGAAGTCTATCCCTTCATGCTAGTTGCTGTGGGTTGTGAGTGAGAGAAGGCTGCTCCCCTCATGTTCTGCTTGTGAGCTTCCTAGAGGCTTCTGGTGAACAGGATGATGGATGAGGTCTGATCCAGTGGCGCTCTTCTGGTGTTCTGTTAGCCCTGCAGGAGCCATAATGTCTACTTCCAGCATGACATGTGGGGTGAAGCCCATGCTTGGGCTCTTTCGGAGGAAAATAAAAGACGACCACAGAACGCAACACGGTTTGGGTTTTTGTAATCAATGGTTTTTTTTAATCTCTGAAATTGGAAGCAACTATTTGGACAGAACACTTTGGGCACTCTATAAGAGCGCATCTCTTGAATACCTTTTGCTGGGTCTCGTGGGGGGAATGTCACAGCTCACAAGAAGCTGCAGGCACTGACTCCTTCTGAGCCTGGTTAGGCATCACCAGATCCTTTAAATAAAGACAAGCTACACATCCAAGGAGGCCCTTCTCACGCCCCTCCCTTCAGAAATAAAAGGAGAGAAAAGTGCACCCAGGAAAGCCAGCGCTGCTGCGGGAAGAGGGAAGTAGGAAACTGGGAGGGGACGACACCTGGCATTTGGAAAGAAAAAGCTCATCTCTCCTCCTCACCAATTTAAAAACAAAAAGGTCTCCAGGACACAAGACTGAAGCAACATTTACAGACGGACAAGGTAATAACCCTTGGGCCAGGGAGCGAGTTCCCTTATTCCTTCTGAAAATTCACACCTCCTCACCAGCCACCGAGCGCAAAACACCCCAAACATCCACTTACCTCAGAACTGCCTCAACTACAGACTCCCACCGACACAGTATTTGCCACTATTGCCCTGGTGCTTCTTTCACACACATCTGACCACCTGATCCTGTTCAACAACGCACATCCATCGCCCCAACAGCACATTTGCAGCGAGAGTTAACTCCGCTGTCCCACGTGGCATAATTTCCCACCACAGGCATGAAATATCTTCCCCAGACCACAACATTCTTGTTCTGAGAGGTTTGAACATGCAATTGGGGGGGGGGGGGTCCACCTTAAGACATTCTATCTTCAACTACTGACGGAAAAGACACATTTTGATCTCAGGTGAAGCTGTGCAGGACCGCCACGCCTAAAGGCAGTTTCTTTAGACCAGGTGGGTAGAGAGTGTGGTGTGTGTTTTAAATAAAGAAAAAGAAAAGTATGCAGTACTCAAAAGCTTTTAAAAGAAAGAGGCTTCCAAACGGATCCATTGGCCCACACCACTTTTGCAAGATGCTGGGTTTTCCCAGGTGCCAGCTGATCTCAGCACACCTGCAAAACTCGGAAGCCATGGGGGCGAGGGGACAGTGTGAATAGTCCTGACTTTCCTGCAGAGAGTCCCCTCTTGAAGTGATGCTTTAAAGTGCCGCAGCACAAAGCATCAAGGTGACACAGCCATGGATGCAGACTGGCTCTGGGCGTGTTTGGCAGCAGCATCCAGCTGTGCCCCTAGTATGTGACCATGCCTGTTTGGTATGAAAAAGCCTCACGTTCCCTGTGGGGTGGCAGGAGGAGAGAGAAGAAAGGGCAGAAGACCTCATCCATCCAAGCCAGAAAGACCCACTTCGGATTCTCACAACCAAAAACAGCTGAGGAACTCATACGAAGAGAGACGTGGCCTCTTCTGCTGTGGTTCATGCCCTTTGTGAGCAGCCTGAGGCCACCCTGGAGCAAGTAAGCCAGAGGCTATTTATGTGCCAATGCTAAGAAACGCCTTTGAGGGGTGGGGGAGAATCTTGCAGCTCTTGTTTACTAGCGATGGAACTTGGCTGCAGCTGATGTTGCAAGAGATTATGGCAGATTCTTAGGGGCGAATGTCTTGGAACTTGCTCACTGGAGCAGCTTGTGGGCTTCATCTTCACTAAAGGCAGCCTGGAGGTGGCAAGTGCAGCTTCCAACCTAACAGAGCTCAATCGGGTGACCCAGGGAGCCAAAAGGATCCCTACCTGGGCTGGTTCCTCCAGTCCAATGCTCTTCCCAGGCATTGACTGAGCTGCTCAGACTGACTCCCTGTCTGCCCCCAAGGCACTGTGACAATCAAGGAGTGGTTGCCCTGCACCACCGAGATCAAGGGGGTGTCCTGGGACAATCAAATTTGGACTGAAAATCCTCAAGGGACAGGATAGATACTGTACGTAAAAACACACACACACAATTCATTTCAGAAGACCTTAGTGGCAAGAACGAAGAAACCCTGGCAGGACCCAACTATGAAAGTTCTAGACACAGAGGATGGAAGGAAGAGCAGAGAATATTCCCAGAGGGCAACTCAGCTGCTTGCACAACTTAATGGTTGGTTGTCTGTCATTCTTAAAACTTTATATATAGATGATAAATAGAACAAATATTGGAAGGGAAACATGGACCCAAAATTAGCAACCACCACGACATGCCAGGTTTTGACACTATTAAGATTAAACCAGAAACACAATGTAAGTTTGAATAATGGCAACACAGACTTCAATACTCAGCCCTGGAAAAAGCATTCAGTCCCTGTGATGGGATGGAGGGGAGGGGAGAAGAATGGATATCAGGGGTTTGGGATGCATTTGTAAGAGGTCAGAGAGCTGAAATTATTTTCAAGGTTGGATCTTTCAGACATGGCAGTGGACCCACCACTTCAACTGTTCAAAGATTAAAAGGCTTACACAGAATTCCTTTGTTCTCTGAATGGCACATATACACACAAAGCAATGTTCCTTTAGATTAAAAATGCAAAAATACTGCAAAATAATAAAAAGGGGGGAAATCACGACTTTAAAGTTTTTTTAAAAAACGGAATTTCTAAAAGGATTTTTTTTAAAAAAAAACGACGTAATTTTGGTCCTGAATCCTAGGAAGTCTGACAGATTGGCTCCTCACTGGAGAGGTGGAATGGTTGGCTTTCAGATGAGAGGAAACAGGTCACAACAGCAGCAGTTTTGAAATGGCCACACAGTCACCAAGAACATCAGGAAATAAAAAAAAAAAATCACTAAAAAGGTTTGGCTTCAAATTGGCTTCAGCTGGCGCTTGTGAATTTGGGAGGAGAAAGTCTTGACTGGGAAGTGCCCGAGGTGGTCGTGCTGGGGCAGCTTTGGAAAATGAACGCCCCCCAAATGGCAGTGACTCCCCCCAGCCCCCATCCTGCAGTCAGCTCACAGCTTGAGTTCTGCTTCCGTCCTTCCTTCCTTCCTTCCTTCCTTCCTTCCTTCCTTCCTTCCCTCCCCGGTCCCCCAGCTGCTGGGCTCTCAGACTGCAATCTTTGCCATCTGCTGTTCTAACTTGGAAATGCGCTCGTCTTGGTGGGTGATGGTGCCTTTTAGAGATTTGAGCTCTTTCAAAATTTCATCCAATTTGGCTTCGTTTTGCTACAACAGTGAGAAAGAGAGACAGAAATGGAAAACAGTGAATACTAGAATAGTAATGGGAAGAAGAAATCCCACGTAGAAATAGAGTGGAACACTACCAACACATGCAATTTGTTCACACGACAAGAAGGCTGGATTGCAAGAACACTGATCTAACCCCACGAGAAGAAGCAGAGGTTTCAGCACAGAGCAAAGGAAGCTGCCATATTCCAGGCTGGACCATTGCACTATCTAGCCTTAGACTGCCTGCTCTGACTGGCAGTGGCTGCCCAATGCCTCAGGCAGAGGTCTTTCCCATCCTCTGCCACTAACTGAACCTGGAATCTGGTCTGTGCCCAGAATGGGCTCTCCACTGAACGAGGGAAGGGGCAGGGAGCTGGGTCTCGCCCCAAAGGCCGCTTCTGCTTTTAAGTGCCCATCCCAATATAAGAAGCCTGCTTCTGTAAACCTGCATTCCACAGGAAGGCCAAGCCAGCAGGGCATGCTGAGCGAGCCTGGAGAGGCAATTCCTGCTCCAAATTTCTCAATAATCTAATGCAAGTGGGGAAATGAGTCTATTTCAGACTCCATACACTGAAAGCTAAGAAGTTATTTTTTTACTCACGGTGTTTGAGGTGTCCGCTGCTTTTTTGGGGGCACTGATGAGATCGCTTTTCTTATTTGCTGCCAGCTTGTTGTCTAGTATGTTCTTCTTGACCACCTTGAGATCCCTGTTTTTGCCAGGGATGTATCCATGCTTCAATGAGATAAGGATGGGGTCGGCATTCTTCCCATCAAACCACTCCTCAGCCTCCAGGGAAGCCTCTGGACCAGCCGTGTCAGGATAGAGATCATCCTGGAAAAGGTCAGACTGCAAAAGGGAGGTGGGGGAAGATGCAACGGCCACATCGGTAACTGTGCTGTGAAAAGTCCTACAAGACGCTCACATATCTGAAACAACGCAAACACTCACCTTCCGAGGGACAGTCATGATAATGGGCTCGCACTTTCGCTCATGCAGTTTGAAGAACCTTTGAAAGAAAAGAAGCACACGTAGAGGTAGAGGTAAAGGTAAAGGACCCCTGCAGGGTTAAGTCCCGTCAAAGGTGATTATGGGGTTGCGGCGCTCATCCGGCTTTGAGTCTGGCCCCTCTAAGATCAACATCCTGTCTGACCAACCAGACAGATGCCTGTGGGAAGCCACAAGCCCTCTTCCCTTTAGCCTTCAGAGGCACACTGCCTCCCACGCTGGAGGGAACATAGAGCCAGTGTGACCGGCAGCCACTGATTCCTTGTCCTTTTTAAAAGTCAACTCAACTCAAAGCTAAGGCATGGCCCAATTTTCTTCCTCTCTAGGCCTCAAAAGGACCTCAAAAGAGCAGCTGAAACCAAAAGGACTTTCCATTGTTAAGAAAATCCTGAGGCTGGGTAGATTTTTCTTCCCAAATATGGAAGCCACAACATGCATTTCAGGAAAGTATTTTGCTGCTGACCGATGAGATCCTAGAAGTGTCAGTATTTGGGGCTATGACAAGGGGAATGCCACCTGGCTTGCTTTATTTGTCAATTTCTTCTTTTAAACAGATTATTTTTCTGATGTAGACAAGTTACCCTGACATCCAGCATGCCTTGAGACATCACTTCCTTTACAAAATCTTCCATCCCTACATCCTTTGAAACAGTTCAGATTGTATAGCGCCAAGTGGTGGACTCGTGACCCAGAATGTTAGGGTGCCAAGCTAGAGATCCCAGGGCTGCAGTCGGGGTCGCTGGCACTCTTCCTGGCCTCTCGTTACCTTGCTATCTCGCACTTGTTCACATCCAAGCCCCTCTTCGGCATGAAGCCCATCCCTCTCTGCGGCTCTTTGCTGCTGAAGGTGTTGAGGTAGTGCACATAGGGCGACTCATCTGTGATCTCAAAGTAGCGAATGCTGCTGTCACCCTGGAAGAAATTGGGGAGGGCAAACAAGTGACTACGGGCCAGGAATCCTGCTCGCGGGGGTGAGGAGGTGTGTCCTCCCAGACCATTCCTTGTACAACACGCCCACCCTTCAGGTACCTGGTGTCTCTGGCACATTCATGAAGCCTCCAGTGTGAATTATGTCTACTGACACGTGAAGCAACCTGCAGGACCAAGGCACAGGCCTGCGCATCCACCCTGCTGCTGCTGCCCACAGTGGTAGCCAGAAGCCTACAAGCAATGAGCCTTTCCTCACCGCGGCCCCCTCCCCACCAACGGGGATACAAAGTGGCACAATGCCTTTGAACAAAGCGTTAGCGTGGCTTGACTGTATCTAAAAATTCCATAATTTAGTTGGGTGTTTTGCAAAGCAGGTCTTTCTTCTGCCTCTCCCAAACCTGCTAACTAGAGGGCTGGCATTAGGAAAGGAGGAGAAAAGCTTCACTCTCCCCCTGCAGCCTCACCATTAGCCACAGTCCTTGGGCTTCTTCATATAGCCCCAAAGCAGTTTTTAAACAAGAGGGCAGGTAGTGTTTTTTTCCTACTGCATGTTCAAGATTTCATAAAGCCTCACATATAAGGCTGCAGAATCAAGAATCACACCCCCCACACACAATGGACGACAGCACATTGTTCAGTTAATTCTGCCTGACAAAATTCTCAACTTATCAGTCTAACAGGTGTCTGTCCAGGACAGCTCAAACCTGCAGCCTGGGCAGACTGTTCTGATTATCCTTTCAGGACTCCACCAAAATAACATGCTTTGCAATGCAGCACCAGTCTCGCCTCACCCCCAAAATCCAAGGGGAGAAAAGGAATGATTCTCAAGCCACATGTGAAACTTAACAGGGACCCTGTGGTTTTTTAAAATGCCTAAGCCATAGACTGAGAGGGGGCCACGAAACCATTGCGAACCCCTGGGTGGTGCACACCATATCTTGAGGGCAGCCTAAATTCCATAACATCAGCAGCTAAAAACATTGGGCTGGGGAAGCCACCACTGACACGTGAGGAGTGACCAGAGATGGGGCACCATCAAAGAGGTCTAATATTTGGAATTTATTCCACAGAGAGGAGTCGTCTTCCCAGGGTCAAGAAGACCTCTTCTTGCTCTGGCTATTTAGATGCTCTGATTTATCTTAGCAGTATGGGAATGGAGTGGTTTCAATGTTTCATGTTATGTTTTGCCGTTTTAAATGTGATCATTACTGTTTTCTGTTGCTTAATTGTTAGTCACTCTGGGATTTATATTTATAAATATTTGTAAATATAAGGTATAAATATTTGTAAATAACTAAACAAATATGTACAGTATCTAAATTCCTATGACAGACTAGTGGTCCTGAGGGACTTGCAAACAAATGATTTGAAAACTGTTAAGAAGAAGTGGAGTTGGTTTGTTCTCTCCTTTGGTATATATCATGTGTCGCTTATGATGTGAAGTTCTGCATTCTCTTTATACACATACACACATAAATCCACACTCTAGAGCAGGGGGCGGGGGGGAGCAAGAACAAGGAGATGGAGTAGCAGCCAGGGCAACCTTTGCAGGCAGCACTGAAATGCCACAAACAGGCTGCTTTTCTCAGACAACCGTTCTCTTCACCACAGCAGCCATGACCTACCTTTCCACATAAGTAAATGATGTTGGTGTCTGGGTCATAGAAGGGCAGCAACACACCATTGCTGGTGTCCATTTCATGAAGGGCAATGGGCTCTTCCATGCTTTTCTGCAGAGAGAAGAACGGCATCTTACATTTGGAAGACATGGACTCTGGTAACCCTGCTAGTCAGAATGACATTGATGTTGCTGGCTGCCCAGAGAGCAAACACCAAAATAAAATTTAATGCACAATATCTGAGAACTACAATTTGCTGCAGTTGTCACACTTTTTGCATGTGACAGATCTCATCTTCCAGAGCATTTTGGTGTTTGATATAGTTTGTTGCAAAGAGTTTCAGATTAAGCCATATACTAATAATAATATAATAATAATAGTAGTAATTTATTATTTATACCCCGCCCATCTGGCTGAGTTTCCCCAGCCACTCTCGGCGGTTCCCAATTGCAATACAGCATTAAATATTAAAAACTTCCCTAAACAGGGCTGCCTTCAGATGTCTTTTAAAAATAAGATAGCTGCTTATTTCCTTGACATCTGGTGGGAGGGCGTTCCACAGGGCGGGCGCCACCACCGAGAAGGCCCTCTGTCTGGTTCCCTGTAACCTCACTTCTCACAGTAAGGGAACCGTCAGAAGGCCCTCAGAGCTGGACCTCAGTGTCCAGGCAGAACGATGGGGGTGGAGACGCTCCTTCAGGTATACTGGGCTGAGGCTGTTTAGGGCTTTAAAGGTCAACACCAACACTTTGAATTGTGCTCGGAAACGTACTGGGAGCCAATGCAGATCTCTCAGGGCTGGTGTTATGTGGTCCCAATGGCCACTCCCAGTCACCAGTCTAGCTGCCACATTCTGGATTAATTGCAGTTTCCGAGCCACCTTCAAAGGTAGCCCCACATAGAGTGCATTGCAGTAGTCCAAGCGGGAGATAACTAGAGCATGCACCACTCTGGTGAGACAGTCCGCGGGCAGGTAGGGTCCCAGCCTGCGTACCAGGTGGAGCTGGTAGACAGCCGCCCTGACCAAATTATCTAAAAAGACCCTATCACCTGTCTCTGTCCTGAGGTGCAAAGGGCCTGGGCTGTAAAAGGCAGTTGCAGAATTACATAAAAGTAAGTAAATTAACCCTTTAGGTCCCTTCCAACTCTACAATGCTAGGATTCTAACTTAAAAGTTTGTTTCCTAAGGGAACATCTGAAGCATCAAGACAGAGTTGCAGAGTGAACACGTTTGTTGGCAGGATGGGCTGCAGGGGTCAGCAACCTTTTTCGGCCGTGGGCCGGTCCACCGTCCATCAGACCATGTTGTGGGCCGGACTATATTTTGGGAGAAAAAATGAACAAATTCCTATGCCCCACAAATAACCCAGAGATGCATTTTAAATAGAAGCACACATTCTACTCATGTAAAAACACGCTGATTCCCGGACCATCCGCAGGCCGATTTGAGAAGGCGATTGGGCCGCATCCAGCCCACGGTCCTTAGGTTGCCTGCCCCTGGAATAGGGTGTTGCTGTTGTTGTTGTTTGCTGAGCTCTATGGCAATGTTTGATGGCAGCTAAAGCACTTACAGGGTTCCAGAGTGCAAGCTGCCTTTCACTCATCCGGCTGAAGCCCGTGGTGAAGACGTTCCCATCCGAGAGGAAGATGGCTCTCATGGGTCGGGCTCCCTCATGAGCTTTCTCTTTCTCCTGGTTTGGGGGAGGAGAAGCAAGAGAGGAAAGAGAGGGAAATGGTAGCAACAGTCACTGATATTATCTCCTAACGTCCCCAATGAGACTTGCAAAGCAAGCTGTGAGGGCATCTGAAACCAAAAAAAAGATGAATGTACTTACAAATGGAAGGATTCACCCTCCACTCATGATGTCTAGCCTTCAACCCCCAATCTGCATGAGCAGACAAAGCACGAATGCATAAGCATTATGTACACAACAGAACATAAAACCCAATCTCCAAATGCTGATGAAGCCACAAGTGGCACAACGGTGCCTTGAGTTTCAGGAAGAAAAGGGCCTAAGTATAGAAATATGAATAGCTTCCCGTGCACAATGAACTTGGCTTTAAGTGAGGGAAGGCGCCGGAGGCACGGGGGAGGATAAGCAGCACAGCTTCCTTGACAAACCACCACTTGCCAAATATTATTATTATTATTATTATTATTATTATTATTATTATTTCCCCAGACACTCTGGGCAGCTCCCAACAGAGAAGGCCTCGGAGCTGGACCTCCAGGCTGGACAATGGGGGTGGAGACACTCCTTCAGGTATACTGGGCTACATACAGCACATACTCACTGCAACAATTTCTTGTTTCCTGGGGTCAATCACTCGGATCTTCTTGTCCTTGGATGCTGTGCAGATGAGGCTCCCATTCCGATTCCAGCTCACGTTGTAAATCATGTCTTGATGCATGTCGTCCAGATTTATGAGGGGCTCACCTGTCCCCACGTTCCAGATGATGATAACATTATCACAGCCTGAAGGAAGGCAATTAAGAAATAAAAGCCCGTTACCTGTGCGTGTTTTAAGGGTTACCTGTTAATGTTTTCCGCTTCCCTGAGGTATGAAAATCCTTACAGTCAGACTCTCTAAAAGGAGCCTCAAGGTCGCTCCAGCTTTGCCACCCAGGAAAAAAAAGGAAGGAGAACACGATGGAGCTTTCTACCCCAAGAAGGTCCTCTGACCCCTCTCTGCTCAAGCACCAGAGAAAAACTGATATTATTCTGCTTTTAATATTTCAGCTGTGCTGTATTTCTTTGTGACAATTTCACTGCTTTTTTATTCACCTCTTGGGTGTTAGTTGCCTTGTGCGGTCGCATTTGTGGGCAGAGCTACATTTTAATTCAAACAAGAAGGTCAGTAGTTTAAGCCTCTATTTAACACAGAGACAGGAAACCTTAACTTTGCCAACATAAGAGAATGCAGGCTTTCAAGACTCAAAGAATTCTTCATCAAGCAAACCAATTACTAGCTTGCAAAGGGCCAAGTCAACCTAGATTGGTTCAATAAAGAACATCATTAAAACAACACTATCAGCACTTAGGATATGGAGAACCATTTTCCAATAAATTAGCACATTAATGGGTTTTCTATCCTTCCCCCCCCCCCAATATCACTGACCCTGCACACTGAGTTCAGTGATGCATCTAAAAATAACACCCCAAACTCCATATCTGAAAGTCAAGGTTTGGCACAGAATTGGGGGGGAAACACTGTGCCTTTTCATAGGTGCTAGTTTAGAGTCAAAAGAAAAGGGGAGGGGGGAAACAGGAATACTTACTCCAAAAGTATAAGCAGCTTTAAGAAAACTTAATGCAGATTAGAAATTTACTAGGAAATAGAGCAGAGTGAGCAAACCACCTGGTGAAGAGCAAGAAAACTAGAAAGGTAATGTAGGTTTTCAAAAGAAGTGGCTGTGACACATGACACAGGGGGAAAAGGAAGGCCAAACCCTCCAGGAAGCGGATCTTGCCCAACTGGTCACGTGAGCAGAGTATGGCCTTGCCTCCTTTCTTAACCACAGGAACACTTCCATTCGTGGCTTTGGGAGAGGTTTTTCTGGCTCTGCAAGAGCTAAAGGCCAGTCAGCTGGGAGAAGCCAATTCCTTTTGTTCCTCAGGGTTCCAGAGCCTACCTGCACTTAGCAGCACATTGTGCGCAGTGGGGTGCCAGGCCACAATGCCCACCCTTTTGGAATGGCCTTCCAAGATGACCACAGGCTCTGTCAGGGGCAACGTAAGCCCATTCTCTGGGATCTGCCAGACCTGCAAAAATGAAAAAAGAAGGGTGGGGTGGGAGGAACCGTGGTTACTGGGATATTGTCACTTTCCAAAAAGTGGACAAAACCATAGCTAGCTGGAGATTTGCCAAGCTGGCAAAGGGGAGTACTTAATTTTTATGTCCAAACTCAATTTATTTGTTTTATTATCACAAATGGCATTCAGTGCTCCAGGAGGCATCAGCAACCAAGGGAGGGTGGCATGTTCTCAAGAAGGTCTAAAGAGAGCCCCAACCCTCCCCGCATCTGCCAAATATTATATTATTATTATTATTATTATTATTATTATTATTATTATTATTATTACATCACCATCCCAAAGATCACAGGGTGATTCACGATGTAAGCATACAAAACGAGAACACAAAATATGTAATAAACCAAAAACAAAAACAAACCAATTACCCCACCCCTTTAAAGGCCATAGAATGTTTAATTAGCCCAAGGTCTGGTTAGAGAGAAACCTTTTGCCTGGTGCCTAAAGATGCTTGCATGTATTCCTACAGGCCTGACGGACAAAGTCTGAACCAACAGCCACCAGCACACCCACCCACAGCAGCCTTTGAACCCCAGGATCCTCTTCACAGGGCTTTCAGGGACGGCAAGGCTAATAAGGAAGTGTCCCCTGGGCATCTTCTGCATGAGTCACCACTGGCCAATCATGGTTTCTGAACCAGAGCTGACCTACATACAAAAGTGGGGAGAACTGCTGAGGAAGCAGAATTAACCACCAGCAGATGGCAGCAAAGTAACAACCTGCTCTATACTGCCTGCTTCTGATGAGAATACAGTGGTACCTCGGGTTACATACGCTTCAGGTTACAGACTCCGCTAACCCAGAAATAGTGCTTCAGGTTAAGAACTCTGCTTCAGGTTAAGAACAGAAATCGTGCTCCGGCGGTGTGGCAGCAGCGGGAGGCCCTGTTAGCTAAAGTGGTGCTTCAGGTTAAGAACAGTTTCAGGTTAAGAACGGACCTCCAGAATGAATTACCGTATTTTTCGCCCCATAGGACGCACCGCCCTATAGGACACACCTAGGTTTTTTGGGGGGGGGGGGAATAAAGAAAAAAAAAATATTTCCCCCCCAGGCACGGGGCTGGCACGGGGGAAGCCCGAGCTTCCCCTGACCCCAGCCCCCAGAAGAGCCTGCTATCCGCAAGCCTAGGGAGCCGCGCCGGTCTCCCCAGGCTTGCGGACAGCTGTGCGAAGCCCAGGCGCGCTGAGGCTTCCTAATGCAGGCAGCTCTGTGCAACCCTCTGGAGCCCGGCGCAGCGCAGAGCTGCGCGGACCCCGGGAGGGCAGGCAGCTCTGCGCGACCGTCCGGAGCCCAGCGCGGCTTGGCGCCAGGCTCCGGAGCGATGCGCAGAGCTTCCTGAAGCCTGGAGAGCGAGAGCCTCTCGCTCTCCAGGCTTCAGCGAAAGCCTGTATTCACCCCATAGGACGCACCCACATTTCCCCTTCATTTTTGGAGGGGAAAAAGTGCGTCCTATAGGGCGAAAAATACGGTAAGTACTTAACCCGAGGTACCACTGTGTATTATTACAGGCTCCAGCAGAATTCACATCCAAGACTCTAAAGCAAGCAAAGCCAAGTGGCTATTGCCCTCCCAAGGTCAGAAGAGGCAACACTCACATCAGAGTTTCTCATGATGGCCCACTGAAAAGTTTGAGCCAACATTCAAAGCAAAGCAGGTAATTCAAAAAGAACCCCAAACCGTTCCAATTTAATGGGCGGAATTTGCCTAGTCAAAACAGCAAAGCAATAGTCTGATCATGAAGCTTAGGGAACTGGAAAAAGCCACAGACAGCTAAAGCAGATGATAGTTCTTGAAAATTTGAAATGGGTTTAAAACTCTGCAACACTAAGAACCAGATTAAGGAAAAAAACTATTTGTACTCTCAGTTTCTTGCAGTAAGCCAACTGTGTTTTGGTGTGTCCAAATCAGTTTCCTGAATTTATTGGGGCTTTTTCTGAAAAGCATGAGAAATATGTGGAGAGCTGAGATTTAGAGAAGTGCAGAAATGTCACTGTTCATGTGGGGAGAACAACATAGAGAGTATTCCACAGACAGGGAGCCACTGCAGAGAAGGCCCGTTCTCGTGTTGCCACCCTCCGGACCTCTTGAGGAGGAGGCACATGAAGAAGGGCCTCAGAAGATGATCTCAGGGTTCGGGTAGGTTCATATGGAAGCAGGCAGTCCTTGAGGTATTGTGGTCCTGAGCCGTTTAAGGCTTTATAGGTCAAAACCAGCACTTTGAATTGGGCCTGGAAACTAATTGGTAGCCAGTGCAGTTGGACCAGGATCGGTGTAAGATGCTCAAACCATCTTCCTCTGGTGAGCGACCTGGCCACCAAATTTATGCACCATCTGAAGTTTCCGAACCATCTTCAGCCCGACTTATAACGCATTTCAGTAATCTAACCTAGAGGTTACCAGAACATAGAGAACAGTAGTTAGGCTGTCCCTGTCCAGATAGGGGCGTAGCTGGGCCACCAGCCGAAGCTGATGGAAGGCACTCCGGGCCACTGAGGCCACCTGAGTCTCAAGGATTCAGGAGGACCCCCAAGCTACAAACCTGCTCCTTCAGAGGGAGGGTAATCCCATCAAGAGCAAGTGATCTCCTTGGACCAAAAATCGAAGCAAGAAGAATTACCGACGATTGAAGAATGGAGGATGAAGTTAATGGACTATGCAGAACTAGATAAACTAACAGGAAGGATTTGAAACTGGGGGGACTAGAAATTCACGGAAGACTGGAGTAAATTTACGGACTATTTGAAAAGTATTTGTGAAGATCAGATGACGTTTGTAGGTTTGCAAGAAGTTTTGTGAGGAGTATTATTGGAAGTATTGCAAAAATGGAGAATGGGAAGGATGATTTGTTAAGAGATGTAAAAGCAATATAAAGTTAAGAAATGCATAAGAAGTGGTTAAAACGGTGGATCATCAGAGGTGCTGATGGAAATCTAAAAAGATTGTATAAGTGATAAGTTTTGAGGTACATTTTATAATTTATATGTTAAAATCAATAAAAATTATTTTTTAAAAAAAGAACAAGTGATCTCCCACCCATCTAGTCTAGGGAACCACTCACTAGGGGCCTTCGTCTTATCTGGATTGAGCTTCACTTTGTTGGCTCTCATTCAGTCCAGCACTTCCACTGCAGATGTAAAGGAGAAACAGAGCTGAGTGCCATCAGCATACTGCTGACAACATACTCCAATCCTCCAGATAACCCCACCCAGCAGTTTCATGTAGATGTTAAACAACGTGGTGGATAGGATTGAGCCCTGAGGAACCCCTCATTGAAGGTTCCACGGGGCTGAAAAGCACTCCCCAAGTCACACCCTCTGGGAACAACCACCCAAGTAGGACTGGAACCACCGCAAAGCGATGCCAGCCACCCCTAGTTTGGAGAGCCGCTCCAGAAGGATGCGTTGGTTGATGGTATCAAAAGCTGCTGAGAGGTTGAGAAGAATTAACAGGGACGTGTTTCCCTTGTCTCTCTCTCGACAGAGGTCATCATACAGGGCAACCATAGCACTTTCTGTGCCAAAACCGGGCCTAAACCCTGTTTGAAATGAATCCCGAAAATCAGTTTCTTCCAAAAGCGCCTGGATCTGGTCTGCAACCACTTGCTCCAGAACCTTGCTCAAGAAAGGGAGATTAGCAACTAGTAGTTAGATTTTTCGAATCCAGGGAATGTTTCTTAAGGAGTGGTTTTACCACTGCCTCCTTCAAACAGGCAGGGACCACCCCCTCTCGTAAAGAGGCATTGATCACCTCCCTGGCCCAGGCAGCTGTTCCCTCCCTGCTGGTTTTTATCAGCCAGGAGGGGCAGGGGTCTAGAGCGCAAGTGGTCGCTCTGACTGATCCGAGCACCTTGTCCACCCCCTCAAGCCTTACCAACTGAAACTCATCCAGCACAACAGGACTAGACTGAGCTCTGGACACCCCATGAGATTCATCTGCTATAACAGCAGAGTCAAGGTCTTGGTGGATGCAAGTGATTTTATCCTCAAAATGCTTTGCCAACAAGTCACAGTGAGCTACCTGGTCCTATCACTTCCTTTGGGCCAGCCTGTAAAAGGCCCCGTACAACCCGGAAAAGCTCTGCTGGAGGACATAATGAGGATGCAATGAAGGCAGCAAAGTATGCCTTCTTTGCTGCCTTCACTGCCACTAGGTAGGCTCAATAATGAGCCCTTACCAGTGTTTGTTTGGTTGCATTCATTCGGATCTTTCCTCCACTTGCCTTGATGACATCAAGGCAGCCATATGGCCTGCAACATAAGGAGAGACACCAACCCTTTAACATGAACGGAGCTGTTTAACTGGATTGAAGTGTGAGAGAGTACACTACTGGAAGATTTCCACAGGTAATTGGGGAAGCAGGAGGACTAACAGACAGATCAGATAACAGCACAGCAGCAGAAGCCAAGACAGGCCTGAGTCAGGTCTATGAAGCATGGGAGAAAGACAAACAGGTCCAAATTCTTTTCTGCAGGAGTGCTCAAAGTATGGTCTGGGGTATATATGGTGTACACAGGCCACAGCCACTCTTTCTTTGCTTGCGAGGGTTGGTCTACAGACCTATCAGTTGCAGCTCTCTTGAAATGCTGCACTCTGGTAAATTCACAACCAGTCAGGCACTGCTGACTGCAGAGAGACTACATTCAGGAGGCCAAACATTACATAATGGGAAATGCCCAAGCAACTACCAGTTTTGCTCCAGGTGCACAAACTGAGAACCTAATACATGTGCCAACTTGAATGCTTACCAGAAAAGACATACTTGACCAGGAAGACCCAAACACACATGTGGTCAGCTAAGCCCTCAATGTCATGCAAAATAAGGTAACTAAAGCAATACCAAGATTGGGTCAAACATACCTAGTTTTACACTGGCCTCATTTTTCCATAATTCATAAACATTCTGACCACAAAAGCATTCCTAGATTTGGCTGACACTAGAAGTCTAGGTGCCAAGAATTTACATGATGTCAGATGCATTCATTCCAACAAGTGACACCTCTGACAACCATTTTTGTTGACAGCTGCCCTCAAAAAACAGCAGAGCTTCACAGGATTCCTTCAGACAGTCGGTTTCTGGAATATTCATCCCAATTTGCTTGCAGAAAGTCTATGCAGAGGTTATTGAGCAAGTTGTTATGATCTGTCTATAGGGAGGTTGGGTAGTCTTCAGTGATGTCTCTAATTGCTAAGTTGTTGGTTGTTTATCTATAGAAGAATAAAATACTACTGTTCAGCTACAAGAGGCCTCAAGGCAGTGTGCAACATTTATTAATTACAAAGAGCGCTCACTAATGGTTCCTCATCACCCAGGAAAAAAGTGACAAGTGGGGTTCTGCAGGGTTCCGTCCTGGGCCCCTTGTTGTTCAATGTCTTTATAAATGACTTGGATGAAAGTATTCAGGGGATGCTCATCAAATTTGTAGATGACACCAAACTGGGAGGCATAGCCAAGGTCACTCAGAATTCAAGATGACTGTAACAAATTGGAGAACTGGGCCCAAACTAACAAAATGAATTTCAATAGGGACAAATGTAAGGATCTACACTAAGGCAGGAAGAAGTAGCTGCACAAATATAAGATGGGGGACACCTGGCTTGCCAGTAGTACATGTGAAAAGGTTCTGGGGTCTTAGTAGACCACAAGCTGAACATGAGTCAACAGTGTGATGCAGCAGCAAAAAAAGCTAATACTATTCTAGGCTATATCAAGAAAAGTACATTGTTCCAATGAAGGGAAGTCGTAGTACCACTCTATTCTGCCATGCTCAGACCACACCTGTTCTGGGCACCACAATTTAAGAAGGATATTGACAAGCTGCAATGTGTGCAGGTGAGGGCAACCAAGATGCTAGGGGTCTGGAAACCAAGCCTTATGAGGAATGGTTGAGAGAACTGGCTATGTTTCACGTGGAGAAGAAGAGACTGAGAGGAGATATGATGGCCACCTTCAAATATCTGATGGGCTGTCACATGGAGGATGGAGGGTAGGACCAATAGCTTCAAGTTACAAGGAAAGTGATTCCGACTAAACACCAGGACGAACTTTGTGACTGTAAGAGCTGTTCCATAGTGGAATGGACTCCCTTGGAAGGTGGTGGATTTTTAAGCAGAAGTCGGGTGGCTATCTGTCATGGATGCTTAGTTTAGATTACAGAAGGTTGGAATAGATGACCCTTGGGGATCCCTTCCAACTCTAGAATTCTATGCCAAGATAGAATTCTAGAATAGAATCGCTCCAATGTTTTCGTATTCTTCCTTTCCCAAACCAATTTGCCACATGAATGTTCACAAGGAACAAACTAAAGCACCCACATCTGGCAAAACAGCCCCTAAACATGACAAAGGCAGCCACTTGGGAAGGGGGGGGGGGTTTCAGCTGTTCATTTCTACAAAGATGAATTTCTAGGGCTGAAGAGATGCCACATCCTCTGATCTGGGAGGCTGGTCCCCAATTCCAACTGTGTAGAAAGAACCTGTAGTTAATTTGGTGGCAAAGGAAATGTTCTCTGCACATGTACAAAGAAGCGCTGCACCAAAGTGAGCCTGGCCTCAAACTCAACCCTGGTTAGAAGTTCCTCACCCCCTCAGCTCTGCTTTCTCCATTTCCCTCCTGGATATTACACTGCCTCAAGAGAGTGCTTTGTCTCAGAGTCCATAATGAGTTTACCAGTTCAGTTTTGAGATCCCTCTATGGCGGGATCTAGTTATAATTATTTCTCGTCTCGCTGGGGTTCTGTCTTATATCACACCCATCTACCACCTATGACATCCAGGTGCTTCAAGGGAACTATAGGCCACCAGTGACTTACTGAGAAAACCCACAGCTATCAGCATAATGCATTTGTCTGGAACATCAAGGATTCACTTAGCAAGCCAATGGTCATGATTGGCATCACTGTCAACTCAAACTTTTTGCTTTTTTGAAGATCCTGGATGTCCAGCAAACCAGCAGAACAGACTGAATGACTCAGGCTGAAATTAATTCCTCCCATTTGAGAAGAGCCATTTGGCATCCTCCACAAAACCCTAATATAATCCAACATTCTCCAGCTGAGGAAGACAAAACCTGCAGTACATTACCAACATTCAAAAGGTTCTGAAGAATCCACATTTAAGCAGTTCCTTATTTCCTGGCATGAGAAAAATCATTCTTCAAAGTGAGCATTCAGACTAGGCGGCCTCATGGCAGCATTTTACAGCAAACCCCTCTAGAAGTTAAGAAAGAAAGAAGCCAAAAGGGCTGGACTGCTCACCTCTCTGCATTGTGAAAAAACACGTATTATTTAAAAAAAAACACATGCAAGTCTCTCTCTGCTGAAGCTAAGCAGACATGGGTCTGAATGGACCTGGATGGGAGTCTGTGGGGGTCCCCATGTAAGAAGAGGGTAAAAGGGAAACTCAATCAGAGACTGACTGCCATCAGGGTGTTTAGGAAGACCTTTTAAAAACGTAAAAATATTTTGCTCTGGTGGCAAAATGAGCAAAGCGAAGCTGCTTGGAGAATCTCTGAGGAATTATGGGACTTCAAAAGTGATCGCCTCTGAGGACATGGAGCAGGGCCTCAGCCACGTGATTGTGTCAATTTCTTAGTTTGGAGCTGTTATCTCAAAAACTGAAAAGCAGCCTAGAAAGGTACTATTAATAGCAGAAAAGCTATTAATCTTCGCTCTTGGTGCTGCGTGTCAGCCCAAGATCACTATCCCCACGCACATTTACCATACTTTCCTTTGGTTCCCCATATCCTCCTCCATAAGGTGAAAAAACATCTGGGAGAGGATGATTTTGAGCAAATAGCTCAGTAACCTATTTTTCCTCCACCCCCCTTAATTGCAGTCCCCAAGGCTGCTTTTCAGTTTAAAATAAAACAGGGAAAGAAATTCCCAACTGCATGTAATGTAGGGATGGGGAATGAACGGCCAGTAGGCCCATTTCAAGCTGGAATTAGCGGCACATCCATCACAATAAATATTCACATTGATTTTAATTGTATGTCTATTGCTTCTTTTGTTTCTAATGATTTGTATTAATTGTATTACAGTTTGAATTCCATAAGATTGCAAGGCACAGGTAGAAAAACCGTTAAGTAATCCACCCAGATGCTCAGCAGTTTTCAAGTGAACTGTGGGTGGGAAGTTTGGAAACCACTCCTCTGGATCATTCTCCCTAGTTCCCCTTCCATCTCCCACATAAAATTCTAATAATCTTAAACTCTGTGAAATTCCTCCCAATGTTTAATTTCTCCTTGTAGCTCTTTCAGAACTTCCAGGGTATGACTGTTGTTACTTTTTTGCCATGGGAACTGAAAGTGACTTACAATATTTTAATCCAAAAACAAAACAGATACCTTAAAATCAGTATAAAAAGTCATTTTTTAAAAGTTAGTTTCCCCACACTGCATCTTAATACAGCTTTCTTGTCTCAGGGCTCTACCTGGAATCAACAAGTCGGGCCAAATCACACGACACTGTTCCAAGCCAGGGAGACGCATGGACATTAAGCTTACGGCCAAAAGGGTATGAAATTTATCCCACCCCCTCCAACTTGACCAGAGAGAAAAGGCAATTATAATATTAATATAACTATCTACTGTTATCATTTATCCCGACCATACACTTGAGATGAGAGAGAAACACAAGAACAAAACAGGAGGAGGACAATGAATAGGTGGAAATAGAACGAGAGGCAGGTATGAGCGCCAGGCAGGGCAGTTAAGCTGCTTGCTCCTGCCGCTCCTGCCACTGTTCCCTTAGCAGGAGACAGACTGGACTTCTGCTTTGCTGCTACTGCGCTCTCTCTCTCTCTCTCTCTCCCCCCTCTCGGCAATGACGGCAGGCTGTAGTAGCTGAAGGCTGCACCCCAGCATGTGCATGCTGCCCAATTTCTCTCCTCCTCCTCCTCTCCTCTCCGGGATTCTTCTGCAGCATGTAGATGCTGCCTCTTCCTCTCCCCACCAAAGCCCCTTAATGGAGCCACATGCTCCTTCCTCCCCAGCCAACTTGCAAGGCATCAGCCGGATCGTGAAGATGCCAGTCACCAAACCTGGCAACAAGACATCTTCACTTGGTCGCAAGTGGAACATGGCAGCCAGGGGATTTCAAACACTGCCTGGAAGGGGTCCCAAATTGGCCTGTGAGGTTAATCCCCTCAAACCATGCCCAACTGCTCCACACCCGATGCCATATGTGGGGAACGCAATTGCCCTGCCCAGCCCTGCAGAAAGCTTTGCAAGCCCTAAGTTCAGGGCTGCCAAGCACTGGGCTGGCAAACCCCCTGGTGCTGTGGTGCTCGACAACTAGCTGGCTGTCAGGCGTGTGGGAAGCACTGTGCAAGGGACGTGGATAGGCTGGCTTTCCTGCCACCTGTCAAAGTTAGGGGTCGGGGGGGGGGGGAGAGGGAGGGAACAGATGAAGATGGCAGGATCTCCCACCTGTCCAAGGCTCCTCACCCTGGAGTAACATGTCACCAGGTGCTGAAGCTGTGCTAAGTGGTAGGTTTGAAATGTGGGCTTAATCCTGATTAGGAAGGAGAGATCCAGCCTCAAGACACTTAAAAAAATAAAAAAAACACCTTCTTAAGGCATTCAATTGAACATACATTTTGTTAGAAACCATATCAACTCTTAACATTTTTTTTTAAAAAAAAACAGTCCTGAGAAGGGAAAGGCAAGTGACATCACTAGAGTCAACTTGAGCTATCCAACAGGAAGAACCGGTTTTCCCTGGGGTCAGTCCTGAAGATAAGGCTATACCTAAATACAAAATAGGATAGAGATGCCATTTTCTAGCTCATTGCTCAAGTTATGTATCTACACAGCCTCAGATACTTTAGGTCCCTAATGAACAAATGGCTTTACCATTCTGAGGCAGCGGTAGATGACAGCAAACGAGGGTCTTCACAGTTCTCCCCAGTAAGCAGACAGCAAATGGCCACAGACACTCAAACTTCCCATGATTCCTCTTGTCTCTCAACTGGTAAAATGAATGCAGGGGGGGGGGTGCACGGAGGGAGAAGATCCCTGCTTTGGACATTTCCCCCCTATACTCATTAGAAAATCAGTTGTCACCAAACTCCAAACTGCTCTGTAAAAAAAAAATCACTCTCCTCCAATGCCAAACAAGTTTCTCCAAGCAACTTGGGTTAGAGGCAAATATCTCTCTCTGTCAAGAAGCTCCAATTAACTTCTATCGAACCTCCAGACGGCATTCATTACATTTCATGTGCCTTCTGAATTATGTTTCTTACAGTACGTTCCAACATCCTTTAGCACACAATCCTGTTTAGTGGTGAACTCTGCAAACCCAAATTGCTTCTTTTTAAATGTCAACGTCTTCCAAAGTGAGATCACAGGAGATGGTGCAGGATAAGCCACCATGAGATAGAAAACAAATCCAGAAGTGAGATGGATTAAGAGGTGCAACACACAGGGATGAACTTGGTGCTATATAAAATTAAATCCACCTATCTTGATATTGTGGCTTTTTAATTCAATTTTTAGACAAACAAAAATTCAGCACAGAACCATTTCAAGTGCAGTGAAGGCCAATTTTCCTTTCAGTGTTACTCACTCCAGTTCTGCATGCTGCGACAATGCACGTAATATTTTCTGCCTTTCAGTGTACCATCTATGAGCCCACAGCAGTTGTATTTTAAAGCTGGAACAAGGATGACTGGCTGCCAGTTTAAAATGACTACCATACGGCTAACTTAATGAAGGGCTACAAAACTACTTCCAAGTGAAAGCAAGAAACAACTTTTTGAGATGCTTAATGCAGCGACTCACCATGACAGTGCAGTCTTCTGAGCCGCTGGCGATGACTTGATCATTGTGAGGACACCAATCTATGTCAAGCACAGGTCCCGTATGGCCACAAACTGTGGGGTAGGATTTGTCAATTCTACCTGTCTGAAGAGAATGAAAAAAGTGCTGTAATGTACTGAACAAGGAACAAAATACAAACAAGCCAGGGATGGATGACCTGCCTCTCTCCAAATGTTGCAGAACAACAACTCCCATCTGTCCCAGCCAGAAGGCCAATGGTCAGGAATGATGGGAACTGCAGTCAAACTTCTGGAGGTCACAACTTCCACACCCCCAAAGTCAGCACTTCATGTTCAGTAAATTATCTCTTACACACAAAATATAGAAATGTATGGTGCTAAGGCTTTTTAACAGTCACACCTTGACTGTAATAGGTTAACTGAAGGCAAAGTTAATTGCTGAAATTCACATAGACAAACATTGGCGGCAGCTCTCCTGGGGTTCCATCAGACTGTTTGGCCATCTATCCCAGTGTTGCCTACTCTGACTGACAGCTCCCTAGGATGGGATGAGGGAGGCCTTTCCCATTAACTGATGCTACCAGAGATCCTCTGAATGGAAATGGCAAGGACTGAAGCTGAGGCCTTCTGTATGCAAGCAGGGGTGCTTTTCCCTGCAGCTAGGGCAGCTTTCCAAACTTATTTCAAAGTTTGCATGGCTGTAATGTCAGAAAAACCTTTAAGCTGTATTTCTCCAAAGATTTGCACTTGTTTAAGTGTTTAAAACTCACCCCATTTATTGAACTGTAGGCAGATCCATGACAGCTGCCTTTTTCAGACACAAACACCTATGACTAGGTTTCCTAAGCTACTCTTTGCTCCTTATGCTGCTTGAACCCTGGATCATGCATCCAATTACTGCACTGCTAATTCCAGGGAAGTGAGTTTTTCCCCCAATTCAGAGTTGACTGTGCATAAGGTTTCAGAAACAGCGATAGCCATTAGCTCTTGCAGACTGACCTAAACCTGCTTGTCAAAATCAGGAGAGAGGGGCAAGTCCTAAAGAACTATGAGGCACAGCAACAGGAAGCAATCCTCACAGTTCCACTGAAACTGAATAGAGAGGTATCTCTTCTTCACAGCTAGGAACGTGTCATGGGCATGCCCACTTAAATGCCTATCTTGTGCCCGTGACCAGATGGAGAGGTGAATATGCACAGCCTCTGATCAAAGAGCAAATTGCTACTGCAACCTTTAAGGAACCACCAAACTGTTTGCTGGCCAATGGTGTGTCAGACCAAGCCAGCACACTATCACCTGCAAGCCCCTGGGCAGCAGCTTCTATCTGCATGTACACACTATCTTAAAGCAGGGGTGGTGATCCTCCAGCCCACCAACGTTGAGGGCTGAGGGGAGTTGGGAGTTCAACACCATCCAGAAAGACAAGGCTCTCCACCCCTGTCAACAGGAAACATCATGGACAGGACTGAGGGGAAGAAAATGACTCAGGAGGAGAAAGGGCAAAGATTCAGAGGCCTGTGAGCCTACTGAGGAAGACATCCCTACACCAGCGTGGAGTCCTTCAGGCGCAAGGGCTGAATGTGTCCATCTGCTCCCCCTAACTCCCTTCACTAGCCCTGCCTGGGATGTGTCGCTGTGCTCTGATCATGCCCCTTGCTTGTCAGGATAGAGAGGGTTGTGTGAGTGTGTGTAGAAACTGCACAAAACTGACCCCTGTTGCTTTGCCCACTTTGCCTCTGCCCCCTGGAAGGCTGCCCAGAAGCAAATGTGGCCCCTGGCCCGAAAAAGTTCCCCCACATCTGCTTCCCAACTTTTTGCCTGCCAGTTTGCATATAAGACACTGAAGAAGGTGGGGAGGAAGGAAAACGTATTTCCTCTATGCCAAAATCTAAATGGAGTGGTAGATGAATGGTCTGGGCGGGGGGAGATAAGTACTACATCTAAGGAATACAAAATCAACAGGTTGAGGGGCTTGTGAAAAATTTAACTCTCTAATATGGCAACACTTGAACATTTTAAAGAGAAAAATACAGAACTATCTTAAGAGAGAACCAACATTGTGTAATCCAGACATGTATTAATGTGTCAATCAGGATTTTGACTGAGAGGGGAAAAATTAGCTGCTGCATACATATTAAACTTGCAAATGCCTCCCGTCTGTATGAACAAGATTAAAACCAAACACCAAACATTCAGACAAACAGCTGAGTGTTCAGTCTCACTCAGCAGCTTGTGTGAAATGAATGGAACGTATGATTTTTTATTATTTTTTTAGTTATCTAATGGCAATTCATTTGCTAAGACGCAGACCTACAATTATCACTCTCTTCGTGTTATTATCTTACTGCCCTTTTATACGCTTAAGAGAAAAACAGATATAATTGCAGGGGCCCTTACACCAAGTGTGTCACAGTTTGGGATGTAACCAGGATTCTTTTATTCACATGTAATGACTACTTACTAAAAACTTGGTAAACAATCTCAGAATCAAAATGGGGTTTTTCTTGTTTGATGAGCTTCACCAATCAGACTGGCAGGGTCTCTCAGTGGTCACAGACCAGATTAAGACCTACAGAGGTTCATCAGAATGGAAAAGATGGGCTTTCAGCTATGAAAATTAACTACTAAATTCCTCACCACAAAGGCTTCCAATAATGAGTCAGTTGTAGTCAAATGGGACTTTGGTCTGCAACAGAGCACCCACAAGCACAATTCACTGCAACTCACATTTTAGCTTACTTTTAGGATCATGTGAATCACCCTCTGATTTGCCCAGTTTATGTGTCATCTCACCAACCACCAAACCATTCTTGAACCCTGCAGATTCATAGGCTTCTTACTCTATCCATGGAAAAATAATAATACTTTCTCCTGATTTGCAGTAACTATGGTTAACTAACTAACCAAACTACAAGAAAGAAGATTCCACCTAAACATTAGGAAGAACTTCCTGACAGTAAGAGCTGTTCGACAGTGGAATTTGCTGCCAAGGAGTGTGGTGGAGTCTCCTTCTTTGGAGGTCTTTAAGCAGAGGCTTGACAACCATATGTCAGGAGTGCTCTGATGGTGTTTCCTGCTTGGCAGGGGGTTGGACTCGATGGCCCTTGTGGTCTCTTCCAACTCTATGATTCTATGATTCTAACTATGTTGTCCAAAACAAAGTTACTGCTAGATACAAATTGCTCTCATATAAGAGATTGAGAAATCCGGATTAGAACCTGATTTTGAATGGCTTGAGAGCAAACTATGGTCACTAACCATGGCTTAGTGTTATGTGCAAACCTGCTCATTGGGTGGGAGAGATCCCAAAATACAATCCTGGTTCCTCACTAGGGCGAACATGTACAGTATGTTAGTACTACTTTCTGCAATATGCATCATGACAGTGTTTTGTTTTGTTTTTAATGTTAAATGCCACAAAGAAGAAGAAGAAGAAGAGGAGTTTGGATTTGATATCCCACCTTTCACTCCCTTTAAGGAGTCTCAAAGCGGCTACCATTCTCCTTTCCCTTCCTCCCCCACAACAAACACTCTGTGAGGTGAGTGGGGCTGAGAGACTTCAAAGAAGTATGACTGGCCCAAGGTCACCCAGCAGCTGCATGTGGAGGAGCGGAGACACGAACCCGGTTCCCCAGATTACGAGACTACCGCTCTTAACCACTACACCACACTGGCTCTCTACACCACACTGGCACTTAAAAAAAATTAAGTGCCTAAAAGTAGGCTGGTCACTTTAGAGCAATCATTATGGATGTTGATAAAACTAAGATAAAAACAAATGAGCAGCTGTAGCACAGAACAATTCCTAGCAATTACAGTGGTACCTCGGGTTAAGTACTTAATTCGTTCCGGGGGGCCACTAGGGGCGCATCGGAAGATGGCTGACAATAACATCTCTCCGACCCACAGGGGGTAATTAGGAGGCTGTGATGGGAGTAAATAGCCTCCCTACCCCCCCCCCCCGGATTGTGGGGGGGCTGCCCTTGCCTGCTGTGCCCTATACCACCCCCGAATTTGAGGGGATGGGGGCACTAGGCAGAATGCCCTCCTGTGGATTTCGGCGCTCCTGGACGCTGCCTCTGATCCGCGCCGCTAGCTGCAAGAACTTCAAAAGGAACAATTAGGAAGAAGCGAATGCGCATATTTGAAGGAAGGAGGGGGAGTAAAGACTGCTAACTAAAGAGTTCTCTGATAAACAAGACGAGTCGGAAGAACAAGCATCAATTTTGAGAAGACAGCCAAGACTCGGTATGGCAAAGGGACTGGATGGGGAAGGGGGGAAAAAACTTTTCTTTCTTTCCTCTATGTGATTAAACAAGAACCCCCCCCACACACACAAGTCAGAAATGCCGCTTTAATGACTTAAGCTGTGGATTTACGACTGTGTGGAGATAAAGTTTCTAACCAAAGCATGTTTTAAGAAAAGCGTGGAAAGTTTAAGAGCTCTGGAATGACGCAGTTAACAATACCGTCGCCATATTGGTAAGCTCTGTCGGAGGACTTGAGTCTGGGAGGAGGAAAGAGCTGTTTTTATACTGTGGGTGAGACTCCTCAGTGGGACTTAAGAACGACAGACCCTGAGATTAATGATGGAAAGAGTGATGTTATTTATGAAAGTGATGATATATGGAAACCATCACGATATGAGGATTGGTCGAACGGAAAAATCCACACAGGATATAATTGGTGTTTATCTGCTTAAGGAGATTATCAGAAGAGAGCATAAAGGAAAAAGGAAAAATGTACGAATAAGATGAGATGTGGAAACAGCAAGATAAGACTGGATAGAATTATGAACTTTATTTGGACTGATTTGGATATGAACGCAGTAGAAAGAAGATGATCGGAATCCCCCTCTGAAACTTGAAATATGGGTCCGCTCAACAAAAATTTAAAATTCGGCTTTGTAATTCAGAATTTATGTGATGTGATTTGATTTGATTTGATTGGCCGGTTAATAAAAATTATATTAAAAAAAAAAGTACTTAATTCGTTCCGGAGGTCTGTTCTCAACCTGAAACTGTTAACCTGAAGCACCACTTTAGCTAATGGGGCCTCCTGCTGCCGCCGCGCCGCTGGAACACGATTTCTGTTCTCATCCTGAAGCAAAGTTCTTAACCCAAGGTATTATTTCTGGGTTAGTGGAGTCTGTAACCTGAAGCGTATGTAACCTGAAGCATATGTAACCCAAGGTACCACTGTAGATGTATGGGATATTATGCTTAAAACAACCCTTAACTGACTTCTTTTGCAAAGCATTTTGACTACAAAATTGCTTGCATCTGCTGGGATCTTGAATCCACTGTTAAAGCAGATGAATCTCGAGGGGTGTCCAGGCACAGTCTAGTCCTGTTGTGTTGGATGAGTTTCAGCTGGTAAGGCCTGAGGATGCAGAAAAGGTGCCTGGATCAGCTGGAGTGGCCACGTGCTCTGGACCTTCGCCCCGCCTGAGTGATGAAAACTAGCAGGAAAGGGATATCTGGCTGGGCCAGGAAGGTAGGTGATCACTGCTCCTTACGCAAAGGAGTGGTCCTTGCCTGTTTGAAGGAGGCAGTGACAAAGCCACTCAAGAAACCTTCCCTAGATTCTGAAAATCTAACTAACTACCAGCCAGTTGCTATTCTCCCTTTTTGGGGAAAGGTTCTTGAGTGGGTGGTCATGGAACAGATCCAGATGCTCTTGGAGGAAACTGATATTCTAGATCCATTTCAATTGGGCTTTACGCTGAGTTTTGGCACAGAAACTGCTTTGGTCATCCTGTACAATTACCTTTGTTGTTTCTTTTCTCTCAGGCCTTTGGCTATTTACACAATCTATGGGCTATTTTTTGGGGGGGGGGGTATTTGTTTGTTACTATGTTATATACTTTTGACTTTTTATATTGTAAACCACCCTGTGATCCTTGGATGAAGAGCAGTATGGAAATTTAGCTGATAAATAAAATAAATAAGCTAGCTTTTCACACAAACCCTTCCAGAGGGCTTAAAGTTTGCCAAATAAGACGATTTAATGAAGTCACACAGGCCAAAATAGATTTCTGTGTAAAAGTCCTGATAGGATGGGCAGGAAAACTGGTGCAGTCTTCCACCATGACTAACCCTGTCTTTCTCATAGAAAGAGGCAGCTAATCGCAGAAATATACTTCTTAGATAACTGAATGTAGAAAGTCACTTCCTCAGGAATGTCTGTTATCGCCCCAGCTGGAAATAAGGAAGTGGCACCAACTTGCACATTCCGCTTTGTGTATGCTAAAGAATGGAGCAGAGGGGGGAAGAAAACTGGATCACAAAGAATGGGTTTGAAACGCAAACAAAGCTCTCTCCTTCATAGAGAAACAGTTTCTCCTATGGCCTGGCAGCAACTCACTCCCACCTCAAGGTTCAAAACCTCAGTCCCACCTCTCATCATTTAACAAGACCTGCTGCATCTATAGAGCACCCACATCTACCAACACTAGATGGGTTATACCCAGGTGCTAGACTTAAATGAAGACCATAGAGTTGATGCAGACCATGACAAATGGCCATCAGTCATCCAGCAAGCCGGCCAAGCTCTCCATGACTAACCCTTGTTAAGATAAGGAAACGGGGAATATAGTAACACCACCATCACCAAAAGCCTGCTACAGAGCCATTTAAGTTGCTCTGGGGACACAAAGCTTGTACCTTCCATCAAAACTCACAGAATACATTCAGGTAACATCAGTTAGCAACTGAAAGTTCTAGCAAAGCAAGTGGTTGAAACATGAACAGCTATCAGATGATGAGCAAAACTCATTCAAAGTCCCCTAAGCCTGTTACACAGCACCAGTAGCAGACTGAAGATGTTCATGAGCTAACGTGGGGTGGGGTGGGGGGTAAGAAGCAAGGTGTGCATATAAATTGTGTCTTTATAGTCCTATGGGACTGTAAGAGTGGGGAAACAAGGTGGAAAAATTAATGATTGAAACGTGAATATGGGGTTTTGGAATCAAAAACATCTTGCCCAGAGCAGAACCACCCAGGACACATAACTTAGCACTGTTTGGAGTTGAGCTGATAGTAATCGGGGGCGGTTCTGACAGATAGTTCCATTTGAAAGAAGTACTTTGGAAGTCTTGAAGAGCAACGGACTGGCTGTGAAAAGCACCTTTTACACCTTTAATAAATAATAATTTAGTAAACAATAATATCCAGTTTGTAGTTCTACATTTCGCAGAGAACCATCACACTTAGAAAGTGGGCCTTGCTTTGCAGGATCCAAATCTTGAAATGGTAGAAACAAAAACAGTGTGTGAAACAAAGGGTCGCCATGTTTTTCTCAGGAAACTACCTTAGTCTGATCCATGGACCACAGGCTGCAATTCAACAGGAACTCCTCCAGCACACAGGCCCTACTGGAGTAAACGGAAGTAACACAAGGCTCTCCGTGGGCTCCCCCCTCCCTGCTCCCATTCCATTCAGCTCAAAGCAGGTCGTGCAGGAGAAACTCTTGCTGGAGACCGCCATGGTCAGCAAGAGACAAGCTTTAAAGCTACGTGATTTGTTATCAGGACTCAAATGATTTATGGCTCAAGGATTTTTTTTAGAAAGCATGAGGAGCCTCACCAGGCCTGTGCGACTCAAATAGTTTTTCAAACATACAAATAGCTAAGAGGTAGTAATAGGGCTGGTATCTCAACCCACTGGGAAGACTACAAACCAAGCAGCCAAATGACTTCATTGCTCAGTGCCATGTGCTTACAACGGAACACAGAGAAGTGCTAGGTCCAAGAACAAAGGGCCCTGAAAATGCAGTAGTTTCTATGGAAAATCTGCCCTGGAAAGATCTATGGCAATGCGCAGAAATTCACCACAAAATTAGCTGTGACAGATACAGACAGAACAAAACTGCCAACTTGCTTGCCAGAGGAAGAAACTGAGTACTTGGCACATTTCAAGTACTGAACAGCAGTTTGTTGCTCCTACTGTATTGGGAGGGGAGGAGAATGGCAAAATCTAGAAGAGTACAGTGGTACCTCAGTTTAAGAACAGTCCCGTTTATGAACAATTCAGTTTACGAACTCCACTAAACTGGAAGTAGTGTCCTGGTTTGTGAACTTTACCTCGGTCTAAGAATGGTGGAAGGGCACCGGTGGCGGGAGGCCTCATCAGGGAAAGCACGCCTTGGTTTAAGAATGGTTTCGGTTTAAGAACGGACTTCCGGAATGGATTAAGTTCGTAAACTGAGGTACTACTGTATCTAGCTTGCATTCCTTAGAAACCAGAAGCAGCAGAATACCTTTCTGTGTCACTACTTCTGAACCACTGTGACTGCCCTCAGGAATGCCCTCCTCTCTGTCATCCGTGAAGCCCTGAGCTACAAGACTGGCCACTATGGCTGAAATCCTGTTTTTATAGTAACATTGTACAATTTCTTTTTGTGTTGTATGTAAGCTGGGAAAGTACTAACAAGGTTTTGGGAAGGAGGACTCTAGGACCCTGTCAGAATCCTCATGCCTCCTTCCCAAAGCCAGCACCTCACTTACCAGGCTTTGGGAAGGCAACATGGGGGGGCGGGCAAATGAGGCTGAGAGCCACAAAAAAATTCTTCAAGGGCCGCATGTGGCCCTCGGGCCGTGTGTTGGACCACCCTGCTCTGTTAGTTACACTGCCTCTGTAGTTACACTACACAGGCCCTCAGTCAAATATATATTAAGTATATATTAACATGAGGAGGAGGAGCTGAATTTAGAGAAATCACAAAAGAATGGGATGCTACTCATTTCTGATAAATTAACTTGTGCCACAAAACTGTCTACTTAGTAGATGCTGGGGCTGAATTTTGAAGGCTTCACTTCCACATCAAATTCCTTGTGAGCATAAAAGAGAAGGCAAAGAACAAGAAACGTGATAATCCTAGGTTGGTGGCTTGCCCGTTTACTGGCTGGTGGCTTGCCCTATTAGTCACAGCCTCACTCCATGCCACAAAGTCCACAGACCTTAACTTCTACAGTAACCCAACACTTGCAGTTTCTTCCTCACTGCTCTCAGGACAGGAATGACATATTTGGCTGGCAGAGGTTCAGCTGCGTGGAGCAAGCAAGAGATGCCGTTTCTTAATTCTGGTCTTTCCCCAGAAAAACAAATAGTGCAGCTTCCAAAAATGAGGAGGGTTTTTGCTCCCAAGCTTCAGATTTGCACGCCAAGTTTCAAACTAAAACCAACATTTTCATAGGCAAGTTTTATGAGTGAAAGTGCTGATAGTCCCTCAACAGAAGAAAACAGTAGTAATGTACTTCTGTTAGCACTCCTCTCCCCCACCCCAGCCACTGGAAGAGCCTCAAGGGATGCCTGCGAAGGCTTCTGGTGTCAGCACATGCAAGTAAGTTCAAAAAGGGATCTTCCTGGAGGAATTAGGAACAGGAAAGGTTGAGGGGAAGGGCCCAAGGTTTCATACAGACTATACAGATGCAAACTATAGGCATATTCCCCGGCAACTGCAGGTTTCTTGATTTCTCAGTTGTGCAGTAAGATGAAACACCATATCCCTCAGAGATGACACAACCGAATGCCCAGAAGGAACATTGAAGGGCAGGAAAGACCAACCATGGGTGCAACATATGGTGGGGGCTTTTATTCTGCACATGCAATGGTTTGCACACTGTTCCTGTGAAAATGCTAGCTTTTGAGAAGAGGCAACAGAAACCACAGCAGGAGAGAAGCAAGATTAAGTTTCATGCAAAGAGGAGAGAATATCCCATATTCTCACAAAAAGACAAAAAAGCCAGAAATAAAGGATGTAAGTGCATCATTAGGTTTTTTAGTTGCCATTTCCCCCCTTAAAGGAACATGTTTTGCAATCAGTGGTAAGGATTGCATGAAATTCCTTGCAGCAGGGGGTGGAGACCACCAGACCATTCTGGCCAAGTCCCGCCCATCTGCCCTAGATTATACAGGCAGCTTCCCCACTTTCCAAGCCCCCACATGCATAAGCGAAATGCACATGTGGGGAGCACCCTCTAAACAGCTGTTTTACCTATTCAGAAGCATAGATCACAAGGGTAATCTAAGGGGCAGCGCAGACCCCCTTCCTCCTCCCCTCAATCTCGCCAGAAAGGGCAGGGAAGCTGCACAGATGAGCCCACTGCCAGGAACGGCCTTCTGCCCATCAGCTGTTGAGTGGAGCAGCACAGCAGCAGAGAGAGCTCCCACAGGCCATTCTGAGGGGCAGGGCCACAGCTTGTAAGCTTTTTATAATGGAAAACCTTTTTGCTATCAGCTTCAGAAGCAGAAGGGACTTTCCTCCAGAAGAGTATCCACAAGCTTCATGACCCCAAAGAGACTGAATTCTCTGAATATTAGTTGCTGGGGGCAACAATGGGATGGCCGCTGCCTTCATGTGCTGGTTGTGGACTTCTCAGAACCACCTGGGTGGTCAGTTTCAGAATTTCTGGTCCTCTGGGGCTCTTTTTCATTGTTCTTAGTCAAGAAATATGTTTAGCTCCTTCGAGAATTAGGCCTTAAACATAAGAAAAGCCCTGCTGGATCAAACCAAAAAGCCCAACTAGTCCAGGACACTGCTTCTGTCACTGGCCATCCTGGTGCTTCTGCGAAGCCCTCAAAAAAATATGTGAAGGCAACAGCCAACTTGTTGCTCCCCAGGAACTGATTTCAGCCACTGATGTTCAGCAGAAGCCACAGAACCCCAGTTGCTGGGGGCTCTCTACTCTCGCTTGCTGTTCTAACAGCGGCCATGCAGATCCTGCCTACAAGCAGGACATACCATGGCAGCATGCAGATAACAGCTCCTACATGCTGAATGCTTCCCCATGCAAACCAGCTCCCCCAACACAGAAATTTAAACACTCTTCTGACATCCTTAGTGAAGGAAATTATCTTCTGTAGAAATATCTTTAAACAATCTGAAGTGATGTGGTCCAAAAACTTCAGCTGCTATTTCTCTGAACTAGAACTCCAGACATAAAGTACTTCTGCTTTTCAATCTGCCTCTGACACCTTTTCCAGCATCATTGCCGAACGAGAGCTCCAAATGATTGCCGTTACACACACTCACTAAAAGAAGTTGGTCCCTTAAAGAAAAGACTGCGTGGCTGAAAGGAAAAACACAAGGAACTTCCCAGTTTTATTCACAACATCTGGCTTAACAGGAAAATTAGTTAAAGCCTTTAACTCAAGCTGCCAAATATTCCCAAGGAATTACACAGCACCACCCTCTCCCAAAGTTTCATCTTGTTCGTAAAAGATCATGGCCAAAATGAAGAAGGTTCATCTGATGAAGAGCCCCACTCTGCTGAAAGCCCAGCTCACACTGCCACATGTCTGGTCTCAGCAGGGCCACTCACTGCCCTCTGCCAAGGAGAAAGCAGGGAGCAGGAGAACAGGGCTGCTCTCAGGCACGCACAATCCCACTTCAGGTTGCAGTCTGGCTTTTGCTGGTGCCTAGATACAGTAGCCACGGGCTTCAAGTCTCCACAAATATCATGCGAGTGGTGCTGTGGTCTAAACCACTGAGCCTCTTGGGCTTGCTGATCAGAAGGTTGGAGGTTCGAATCCACGCAATGGGGTGAGCTCCCGTTGCTCTGTCCCAGCTCCTGCCAACCTAGCAGTTCTAAAGCACGTCAAAGTGCAAGTAGTTAAATAGGTACCGCTGCAGTGGGAAGGGAAATGGCGTTTCCGTGCGCTGCTCTGGCTTCCGTCACGGTGTTCCCCTGCGCCAGAAGCGGTTTAGTCATGCTGGCCACATGACTCGGAAAGCTGTCTATGGACAAACGCTGGCTCCCTAGGCCTAAAAGCGAGGTGAGCGCCGCAACCCCAGAGTCACCTTTGACTGAACTTAACCATCCAGGGGTCCTTTACCTCCTACACCTGAATTCTGATTCCCTGCGGGAAAGAGGGGGCTCTGAGCAATGCTTGAAGATCTACTTCCTCATATTCACTTTTTAACCTAAGGTTGCTTTTTAAAAATAAAAGTGCAGACTTCTCAAGTACTCTGCAATAAAAAAGCAATTTATTGATCATGTGAAGCCAAACTGCTGCACTTTCTGCCATCCCAGGCATTTGGCACATCCTTCCCCTTCCTTGCCGTAAAGGGAAGAGGTGCTTTAACAGCACTGGTTTCCCCCCTGCTTTTTAATTCCATGCATAGCACATTACAGCCAGGGCTGTCAAGAACTGCACATGGTATGTCTCCCCAGGTAACCGTACGAGAATTATTTAAACCTCCCACTCACTTGCACACTCAGAAATCGAGAGAGAGAGAAGCTGCCAGGTAGAATTCCGCTGGCACATGCACGAGCGATACAAAAACCCGGCAGCAAAGAGTTAAGCCGCCCTTTCCACTTGACTCAAAGCTGCTTCTCCCTTTTTTGCAGAAGAGCTCCTATCCCATCCTTCTTCCAGGCTCACAGTGGCCAATCAAAGCAAAGGGTGGAAATTATTCAGCCTGCCTCCCAACCCAAAGAGCTGTAATGGCCATATATGGTAAAAACCACTGTCGAGCCCTGCACTGACAGCTGTGGAAATGCTGCTGCTGCTGCAGGAGGAGGCAGGGCTGCAGAGAGAGAGAGAGAGAGAGAGAGAGATGCAAAGAGCAGGCAGCTCGGCTTCCTCCATCTCTCTCTCTCTCTGCCCCCCCCCCCAAATGAGAGTTAGGCACTCGTCTGCCCTGCCAGCATCAGGGCCACAAAGCACATAAGAAAACACCCACACAGTAAATTGTGGCGGCTTCTACACCAGGACTCTGATCATAGCTATTATTCCTGCTAGAAGAATATGGCAAAAGCTTTCATAGGAAGAAAAAGAGAGGCTACAGAATGAGGCTGGAAGAAGAGGACAGTTGCCGGATGCTGCTGGCACGGCTGGCTCTCCCCAGCCCAGTTCATGCAAGAAATGTTACAGGGAGGCCTGTGCCCGCCCTGCTGGGAGGCAGCAGCCTGTTGGGAGGTAGGTTCTCCACAAAGCAGCTCCCCAAAATCTCACATGGCCTTAACAGACCCTTTGAATGCCACTGAAAGGCACCATATCTGCTTCAGACAGCAACAGCCATCTAAAGACCAGCAGGGCTTCAACATTAAAACACATGTGGCTTTAAGAGTATCCACACAGAGGAAGGAAGGAAGCCTGTCCGGCTGAGACTGGAACAGATAAATTCAAGAAGACTAGGGGTGCTTGAAATTCTATTGTCTCTTCTGAGGCGCAGTGCAAGCAAGCCCTTGCTGCAAGGAAGGCATATTAAGTGCTGTTTGACAGCTTCACTTATCACAAGTAAGGAAATCTAACAGAACTGCACAGGAATGGGATTTCACAATATTCATACAGGTTCTGGGTTAGTTTTTTATTATACTGAAAACCCTCTGGTACTTAGCTTATCTAACAGATACCCTGAATTATCAACTATTCCTTCTGTTTCAAATTTTCAGTCTGCAAGGGTCTGCAACCAAAGCAACAATGTCCATGCACAACAGAGATACATCAACATGCTTGGGAGAACCCTCAAGGTTTGTGAAAGTACCCCCCCCCAAAAAAAACCCTACAGGAAAAACCCTAACGGAAGAGACCCAAAAACAATCCAATGAGGACTGAGTATGTTCAGTGGGAACAAAATGTTGAATGTTGCTAGGAAACATAAAGAGTGACCAAATAGTACTTCATGCTGCAACATTTTATTGCAGTCCTTGACTTACCTGAGACTGCAGAACTGAAGGGAAGCAAACACACATACTGGGTTCAGAGGAACAAGGGCCATAGGAGGTTGTGCTCCCTGCCTCCCAGGAAGATCATCATGTCAAGGGGCAGATCAGTCTCATCCCATTGGTCAGGGAATGAGCAGCTGTGGGGAGACTGTTTTCCTGCCTAAAAAGGCCACATTGATCCAACTATCAGCTGCGCTGGGACAGGGCTTTTTTGAAATCTGTGGTAAGTTGCCCTGAAAATAAGTCAACCAGAAGGCAGAACACAAATATTCAAAATAAACCATCAGGGCCTTTGGCCTCCTAGCCCCCTACAAAAATACTAATTCATTTTAGCCCAGGTTCTGAATTCTGAGTCTACATACAAGAAGCAAGATCCCTGACTGCAAAGTCTATGTATGGACATTCCAAATGACCGCAGCTCAGTGGCGGATGATGTGTTCAATCCCCAGCAGCTCCCCATACGGTGGGAGAAGCCCTGCCTGAACCCTGGACAACACACTGTCAGTGTAAACAAAAGAAAGTTAGATAAACCAATGGTCCAACTCAGTATAAGGAAGCTCCTGATGTTTCTATTATGTTCATTCAACCATCTGAACTTGCAATAAGTCAGTAGGTGGAGCCTGCTAGCAGGGTCCCACTCCTACACACACGTTCGCTTTATAACTGTGGAAGCAGTTTTTCCATTTTGTATGTCGTCACATTTCTATTTAAAAAAAGAATTAAAGCAATTTCAAATACAATGTGCCAAGGATGGGAGCTGTTAGTTTGGAGAGAGAGAGAGGCCTCTAAGCTAGCAAGCTACTTGTTCTTCTCCTGAATTAGACTGGTGCTTGTTAAGATACAAAATGACTATAATGAATGCGTTGCCAACAACACCAAATTCTAGCAGTCACGTGACCTATGTTTCTATCTACTGGACTTTTCGTATTCTGAAGGAAAAATAAAATATTGTAATAACTGGGCAGAGTAAGCTACAGGACCACGTTTAAACTATTGTTTAAAATACCACTTACCTTGTGTAGAGGAAGAACCAGGAATGCACCGCCACCGCTAGCCTCTATTATTATTGCAACGAAGTTGGGATTTACTGCACAAAAAGAACTGTCCCACGTCACCCGAGAAACTCTAATGTCATCGTAACACTGGTCGTTTTTCACTGCTTGACCAAAGACGTGCCGAAACTTGCTCTGTCGTACCACTCGTCTCATTGTTTCTGCAGAAGAAGAAAATTCAGCATGGGTTACTGTTTCTCTGATTCCTCCAGTTAGGGTGCTTCCAGATGAAGGTTTAATATCGCAATTGGGTTGTTGGCAACATTTTTTAAAAAATAAAAATACATCAGATTATCCCTTTCTGGATTAAGTAGGGAAAATATACATACTGAAATGTTGACATTGTGTGGACAGAGAAAAAACAACGCCTTGCACACATGAGGAGCACCAATAAACACCCGTCTGGAAGGACCCTGGAACAGCCGAGGTAACTCCTTTGCTCCACTGACAAGATAATTTGCAATGGTTTGGTATGGTTTCAAATTGGATGGAGGACCGTGTGTTGAGATTCCTGCATCACAGCAGGTTGGACGGATGACCCTTGGGATCCCTTCCAACTCCACAATTCTGTGCTTCCAAATACCTAATTTTGAGCTCTGGAACAGTGCCAGCTAACTCATAATCCAGATCAACTATTTTGTTTAAATACTGTTGTTTGGTTCTCTGAGTTCACTGTAGTTTATTGAATGGTTTGTTGTAATTGGGAGCCTATTATTCAGCTATTCAAGCAGAATATAAATTTACTGAGTACACACCCAAGCTTAACAGGGCTACTGTGGAGTAAGCACATTGATGCTTGCACCCTTCCTTTGTCTTCATTATGTTTCAGAATAGGAACCTTTCCCAAAAACATTGCAGTAACACTAGAAATATGCCAAAACTCAGAAGAAGGAAAGAACAAATATCCATGATTGCATGTGGGGGAGGACATCCAATTTAGTCAACATGACTGGCAACAATCTCATAAGAATCAAGAACGCTGCCAAAAACGATACTCTCCAAAGTCACCACCTAAGACTACATTTGGACATTTGACCAGACCAACAAACAAACCAACTCCATGCAAAACAAACCATGATCAATTGTCTCATCAAATATTGTCCAGTGTTGGTTGAGTACATAAAAAGCTTTATCTTTATCAGAACAATAAAAATAGAATTATCAGCAGGTATGATACTTATGCTAATTACAATTATAAATTAGCTAACTTATTGTGATGCAACAGAAGCAAAACATTTAACTGAATTATTTTAACTCAATGTTAGGTAAGGTTCTCTGATTAGCCATGGCATTGTGGCTACATAGAATATCTGACCACCGACAAACAACCGGTCATACTATTTGACATGTCAAATGACCTCAGCACCAGCCCTGCTGAAAACTACTGGGAACATCTTCCCCCTGATTAGGATTTCACAAAATTCCAAGCAAGAACTAAAAAAGTGCTTAAGCGCAAGGTCCTTGACAGAAACCTCTGGTTACCAAACCATCAAATCAAATGCTGCCTCCTCCCACGCCACGTAAGGTGTGGGCCATTACACACAAATCTGCCTGAAAATAAGGATTAGGGAAGTGTTCTTGACACACACAGATCCCCATTTTTAAAAAAAACACAAAAAACCCCTTAATTGCTTGTGTGATTGAACCTAAACAAAGATACCGTATTTTTCACCCTATAGAACGCACCGTCCCATAAGGCGCACCTAGTTTTTTTTGGGGGGGGGAAATAAAGGGAAAAAAATTATTTCCCCCCCAGGCGCGGGGCTGGGGCGGGGGAAGCCCGAGCTTCCCCCGACCCCAGCCCCCAAACAGGCAGCTCTCTGCAAGCCGTGGGAGCCCAGCGCTGGCTCCCGCTGCTTGCAGAGAGGTCCGCGAAGCCTAGACGCGCTGAGCTCAGCGAGCGCAGGCTTCAGCATGCAGGCAACTCTCCGCAAGCAGCGGGAGCCCAGCGCTGGGCTCCCGCTGCTTGCGGAGAGGTGTGCGAAGCCTGCATTCGCCCCATAGGACGCACACACATTTCCCCTTCATTTTTGGAGGGGAAAAAGTGCGTCCTATAGGGCAAAAAATACGGTAATCTGTTTTTGGTAAATTTGTGAGTGAAGTTAATGGCCTGTACATCTACAGTTAAGAATGTGAATCAACTAAGCAAAACATAGAAATACTAAATTGCAAAAGCTCATCTGTAGTGCACGCTGCATTATAAACAAGAGAAAATGCTTTAGAGTTCTATCAGCTTCCAGCAAAATCTCAACATTTTTGTTAGTGTTCTAAAAATGCAGCCACGATTTCTGAAGCACCCAGGTTTCTGAGAGGTGCTCTGCCTTATAGCTTGCTTTGTTCCAAGTCAGACATCTTTATACGCAGCGTGTTGATACTACACACAGAGACTGTAACATTAACCCTGAAACAATAAAACTTGTTAAAGCTACCAGGCCAACTACAACGGAGGCAATTCTCCAAAGCACCTGAAACTTACTAAAGCCCTGTCCTAGGGCTAGGAGGAGGACTGCCCAACCCTTTCTGCAGAGACTGGTAACAAGGAGCCAATCATGGAGTGTGTCTCAGGTACAGTTGGTCCACCTGGGAACAGGCTACCAGCTGGTTCCACACAGACCAAACAGCTGCCAAATTGTAAGGACAAACATTTAGTAGTGACCTGAATGGAGTTCAAGACAGCGATCCAAAGGTGAAAGATTCCATCTATCTTAATCCAAGAGTCTTAGGCAACTCCGTGGTGACATGTTTTTTAAAAAATTACATTAGTGGGAATTTTATACTTTTACAAACAGCAGAGCAGATGGCTCATTAGCACACACACAAAAAACCTTTTATCAACAGCAAAACTACTTGTGGGGGGGAAACGATGGCAAACCAGGAACCAACTACTGCATTCAATATCTGTGTTTATGTGCCTGACATTTTCTTCCTCAGGCATCACCTTGTTATGGTTTAAATAAGAGTAATGAAACACCGAGTCTTCGGAATTGCTTTCCTTGGAGGTTTTCAGAAAGACAGACTGGCCATCACAATAAACCAGGGTGAAGAGTCTGCCTTCAGTGTGCAGATGGCTCCTCCGCTAACGGGAGCAACAAATCACAAACCATGACTGATAAGCCAAAAGCAAGCTTTGGGTTGCTATCTGGAGCAAAACAAACCCTTGTTCTTGGTTCGAATGTAACGCTAGGCCAGGGACCCTGGCTTGTTGTTCCTATGAAAGGAGCAACAAAGTGGGAACCATCTGCATGTTCACAGCAAACCATCTATGTAAATATGTAAATTCAGTCACTGTCAAGTATTTCTTAACGGTGTTAGAAACTCAGATACATAACCTAATTGCCAAAAGGCACCTGAAACCAAGGTTATGTAGCCACAATTGAATGTCTAAGTGCCATTCTCACCCCCCACCCAATGAAATGTGTTGTTGTTGTTATTAATTTAATTTCTATACCACTTTATATTTTAAAGAAAAAATCTTAAAGTGGTTTATAACACATGAAAACATCAAATAAAACAATTCAGAACAAAACAAATTCAATCTTCAAGGAAAGTATTTCAGATCCTTCTCCAAGTAACATTTTGCTTTCCCCATACTTATTTACCCGCTTAATTTAGCTCATACTACAGCAGAAATACTCTAGGAAGCCAATGGGGTGTAGTGGTTAGTGTGTCAGATTATGACCTGGAAGATGAGGGTTCAAATCCCCACTCAAGTCATGAAGCTCCCTTGGTGACCTTGGGCCAGCCACAGCCTCTTAACCTACCTCAATCAATGGGTTGCTGGAGGGGTTAATTGAGAAGGGGAGTGAACCATGGACAAAAAAGTGGGACATAAATGCAATAAATAAACACTTCTGCTCACCTGCTTAAGAAGGCTGGAGGAGTCGGCCAGATAGAGATGTCAGTTGCTAACCTGGCATACAGAGATCTCCATGTGGTGGCAATTGGGCCTGCAAAACGCCAGTTGCAAAACGCACCTGGCGAATTTCAAACACTGCTTAGGGATGCATGTCTGAAGTTCAGACCATCCTGTCATAAGGCAAAAAATCAATGGGCACATTAACAGCACAGACCTCTCCTCTTCATGCACCGAGCTTTGCAAAGTGTGAAGAGTAGATGTCCCTGCTTTAAGCAACCAATACTGTAAAGGAGGCAAGAAAGTGAAGAGAGGGGACAAACTGGGGAAGAACAGGCATTTATTTCAGTTGCACCTACTTATGCTTGGTTGCTGTGGGATATGAGGTGTCACTGCACTCTGCAAGTGAGGGCCTCCTTGCAGACACCACCTTAGCAGGAGGTTCCACACAATGCCCTTTTGGAATTCCCTTCCCTTGAAAGACCTTCCTCTTTCAACAAACCTTTAAACTGAAATCTTTCTCGGCCTGTATCTGAACTGGACTTGGATTTTTTAGAAAATTGTTTTATCACTTGTTTGTTACACTAGGTGCCTTTGGGAGGGTGAGATATAAATTTGATTAGTAAGCCAATTAAAGAAGGGGTTCTGTCGAAGTCTCTTTGGAAAAGGTGGGTTTTGAAGAGGCATTTAGAGGAATAACAGTTATTCCCACTACCAACTGAATGTTAGCATGTTGTGTGGGAGGGGGCCAGACATCACAAGCAGAATTCTCAACACGGTGACTCAACACTCACAATTCCCACAACTCTCTGGAGAAGGAACAAAGGGAGCCATGGTAGTCAAACCAGTTTAAAACCAATAGAACTTTGCACTGTAGATATATGCTCAGATTAGATCCTTTCTATGGTCTTGGGCTGATGATTACTAACATCTATAATTCATTCAGAATCATTTACCGTACTTGGGACTCTCTCATTTAAAGGTATGTGGGAGGCTAATAGTAGAATCCCACACATGTCTAGTAGTCAGAAGCATAGACACTGCTGAAAACAATCAGATTTGCTGCTGACTAACAGACAAGTCTTTAGTTCATTTCTCCCATGGCTCAATGTTGAAAAATTCATCTTGGGACGCAACTTGCCTCCCGTGTTCGAAATTTGTCAGGCGCATTTTGCACCTGGATATCGGCCACTTGCTACCAAGTGAAGATGCCTGGGTGCCGGGATGGTGTCTGACACCTCTACCATCTGGAGATGCATGCCTGGAGATCTTTGGATCTTGACTGTTTTCACACACTAGCAACACATCCTGTAGAATTCTATCCATTATATTTTATCTGAACAATCAGAATAACCAAAAAGTCATATTGAAAAGACAGACTTTTGAGCCATCTCTCCCAAATTAAAATCTAGGAAGAATCCTAGTCTATGCTCTCCAAGCTACTCAACCAGTGGAATAAAGGATGAGAAATGGAAACAGCGCTATCCAGCCCTGTGGTGTTGCAATGGCAAAGCACAATGGCTCTCCTACTTCCCACTCAGCTACACACTCACTTGACAGATACTGCGCCCTTGCAGGAACACCCTTCTTGCTCTGGCTGCCTGGTTTGTGGTGACTCATTTATGCAGGCATTTTGTCATCATGATAAGATAGGCAAGGCAAGACCTGTACTTGGGCCAGTACATTTTCATAACAGCTTTGAAAGAACATCCACTGGTTAGATTTCCTCCCACAAGGCTTGCCAAAAGCTATATAAATCTGATGTTTTACAACAAGCAAGTCAGAAATGAAGCTGTCTCACGCAAGCAACGCTAAACCTGCACACCAAAACTATATTTACAGTCACTGCACAAGGAGGAAGTGAGCGAAAGTTGGCCAGAATCTCTAATACCTCAGTAAATAGGAAAACCAAGGTGTACTAATGCCCTGGGTAAGAAGGCTATATCATCTTACCTCAAAAAGGACCTTTCAAAAATCACACATTCATACATGACCTTTTTAGTTGTAGGTACAACCTTCTTATATGTGAATATGTCAGACTACAATTTTTCAATTGATTAAATGCCACCTGCCCATGTTTCCACCCGCCCCCCTCCCAAAAAACCCCTAGTAATCTTAAAATAGCTGAGGAAGTGTCATTTCTAATAATGGGGAGAAAATTTACAAAATGACTATTTTCCTTTACACACACACACACACACACACACACACACCCCTACACACCCTTTTCTCCCTTGGTTTTCCTGTTATGAAGCCACAGCACGCTCAACAGAAACTGTGCAAGATGAACACACACATGCTCAACAGCCTCTACAAGCCTTCCTTTCCATAGCCAAGGGAGCGATTCTTGGCTCTGAATCACAGTCATGTTGATTTGGCTCCCTTTCAAAACAAAGGAGGTGTATGAGAAGTACAGAGCAGCAGACAGAAGAAACATGCAGATTCCAGTTATGAGAAGAACAAATGATGGATCCCCTGAAATGCATCCAATAAAGTTCAGATGAAAAATTAAACAAAGGTTACCTAGTGTCTGAAAGCAAGAGGGGTTTTGCTGCCTCCATTTTAAGCCCTGAAGACAATTTTTCTAACCTAATTAGGTTTTTCATGTTGCGAAACATATGCCCTCCCCCATTATGACAGAGGGAGGGGTGTGTGAAGAGCCAGCTGACTTCCCAAGTGCCACTGGCATCAAGGCTGGTTCATAGTTATCAAGATGCAATGGTTCCATGGGCTACAGAGGGTGGGGTATTGAGAGAAAAGGGAGAGGAGGAAGCAGATGGGAGAAATTGTAAAGGCACTTCCTATTTGGAACAAGGAGTTTTGTCCCTGGCAAATAACAACACTAGTCCACAAGCTGGCTAATGTTTCCTTAACTATATTCAGTAAGAAGATGAAAGGAATTCCAAGTGCTTTTGTTCATAAATACTGCATTTTATATAGCATAAACTAAAAAGAGATACAAAGCAAACACTTTTCATTGCACCATTTGCTGGGGCAATAAGACACAAAATTCTTTATCAGGGAGCATCCACACAAGTTGTGATCCCCTTTCACAACAGTAGGCACTGAATGATCCTAAATCCTTATTCTTCATTCTGCCTTAGCTGAGAAATCAATTCCCTCCCTGAATTCACATCTGGTTGCAAGTTAACACTGTGATAGACATCTCCTCAACTTCCAAAGGATGTCAGACTTTGACCTGATGAACTGACCCACAGCTTGTGATTGTCAGGAAACAGCCAATTGTCAATAAAGTCCCACCTGGGTCCCCAAAACAGGAGATCAGAAGACTCTTTGTAAGTAGAACTATTAGAATAGCTAAAGGTAAAGGTAAAGGTACCCCTGACCGTTAGATCCAGTCGCAGACGACTCTGGGGTTGCACGCTCATCTCGCTCTATAGGCCGAGGGAGCCTACATCCGCAGACAGCTTCTGGGTCATGTGCCCAGCATGACTAAACCGCTTCTGGTGAACCACAGCAGCACACGGAAACGCCGTTTACCTTCCGCTGGAGAGGTACCTATTTATCTATTTGCACTTTGACGTGCTTTTGAACTGCTAGGTGGGCAGGAGCTGGGAGCAAACAATGGGAGCTCACCCTGTCGCGGGGATTCGAACCGTCGACCTTCTGATCAACAAGCTCTAGGCTCTGTGGTTTAGACCACAGCACCACCCGCATTTGAACTAAAAGGTTTTGTTATTGTTGTTTTCCTGATGCAACGTTCTGCCTCTTACCTTTTAAAATTCTTTAAAAAAACTGGCTATCCCCAGAGTGCGGCAGGTAGGCTAGGTGCTCTCTCTGTCTCCCCTACTGGATACCTGCCTTGAACCACTACTAATCTCTCCTGTCAGGGGGTAGAAGGTGCTAAGGTGGTGTGGTGGAAACCTACGACCAGCCTACCTTGAGAGGTAATTGTGGGAGGAAAGGAGTAAAAAGGTTCTTTACCTCTCCTTCTGTTCCACTTCAACTCCCATCATTCCTAACCATTCCTAGCTTGACAATCAGCTTTCCAACCAAAGCAGGTTTTACATTCACATGAAACTCACTTTAATTCTCTTTTATCTTTTGCTGGCAGGAGGCCCAGAGTTCAGGTATTTCACCATGGTTTGGAGGATCAGGAATGTGCCATGGAAACCACTCCTTTTGGATTGTACTAACCAAACTCTTCTTTCAAATAGCCTCCATACCATTATTTAAAGTGGGTTTGAAAACCATGATTTGGAGATTAAAGCTAATCACAGTTTGCCCAATTCAGACATCGCGGCAACCTGGAAATGGAGGAAGGCGGCCGTGCATGAGAGCAGAGGGGAGCGCATGCAGGCCTGCAGCATTCTCTTGGTCCTCCAAATTATGGCTTGGAGGACTGTCTAATCTGAACATATAGGTTGTAGTGTTGTTTTCATTTGTCACAAAAATGGATTGAAAGTTGGCACATTTCCCCGTTTTTAAGAACTGTCTAAAGAGGAAAGCAGATGTACTTCTGAAGCTTGGAGGAGTTTCAACCTGCTTATGCAAGAGGAAATACATCCTGCTAGGGAACACTTACAGGAAAAGCCACTACAGGAGCAAAAATCCTGCTTTGCCTCTGAAAAGGGAGATGTTTACACAGGGCCAGAGATAAACGAAAAACTCAAAATCTGTATTTCGCTTTGAATGATGATTTGGACAATCCAAATTACAGATCAGCTTGGCAAAGGAAAGCATTACTTTGCCACATCATCCCAGTGCCTGCAGGCCTTTTCCTTCTTGCATTCTAAGGTCCTGCATTGCACTTTGGCCATCAGGGTATTTATTCCTGATTCCCTGTGGATGTGCACTGAACTCCCAGGAAGCACCTTGCTCCCTTAATACCATATTATGGGTTATCTGTCCATTCAGTGTGTTAAAAGGAGCACCTGGATTTTTTGTCAGGCTAAAATGTTAGGAGGAGGATGTGATATAATATTAGAAAAATTAAACTCACCCAAAAGGAAGTCTGGTATGTTCTGCTGCAGCAGCATCCACACACCACTTCCAAATATAAAAATAAGGACACAGTTTCTAGGTTCATCTGTTACATCAATCCTTGCTATTAGGATAAAACAATCTAACATAAGATAACGACATAGGAAACTGCCTTATACGGAGTCAGATTCCTTGGCCTATCACAATCAGCACTGTCTACACCAGGGGTCAGCAAACTTTTTCATCAGGGGGCCGGTCCACTGTCCCTCAGAACCTTTGGGGGACCGGACTATTTTTGATTAATATAAATGCCCTGCAAGCTGGTCCTGCAGCTGCCTCTGGACCTGGAGGAGGAATGCACTCTGCACGCGCTCAGGAGCGCGTCTTGGCAGTGCCCGCTCACCGGCGTTGTTGACAAGCAGCAGCTGCTCCATTGGCCCGTCCCCGCGGAGCTTCCACGTGGCGTGCACCACGCACTGCGGCCCGCCGTCTGAGGCCAGGTCAGCAGGCAGGCTGTGAATGTGAAGGGCCGGCCAGGAGGCGCACAGCTCACCCTCCAACTGCTCCAGCGCAGCCGAGCACGCCACCAGCAGCAGCGCCGAGCCAGGCGCCAGGCGTGGGGCCAGGAGGCGCGCCAGGCTCCGGCTGAAGCCCCACGACACGCCCATCACGATGCCCATGGCATGGCCCAGACCCGCCCCCCGCCCACTTCGTCCATGGCTGCGCTGGGTTTACCTCAGCATGTGGCGAGGCTTCAGACTGCTTGCAGGAACTTCCTGCAGCCAATCCAAAGCCGCAGCAGCGTTGCCGCCCACCCAGAAGCCACGCCAGCGTCGCGGAAGTCAGTCCCTGAGCGGCGAGGCATCCACAGTGTGCGGGGACTGACCGAGCAGGCGGCAGGGTCCATGGGCCAGATTTATGAGCCTGGGGGGACGCATCCGGCCCCTGGGCCATAGTTTGCCGACTCCTGGTCTACACGGAGCAAGGGAACAGCTCTTGCCAGGATTTTGAGACAGGTTTCTCTCCCAGTCTACCTAGATGCCAGAGATTGGACCTGGGACCTTCCCCACACAAAGTAAATGCTTTGCCACTGAGTTGTGGTCCGTCTTCTGTGGTGCAAAGATTATACTTCATGATCCTTTACACTACTTTTCTTTTTCTGTTGAGTGTCTTTAAATGTGGGTGGGTTAAGCTAGTCATTTCCAAGCTGTATTCCAGGGAACCCGGGGTGCCTCACAGATTAAGATTAAGATCAGCAGTGCTCAATAAATTTTCCTGAAGGACCCTTTGCCTGCAACTACCAATCTTACCATGCTGCAAACAATCATATCTCAATACAAGCAGAAGAGCGGCAAAGCGTAAGAGACCTGAAACAAGCCACTCCGGAACGGAGTTGTGTGCCACAGAACTGTCTGCAATGTGCAAGGGTTCCTGAGTGAACAAGTTTATGTGGAAAGGGTTCTCTTAGGGGCTTGGAAGTATCAAAATCACTGGGGCTAAAGCCATGCTCCAACTCACCAGCACTTATTGACTGGGGGGCTGCCTAGCTTAAGATAGGCACAGCTGACCCATGAGAAACAATGATCTCTCCCACCAATGGAGGCAGCCTGTAGTACTTGTACCTTATGCCAATCAGGTGGAGCTTATCACTCGTAGCTGCTGCCTCCTGTGTTGTTTTTGCTGTGTTAGCAGCACCAAACTGACTTCCCCAGGGTGCAAGCCTGGGCAGCGTGTCTGGAGGGTCTGGGCTGCCCTGAGATTCAGAAGCAGAGATTGCTTAAGAAAAAGAAAGGGCTACTTAAAGCACAAAGGACACAATGACTTGTTATTTTTTTAAAACAGCAGCTGGCAGTGCAGGAAGCAGAAAGCTTCAGGATTAGAATTCTGATCCCATTTTCTGCAGCAGGAACTCAACAGAAGAATCAGGTCAGAACCCAGCCCAAGCAGCCCACACACGACCCAATCACAATCCTGCCGGGGGGGGGGGTATTCCCATAATTCAAGGCAGGAGATAGGTATGCAAATGATAAGCCTTTTCTGCATGTTTTCCTTTTGAGGTAACCTAATTTTCTTTACTAGTGCAACAAGATTAACAAGGCAGAAACATCCATTTCAGTTTCTCACTGGCTTTTCTTAGCTATTTCAATGCCATTTCACAAGCCACTTTTATTATTATTATTATTATTATTATTATTATTATTATTCGTAAGCCAAATTTATTTTTAAACCACCACAACATAGTATTTTATTGCTTCCCAGCCTTCCCCAACCTTATGCCCTCCAGATGTTCTGGAATACAATTGCCACCGGTCCCAGCTGGAGTCCAAACATCTGGAGGGCACCAGGTTGGGGAAGGATTGACTACCCTATTTGTTCATGAGATTCATTAGAAACATTTCAGAAGACAGCAGGTATGGAAGACTATTTTCTGCCCTTGCAAATCCAGTCTGTTAAGGCAAAGTGTTAACATTTCATCATTTCGACATTAGTCATTAGCAGATGTAAGTTGGTAAATAGCCTTTCTTCAAAAGCAACACATTTCAGTAAACATATTGCCCCACCCCCATATATGGATACCAAAACTTACCGTATTTTTTGCACCATAACACTCACTTTTTCCCTCCTAGAAAGTAAGGGGAAATGTCTGTGCGTGTTACGGAGCGAATGCCTATGGGTGGCGGGGGGGATCTGCTGCAGTCGTGAGCAGAGGATCCATGGTTCCTCTTCCTTGCCTCCTCCGTGGCTCGCTTTGAAACAGCAAAGCGGGAGAAGAGCCGCTGAGTGGGGAGGAGAGAGGGACAGAGAGCCTCCTTGCTTTAAAGGAGCAAAGCGGGAGAGGAGAGGAGCCTTCTCCCCTTATACCCCTCTTCTTCATTATTAGCAGTATCCTTCTCCACACACCCCACGCGTGTTCCTTCTCCCCTTAAACCCCTCTTCTGCATTATTAACAGCATCCTTCTCCACCCACCCCACGCGTGTCCCTTGTCCCTTGAGTGCTTTTCCTTCCCTCCCCACTTAAAACGTGGTTACAAAGCACAGATCCACATGGATCCTCAGGATTTTTGTACTGGGTCACCCCAAATTCACCATCAGATCACATAGCATGTCCAATGGCTACAGCTTGCACCAAAAAAACACGCACCCACTGTTGCCTGGGGCCGCAGTGGTGCAAAAATGTGGTTACAAAGCATGGATCCACATGGATCCTCAGGATTTTTGCATTGGGCTACCCCAAACTCACCGTCAGATCACATGTCTGTGGCCACAGCATGAACCACAAAAATCATATATCCGCTGTTTCGTTTAGAATATTTTTTTTATTGTTTTCCTCCTCTAAAAACTATGTGCGTGTTATGGTCGGGTGCGTGTTATAGAGCGAAAAATACGGTAATCAACATCAGTTCCTACTGCTACTGAATGAGAACAAGTCCCCAAGGAGAGGGGAGCAGCTAGCTGCGTATTCTGATGCCAGAGTTGAACATGGAAAGAGAAGCACACTCTGGATACAAACAAGCATTTCTAAGTGTGAGGGAGTCTTTCCTTAAGTGCCTGAATTTTTCCAGGCCTTGTAAAGTGAGGTTCACTAAGAGCAAAGTGATAACAGAGCAACTGGAGGCCACCTTAAAGCAGCGCAGCAGTTCTTAACTGCTAAACATGGCTCAGAGAAAATTCAGCTCCATAAACTCTCACCCAGTCCACTGAAGACTCGGCTCAAAAGAAGGGTGTGCCTTAAAATTCAGAGACTATGAAATGCAAAGGGCAGAGAAAGCCCACCACTCCCACACTGCTCTGGGCAGGCTGGAGAGAGGAGGGTCTGCTGCCACACAGGGCCCCAATGCACTCGCCAACTGCACAGGCCATTGACAGGCAGCTGCTGGCAGTGTTTCTCCCAAGAGTAGACGGTGTAAGGCCCAGAAATGGGGCAGAAGCAGAGAACGAGCCTAAGCCAATTCAACAGACAGATAGGGGCCTGATCCAGGTGTCTTTGCTGAACTAGCCTGAAGCTGGTTCACCAAATTTTTTTTTTTAAATACCCCCCCACACACATTTTTTATCCTGGTCAACCATTGGGGTTTGGGGTACAGTGGTAGCTCTGTGCTCTGTTCAGCCCCACTGCTCCCCAGCAAGGAATCTGGAATGATCCCTTACTGAGCAGTTGCAATGGGAGTGAGGCACCTTTGGCCATTAAGATGTTGCTCGACTGCTGCTTCCATCATCCCTGCTCATGCTGTGTGGGGCTGGTGGGAGTTGGACTCCAATATCTGGATTACCGCAGGTTCCACACATTAGGAACATGGGGATCTTCCTTATTCCAGATCAGACTATTGGTCCATCGATCCCAGTAGCTCAGCTGATTACTGAAGTTCTGGAAGGCCATCATCTACTGCCTTAAGGGAGGATCCAAGGGACAGAAGCTGGGGCATTTGCACATGCTCTATGATAGTTATCCCCCACCCCGTGGCAGCAATTCAATGAAAAGAGAATACATTGAATTGTTGCACAAAGTCAGTAAATCGCTTCAAATTGTTAACTGTGCAAACCCCCACAATATTAACTTCACCAATATTGCCACTGCAAACTGGAACACAATTTCTAACAGGAGCATCACTCTTCTGCCCTACAGTGCAACCTGCAGTGGGGAACCAAGAACTGACTTCTAGATATTTCAGTCTTATAATTTTACTTCAAATCCCTCACTTGTGGTACCAATTATAGCCTCTCTAACATCTGTTTTAACAAATGCTTTCAAGATCAACACTTCCTCTCTCTTGTACAGATGTTCTTTATCTTCAAGATTAATCCCTTTTCATCCCAGAGGCACTGTTTTGAGCTACTGAAGAGCACTATCTTAATCTAGAAGTATCTGTTGTCCACACAACTCAACATTAGTGTAAGAATAAGCCCATTTACAAGATGCAAAGTCAGAGGGGGGAACATGACTCAAAGGACATTTGCTGTAATTACGGATGCTCAGCCACATGTTATTTCAAGACAGTAGTTGAGGTGGTTCTGCACATAAGAAAAAGATTCCCAATATAAGATGACAACTTGCCACGTGACTTTTTAATGCAGGGAATCGCTTTCTATCAGGATCATTAAGCAGAGTCATACCTCGGGTTACAGCCGCTTCAGGTTGCATTTTTTCAGGTTGCAGACCTCCAAAACCCAGAAGTACCGGAATGGGTTACTTCTGGGTTTCAGCGGTCGCGCATGCGCAGAAGCGCCAAATCTGCGCAGACGCGGGTTGCGAACATTGCGGGTTGCGAACGTGCATCCCGCATGGATCACGTTCGCAACCCGAGCGTCCACTATACACTGTGTTGCTCTATACAAACTGAGGACAAAACTACCTCACATACTCCTGCAATGAAGCTGGAATCATCTGGAGGAATTTAGGACTCAATTCTTGCATCAGTTAATGATGATGGATTTGTCAAGAACCAAGATTCATGTTTCAATAAGCAAAATGTGACATTCCCAGCCAGGTAAAAAATCCCAACATGCACAGATAACATAAAGATATTATAGCACTGAATATTCAGAAAGTTTCTCAACCAGGCTTCAAAGAAATCAACCCCTGTTTCTTGCTGAAACCCCCACAAAGTGAGGGAATTGTTTGAGAGACTGAAGTCAGAACACTTGCAACATCCACCACCTTTCAAAGGCCAATTTCAAAGGACAAGTCTGCAGAATTTTACAATTGCTCATCTAGATTGTGTTTCAAAGTCTATGAAGAGATACATCTTTAAATGGCACTGAAAACCAAAGAATGAAGCCACTAGTAATACGTCTGAGGGAAGGGATTTCCATTAAATGAGGTCCACCACAAAGACAGTCCTATCTTGCTCTCATTGCACTGGGCAAAAAGGAGGGCCTCCCCTGCAAATCTCAGTGAACACTCTTGGGACAGAGTGCTCTCTGTGCTGTGAACCACTTATCTCTGGATAATTTCCAGCTTTAATTACATCTACTATATATGTGCAACTGATCAATGTTAGAGACATGTACATGATTCATGTTCAGTTTTTTGCAAGTTCAGGACATTACCTGCCAATTAATGGTGCTGGTACATGAATGGTGGGATTAGGAGATTTGCAGGGGTGGAAGTCATCTCATGCTCAGTATCAGACTGGTTGCTATAACTCAGGATCAATAATAGATAGAAGAACCTGTTTGTTTCTTCCAAAATATTAGTTCTGGTGTTCACAAGTGCTGTCTGCATGGCATGATGTTTTTTGGAAGAGAATTTCCATGCAACTTAACTCTTCTCAAATGCCAGAGGATTCCATCCAAGGACTCATAATCCCTCCTTTAGACACCTGATTATACTCCATTTTAATCGGTTTAGGGTTTGTGCTAGCATTATTTTAATTTCATTGCTTCTGCTTTTTAAATGGAATTATTGCAGGGGAGGAAGGTTTGCATCAGTGAAGAAAGGGAAAACTAATTACATTAGTAGAGATTAAGCTCACTGTCAAATCAAATACCCATGGCTCCTTAATCAAAGGACACCAAGGGCCAGCTGGAAGATGCTCTCGCCACACTCTGACCAGATGCAGTCTCTGCCCCCACCAGAATGAAGGTTTCCTAAAAATTCACTGCAGCAACTCCCTGCAAATACAGTGCACACTCCCAGTGTATGTTATCACATATATGAGACAAGCAGGCTTTGTAGTTCGTTAAACATAGGTAGGAAGCTGCAAATATCAGAACACCGTTTCAAGTCTTAATGCCAACAAATTTTCCATCCTCCGTAAGATTTACTACTTTTAAAATCTGTTGCAATGCAAAGAATAATGAAGATCTTCTTAGTCCTCTTTTGCAGCCCTTCATCCTGACAAAAATATTGATCTCATAGAGCTCAAGCTTAGCACTTTTTGAAGCAGTCCTCAAGTACAGGAGTATTCTTCCCACCTAACAATCCCACAATGTTGTTTATCCAGCACACAAAGAACTGCATTTCCCTCCTCACACCTCTACTTTTTCCCTGTATGCTACCTTGCTTTCGCTCTGAATCAGACATACCTTGTTAAGCAGGATTTTTACTTTGACTCAATAATGGCTTATTCTGAAAGCCACAGGTAAAAGAGAAGTGTACTGAACAAGAGATCTCACACTAAACTCAGATACAGGTTGCAGGACAACCCTACCATCTACTGCCCACCTATGTAAACAACACAGGTCTCAAAACCATTGTTACACTATGCAGGCAAGCATATCACAAACGCAAACTACTGAATTGTCATGGTTCTCAAAGAACCACAAGAACTGCAGTTCTGCAAAGGAGCCCAGTCAAAAAATTACCCCACCTTCTTTACAACTATAGGTCCCAGCCCAGGATTATCTGCTGGTATACATTTCTGTTGTGCACTAAGGGAGCACTCTAGAATGGTGCTTGGAATACTGGGTAAGACCTCCCTAGATGGCAGCATCTGCAACATGGCAACCCAGCCTTTGCCAATGAGTGTTCTCCAGATGCCTCAGACTACAATTCCCATCACCCCCAGCTGGTGCGGGATTGGGAATGATGGGAGCTGTAGTCCAAAATGTCTGGACATTGTGTTGGCAAAAGCTGCAGCAATGCAATGCAGCTTCTGTTAGAAAAAGTGCACAGCTCAGTTTTCAAAGCAAATCAAAATTTGAACTGGTCCTTTTTTTAAGTCAATAGAAGTGTAAGATAATTTTTAAAATGTGTTTTAAAACAAAGCCCCAGGCACTTTTAGTGAGCCAAATTGTCGTGTAATGCTCAAATGATCCCTTCAATTATGTGATTATTAAAAATGTCCAATTTTAACATGCATGCAATAAATATGCAGTTATTAAGCACCATTAGTTTCTCCCTCGCTTCTAGCCTATATCACTATGATGCAATATTAATTTCCCTGGCCTTACATTTCATTGCAGCTACATCCCCTCCCTGCCTCGTGCTTGGATGCAGCCCAACTGTGACAGATGCAATAAGCATGAAGATTTAACTTGAAAAATCCAATGATGTTTGAAAAGGCAGTTCATCAGAAGACAGAGCAATCCCAACACAGTATGTATGGGGAAGCACCAATATGGATTGCAGTTCTCCCACTCAAAGTCTACAGCCATCCATTAAAAATTTACGATTATGTAGCAAGACACAAAAACACATGCAGTCAGGTGTGTATTTGGGGATTTTTGCACTTTGATCTTTTACCTCTGCAAACACAGCCTTTGAAAAACATGAAGTAACAAAATAACATCAGCAAGTTATATATAGCAACCTTTTTTACATAAAAAGATAAGCTATATTGCCCCAATTTGTTTTGTTCCCCACCTCCAGCATACCCTAGACCACCACCCTGCTTTCCTCCACGGGTCTACCCTCAGTCAACTTATCATTACAGTTCCCTTAAGCCAGAGACTCGGGAGTCCCATGTGCCACACTCAATCTCACCTCAGCTTTTGACCACCTTTGCACTCTGCTTACAAGTTCTTTCTCAACCAATTTATTGCACACCCAGAGGAAGCAGATTGTTCAGGAATTTGCATCCAACCCAAGTGGACACAGCAGCCCAGGGAAAATGGGAGGGGGCGGCATTGCATGGGTATTACCACATCCCAAAGTGAGCCTGCAATACCCCCCCCACCTCCTCTTTGGAGTTCTAGGGCTTGCACTTTAATGAACTCACTGAGCGTTGCAAAATGTAAAATGTTTTTAGCCTATGTTTTTAAGCTGTGGTTTTATAAATGTTTCAGTTGTTTTAGGTTTTAATATATTTTAGATCCTGATTGTAAATTACCTTGTTTTATACACAAAAAGATATGTTTTCAAAAAGGGGAGTAAGCAAAGCATGAAAGTCTGGCATCTACCACATGGATAGAGAGGGAAACATACATGCGTTGTGCGAAGGAATCATGTGGGTCACAGATGAAGAGACCCTCCGCGTGGGAAGGCCCTTGCAAGCAGATGAGGATATGGTTACCATACCATCTCTGAACCAATCAGAGAAAAAATAGGCACACAGAGCAAACATGCTCTATTGTACATGCAGAGCAGCTCAACTTTATGATGACCTACTAGGCTAGTCAGTTTTATTTCTGTGTCTAGTCAGCTTGCAGCTGATTTCTTCATCATTTTCTTATACATTAGTACAATGATGCATATGCTTGAGAAAGGTAATTAGTTTACATTTTGTGAGTTAGAAAATTCATATAGCATTTCACAAATCGTAAGAAAAGCTTCTAAGAATTAAGAATTACTCCACTTTCAATGAAAGTCGCATCTTACAGAGGCCCATTTTCCATGCCAAGGCAAACCATAGTTAACGGCTTACTGTGTATGCACAGACCTGACCACTTTGTTTCTCCCACTTCCCGCACAGAAGAAACAAGCTAGGATCCCAGCTGTAGTGTTACACCTGAGTCAGAGTGGTATATAGTGATCAAGAGTGTTGGATTAGGGTCAGATAAAAAAAGGGGGGAGAGAACCATGTATGCATGCCGCCCCCTTTGAGGACAATTCAGAAATTACAGCTGGTGCAAACCTCTGTGGACAAATTGCTAACCAGTACAAGATGGTCTGAGCATATAAAACCAATTCTGGCATGACTGCAATGGCTACCAATTTGCTTCAGGGGTCAATTTAAAGTGCTAGTTCTGACCTCTAAAGCCTTATGCAGTTTAGGACCGCAATAACTCGAGGACCACCTCTCCCAGCACTCACCATCTGAGGTCTTTCTCTGTGCGCCCTCTCAGAGGGAGGTGCAGATGGTGGCAACATGAAAATGGGCCTTTTCAGTGGTGGCTCCCCACTTTTGGAATGCTCTCCCCAGGGAGGCTTGCCTGGTGCCATCATTGGCTACGTTTAGGTGCCAGGCAAAAATGATTCTTTTTAAATGGACTTTTGACCTTTAGCTCAGGAGAGTTTTAGATATTGTGGCCTCCTTTAGTGGGTGGGATGTATTTGACTGTTATATATATCTATATATGTATAAGTTTTTGTTTTTATTTGGTTTTAATTTTTGTATTACATTGTAAGTCGTTCTGAGCTTATTTCTCATTAAAAGTATGACTTACAAGTGCAATAAATAAGTATAAATAAATAATGTAATAAAAAATAGCAATCAGTAAGCAATGAACAAACCTTAGCTACAGACTGAGATTTCATTGGAGCAAAACAATCCACAATCCCTGCTTCAGATATAACTCTGAGGTAGAAACTGACTCTCCTGTATGCCAGCGAGAAAAAGTAAAGAAGCCGAAGTTGTCCTTCATGGTAGGCCATTGTCTATGGCTTACCATTAACATGTGAATAAGGTAAGAACAACATAAAAGCAGGTCCCTACCCTGGTAAAGGTAAAGGGACCCCTGACCATTAGGGTCCAGTTGTGACCGACTCTGGGGTTGCGGTGCTCACCTCGCTTTATTAGCCGAGGGAGCCCCCGTACAGCTTCTGAGTCATGTGGCCAGCATGACCAAGCCGCTTCTGGCGAACCAGAGCAGCGCATGGAAACGCCGTTTACCTTCCCGCTGGAGTGGTACCTATTTATCTACTTGCACTTTGACGTGCTTTCGAACTGCTAGGTTGGCAGGAGCTGGGACCGAGCAACGGGAGCTCACCCCGCCGTGGGGATTTGAACCGACGACCTTCTGATCGGCAAGTCCTAGGCTCTGTGGTTTAACCCACAGCGCCACCCGCGTCCCTCCCTACCCTGAGGATCCTACAAATGACATTTTGACAGAAGGAAACAGGGCATGGAGAGAAAGGCAGAACCAAAATATGCAAATAATTAAGAGTTATGTAAATTTACAATACAATCCCATGATTACTTTGTCTGAAGACAAAGAAATGCTTCTGTGAGACAGAGGCAGAACTGCTCAACAGCTACTTTACCTCTGTCTTCACCCAAAAGGAGAGTAATGCCCAACCTGGTGAACATGATAAGCAAGGCAAGGAGAGAGCGGCATTTCAATAGGGACAACTGTAAGGTTCTACACTTAAGCAGGAAGAACCTGCTGCACAAATATAAAATGGGGAACATCTGGCTTACTAGCAGTACATGTGAAAAAGATCTAGGGGTCTTAGCAGACCACAAGTTGAACATGAGTCAACAGCGTTATGCGGCAGCAAAAAAAGCTAATGCTATTCTAGGCTACATCAACAGAATGTTCCCATCAAGGGAAATCATAGTACCATTCTATGGTTAGAATATTGTGCCCCGTTCTGGGTGCCACAATTTAAGAAGGATATTGACAAGCTGGAACGTGTGCATAGGAGGGTGACCAAGATGATCAAGTGTCTGGAAACCAAGCCTTATGAACAGCTGAGGGAGTTGGGAATGTTTAGCCTGAAGAAGAAGAGACTGAGAACAGATATGATAGACATCTTCAAATATTGAAAGGGAGCAAGCTTGTTTTCTCCTGCTCCAGAGGGTAGGACCCAAACCAATTGATTCAAGTTACATGAAAGGCTATTTTGACTGACAGTAAGAGCTGTTCAGTAGTGGAAAAGACTCCCACGAGAGGTGGTGGACTTTCCTTCCTTGGAGGTTTACAAGCAGAGGTAGATGGCCACCTGTCATGTATGATCTAGTTGAGGTTCCTTGGTGTCCCTTCCAACGCTGCAATTCTGATTCTATGAATTATGACCTGCTGAACTCCACTGGACTTACACCCCTAGCATGCATGGCAGGCACAGTCATCTACCCTTCCCCCTTCTTCTTAGGCATCATGTCCACTGCATGCCACACACATTGTATGCAACTGACTAATATTTTCCCCTCCTCAAAAATAGTCAACAATCTAAAGAACAAAAGAACTGTATTCCATCCCACACAGAAGTGCTCACATTATTCTTAGTCATAAAATGTGCAATACTGAGGAAGAATTACAGTTTGCACCTCGACAGGCTTCTTCTCGGCAAAAGATGTCCATTCTTTGAGCAGCAGACTCAGCTGCCTAGTCCAGCCCTGCAAGAGGTATCCCATGCCAACTGAAGGCATTTACTGCTATCTTCTAAAAACACTTCCCCCACATACAGAATATACTGCTGTATTCTTCTGTGAGGTATTTGAAGGAGACTTTTATCCGACTGAAAGCCTCTCTCCAGGGTTGCCGAGCAGTATGTGACAGCTTCCTCCTTTAGAAGGAATCCTATCTACAGAAGACAGCCATTATGAAACCCTCTTCAGAGTTCCTAAAATTTCTCTTTACACTTCATTTAACCCATGATTTCCCAGTATTCAGCTGTAAAAATTGTACATGCACAATTTCCCCAAACAGAAAAGCAGATTTCCTTGAGAATTCCTTTTTAACCACTGCTGCTGCGCTGCTCTCCCTCAACCATCACAGGGAGACATACCCCACCCCAAACACCTGCAGCCCCTTATACATGGACATCCTTCTTGTTCCCCTGACCTCCCCACAATTTGCAACAGAGCACCAAACACCTGCCTGCAGCTTGGGGAGCAGCCTGCCCTGACCAGCAACTGGCTCTCCCCATGACCTAACCCTCCCCTCCCTCCTCCTCAATTATCTGCTGCCATAAAGCAACACACCCAAGTCCCTCCTCCGTCACCAGCACCCAAGTCTCAACTACACCCTGCTGACAACCCGCCCCCCCCCCCACAAAACACCTCCCTCCCCAAACTGGAAAGCTTCCCACCACCGTTTATCAGCTTCCTGGGCTGCCTGGACTTAGCCCCTTGAGTCGTCTCTCACATGAACAAACCTTTCTGTCCTCCTCAGCTCATCCCTTGCAGCGCTTCCTCCCCAGTCACCCCACATGCCTTCCCTTCTCGCCCATCCACGGTCTCACCTGACCGCTCACACAACCCCCGGGCCTCTCATCCTAACCCCACATCGGCAGCCCCCACATCCCACGAAACCCGACACCCTCAAGACACCTCTGTTTCCAAAGAAGCCCGGGCTCTTTCCCTCCCCAGCTCTTTTAAATGGCATCTCACTGCGGCTTACATAAGCTGCTTCAAGAGCCCTTTGAGTCAAAAGATGGAAATTATTTGAACATAACCACTCGGACCACCTGACAATTACAAACCTCCACTTCCCTTCTCCAATTTCAAACCTGGCATGCTCTCACCTGCAGTTACAGATTTATAAAAGTATATTTTGTGTATCAGACACGCAGCATTTTTTTTAATGAGGAGGATGCAAATGTCTTCTTTTTTTTTAGCCTCCCCCCATGAGACCCACATATGCCATACCAATAATCTGCTGTTGTTCTTTAAGCGCAAACAAAAATGCATTGTTTTGTTGACTCCCTACAGGCGCTTGAATCTGCAGGAAGACAGAAAGTCATGGACGTTTCCTTGGGAGGCAGGAGGGCAACCTGGGGGCGGGGGAGGGGAAAGGCCAGCCCCGCCGACCTGCCGCCGCTTTCCCGGGGGGCCTGGTCCCCCCCCCGAAGAGCGACGCGCGCGGCCGGGCCCCAAGAAGCGAGGACCCCCCCCCCCGAGGGACACGCGTCCGCCTCCCCTTACCTCGCCCGCCGCCGCCGCCGCCGCCCGCGCGCCTCCTTCCTCCTCGCCCGACTCCGACTGACTGACGGACACGCGCGAAGACCGGCCGCCAGGGGGCGGGACCGACCACGCCCCGCCCCCGACCACGCCCCGCCGCGCCCTGCGCCGCCCCGCCCTCTCGCGTCGCCTCAGCCAACCTCATGTCCCGCCCTCGCGGAGGGGAGAGGCGAGGCAGCCAATCGCCGCCCAGCGCGGGACGGAAGGCGTCCAACCAGCGTCTCTCGCTGGAAAGGAGAAGGGCGGGGCTGGCGCGGCGCGAGAGGAAGCGAGGAGAGGCGCCGGGCGCGGGCACGCGCCTCCCTTGTCCGCGCCCCCCCCGGCGCTCGCACACGCAACTCCCCATTCTCACGTGTCCGAGTCAGACTCGTGTATGGGCCCCTTCGAGCGAGGGGCTGGCATAGGAATATGGTTCATAAATGAATATTTCTAAGCAGTAGATACGTTTTAATCTATTTCAAATATTGTGGGGTTGTGTTTTTTGTAAAGACCTTTAGCGCTCTAGTCTTGCACAGTATGTGTAGTTATTCAGCAAAGAGCCGTGCTTTTGGAAAGATGGGTTGGGGTAAAATTAAAAGAGACTCTTAGATTATTATTTTTAAAAAAAACATTTGGTAAAGGGGATGGCCTCGTGTACATTGCCACTCCAAAATCCCTAAGTCTTCCTAAGCTGCCTTTGGCCTTTGGAGCTGCTCCATCCCTGGGCTTGCCCTTTCTGCAGCCGGGCAGCGCTTGCCTTGGACTTCCTCCCTTCTGAGCCGCGAGAGGAGGACCACGGTCAGGGGGTTCAATAAGATCAGCAGTTCATAGGCCCCCTGTATACTGCAGCTGATCTGATTGCAAAGCAAAAACCTCTTCAGCCCTTGTTCAAGGCTCTCTGGTTTGGAGTTGTGAAGAACCCCCGCAGCAGTTCCATTTGGGGGCCTGTCATCTGCATGGCAACTACCTTTAATTGTGTTAATACTGGGAGCCACTTACGAGGTCTTGGACTACAGTAGTGCCTATATAACGTTTCAAAATTAGATTTAAAATAAGCAAAATGCCCCCCAAAATTGGCTTATATTTGCTGGAGTCGTTATCTCTTTCAGGTGGACACTGACCCTGGCCTTCAGTACCTTCCTCTCCTATGTCTAGGGAGATTGGGTTAGGGAAATCGATAGCAAGAATCATATTTACAGTAGTGTGACTTGCTGTTGCATTCAGCTTTTGACCATTAAGGGGAGCTATAGAACTGGAGTACTATCAGGGCTGAGATCTAGCTTTTAAAAAGAGGTGGTGGTGTAGGAAAATCACATGTGATTCATGAATATTAGCCATTTATATACCAATGAAATGCCTATCATTGCAAGAGGGCAGCAACAGAGGATTACAAAGGATGAAAGAGGATTTCCCAGGGATGCAACATCCATTGACTCTGCCCCCTCCCAGGCACCCCAGCTCACCCCACCACCAACACGGAGGAGAGCCAGCAGCCAGCTCAATGGCTACAGCTCAGTGGCAGGGGTTCAAAGTCCTGGCTTCAATCTCTGGTGTTGTCTGGTAGATTTGGGGAAAGACTCATGGGCATAGCCGGGGGGGGCAGCTATCCCTATCAATAAAAATTAAAAAAAAATACATAGCCAACTGAGGTTCTCCTCCCCCCAACAAAAGGCCTGCTCCCACTAACAAAAATCCTGGCTACACCCAGGGAAAGACTCCTGTCTCAAACTGCAGAGGAGCTGCTGGTCCACGTAGACAGGAGCTGTGGGTCATTAGACCCTAAGAAGAGCCCTAGAATTCCCAGCTCCCATCTGCCCCAGCCAGTGTGGCCAATGGGCAGGGCTGACAGAGCTGTAGTCCAAAGCCTCTGGAGGGCACAAAATTGGGGAAGGCTGATTAAAGGTGTGGGCACAGGACACTGGTTATCAGCAGTTACACGGGTGCAGGCACATCCTGACACTGGGAGAAAGTTTCCTTAAGGCCATTCCTCTGACCTGAGCCCTGCAGGGTCAGACCAATTTCTCCTGGCAGCAGGGGCAGACCTAGGGGGTTGGCTATGTTGCCCCCTGCCAGGGGCGCAGGCCCAGGAGGGCACAAAAACCGTGCATCCGCTCTCTAGCTTGGAGTGCCTAGGGCCCGTCCACCCACCTGCGCACTCCCTGGGGGGCTCCCCTGCTGCTCTGGGTGCCTCAGCAGAGAGGGAGGGGCTCTGAGGCAGCTCCTTTCCAGGGGCACAAGGGAGCCGAGGTATGTCTCTGCGCGGCAGCCAATTCCTTTGCTAATTTTGCCCAAGACCACTATGTGCTGTCTTCTCTCATCACCAAGGCAACTGAAGGGGGGGGCACCCAGTTCTGCATATGAGAACCCAAGTATCAAACGCTCAGAATAATAGAACATCTGTAGCATCCCAGCTACAAACTGTGTGATGCCAAATAAATACCACATTGGGGAAATTCTAGTTGAAAGCAGGCAGTCCATCCCTTCACAGGGGCTTAGTATTGCAAACAGGCTGTCAGCAATGGATTTTTTAAACAGATTTTCTGTGGAAAGGGTAAATGCAGAAGGCAGGGACATGGGCTGGCATTTTATAGAAATACAGAAAGCTGCCTTCTGCTGAGTCCGGCCACTGGTCCATTGAGCTCAGAACTGTCTGCACTGGCTGGCAGGGGCTCTTGGGGAACAGGGATCTCTCCCACCCTCCCTGGAGGTGCCATGGGGGGGGGGGGGAGCCAGGGACCTTCTGCAGGAAAGCAGGTGCTCTGCCACTGAGCTCAGCTAAGTTACATGGATGCTGCAAAAATGTGCTGGCCTGAGGAGGACCGTCCGCCCCACAACATGCTTATGTGGAAGCTGCACTCAAGAGTCACGCCATGGGACTAAAAGGATTTGGTGCAGCTTTGCAGTCAGCTGCTCAGCTGAAACAAATAAAAATGCCTCACTTGCTGAGTCCACCAGACATAGTAGAAAAGTGGGCCAGAGGTTTTATCCGCCTGCAGGGCGGGTGTCATCAGGCCAGAGTTTTACGACTAAAGTCTTGGGCTCAGTTCAGCAGAGTGAGCAAGAACCCCCCCCCCCTTGCAGTTATATATAAGAAATACATACTCCGATCTAATATGGGGGAGGGCAAAAGGCCATCGAGTCCAGGTGCTAAAATTTCACAGCCCTGTGAAATTCCCAGTCCTTTGCAGGTTTAAGCAGTACTCTGGTATTGCTGGTTTATTTGATTTATTTTCTCCCTTCCTTGATATTTAACTCACATCAGTGATCCCAGCTTTCTTTCCTGGTCAACTTCACAGGCAAAGCACACAAACAACCTCTCTCTCTCCCGACCCAACACACTAATTTATTCCTTCCTGCTGCTGGACATCCATTCTGAAGCTGAACTCTGTTCCACTTCAGCAATCTTTGAACACCTGCCGATCTGAATATAAGATGCTGTCTTACCTATTCCATGTTCTTGTGCTCTGAGACCAAGATGGCGGTCAAGAGTTTTTTAAAATGCTCCTCCTTAGCCACTGCAAACATAGGCAATCCTGCCCCAGTCACAGTACCCCTGTCTCACCTTTCCGAGCAGGTGGGGCAGCCTTCTCCCCTGCCGGCTTCCGCTTCTCAAACGTCTTCTTCATGTCTGCCACTCTGAGGGCTTTTTCATCCTCTTGTTTAGTCTTCCTTTGTTCCTGCAGCCGACAACATTCCCCATTTTCTGGGGGCTTTCCTCCAGTCGTTTTGCTTCTGCCACTTTCGCTGGTCCTGTGAGAGGGGTTTTGCAGGGTCACCACCATGACTGCCGTGGCTGCCGTGGGCTTGAGGTTCTCTGCTGCTTCTGCCTCTTCCCCAGGGCTTGGCAAGCCACCTGCTTGGCTGTTTGACTCAAAGCCCAGTTCATTGCAGGCCCCAAGGTCTTCCCCACTCTTGCGGGGCTGGCTCCTCTCCCTGGGATGTCTTTCAGCCTCCCCCCAAACCAAAGCAAGGGTTGAAGCTGCCAGCAACTTTACCTCAAGGCCCTTGGCTCCCTTATCGCTCCCACGAACCTCCCTTGCCGCCTCTTCTACACCAGTCAGGGTAACATGACTGCAGCCGATTGCTGCTCTCTCAGGCCAAGAGGCGCAGCTCGCCATCTGCATGTGGTCTCCACTTTGCCCATTGGGAAGAGCAATCAGTGGGCCTCCGGTTCCCCCATGGTTTTGTAGCGGAGGGCCTTCCATCTCTCCATTTCTTGGCTCCTCTGGAGAATCCAGGGAACTCAGGAAGCCAGCCTTGGTTTCCTCGCCAGGGGAGTTCAGCATCAGCTTATTCACTTGCCGGTTCTCAGCGCTGCTCTCTGAATCTGAGCGTGTCAGCTGCCTCCTCAATACCCCCTGGAAAGTGCTAGTCATATCTGCCCTCACAGCCTCCCTTCCGAAACTTTCTTGACTGCCAAAGTTATTTATTTGAACCACTGGCCAACTGCACGCTGTCATTTCCCTTTTCCTTTCAGATTCTGGAAAGTCAAATGGGTGGGTTTCGCCCTCTTGGGTCATGATGCTGTGCTTGCTTTCCTCTAGCCTATACCAGAGAGCCGTGGTCTTCCTGCCTTCTGCGTCTTCTGAGCGCTGCCTCTGGAGCACCTGCATAGAGGCTGGACTTTCCAGGCCCTTCCCATGCGCCTGCATGGCCATGTGTGGCGCAGAGAGGAGGGGCTCCCCTGCCAGCTGCCCCCTGGAAGCTGCCTCACCTGTGGCTCTCTTCATCTGCAGGTGTCTTGTGGAGACATGAACTCCACAGACTCCATCCCTGGGCCTGGTCCCCTCACACACCATTTGCTCATCCGTTGCCAAAACAAAGCCATCACATTTCACCTTTGACGTTTCCCTGGTGTGGGGAGCCTCTTTCCTTTTTGTGATGCTCTTGCTGTCGAGTGAATACCCCGAGTGCTGCCACGCAGGGGCTTCCATGGCAAGCAGCACACCACCTGGATCGCCTGGGGCAATGCCTGTGCAGACAAGACCCCAACAACGTCGGTTCCCCAAATGTCATTCAGTTCAGAATCCTCCGCATCAGCTTCCCTTGTATTTTTGGTGGGGCGAAGGGGGACAGACGATGCACCCACAAGCCCACCAGTAGCTTGGAAACCTCTCTCTGTGGATCATCAGAAGCTCTATTATCAACATTAACAACATCCAGGGCGGGTCACCCCTTGGAGAGTCACAGCATGCGTTTCTCTACCAGAACAGGACACACAAATATACTAAAAGAAAATGCACAACATGGATTTTTTCCCCCACCTGAGCAAAAGACACATCCAAAAGTCCAGTGGATTCCAAGCTGCAAACTTCTTTCTTGAAAGGCTGCATTACATTCTAGCAAATGCCTTTCTCCTTCCCAAGAGCAGGTTGCAAGAAGCTTTTCCAGCGATTCCCAGTGATTTGTCTTTTGAGACCAACCTCACGATGACGATTCACAGCCCTCCCTTTGCAGTCATTTATGGTAAGATGGTTAGATCTCTACACATCTGAAACTGGCCCTCTGCCCGTGGCTTTTTGGAAAGACTGAAAAGCAGAGGAGCCCACACATGGGTGCCCTTCCGGCTAGGTAGTTCTGGTTTGTTTGATTTTTAAAGATGACCTCCCTTGTCCCAATCCCCTTTTACGCAGACACTCCTTCCTTAGATGGTGTGTCACATAGGCAGTGTAAGATTGCACCTTGCTCTGGCTTCCAGTGATCAGAAGGAGGGGGGAGAAGGCATTTTTCAGGCAAGGAGGGAGATTGAGCCTAGAACTGTGTTGCAGAGATGTGTTACTGCTAAGCAAATGGCTGTGCCATCAAAAGTGTACAGGAGATAATCAAACAGCCTGGCAGCAGCCTTGGAAATAAGATTCCTCATGGATGCCACACTTACGAGGAAAAATGCTGAGCATTTGCAAAGCCTTTCCTGCAGTGTCATCCCTTTGGAGCAAGGCTCTGCTGATAATAAAGTCCTTTAAATCTCCCCCAAAGGAGAGTGTTGTTGTTGTTGTTGTGTTGTTGTTAAAGCTCCAAAGATCAGCTGGTTCGGTGCTTGACACCTTCAGCCCACGAGGGGGCAGGGCTGTGTGCAATGGCTGCTGTCCAGACCCCCCCCCCCAGGCCTCCCTCCACTCCTTGCCTTTTATGGCTTGCTAGGTATGAGGCTTCCAAGACTCCCTTGCAGGGACAGAGCAGAAACACAAGAGTCTTGGCAGGGGGTCTGGCTGCTGCTGTTTGGGGAAGCCAGGCTGGTTCTCTGGCCCCCAGGTCTGCATCTGGGCTGGGCCCAGCAAGCAGAGGACCCCCCTTCCCTCTTCATGGGACGTGATGGCGATGACAAGCAGGGTCTTGCAGCAATACGCCTCAGTGCCTCCCCAGCTCCTGCTCAGCACTTTAGTCAGCTTGGAATGAAAAATGCCTCAACGCAATATTTGGAGGTGCTTTGGGGGGGGTCTAAGGAGGGGCGAGTCTCTTCTTTCGCACCTTCCTAAAGTCTTCACTTGCTTAGTTAAAGCAGTTTGGAGATGACTCCAAACCCTAAAGCAGAGTATTGCTATGGCGTTGGCGGTGGAGTCAGTCTGGACGACACCCCTGGTTCTCTTCCAAACCTATGGTCCTGTGAATATGAGACTAGAATCAATAAACAAGGAATCTTGCTAACCCAGCTCAACCAGTTCCTTGGTCAACGGCCTCAGCATCTTCTTTTTTTTATAAAATATTTTTATTGTTTTACATGACAAATTTCAATTTAAACATATCATTCACCTTCACATTTAGGATTCTCAGAATCCCTTGACTCTCCCCCCCCCCCTTCTCTGGTTTCATTGTCAATCCCTTTTCTCTCAGCTTATCCCCCCCCCCCCCAATTTGTTATACCGTATTGGCCCAAATATAAGCCGCACCTTTAAAATTCGGGGGGGGGGGGAGAAAAGACAATACCTGAATATAAGCCCTTAAAATACCCTTAAAATTCTGCAGGCACTCACACCCATTCTGTTTTACCATAGGTCTGTTTTAGCAGCGCTATCATAAAAGCCAATCTTTGTAAGGTTGTGAATTTAAGATGCACTTTAACTTTTCACAGTCGGAATTTTTGGGGAAAGTGAGGCTTATATTCAGGCCAGTACAGTATCTATTATTAACTTTTTCCATTATATTTTGTCTTTTACAAGTAGTACTCTAATCCTGCCAAAGTTTTTGTTTATAATGTTCTCTTAAATAGACTATAAATTTTTCCCATTCCTTCCTAAACTACTTCTTATCCTGGTCTCTGATTTTCCCGGTCAATTTCGCCGTTTCAGCGTAGTCCATCACCTTCATCAACCATTCCTCTGGTTGGAACTTTACCTTCTTTCCATCTCTGGGCCAGTAGTATTCTGGCCCAGCATACATAAAAAGTCTTTTCTGCTCTCTCGGAATCTCTGTACCGAAAATACCTGTGTTTATATGAAAGTTGTTGCCTTGCCAAATGGAAGGTGGTTCTTTTAAAATGAGATTCAGAGGCAATACAAACACGAGTGAGTGATAAGATTTTTAAGATTTTATTCTAAACAGCAAGCATTATATCCATTACCAAGCAAGCACTTCTATCTGCCACTGCGAAGCCCTCAAGAAGTGGCAAAGTGACACCCCCCAGGCAGTCTTCAGTTTCTGCACGACCCTCTGGCCATCAGTTTGTGCATGTAAAGGTAAAGGGACCCCTGACCATTAGGTCCAGTCATGACCGACTCTGGGGTTGCGGCGCTCATCTCGCTTTACTGGCCGAGGGAGCTGGCGCTTCTCCCAAAACTATGCCCAACATCATCCGATTTAACCTGTGTGGCTTGCCTGACTGCCTACAGATTATTCATGAGCCCTCTCTCCCAGTGCCTCACTTTCTTCAAACAATGTCTAACATCAGATAAGGTGAGGGTACCCAGCGCTATCACTTCCTTCCAGCAGATTAGAACTAGGAAATTAAAGGCTGTTCTTCAGCCATCAAAGAGCTTAGAGAGGAGGAAAATGAAGGAACAGGGGGCAGGAAGAGGGCAAAACTCATCAAAATACAAATATCTTCTGGCTAGATTGCCCATATGTTCATATGTTGCAAGTTTGTATACGTCTTCAATCCAATCGTAGAAGGGAGCCGCCACATTTTTATTTTTCAAATTCATCAATACGTCTTTTTGGTTTAGTTAAGGGCACGGAGAGTCCATTCATATTGTCCTTTTGTAAGGTTCCATGTACTGGGTATATAATTCAAAAGGATATTTTACTCTGTAAATGTAAGCTTATTCCATACAGTTCTGTTGATAGTTTCAGTTACCTTCTGCCAAAAATCTTTCAATATAGGACAAAGAAAAAACATATGTTTTAGAGAAGCATTATCCCTATTGCATCTCCAACAGTTAGATACCTTAGATAGCCCTTTTTAAAACAAATGTAATGGGGTCCAATATATTCTAAATATTATATTTTTGTTGTATGAGCCTCTCTTAGTTTGTAGCAGGCCCTATTTGGTAAAATACAAAATTTCCAATACTGTCTTGGTTTGACGCAGAGTGCAGAAAGCAAAATCAGCTAGATCTTTTAAGGACAGACAAATCTGGTGATCAAATTAGGAGTTTCTTAGCCCAGCAAAGTGCACATAAGAACGTCTTGAGAAGGAAAAAGGCGTGTTATGCTAATACATTTTGGAAAGATATTGGGCAAGCCATTATCAGGAAGAATGACAAATATTTATGGGGCCTTGGCACAGGGACTGAAGCAAACATAACTGATGGTAGAGGACCAAACCCCCACGGCCAAATGGGTTTCGCACTTCAGCAATATGTAGAACAGAAAGTCTGAAGAGGAAGAAGCAGCAGCCTATGGAACAATGAATAAGGCAGCCTATGAGCTTGTCTGGAGGTTCTAGCAGGGGAGCGCAGCTATCGTATACCCTTGACCGAAGAACGGTACACTCCGTCTATCTGGGATGGTCGTCCTCTTCCACCGAGCGCGCAGCTTCGGGAGGGACGCACATGGAGCGGTGAGGGAGGAAGGGGACACCCGTCTAGCCAGCCAGATCAGCCGAATCAACCCTGGTGATCAGTGGGGTGACAGATGTCGCAGCCAGATCGCCCTCACATCCTCACATGAAATGTATATAATAAATTACACAACAGTCTTTTTAAAAAAGAAAGAAAATAAAACCATGACAATACTGTAAATCAAAATGTCTAAGGCAGCTTTCTGAGGGGAGGCGGGTAATGCCTTGTGGCATTCTGTCTGTTTCCTGTCCAGAGCCCTTTAAGGACTGAGGGATGCTGATAATGTGTCAGGTTTTTTTCTTGCATGTTTCATTGCTTTCAAATTATTTTATTACTGTATTTCATTGTTAAAAAGCACTCTAAGATTATTGCTGAATTGCATTGCTGTGTATATTATAGATCAATAAGTGAATGTTAAATGGTTCCAGGAGGCACCAGCTGGCCATCCCTGCGGGGGGGGTGTTAACAGGATGGTGTTGCTGCACTTGCTGCTGCTTGGGGAGGTCACTGGGACACCCCCAGAAGTGTCAGCAATACTTCTGCATCAGCTGGAGCCCAAGTAGTGCAAGACCCCAACAAGAGTTTGTGGGCTAATTCTCCCTTGATCAGTTCAAGAACAAGAGGAGGAGAGGGAAAAAGTCCCTCTCTGCCCAGTCAACTAAAACATATTTGGCTGCTGATTGTTGCCTGGCTTTGCCATGGAAACCTTCATAACAGGATATAAACTTTCAATCTGTTGCACACACACAGAATAAAACTTGCCAGCAGTTGGATACATGGAATATCCTAGGTTTTATGATGCTGACTAACAATGGCTGGTGAGAACGGTGTTTTTCCTCCCCAGTGCAAAACAAAAGAAAAGAAAAAATGCCTTCAATGATGCAAAAGTTCAACTAGCTTCTGCATCTACTATTTCTGGGGATTACAGAAGAACCCTTGAATCAAGGTTTATTTAGAAATCTGTTTTGGTTTTGTTTTTTTAAATGAAAGACTTATGAAGGCTTCCTTTCGTTTGGAACTTTTTAGTTTAGAGAAATGGTGAATGGGAGGCGACATGATTTTTGCCTGGCATGGAGAAGGTGGACAGATAATCCCTCCCCCCATAACACTATAACTCATGTATATCAAATGAAGCTGAAAATTGGAAGATTCAGGACAGATAAATGAAGTTTTCTTCCTGCCGTTAAGCTACGGGGCATGGCTCCCCCAGGAGGCAGTGACGGCCCCCAGCCTGGATGGCTTTTACAGTATTGGTAGAGGCCACCAATGGCTACTTGCCACGATGGCTCTGCTTCGCCTCCAGTTGGGAGGCATTGATGCTTCTGAATGCGAGTTGCTGGAAACCGTAGGAGGGAAGAGGGCTCTTGGGCTCGGGTGCTGCTTGCTGGTTTTCCACAAGAGGGATCTGGTGGAAACAGGATGCTGGACTAGGTGGGCCACTGGCCTCATCCAGCGGGCTCTTCTCAGGTTCTTACGTTAACAGCCGATGTCAGCAGGGATCAAACCTGGGATTTTGTGCTTGCAGAGCCTGCACTGACCTTCTGCTCTGCTTCTCTCCACCCCCAGGTCTTCACCCCGCTAGGCGAAGGTCAACACACACCAAAGGCGGCTACTTGCTCTGTGGAACAACAGCAAAGAGAGCCTGTACAGCTGGCCAAAGCCTAGAAACACGTCAACTCCAAACGGTAATTAAAAGCATTCCTCATTTCAGCTGATGACTTTTAAATGGTCAGTAAGAGACTGGTAAAGCACAAGGCAATCCTTGGCTAAGATAAACACTGAGAGTTTCTTTCCTTCCAGCATGAGGACAATTTCAGGCGTTCCAAAAAACCTCACCCAGGCCCTGGAGACAAAGGCTGGCTGGTCGCCTTTAAAGGCAAAATTTGGTAGGGCTCTTACTGGGCAGACTCCCTGTGAGATGGAAACAAAGCTGACTCATCCCGAAATTGTTACAAGTAGGTTTTTTAATCCCATGATTTACAGCTAAAGAGTCAAGAATGCCAGTTGTTTATTCTGGCTAGACACACTTTCAAATGGGGTTCCACACACGTTAAAGTACGCTGGTGTTTTGTGAAAGTAACACAACAGGTTCTATGCAAGCGCAATGCATTCCCTTTTAGTTCCATTGTTGTGGCTGGAGTGGCTTCAAAAGTGGGAGGAGGTTGCATCAGAACTGGACCCCTTTGGGGCACCAGCTGTTGATGTGGCCGCCGCTCTCAGGTCATAAACAGTGCAAATGAGGCAGACACATGAAATCACTATTAAAATTGCCCTCTCTCTGAGATCAGGCAAAAATGAATGTAGAAACCCAGTTGGTTAGAGCTTGGTGCTGATAACGCCAAGGTTGCAAGTTCAATCCCTGTCTGCACAGCTGCATATTCCTGCATTGTGGGGGGTTGGACTGGATGATCCTCAGGGTCCCTTCCAACTTTGATTCTCCACTATAATTAGATTTTAACTAACTGCAGAGGAAGCAACCAAGATGATCAAGAGGCTGGACCCCAAGCCTTATGAGAAATGGTTGAAAGAGCTGGGTATGTACAGCTTGGAAAAGAGGAGAGAGACTGATAGGTGATATGACACTTGATACTTTATCAACTTGGTCATCCTCCTCGGCACACGTTCTAGCTTGTCAATATCCTCCTTAAATTGTGGCACCCAGAACTGGACACAGTGTTCCAGGTGTGATTTGGCCAAGGCAGAACGGAGCGGGAATATGACTTCCCTTGATCTGGACACTAGACTTCTGCGGATGCAGCCTAGAATAACCTAACTTTTGTTGTTGTTGCTGTATCACACTGTAGACTCAAGTTAAGCTTGCAGCCTACTAAGATCCCTAGATTCTTTTCACATGTACTACTGACAAACCAGATGTACTGCATCTTATATTTATGCAGCTGGTTCTTCCTGCCTAAGTGTAGAACCCTACTGAAATTCATTTTGTTAATTTTGGCCCAGTTCTTTTCTATAGTTTTCTTTTCATGCTGCCAGTATGGTTGCATGCGGGCTGGTACGGTAACCTTTTGTTGTAGGCTTCTTGGCTGGGCTGCTAATCTGCAGTGCCCATTTTCGCAAAACATGCTTTCAAAGCAGACAGTGCAGAGGGGAATTTTCATTCCAAGGACTGCAAACAGGCAGTTTGTAAAGAATTTTTTTATTATTTGTTTCCTCATGAGAAGCACATAATACAGTACACTTTTACTAACAAGTAAAAAAAAGTGCATATTGCATCCCCTACTGTGAATGTAGTCATACATACATACATACATACATTCTCTCACACACAACACAGTGTACATAGGTGGGTTTGGTTTTTTTAAATAAAAAACAACAACCCTAGAATAAAAAAATGTACATTGTACCAGGAACATATTTGTCAGCTTGAATTATTTCACACATTGATAAGGCCAGTTCAGATGGTGATGGGCTTTGCTAACAGTGGACAGTTGAGGTTTTGGGGGTGAGCTTAGCTCTTGGATGCAACTTATGAAGTGTCATGGAGCAAGTGCCTTTCTATTAGTAATGGCCATTCTTTGCCCTTCAAAACATAAACCCCACTTTCATTTGCTCTGCTCTCCTTTACACGTCTGGTGGTGGGTGTAGAGCACCAAGTGTGGGGTGCTAACTGGGCCTGTCAATATCTGGACCAGCCAAGATTTTACAAAGAAGCAGCTCCATCTATGGACTTCCAATTTATGCTTCAATGAGCCCATGAATGTACATTGGCAACACAAACGATAAGCTGACTTGGACTGCAAAACAGAAGAATAAACAAGAATCAAAATGGGGCCATCTCATTTAAAATGTTCAGGAAGAGCATAAGCTGGAGAAACTAAAAGGTCTCCATTTGTGCATTTCAGATTTTAGGCTGGGACATATGTTGGCAGGGAGCACAGGCTCCAGGAGATCCACCTGGTGGAGAGGACAAATTCCTTCCGTCTTTGAGATGCCTTGTGGAGTCCCTGCCTGCCTTTGGCGCTGCATAGATTAATCCAACAAGTGTGCAGTGTGTGTGGAAAGAGGGTCTTTGTATAAGAGCTTTTTCTTTTTAAAAACTCAAAACCACTGTCAACAATTTCTCAAGTAGCAAATGGGACGTCAACGAGCCATTCCAAATGACAAAAGTAACTTCAGGTATGTAAGCATGATGTCAACTGAAAGTATTATAGACGGAGCTCTATGGGCACCATGAACATCAGAGGTACCAAGACAAATAAGAGTAAGAACTTCACATAAATACACAGTATTTGTAAACTATCCACAAGGCACTCAATTTAAAAAGAAAGTAAAAGAAGTACCATCAGCTACCCTGCCATGCATCTAAATAAGCTAGCAACCTCCTGCGGATTTAAAAAATAATAATCTTTGAAATGGTATGCTGTGGGCTAGATGCTTGCTATTGGCTTAAAGACCTTTGCAGGTGTTTTTTTTTTAAAAAGGACAATGTCAACCTGAGATATACTAAGCAAGGTTGTACCCCCAGTTGAACTTTTCCAGGGTAAAATCAAATATTGCAGTCTTCCATATGCAATAAAGAACTATTTCGGCCATGAACTAAATTCTTAACAATTAACTCCCTGGAAATAAGAGGATAAACAGGACAAGAGGAGGAGACAGCAGCCCCTTTCATGAGTCAAAATAGAACTCTTCAGCAAGGCTGCTAAGGTTTGGTTTAAAAAGTGTATTGGTAAGCTGTGCTGTGCTCTTATTCTCCACTGGGCAGCCTTAAGGGCTTCCAAGAATGTATATTGCTGCAAGTTTTATGTTCTATATTGCAAATAAGCATTAGAGTGACAGGGTGGTTCCCAGCACCTGCTGTTGCCAAAATGCATCATACATTAAAGGAGGGAGGAAGCTAAGCAACCAGAAAGGCTCCACCAGGAGCAACACCAGCTGCACAGGGAATGCACAGTTGCCCCAGCAATGACCGGCAAATCCGTTGGTTCTTGAGAAAGGCTGTGGGCCCTGGTCTGTGGCTACATCACTGTGGAAAAATGGTTCAAAGGTGGCTCAGCAATTCATCCAAATAAGTATGTGGCCGGTGAGCCAACCGGGGTCAGGGCACGGGTATGAGAGGTCAGTTGGTGTTCTGCTCTCCTTCTGCAGCTGCTGCCCTCTTGACTCACAGCTGATTGGGGCTGTAGAGAAATGGGGGCAGGCTGCTTTTGGGGATTGGCCAGTTGGGACGTGAGTGAGGGGAGAAGAAAGAGGGTAGCAGTCGCCTTTTGATACCAGATGTCACACAGTACACTGGGTAGAAAAGCCAGGTGACAAAGCTGAATAATCCCATGGGTGGCGACTTCTGCAAGAAGCAAGTGTGGCAATGAAATGACTTTCAGCAGTGGACAAAAATGAAAAAGGAACACTAAACACAAAATGCATTTCATGCTACACACTACAAGAGTCTTGAACCCTGAAAAGGTCTTCTACAGTACTTTGACATGGTCGGCATAAAGTAGTGTTGCACAAATCAACACCCCAGCCCTAAAATTAATGAATCAACAGATTCACTCCGCATGGAACCTGCTGGCCACCCAGACGCAACCAGAAGCAAGGACCTCTGTATCGGGAGGAGACACACCCACAGGTTTTTGAGAATTGGGAGGACTGCTAGTTAATATGTTGAGTACAGCTCATGAAAAGATTCTGAAATTCAAATTTGGCCTCCAAAGCAGTCCTGTGGCTTCCTCCCTGAAACACTGGTCAAAGGGCTCCAGAGGAACAGGTCCAACATGGTAAGGGTGAATGCTGGGCATCTGGCCTGTGCAAATCTGTTTTGTACCTGGATAGGAAAAGCCACGTGGAACAATACTTATAATCAGAATACACACAAAACAGCTTTGTCTGTTCCAAGCTTATACTTCCAAGCAAAGAGCAAGGCTTCCGACTTACAGCATTTGCAGAGAAAGGGTTCCAACAGTTGGCACCTTGTCTGACTTGCCATTTGTGCCTGCTCAGTTTCCACCACAAAGCTTCACTCACACCAGAGGCTAGAGTACAGAAAATGGTGCTGACCATTTCGCTTGCAGGCTTGATTGACAAGGAGACCTGGAGAAGAATCTCTTTCTGAGGTGTCCCTAAGCCAGCAACAGAATCATGGAATTGTAGAGCTGGAAGGGAACCCATGGGTCATCTAGTCCAACCCCCTGCAATGCAGAAATCTGTACCATGTCAACAGGCAAAGGAAGATGCCCCAATGACCTGAGTAGGAGATACCCACAATGCACGTGGAAGTTCTGCTGTGGACTTCAAAAGGTAAGAGCTGGCATGCTGGCTTCCACAACTGTCACAAGGGCTGCAAGGAATGACCCCACTGACTATCCTAAATATTTGCCAGCCCTAAAGAAATGTGGAGAGCAGCAAGCGGCAAGCCCTACTCTGGGTTCTCAGTAGCACTTGCTCATCAACTGGGACATGAGGCAATCCCCTCTTTGGCCCTGGATTGGCGATTGGGATGGACCATATTCTGTCTGGCCCGAGACCTGTGTTTAGGAAGAGTGAAATGCCAAGAGTCCTCCCCTCCCCTTGGCTTGAGAGCCTCTGTGTGAGGCCTCAGAAGTTCTCCAAGACCTGCACCAGACTCACCTCTGGCCTGTGACCACAACAGTGTGGGGAAGGCTCCAAGTGAGGGTTCCCAGGGGAAGGATGGGTTCCTCTCCTCTGCTCTTGGCACTCCATCCCAGAAGGTTCCAACTAAGTCTGGAGAACCCTGGTGTGCGTACAGGGGAGGGTGCTCCAAGAACAATCCCTCCTGGACCTTTGAATTACAATGAATATTGCAGAGAGGACCCCCCCACACACACATCTGGTCTTATTGCACAAGTCCTCTCCCTTGTGGTGCTCAGAAATCAGCACAGCTCAGAAATCAAATCTTGAGCCCCAAGACACTCTGGCCTCGGTCAGCAAGACCAGCAGCAACAGCAGACCAAGATTCAAGTAACCTTTGACCCCCTGTGTGACTGGTGAGACGCACCTCTGGGGAAAGCGTCAAGAAGAAGTCTTTTTTCTCCCCCCCCCCCCCGTGGCACCCAGGCAATAAAACAAAGGATGATGCTGCCCCAGTCCACAAACAGCTCTGGAGCTTGGCAGGGAGCACCATCTGTTCCTGAGGCAAAATGCAGCTTCCTTCTGACTGCTGCAAGTTGAGCAAAGCACACAGTTCATTTTTACAAAAATATTAAGACAAAAGCGAAAAAGACCCCGATTCCACAGAAACTCTCCCCAATTTCCAAACATAGGTCAACAGTAGAAAAACAAACAAACCACTGCCACCCAATCCTTTATTCCATGTGTGATCAGCAACCTTAGGACATCGGGGTTATGGGCCCGGTGGGCCCCAGATGTTGCTGGACTACAACCCTCTTCAGGGGTGGCAGCAGGAGCAGGGCAACATCTGGGGGGGCAGGCTCCCCCTTCTTGTGCCACAATAGCTTTATGATAAGCTCCAAACTCAAAAGGTTGACAACTCAGAATTCAGCTACTGCTGTTTTTAACAGGGGCTCCAGGTTGCCATCCCAAACAGCATTGATGGAATTGTCTTAGCAAAGCCACATGACAGCAGAAGGCAAGGAGCCACAGGATGATCATCCCACATCCCAGGAGAAACTCAACATTCCTTCAGCCAGGCGAGTAAAGTCAGACCAGAAAGACCGTCACTCGGGGCACATAAACTCAAGGTCGGCAGGAATGGGGATCTGTGCAGTGGTGTTAACAACAATGACTGAACTGTAACTCTTCAAAAGGAGAACCATCAATTTCGGAACAAGACTGATTTTTGTGTGTTTTTTAAAAGAAAAATCCCATGTATAAATACGTGAAGAATGGAGGTAGCATGTTTGGTGTTTCCCTCTCAGGCTCTTACCTCAAGTGCCTCTTTGAACTAGGAAATTGTGCTCAAATTGAGCCGCCAGGGAAACCTTGCAAGAAAGAGTTGTTGCTTCTTCAGCATGGGAGGGGAAGAGGATATGCCCCTCTGCACCCCCCCCCGAGGAAAGCAGAGGCCCAGGTCACACATGCCACCATCGCCTTCTGAGCCGGGAGGCTGCGAGCGCCTTTTCCACTGGGTTGCTAGCCCTGTCAAGTCTCCCCCTTTCCCCACACTACTTGTGGCATCACACGGGAAGGGACTGGGGGGAGGGGAGAGAACTTTATCATCTTTTTGCAAAATGATAAAACTGCATTTAGTAAAGACAACTATAAAAGGAACAAGTTCTTTTTAACAAAGGTCATAAATATGTGTCAACTCTCCCCCATCCACAGCCTGCCCTTCAACTTTGCCAGAGCGGCTTCTGCCGGCGGCAAGGTGGCTTGCTCTCCAGTGGCCTTCAGGGCAGGCTGGCAGCGCACCACCGAGGACTCGCTTGACTTGGTCTCCCTGGAGTCCGTCAGGGCGGACAGGTCCGTCTCGCTCGCCAAGTCCTCTGAGGACAGGTTGAGGCTGCCCAGCTTGGCCAGGGAGTTGGAGCGCTTCAGCGGGGAGGAGACCGTCAGGCCAGCCAGCCGCAGCCTGGTCTCAATCTCCTGGGTCCGCTGCTTCACCAAGCCAGGCTTCCCTCGCACGCTGTGGATGCTGTCGCTGCTGGAGCTCCGCGTCAGGTTGGAGCTCCGGGACGACGACGGTGTGTAGCAGACGGTCTTGAGAAAGTCCTTTGTGAAGCTGCTTGTGTGGTCCACCGTCCGGCACAGGACAGGCGTGGAGGTCTTCTGAGACGCCCCGCCTACCAGGGGGCTTTTCTGCAGCTTCTCAGTGTCATTTTTCATACCCCTGGGTATGGGAAGAGGCTGCTGCTCCTGCTGGGCCACCTCCAGCTCCTGCGTTTCTTCCGGAATGCTGCCGTCCGCCGGGCCCCCAGGGCACTCCCTCCCATGAGCAGCTGCTTCAGGCGCTGGCAGGCTCTTGAGGCGCTCCAGCTCCTTCGTGTGCTTCCGGACCAAGCCCGCTTTCTGGAGCTGCAGGAGCGACTCCTGGTGCTGCATCAGGTAGCTATTGGTGGTCGGCTTCTCCAAATCCTTGCTGAAGAGCAAGTACTTCAGGTCCTTGGTCTGCCGGGCGTCCCTTTTTGGCAAGGAATCCTCTTTCATTCCCTCGCTGAGGACGGGACTCCTCTCGCAGAGAGTGTTTCTCAGGCCAGCTGGAGCCCTAGGGCCGTCTCTGGGCTTCTCGGAAGCACTACAGGGCCAGCCGGCTGCAGGTTTGCTGGGATCAGCGCTCTGCAAGTCACTCCCCGCTAGTAGAGGAGGCAAGCTGATGCTTTTTGCAGTGTGGATTTCTTTTGGGGGAGACTCACAGAATGCCTGCTCCAAAAACGCGGGTGTCCTGTGCAGGAGGAACGGCGGCTGTGTGCAGACCGTGGAACTGCGGGAGCGGGAGGCCAGGTGCAGGGGCTCACATGGTTCCCCAAAAGTGTCGGCTGAGGCACCAGCACTGGCATACACGCAGTCGGCGCAAGACTTGTAGGAAGGCTTCACTTTGCTGAGGATCCCAAAGATGGCATCGTGCTGAAGGGGACAAAAGAGGCCAGGTTAAGAGGTGCCAGGCATGAAACAAAAATGGGAAAGCAGAACCTGCAATCCCTGCATTGCGGGGGGTTGAACTAGATGGCCCTTGGGGTTATTTCCAGCTCTACCATTCCATAGACCTGGGCACATCATCATGGTAGGGGCACTTCCAGCTGCCCCACTCCTTGCCCTGGAAGCCTCCCAGTTGATGCTGCAGGAGAGGGACTGAGCCAGTGTAGTATAGCAATAGTAATAACAGTGGTTTGTGTGTCGGACTAGGACCTGGGAGAGTTCCAACCTCCACTTGGCCATGAACTCACCAAGGGAGCCTGGGCTAGTCACAGCCTGTCACCTTGGCGGGGGTGGGGGTGGGATTAAACAAGGAGAGGGAAAACCATGTGCGCCACCTTGAGCTCTGTGGAGAAAAAGGTGGGAGAGCAATGCAATAAATAAGGTAATTGGACGGGTGTTTCTGGAACCAAAGTAAAACTGTCAAGCTCCCTTGTTGTTTTTGCTCTTGCCAGGAGATGTAATGTGATTAGTGCAACTGTGTTATATTTACAGTGCTTTTGTTATATTGTGCTTTTGTTATATTTCCTAATACATTGTTGTTCTATTATGCTATTATGAAATTGTTCATGTGATGACTGGTTGTGAGATGTGTTCCTATTTTCTTGGTTGTAAGCCACTTTGAGCACAGAATAGTGGCACAGAAATAAAATTATGAATTGTGAATGAAGGTCTATCAGTGGCTGTTTAGCAGGTCTGCCAGCACATCAGGGCTAGAGCTTAGCCAATCAAGTATATGAGCTTTAATCAGTCCATCAAATCCACAGAAGTTCTAAGGGAAAAACACAAATGTTGGTTTTGGACTGCTTTAGAAGAAGCAGTCTTCCTCACCACTTTCCTGCACCAGACAAAAGTCTGTTATGATGCTACACGTTGTCTGCACTTTTTATAAATACTTGTATTAAAAATAATTTTTAAAAGACTTTGCCCAACTGGTTAGGAAACGTGGGTGGCACTATGGTCTAAACTACTGAGCCTCTTGGGCTTGCCAATCAGAAGGTCGATGGTTTAAATCCCTGCGACGGAGTGAGCTCCCATTGCTCTGTCCCAGCTCCTGCCAACCTAGCAGTTCAAAAGCACACCAGTGCAATAGGTACGGCTGCAGCGGAAAGGCATTTCAATGTGCTCTGGCTTCCGTCACAGTGTTCGTTGTGCCAGAAGCAGTTTAGTCATGCTGGCCACATGACCCAGAAAGCTGTCTGTGGACAAACGCCGGCTCCTTCAGCCTGAAAGCGAGATGAGCGCAGCACCCCATAGTCACCTTTGACTGGACTTAACCGTCCAGGGGTCCTTTACCCTTTCCCTTTTAATAGTGCCACTGTATTCTGCTCTGGTCAGACCTCACCTGGAGTACCGTGTCCAGTTCTGGGCACCACAGTTCAAGAAGGACACTGACAAACTGGAACGTGTCCAGAGGAGGGCAACCAAAATGGTCAAAGGCCTGGAAACGATGCCTTATGAGGAACGGCTAAGGGAGCTGGGCATGTTTAGCCTGGAGAAGAGGAGGTTAAGGGGTGATATGATAGCCATGTTCAAATATATAAAAGGATGTCACATAGAGGAGGGAGAAAGGTTGTTTTCTGCTGCTCCAGAGAAGCGGACACGGAGCAATGGATCCAAACTACAAGAAAGAAGATTCCACCTAAACATTAGGAAGAACTTCCTGACAGTAAGAGCTGTTCGACAGTGGAATTTGCTGCCAAGGAGTGTGGTGGAGTCTCCTTCTTTGGAGGTCTTTAAGCAGAGGCTTGACAACCATATGTCAGGAGTGCTCTGATGGTGTTTCCTGCTTGGCAGGGGGTTGGACTCGATGGCCCTTGTGGTCTCTTCCAACTCTATGATTCTATGATTCTATGATTCTACTTACTAGGTAATTGGAACCTTTTGTGTCCTAAGGCACTGTGTCTCTGAATTACCAGGTGCTTGGGAGGTGGGGGTGGAATCATAGAACTATAGAGTTAGAAGGGACCACAAGACAAGGGTCTTCTAGTCCAACCCCCTACAATGCCAGAATCACACCTAAAGAATTCCTGACGGATTGCCATCCAACCTCTGCTTAAAAGCCTCCAACAAAGGAGGGTCCACCGCCTTCAGAGGGAGACCATTCCATTGTCCAACAGCTCTTACACTCAGAATGTTCTTCCTAATGTGTAGTCAGAATCAGAACAAGGGAGGGCTGTGGCTCACACTTCTTATGGCTACCTGGCTGGCTGCTCTCAGAAACAGACTAGGCTAGAGGCGGCCTGTGCCTCCTACCACTTGGCTTGGCAGACCAGTCTCCTGAAAGGGCACCGTGGAGCTGTCCTTGGGGACCCTGGCTAGATTCAGTGGGGCTGTTCTTCCGTTAAGGACAAAACTGGGTGGCAAGCCAGCCACTGAGAAAAGATCCCCCACTACATTTCCATCTAGGAGCCCCAAGTGCATGGACACACTTTGCCAGGAATGAGAGACCCTCGGCCTGTAAGCCACCAGGCTGCTTTCCTGAAGCCATGCCCACGACACATGATGTCAGGCATGGGGGCAGACCAAGTGAAGGGTATGGAAAGGGACTGAAGCCCCTGCCCATCAGTTGATATGCAGGGAGTTCAATTCTGCTTGGGCCCCAAGGGCCAACTCTGGCAGGTGGGCACGACAACCCACCTGTCAATTATCCCCATATGTCACTATAACATCTGATGATGGCAGGTGGGTGGGTCCACTGAGGTGGGGGAACTTACAGGACTTCTGCCCCTTTCTGCATTTCAAAGTGAAACTTCCAGACCCAGGGAAGCCAAATTCACAAGGAGCTGCTGTGGGCGGGAGGAGAGTTTCTTGGGAGCTGGAGTGTGGTGGCCCAGAGGGGTTCAAGCCTCATCTCCGCCTTGGAATCATGACATAGACCTGGTCTGCCAGGCTCTCTTAGACCCCCTTAATGCAGCAGGAATGATGCCAGCAGACCTTCCTGGGAGGCAAATGCAACTGAAGATGTAAACCACTTAGCAAAAATTAGAGGTGCTATGGAAGTTAGGAGGGAATTATAAACACCATTTTCCCATGGTCTGAGGGCTTGGTTTAATGCATCCAACCCAGCTCAGAAGCCGGGGGAACCTTGGTGACACAGCACCACTACTGGGGGTCCTCTGGGGAGAGGATGACTCAGGAAAACCAGGTTCATAGCACAAGTTCCACCTCAGCAAGCGGCTATTTTTCAGTTCTGCCCTGATGGCAAAAATACAACGAATTCCCTACTGTCCCTCTCTGGTTTTTAAGTGTGCTAGAAGGAGCTGCAGAAATGAAGAGAAACTTGCTCTTTTAAAAATAACGGATGACAACGGTCCAAGGGACCTCTTGGCTGGCACACGCCACTCACAGTGTCAGAGCACCCAGCTTCCTCCCTGTGAGTCAGGATTTCCTCCTTCCCGCCAGACAAAGCCACAGAGGGCTGCCTCACTGAAGCAGCCATCACAGAAATAGCAGCCTTTGTCAGCATTGTGGGAGATTTCCTCAGGTGCTGGCCTCCTCCTGCACCTGGCTTGGGCAAGGAAAAAAGGGGTGAGCTTGAGGGGCTAGGCAGGATGCTTCTGACTGAGAAGGCCGGCTGGGGAAGTCTTTAGCTGCTTGAGGGAAGCAGTCACTCAAAGCGCATAGCTAAACTCCTCCCCCCGGAGGGAGAGATGGCCACCAACTTGGGTTGCTTTAAAAGAGGATTACAGTGGTACCTCAGGTTACAGACGCTTCAGGTTACAGACTCCGCTAACCCAGACATAGTACCTCGGGTTAAGAACTTTGCTTCAGGATGAGAACAGAAATCGCGTGGCGGCAGCGGGAGGCCCCATTAGCTAAAGTGGTCTTCAGGTCAAGAACCATTTCAGGTTAAGAACGGACCTCCAGAATGAATTAAGTTCTCAACCCGAGGTACCACTGTAAAGACATTCATGGAGGAGAGGGATATCAATGGCTCCCAACCAGGACGGCTCTGCTCTGCTTCTGCATACCAGTCGCTGGAAACCATGTCAGAGGAGACTGCTCTTGTGCTCAAATCCTGCTCTCTGGTTTCCCACAGGAATCTCGTTGGCCACTGTGAGAACAGGATGCTGGACTAGATAGGCCACTGGCCTGACCCATCAGGCTCTTTTTATGTTCTTGTAGAGTTCTATGTACCATTAATGTGCTGCTTTACCTGCTGCGTTCTGAGTAAGGATGGGTGCAAGTGACCTTCCTTCTCATACCCTCCCACTCTGACAAGCTGTGATGTTTTCCATCCACAGGCTGCATCTTGGGAATATGGCATAACTGGCTTGTTTGAGGAAGAGGCTCAGTGCGTAAGCCAACTGTGCCAGGTGAGCTGCAAAACTCTCAAGTGTCCCAGGGGTTGCTGGCTGCTGAGTTCATGAGACTTATTCGCCCGGATTGGTTCTGCTCAATTCCTAATATGTGGAGAACACAAAAGTAGGAAGGGGTGGTGAGCTCTGTTGCTCTCACTTCAGAGGAGGCCTCAAAATAAGAAGGGAATAGGAATATTCAATCCTTTTCTCAACAGAGTGTCCAGATCAAGGGAAGTCATAGTCCCCTTCTATTCTGCCTTATGTCAGACACCACCTGGAATATGGTGTCGTTTTGGAGGCCACAATTTAAATAAGCATATTGACAAGCTGAAATGTAGGCAGAGGAGGGTGACCAAGGGCCTGGAAACCAAGCCTGATGAGTAACGGTTGAAGGAGCTTGGTATGTTTAGCTTGGGAAATGGAGCCAGCTTGCTTTCTCCTGCTCTGGAAGGCAGGACCCAAACCAATAGATTCAAGTTACAAGAAAGGAGATTCCAACTAAACATAAGAAAGATCTTTCTGGTGGAAGGAGGTTTTTAGCAGTGGAACGGACTCCCTCAGGAGGTGGTGGAGTTTCCTTCACCAGAAGCATTTAAGCTGAAGTTGGATGGCTACCTGTCAGGAATTCTTTAGCTGTGACTCCTGCATTGCAGGGGGTGGACTAGATGACCCTTGGGTCCCTTCCACCTCTACAACTCTATTATTCTCTTTTTAAGAAAAGAAAAGCATAATCCTACTGCTATTTCTCCCTGTGAACTTTCCCGGAGACAGCTTACATGTTCTCTTCTGCTATATATTAATAGTTGGGCCTCATCCAACCCTCCCAGGCTGCCTGTGTCCCCTATGGAAAGAAGGGCTACTTACACCCCAGAAAGGAAAGCACAGTTCAGGGAGGGATATTCCATCACATGATGCATCCCTGAAGATCCTGCTTTGGGGGACAATATGAAGCATGGACTTGCGTACTAAGGGAGAGGGTGAACAGCAACAAAGTATGAAATGACCTCCTGAAGGACTCCAGACAAGAGCAACTACCATGATCTGCCTTTGGTAATGCCAAGGCATGCAACCATATCCGTGTGTGTGTGTGTGAGAGAGAGAGAGTCATACACACAACCAAACACTCTGATGTGCTCAACTGAGCCCCACAGTTCAGTCCAACACACCTCAAAATCCTCCGGGCAGCTCCTCTTGCTGTTGTTGTTGTTCAGGTTCTCACAGTTCCACCGGCTCTCCTCCTCCTGCGCAGATGAGTGACGCTTCCAGCGCTCAATGAGCTTCTCCTCTGCAGGGTCTCCTTCTTCTGGGACAGCAAGCCTGGGTACAGCTCCGGCCTTCAGGAGGCTGACCTCAGGATTCCCCTCCACAGTTTTCTCCCCAGAGACCTCTGCTCTCTCCACACTCTTCAGCTTTTCCACTGGAGGCTCATCAACAAACCCCAAGAAGGGCAGCTCTGTTGCTGCCAAATCTGCCGCCTCCTCCTCCTCCTCCTCCTCCAGCAGAAAGTCCCTCTCCAGGTCCTCCAGCTGGAAAAGTGACTCTCTGTTCACAGGCAAGGAGTCAGAAAGGCGCCTGAAACAGTAGTGGAAGCCCACGGCCTCCTGGCTTGTGCGGGGGTCTGCACAGCTGGGCTGGCAAGGAGCATCCAGGTCAACATCCAGACTGTCAAGCAGATAGTCACTTGGCCCACCAGAGCTGCCCAAGTTCTGGGGGAGGCTGTCCTCAGGCTGTTGCTTCCATAGCTTGTTATGACGCTGTTTGCTATGGGGCAAGGCAGCCGGGTTGGGGGGGGGGAGAGAGAGAGAGAATAAATTAATCATGTGTTTCTCAAAGTTCCTCACCAGGCCTCCTCTCTCTCAGCTGTCACCTGGGGGCAGCCATTCCATAGGACGGCCTCAGTGGAAGAGACAGCAAGCAGCAGGGCTCAGTCCACCAAACTTTGCTGAAATGTCCAACAACATCAGGCACCCCCTGCATTTGCAAGCTGGTCATTATAAGAACAACTGTTTAGGAATGGGTGCCTAAGTTTGATTTCCCTCCCTGTCCCTTTCCCCTTGTGTGTTATATGTTGTTCTTATTTCTTTCTTTCTTTTTTAGTCTGCAAGCCTGTGGGGCAGGGACTGTCTTGTCTTAACGGATGGAAGCCTCTGGTAGCCTTTTTGGTGAGCAGGGTACCAATGCCCTAAATGAGAATGAATTAATGTATGAATAAAACCTTGAGTCAGGCTCAGAGCAGACTGGCAGCCCATGAAGACTTCATCACCTGCCTTTTCTTTTCTTTTAAAGTAATTTGTATGGCTGTTGTTTTGTTCCATTTTAGAGTTAAGAAAAGACAAAGGCACGACAAGAAGAGGCGCACCTTGCGCTGCATGACCTGAAGGAAGACCTCTTTCATCCTTATGTAAATAAAGTCAAGCAGAAGAGTAAAGCAAAGGGAGTCTGAGGCATAGGAGCGCCTCCTTCTTCTGAATGTGTGGGTCTGTCCTGAGCGCCACCATTTCAAGACAGAAGAACAATGGGGTCAGTGGCAGCATGGGGCCAATGCTTACCTTGCTCCCTCCACTTTCCCTCCCAAGCACCAGCGCCCTACCTGGCATCCAGAATGCCCTCGTACTCCAGGAGCTGCCTCATGAAACCAGCATTGGGTCTGGCGATGCTGCGCTTCTGCTTGACGTAGTTGTATGCTTTCTCCAGGGGCCAGCCAAATTCCTTCATGGCGTACGCGATGACGGTGGAGGCAGAGCGACTCACACCCATTTTGCAATGGACTAGACACTTGGAGCGGTTTTTCCTGTAGAGGGGAGGGAGGGAGGGAGATTGGCAGCTGGGGAAACAACCATTCTTGGTTCTGCAGCACAAACTGGGACACTTGAAAGCTTTTGTGAATCAAGATTCCAAGCACCTCTTTGATTTGTCAACAAACAAGCATTTATTTAGGGCATGGGTATAGTAGCTTTGGCTGCCTGGCAGCACAGCACAGGTGCTCATAATAGCAATGGCCACGAAGCCTCTGTGAGTGAGTAAGAGCTCTGAACTCATATCCCAGCCCACTTACGTACTGGTTGGGAGAGGGAGAGTGTTAAGGCAGATCCATCTCTCTCCAACTCAGCTCCACATCTGTATATAAGGATAATGCAAACACACTCTGCAGGGCAAGTGTGAGGATGAATGAAGCAGAGGGTCGTAAGACGCTATGCAGAACACAACAAATAGCCCCATCCACATCAGAGGCATGGCTGGTGGTGACATGAGAGAGAACCTGATCTGTGGCTGCTCCCATACTGAAGGATTCCCTCCTGAGAGGCCATATGGGCTCCCTCTTTCCATTGGCAGGCCGAGAGCTTCCTGCTCAAAAAGGCCTCTGGAAACTGAGGTGCAAACAATGCTGATCGCTGGGCAGCTGTCAAGGCAAACTGTAGTTCAACTGCTGGCTCTAAATGTGTTCTGATAACTTGGTTTTTAACTAGTTTGTTTTCCTTTGTATTTTTATAAGGATACTTCTAAATGTTATAAGCCACCTTGAATCCCAATTTAGGAGAAGGGCAGATTATAAATACAATAAACAAACAGTTAGCTTATACAGTTTTTGTCAAGATACCAACACCAGTGATTTAGGGGACAGGCCAGTTGGTGGCTCTCTCTGGGCTGGTGCAGCCTAGTGGCTGAGGGACTCCCCAGGAAAACACTGGCTCTGCGGGGTGCAACACAGGAGGAAGACTGCTGACCTGCCTTTCAAGGCTGTTGGAAGGATTACTGAGACCATTGAAGGTTCCTTTGTGCCATATGAACGCTAAGTATCATCAGTGAAAACAGATAGCAAGGGAACCTTTATTTTCACCAGCAGGACACCAGGGACATGGAGCTGCCTGGGCATGACTGCTGCTGCCACCCTGCCTTTCTTGTAAACTTTGCTGGTGAAGCTGCCCTTCTGTTTGGAGGCAGAGCCCTGGGCTGTACGCTCCACAGTGAGGCTCTCCCAGCATCCAGAAGAGGGCTTCCCTCATCGCTGACAGAACACGGCACGCGGAAAAAGTGTCCCTTCTGTGCATCAGCTTACTTGGCTTTGTTGATGAAATGGTAGGCCTCGTTCCAGTGGGCAAGTAGGTCGGTGGTCTCTTCATCATAGACCCTGATGTTGTGGTATGCAAACAAGCCAGGGAAAAAATTGTCAATCTCCCTTGTGACGTTTAAGATGTAGTCAACGCTGCAAACATAGGAACAGATCAAGACAATGTTTGTGCAAAACAGCTGAAATGTCTCCTGCACTGGCACCACTTGGACTTACAATCCCACCCGCTCAAGATTACCCAAATGATGACCTCTTGGCCTTTCTATTGACTGCTGCCCATATGGAGATAGCCAGATGCTGGAAAAGTGGAACTGGGCTGAACAGTGATTCTTGGTATGGTCAATAGCATTGCCTGAACGACTAACATGCCAGGTCAGAGCAGCAAAGGGCAAACACAAACTATTCCTTTTATAACATATGGCAAATGTTTATTGAATACATAAATTGTTCAGACTGTGGCAGGAATCCACCCAACACTCATGTGAAAATGTGGTGTGATCTTTCAGAGTAATCAAATGAAACTTTGTTACATGGCATGACAAAAGTCTGTAATTTTATCAGGGCAAGTTATTTGTTGTTTACTGTTGTAACAACAGTTTTATAAGAGACTGTGGTTTTATCATGATGGTGGGGGTAGGGAAAACAGCAGCCTTTCTCCCTGTCACAAGGCCATTGCTGGTTTGTAACAACAGAAATTCTGCACCAGGAAAACCTCAAGTTCCGCATCTTTCATGACATATGCAGACATCTGCCAGTTTCGCTTTACTTCACATAAGCTATTCTGCCATTTTACTTGTTTGCATAATGTACTCTATTATGGGCTAGGAAAAAGAGCTGTGCTGGGCACTGAAACTCTCCCTGGAGATCTAGAAGCCTCGCTTAGCCACCCTGTGAATCAGAGTTGGAATGGCTTCCAAGGGTCATCTAGGCCAACCGCCAACAGAGGACAAGGCTCCTGGGACTGAAATCAGCAGTGCAGGATGAGGAATTTTAGCACGTGCAGTTTCTCCCAGTGCTGCCACACCACAACAGGAGAACCCGCACTTGATGAAATTCTCCCTCCTAAACCCCCCGATGTTTCAAAAGAAGAGCCTCAGTGACCAGGGATTACCAGCTAACTGAGGAGCTGGAAAACATGGTACTCACCCAGAGCCCCGTAGCTCCTCCAGGTTGGAGGCATTCCACTCGGAACCCTGGAAGAACCACACTAGAGTCAAGACACACAACAAAAGCAGCACCACACAGGCGTTCGTGGCAAAGGCTTTCAAATGACTGGGCTCACCTGCTTGGCAACTTACCAGGTACAGATGGTCAAAAATGAGAGAGGGCTTGTCCATCTGCCCCAGGATTAGCAGCATCTCATTGTCAATGAACTCTTTGAACTCCTTCAAGTTGCAGCTCATGTGCTTCTCCAGCTCATTCCGTATCTACACGGGCGAGAGAGTAGCAGAGTGAGGAAGGTGGCCAATCCACCCGAACACGGACTGGCCATGAAGGGAGTCACTGCTCAGCGTGAAGGAAGCCCCGGGTCCAACCTCTGGCACCTCCTGTTAGGAGGATCAGGCACCATGAGTCAAGAAAGGCCCTTTCTCTTCCTGAGGCCTCAGGAGAGAATCTGGGCTAGATGGACAAGAGCAGCTTCTTATGTACCACACTTACTTATTTATTTAAAAAGCATTTACCGTATTTTTCGCCCTATAGGACGCACTTTTTCCCTCCAAAAATGAAGGGGAAATGTGTGTGCGTCCTATGGGGCGAGTGCAGGCTTTTGCTGAAGCCTGGAGAGCGAGAGGGGTCGGTGCACACCGACCCTAGGGAGCCCGGCGCGAAGCCGTGCCGGGCTCCCAAAGGTTGCGCAGAGCTGCCTGCATTCCGAAGCCTGGGGCGCGCTGAAGAGTGTGCCCGGGCTTCGCGCAGCTCTCCGCAAGCCTGGGGAGACCGGTGCGGCTCCCTAGGCTTGTGGATAGCGGGCTGTTCTGGGGGCTGGGGTCGGGGGAAGCTCGGGCTTCCCCCACGGCAGCCCCGTGCCTGGGGGGGGGGGAGATAAATTTTTTTTTCTTTATTCCCTCCCCCAAAAAACTAGGTGCGCCCTATGGGGCGAAAAATACGGTATATACTGCTGTTCATAAAAAGCAGTTTACAACTATTGTACAAAAAACCATACCATAAAAGAGATATTAAAAAATTTAAATAAGAAATCAGCTGGCTATCATGGAAATAAGTATTCTTAATTGCCTGCATAGACCTGATGGAAAAGAAAAGCGCCGGCTGAATCTCTAGTGTTCGCCACAGCTGGGCCAATGACACCAAAGACTCAGTTTCTTCTTGTTGTCAAATGAGCCTTGGGGAACGACCAGTGACGTTGCTCCTGCAGATGATCCCAGTGATCGTACTGGGATGTCAGGGTTCAGGCACTCCCTGATGTACCCTGGACTTAAGCTGTTGTAGATGGGCAGTCAGTGCTCAACTGTGGTGTCATAGGTTGTCAGCCAGGACCCCCATCAGCAGTCTGGGGCCTACACAGAGAGAAGTACTTTCAGGCTCCTAGGCAGAATCTGTTCTCAGAGCGACTGGAGCAGAACACCCTTCAACTAGTGAGGTGGCACCTTGCAGTTGATACCAAAGGGAGGGCCCCCCAAGGTCAAGATCCTGGGAAGCCCCTCACCGGATCACCAACACAACTAGGTTAGAATGCCATGGGGAGGGGAGTAAGTCACAGAGTCATCCTCAAGGTTCAAACTATCTAAACATAATTATCTGCAAGGGAGGGGGGAAGCACAATGAGGTGTCCATGGTTCTCCACCTCCTCAGGTAGGTTGGACAGAGAGGAAGTGACTGGACCAAGGTCAGCCAGAGAACTTCATGGCTACATGGGGATTTGAACCCTGGTCTCTCCCAGGTCCTAGTCAGACATTCCTACCACTGCATCACACTGCAACAATAGTAGTAACAACAACAACAATATAGGGCCTCCGATTTTGTTTGCTAGGCAGCGAAGGAAGCAAGGCAGTCCCAGGACAGGCCACCGGAGGCTCTGCTTACTTCTTTAGAGGTTACGTTCTCCAGATCTTTGCTCATCATAATACTTCGGAGTTTGGCCTTGATGTGGCGTTCTGCTCGCTCCCTCTCAGTTGGTCTGGAAAGGCAAGAAAGGGAGATGGGAGTTTCCCAGCAAAGAAATCTGTGGGGCTGCGAACCACGGAGCCTGACTCCCAATGAAAAGCTGTTCCCTGGGAACCCAGGAACTTCTGCTTGCATTGCAAAAGCAATCAAGTTACTAGTGCTCATGTGAAAGAAAAGCTAAACTCAGGCTACAAAGTCAGTGTTTACTGAAGATTCAAGCAGACTGGATGCGTAGTGCTTTCAGTAGCTAAGCAGTGAAAATACCCTTTGGCCACCATCTTGATCCTCCACAGAGCTGCATCCCAGTATTTCCCCAAATACACCCAAGTACCTATCAAAATCCTACATATACTATCCCCTTCTTGCTTTCCACGGTTCCATCCTGGTTTTGAGGCGGGGGAGGGGAAGGAACACATAATTTCCCCCAGAACTGTAGAGCACCAAGCACAAATTATGCCCAGGATTGGTTTTCACATTTAACTCTGAGGAGGAGAGCCCGCTGGATCAGGCGAATGGCCCATCTAGTCCAGCCTCCTCTTCTCACAGTGGCCAACTAGATGCCCATTATGGGAAACCTGCAACCAGGACCTCAGCGCAAGAGCCCTCTCCCCTTCTGTGGCTTCGAGAAACTGGTATTCTGACTGTGAAGGCAGAGCATAGCTCACGGGGCTAACAGTAACTGATATCCTCTCCCCGATGAATATAAGAACCCTTCTATTTGTGGGATTTCTCTAGTCAGAACACCTCAGACCAAAACCCAAAGGGGAGGACTCACGTGTCCACATATAGAGCTGGCGAGTCGGGGCGTGTGGACTCCAAGTCCTGCATGGCGTTCCACTCATTGATGCAGCTTTGCTCGGAGGCGATGCAGCTCTCGTAGTACGTGGCCCAGACGAGCGCCATCCCGCCAGGGAAGTAATTGTGCCTCCGAGCCACCTCACAAGCCTTGTGGAGGATCTGCAAAGCAGACCTGCAAGCATGGAAACCCAGAGAGGAAAAAATTGCCCAAGGGCCAAGGACACAGGAATAGGGGGAGGCAGAGGGACCGATAAAATAATCTGCAGAGGAACAAACATTAACAGCGACAAAGTTTCACTATGGTTGAGCTGCTGAATTTATAAATTAAGAACATAAAAGAGCCTGCCGGATCAGACAAAAGGGAGCCCAACTAGTCCAGCACCCTGTTCTCACAGTGGCCAGCCAGATTCCCATGGAAACCCACAAGGAGGACCCAAGCACAACAGCACTCTTTCTTCCTGCAGTTTCCAGCAACTAATATTCAGAAGCATTTACTGCCTCCAGCTGTGGTGCGCAGAGCATAGCAATCCTGGCTAACAGCCAATGATATCCTTAATCTCCTCCATGAATTTGTCAAATCCTCTAATTACCTTCACATAAGTCTCAATGCAGTTTACAAGCATATGATAAATACAACTAGAATACCAAAAACGAAAAGAAACAAAAAAAAAGATGGGTTTGAAATCAGAATCCATGCTAACTGGTTTTACTGAATTAAGATGCAAGATGAACAGTTTAAGGCACCTGAAGCAGAGTATTAGGTGATGCTTTCCCAGAGGTGGGGTGTAATTATGGAAGAAGTTTCACACTTTGAATTTTCTCCCATCTCATAAAGGTACAGGAGTTGCGCCATCCCTGTCACTGGCACAGGACGACAGAGGCCAAGTAGCAGGAACAGTGAGTTATTTGTTGATTACATTTCTCTCCTCTGTAGCACCATGGAACCCAAGGAGGCGTTCATGGGGATCCCTGTGCAAGAACTACTGCTTCATGTGCCTTCATCAGGGGGCAGGAAGGATGCTTCCCAGAAACACCATCCACATGGCTGCCATGCCTGGCCCCACCCCCTGCTGTTTGCACGGGTGGGGTTGAAATTTCAGGAGGCCCTTCCCACCAGTCTTTCACCACAGAGCAGTTTCCACACCCCGGCATTTCAAGCAGGACCACCACATAGTTTGTGTCTATAAACTGGGCCTTGGTAACATGCAAAAGCGATTAAGTGCAGGGCAAGACCATAATCCACTGGTGGCTGGGCCCACGCCTGTGCCAGCCCTTAATATTCTAAGGGGGAGGGTGCCCTCTCCAGGCCTCCTCTGGGCACTCTTTTTGCATGTGAGCAATACAGGCACAGGCCACGCTGAGCTGAACTGGAAGCACAACAGAAAGTAAGCCAATGTGCAAAAGTCCCCTGTGAGCACGGGGAAGCTTGTTAGGTGACAAGATAACAGATGGCTAAAGATGGCTCTGTTCCACTTGGCCTCAGGCAAAACACTTGACTGGGTGTAGGATATTAACATGTGGGGTCAAACAGCAAGTCGTTCACAGGACAGCTGCAGTTATCACTCAATAACCTGAAAGTGTGAAAACTGTTCTCAAGTCATCATAGATCACGGCTTCTGCTCCCCCATGGCAATTATACATTAGCAAGCAGCCAGGGACACATGCATGAGCAGAGGTGAAAAGAAGAGATGGGGAGGCACAGAAGCTAGAAAGGGCCTCCCTTGCAGGCAGAAGGAGCTGGGTTCAATCTCTGGACTTTCCAGGAAGGGCTGTGGAAGACTCTTCTTTGCCTGAGACCCAGGAGAGCCACTGCCAGCCAGAAGAGGCAATGCTGGGCTACGCAGACCTGAGAAAGTGGGCTTCCTACGTTCTTCATCATTAGGGTTGGTATAACTTGAGATCCCTCCTCTGCCCTAGGTTGTATCCTACTAAGGCTTTGTAAAAGACTGAGTGAAGGAGAGGGTTCTAGGGAAAGTTGAAGCTGCGAAGTTCTATGAAAAGGTTTTAAGGATGGATTTCATTTCTTGGGGTTCTACCCAAGCTTCTGCACAATTTATATACCTTTTTCTTCATGCTGGGTACTCCTGTTCCTCACATTATTAGCCTTCCTAAATAATTTACCAGTCCAACTTCATGCTCTGATTCAGCAAGACACCAAGAGTGTTGAGACTCTCCCATGGGACAGAAATTCTAAAGCCTGTCTTTAGAAACCTAAAATGTAAGGGTGGGTTTGCAGCCTGGCAGATTTGATGGACAAGGAAGAATTGCTCCAATTTATTCATCTCAACCATCTAGTTTCCCTCTGGTGCTTTTTCTAAAGAGAGAGGAGCTAAGTTATATCATAATTTATGGTCAAGAGTTGGCCTAGCCTTCTAGGACTCCCCTCCCCCTCCAGCAACTGCAGCAATTCAGTGATTGAGTTGTTCTGGGGGGTGGAAGGCAGGGATTGTTCGCCAGGCAGGGGCACTCTGGAGTGCAGGTGAAAGGCTACATTTTGTTGTCTAGAAGGGAATGAGAAGAGTGAACTGCTGAAGAAAAAGAAAAAGGTTACTCACCACATTGCTTGAACTGAAACGGGCTTGAAGATATGCATCCTTCCTGCAGTGCTGACGCTGAACCCACTAGCAAGGAGACCAACAGAGAGAAGAAATCACTCTATGCTCCTGAGGCCATGCATCACAAGCTATTGTCGCTGCGGTTATTACTATTATGAAGAAGAAATCATTCACACTCTTAGGGCTATGCATCACAAGTTGCTGTTAGTAATACTATTCATTCTTAAACTGCTTTATAACCAAAGCTCTCATAAAGTTTATATAATGTTGTATTGCTAACTATAGAGCTTCAATATTCAATAAGAAGTTGAGGGTTTGGTCGTGTTCCAAAAAGACACACCCTTAACAGTAGCTAAAATATATCTATACAAACAACTCGGAGTTTAATGAAGTGGCCTTTCCCAGCAGACCTGCTCTGCTTAACATCGCCTTCGTTTTGCCAGCCGCCAAAATGCTCTTGTTTCTTACCCATCACCATCTAGATGGATCTTGGTGTCACTCCACAGACGCAGAACCATCCCGATGGTGCAGCTTTTGCTACCAAGAAAGAGAAATGACAATGTTTGACAGGCTTCAAACACATGTGGACCTCAACAAAACAACGGCCAGATTTCATGCATTTGTTAATTACATTTTTATTCTCTCGGGGTGGCATATATGGTCCTCTCTCCTGCCACAATGCCTCCATTTTATTTTCCCTTGTGAAGCAGGTTAAGCAGAGAAAAGTGACTGGCTGGCAGACTAGGGGCTCTGGTTCAAGTCCAAAACTCCGGGCCTCTCACAATTGTTTAACATCTTCAAGATGCCTTTCAATTCCCACACAAACATCCCGGGCTGGTGTTCTAGAGAAGGACACCTTAGCAAACAGCCACAGATTTCTGGTGAGTGTTCTTGCTGTGGGTGGGAGTAGGTATCCAGAGTTTGCCCCTACACATGACACCTGAACATCTTTTATATTTTATTGTCAACTCAAGTGTCTTTGACACCCTAAGCCTTTGCATTAAAATAAGACTATGTTTACGTGTGTGGCTTCTACTGCAATTCTTTTGGATGATCGCTGACCCCCACAGAAAACAACAGGCTGGTGGCATTTTTTTTCAAACCTGCACTCACCTCTCCTTGCTTGAAAAGTCTACTCCCAGCAGGATATTCTCCTCCGTGTCTTGGCGTCCGGTGCTATAGACAACCACCATGTACCTCACCCGGTCTGTCCAGACACTTTCCAGACGAACAGCCTAAAAACCAGCAAGACAGTTCTCAGTGACCACTTCCTTCACACCAGCCTCTGAGAGCCCATATTCTGTTCTATTAAAGTTACAGGTGTTCCTCTTCAAGTTAATGTCTCAGATTTTTCACAAGCTCTGTATTGGCTTACCTAAGTATGTTTCTGAGGAGATAAAAGGGAGGGTGACTTAAATGGATTTGCACCCCACCAAGCGGTTGACACTTTTGCCCTGCTCTGTTAACGAAGTGAGGAAATGTTCTCTAAAGGAGCAGTGGAAGACCTGTGGTGGCCCGCCGACTGCTGCTGGACTACAACTCCCATCATTCCTAACCACTGGCCATACTGGCTGGGGCTGGAGGGCTACACCTTCCCCACTCCTGCTCTGAAATAGGCTCCTTGGGGCCTTTTAGGAAGCAGCCCAAGAGACAGTAGGAGGCCAGTGCAGATGCTCAAAGCACAATTCAAACAAGGCTTGGATTTCAGTGGGAGAAACTGAACTCATCTTTGAGCTGGCTTGTGGCTCAAGCTGGATTACTGTGCCAGTAAAATGATTCCAAGGGCTGCTCTTCTTCAAATGGTGCCTTCACCATCCTAAATTTTAAGCACCATCTGCAGATCTGCCATACTCTCTCACGAGTCCTTTATCAAGCACCGCACAGAGATTGTGGTCCAGACACATGGGGGTTGCGGAATGAGCAAGGCCTCTTACCAATTTGATCCTGTCCTCACAGCGAAGGAGGTTGATCATCACCTGAAGATGTTGGGGCAAATCACCTGCAGATCCACAAGTAGATATGGATTAACCTGATGCTTTGAACTGTGTGATATTCTACGTCAAGTCCACATGGTTCAAGAATGGTATGCATAAAACTACGTTGGTTTTGCTTCCTGTTCCTTTAGACTTCCCCAGTCTGCCTCAGAGAGTTTAAGAGATGGCAGAACATAGCTTTGTTAGCTTCATATTAGATCCGCCCCTGCAAACCACTGCTCTGTTTAGCTTTGGTCAACTGTACACCACGTCAACTGCTCTGAGAAGCGGCTGCTCTCCAAGGGGCGTTTTTCCAGCCCAACTGCCTGAATCCTTTTCCATGGTGGATGCTTGCCCTGTTCCACCACTGAGTTGGTTTGTGTTGGACATTTGGGTACAACTCAACTTGCAGAAGAGTGGTTTTCATGGAGTAAAGACAGGAAAAGTGAGGGACCTCCACATTCCCAGACTATCCCTGTACCTTTAACCCAGAGGTTTCCAAGCTTTTTGAGTCCACAGCTCCCTTTACCAACTACATTGTTTCGGTGGCACCCCTGTGGGGCTCAGGAGCCCAGTTATGTAACCCCTTCCTCCAGAGCTGGCAGCCTCTCACGCTTTTGGGAACACCCTCCTTTGTGGAGTATTCCTCTCCTCTCCTTAAGAGACCCCTGGTCTCTGAGCTGCCCCCCCCGCCCCAAAGAGAGGGGCCTCCTCACACTGCCCCACAGGGGCCTGGGACCTGTCTGTCCATTCCCAACAGCTGGCGGACTGCCTGGCTAGGCTCCCTGGCCCGCTTGCTTGCTTACTCAGAGGCCGCCTCAACTCCTGACAACCAGCACCCCCTGGCCAGCCCCAGAGGCACCTTTTGCCCATGGAGCTTGTAGCTAGGGCTGGTGCAACAAACAGCTGTGCAAGCCTTTGGGAGGCAGAGATGCAAGAGGGCATCAGAGGAGAGAGGGAAGGAAAGGGGGACGGAGACCAGTGTTGCCTGCGGCACCCCTGGCCATCATTCAAGGCACGCCAGGGTGCCATGGCACACGGGTTGAAAACTACTGGCTCAGGGGAATGGAAGAAACCCCAAACCTCTGGCAGCTCTTGTCACAAGAGTATTTGATTTTCCATGAAAAGAATTGCTTTTAACTGTCCTGGTCTTTCCCCACAAGGAAACCAGGGCCTTCTGGTGGTTCCCTCACTGTGAGAAGCTAAGTTACAGGGAACCAAGCAGAGAGCCTTTTCGGTAGTAGTACCTGCGCTGTGGAACGCCCTCCCATCAGATGTCAAGGAAATAAATCATCATTCGAGGCACCCCAGGGTGCCATGGCAAACGGGCCGAAAACCACTGCTTTAACCTATTGGCTTACTTCTTTACCTCCTTGTTGTTTAACTTTAGACTGATAGGATGCATCCTGCTTTACACCTTCCTCCTGCTCCTGACACTTCTCTCTCAGACCTCAAGCTGAGGAGTCACCTTGGAACTATACTCTGAGAGAAAAGCAGCAAGCATGATTCCCTTTGTCATTTCCAGAATAGCACGTTAGGTTAGAACTAGGAAGAAATAGAAATAGAAATAACTTCCTCTGCAAGTTATTTACTTCCTATAATAAACAACTTTTGTTATTTTCTTACTCTACAAGCGTATCTCAGCGCGTGATTACAACAGGTAAAGTCTACTCTCTAACCACAATTCACTTGCTACCAAATGCTGCTCACTCTAGGTGGCTAAATGACCCAGCTGTTCCAATAGTTTGGCCTCAGGTCAGTTGCTGGTTTCCCTGCTTCCAAGTGAAACAAACAAGATACGTCACCCAGAATAGTCTCTGGACCCTTTGGCAGGCCCAAAGCATGATTACTCACACCATAATCTTGTAACTCAGACCTAAGATTTGCATCATGGTCCATTTTGCATTTTGCACTGAGAGTCAGACGAGGTCTTTTAGTGTGTATGAGGAAGGCAAATGGATGCATATAGCCAAGAATACAAGTCCCAGCTTAACGATTTGATGGTGCAAGCTCAGTAAGATACACTGTGGGATCTGTGAAACTGCTGACATCTGGAGAAATACAAGTCTCAGCTCCCAGCCACACAGGACCGACCATGTGGTGCCCTGTCCTACAGGCTGTTTGCCCCTAACAGGACCCAGCACTCCTTCCCTGGCTCCCAGAGAGAAACATTTTTAACATATAAGTCTACAGAAAACCACTGCCTTAAGTTAGCATCCCCCCCCCCCACGTTTATTTTTCCTAGGTTATCATGCCCAAGTCATGAGGACTGCCCAAGAAAAAAACATTTTGCTGTGACAAAGCTTACCAGCATGTTTGTGAAGGTGAGTAAGACTCCGTGGACCTTGAGGGCTGTTTCCTTGCTGGAGGAATAGTGCAGCACCTTTCACCATAAAAAAACTCTCACTCAAGCTGGAAGACAAACAGATGCAGGAGATCAGGCTCGGGGAGGGGGGTGCAACAGGGAGGGCTATGAGGGTAAATAGCAAGTCTGGATTATCTCAGTAATGCTAGCAAGGGTGAAATCCATGCAACACACGTGTTCTCCACATAAACTGGCCTGGGGGGCAGTCCCAACACTCCAATCCCACTGGTTTGTAAAACACTGTCAGAATTGAAATGAAAATCATTTACAGACTTCACAATAAAGGCCCATTCCAATTCTTGCATTAGAAATATGGCATAATTATTTCATTTGTGCCCTGTTTGGGGATACTTGGGGAGAGAATAAACCAAGATGATTTCATTTTCCCATTTTCTTTCTATAACTTATGTAACAAGCTGAAGGTACATTTATTTCATATATTCATTTCTCAAGTCAAAGGCTACAAAGCAAGTAAATGACATACTAATAGTCAAGTAAACATTGGAAATATTTTTATCTGTTTCCCTCAAAAAAGTTCCTCTCCCCTTGAGGAAAAAGTGAGTGTCATGCGCTTCCAGTGTTCCTGGAAATCTCAAGACAATCACCATGACGAAAGGATTGTGCCTTGTGTTCTTCAAAACACTTGAGCCCTTGTTAGACCAGAGAGTCAGCAGCAAAGTCCCAGGCTTTAAACGGCTGGCTGTCCTAATGGGCTGGTGATGCTTTGCTGCGGGCAGAGGACTTTAAAGGCAGCAGGGCTGCAGGTGCTGGCCTTCTATGTAACTTTCCAACTGGGTTTCACGTTTGGCTGCTCCAGGAGCTGTTTTTGTAGGGGAGGATGTGACCCTCCAATTCAGTGACTCAACAACACTTGGTTATAAAAATCCAGGTTGTGAGAACAGTTGTCTGTATGAACTTTTAATGTACAGTGGTACCTCAGGTCACATACGCTTCAGGTTACAAACTCCACTAACCCAGAAATAGTGCTTCAGGTTAAGCACTTTGCTTCACGCTAAGAACCAGAAATCGTGCTCCGGCGGCGCGGCAGCAGGAGGCCCCATTAGCTAAAGTGGTGCTTCAGGTTAAGAACAGTTTCAGGTTAAGTATGGACCTCTGGAATGAATTAAGTACTTAACCTGAGGTACCACTGTATCTGTTTCTTAGCATGCAGTTTCAAGCTGCTCTTTAAAAACTTCAACTGCAGATGATTCTTTGGGATTTAGAGAGGAAACTACCACCCCCTTTTCATGCCATCTTCCAACTGCACGTTTTGAAAAAAATTATGGGATGAAAGGGAAGAACAAAATAAAGCTTGGAGAACCCAAACTTTGTGACTGAGAGAAACTGGGACGCCGGCAAGGGCAGGCTGGTTCTGTTGTGCATTTCTCATTCATTTCGCCAGACTTGGCTGGCCAAAACTGCAAATGTGTGAGAGATTCTGCATTTTAAAAGGCTGTAAAAGAATGGTCCTATCTCAAGAAAAAAGGGAGGTCTGCCTAACCTAGACTGGCTTGCTGTGCTTAGTTGCAGCTCTCTAGTGCAGCCTTTCTGAAACACCTCCAGCTGCTTTGGGGAAGGTTCCTCTAATTCAGGATTTCCCAAACTTGGGCCTCCAACTGTTTTTGGACATCCGCAGCTGGCAAGACCAGAGATTATGGGAATTGTAGTTCAAAAACAGCTGGAGACACAAGTTTGGGAAACCCTGTTCTAATGTGTTATTCTGACAAGGGTTTACCCAACTTTGAGATCTTTTAAGTTGGAAATGCCAGGAACTGAACTGGGGTCCTTCAAATATACAAGGGACATTCAACTCCTTCCCGCTTAAAAAAACAGATTTCTAATTGACTGGGAATTTCCCTAATGAAGCCTCAATGGAAACAGCTGGGATTTATGAGAAAAGAGGGCTTTTCAGCAGACACAACACTTGCAACACAATAAAAATAAAAATAAAATTAAGCACACAATCTTTTTTATTCCGGAAGAACTTAGGTTCCCCCCCCACCCCAAATTTATAATTCATTCTTCAAGATCAGCCTCAGAAACTAACAACCTCCCACCAATATGAGCTCATTGACAGGCCAACAATGAAAAAAAAATGTGGAAAACAATTGGACAGCACATAAGGAGATATGTTGGTGCACAATGGCAGTTTTTTAAATAAAAAAAAGTCTGAAGTCAGAAAAGCCAAGCGATGAAGAGTGCTCTCTGCCATTAGCCACAAATCCCAACAGACAATCTCTCCTAACATTTCCTGCCATTCTAAGCTCAGCAATACACAATTCCTGTTTATGATAAAGAGGAGAGAGAAATTGCCAACTGCCCGCAAACTCCAAGCAGCTTTATCAAGAATTGATGAGATCATTCTACAGCTAGGCCTAATGAAAGCGAAGTCCACAGACGATGCCTTGATTCTGCGGCCATGCGGTCACCACTGGACAAAGCAAAGGCGCTCAAGATGTTTCAAAAAGCTTGTTGATAGCGAAAAATGTAAAATAAAATAGGCGTGCTTCCCGGATTTCAGCAGCTGTCTCACAAGCAAATGACATAGCATTTTCACTGCCACAGACATAAACATCATCAAAGTTGCCCTCAAATATGGCAATATCGGGCAATCCAGCAAATCTGTATTGCAATGACTGTTTTTAGGAGGAAATGAACATCTTTTCAAGGACCACACGAGCATCTGTGTTGAGCACCCATCCCAAACACACACACAAACCACATTCCGCTCACACTAGTTGCCTGCAAAGTAATTCTCTGGCTGTTGCCCCAAGACAGCATAAGCAATGATGAACCCCCAACCAACTTAAATCAGGCTTGCTTCTATACAGCTCCCTTAAAATGCAAATGTTAGCAATTATATGTTAGCAATTTTGCAAACAACACACAAAAAGAAACCTTACATCTTTGCTTTTTGTTACCAAAACATCAGATCTGAAATAAACACAACGACACAGAAGATTTCACTTAAGGAGAAGAAACCTAAACAGAACCTAGAACCCTCAAGTAAGCAAAGCCATAGAGGGGAATGGGGGGGGGGGGTTAACGTTCCATACATACTATTTTGGACGGGGTTTCCTTGAGCAGCAGAAGCATTGCACTGGTCGAAAAGACAGGCAGAAGTCAGCAAAATCTGAAAGGTTCATAACCAACATCCTCTCGCTACTCAATTTTATTATTTTTTTGGCAAGACAAAAGAGAAGAGGAGAAAACGGCCACCAACTGTTGAGTGAAGGAGAGAAGACTCTCCAAGTCTGTTGACGCTACCCAGGAAGGGGTGCCTTTTACGGAACACTGTGCTCCCCCCACCATATCCTGGCTCAGAAAGCACTTGCCCTAACATATCCTGATGAAAGAGGGCCTTTCAAAAGAAAGGGCAACGGAGGGGGGAGAAAACCAGCTGAAGCTCATCAAATCATTAAGCTCCTACAGACTTTTCTTCTTTTCAGGCTCTGTAAAACAGCAGCAGCACCTCTTGTTATCAGAAGAAAAGTACAGTCCAACAGCCGGGCTCCAAAAGAACTCCAAATTCATTTGAACCTCAGTAGATTAAGAAGTGTCACACTGACAGATGAGTAAGTAAAATCCCCCCCCCCAAACCCCAGTTCTGCACTGCATATAGAGTGAAACAGCCTCATTATGTTAAGATTTCACCTCGCATACTTCCTTGCTGGGCACCATTTCAGTAGCAAATAGGTGAACATAAGGCTGTTTTTAAGCAAACAATTAGGCTTTTGTATGGAAAACAACAGCCTTGTTATGTCAATTTTATAGAATCATAGAATTGCAGAGTTGGAAGGGACCCCAAGGGTCATCTAATCCAACCCCCTACAATGCAGGAATCTCAGCTAAAACATCCATGGCAGGTGGTCATTCAACCCCTGCTTAAAAACCTCCAAGGAAGGAGAGTCAGTTTAGAATTGTACAGCTGGATAGAGTCTCAAAGGTCCAACCTCCTCCTGCTAATGCTATAGGATCCTTGAAAAGAGGAGACAATCCAGCCTCTGCTTAGAAATCTCTAACCAAGGAGGGTTCATCCCCTTCCAACACAGTCTGCTCCACCGTCAAGCAGGACGTTGAACCTATAATCTGACCCAGACCCTGTGATCATCACTGGAGGCCCTTCTCTGTGGGCCCCCCTCCACAGGGGCTCCAGAGGGTGGCAACACAAGAGTGGGCCTTTTCACTGGTGGCTCCTTGCCTGTGGAAAAATGCTCTCCTCATCTTTAGGCACAAGGCAGAAACAAAGTTTTTGGATTTTGATTATCTGTGGGCTCCTTTAGTGGGTGGGGTATTTTAATCCTGCATTTTAAAAATAAGAATGTACTTTTGATTTGTTCTATGTTTTATGGTGGTTTTATTGATGGATGACTAGATTGCTGTAACTTGCTTTGGGGTACATTGGCAAAAAAGGTGACTAATGTGTTAAAGAAATTAAATAAATAAGTTTAACCTAAATCAGGGATAGGCAAACTTGGCCCTCCAGATGTTTTGAGACTACAATTCCCATCACCCCTGATTACTGGTCCTGTTAGCTAGGGATGATGGGAGTTGTAGTCCCAAAACATCTGGAGGGCCGAGTTTGCCTATGCCTGACCTAAATCCTTTTTCTTGTTTTACCTTCTGGAGCAACAGAAAACCATTTTTATCCACCATCTTGGCAAGAGCCCTTCAACTCACAACTTGCACACATTTAACTCGTGTAATCACAGCTTTACACACTTGGCAGCCAGCCAGCTGAAAATTCACAAATTAAACACATGCAAGGCAAAGAGCTTAAATATGGTGGCAACTTACAGGACTGTGCCCATTAAGGCAGCCTAACTTGTAGAGAGGGGCTAAAGAACTGGACAACTTGTGCCTTGGTCTTGTCAGAAATCCTGAAGCTGTGTCACTGGCTCTCTTTCTTAAAGTCTGTCCATTTTTTCTAGAAACACCTTCCTCTCCACTTTCTTTGGAGAGAAGCTACCAGTCCAGGACGCATGAAGTAGCTCCCTAATAGCTGGGAAGCAGGAAGCAAGGAAGGCCACATCTAATGGGAATTGCAAGAGGAAATTAAGACACCAGGATTGAATTGCCAGAGCTCACATTTGGCTGTGACACCTTTAAGCTTGCCAAAGAAACTGCTGTGGGATCCCAAGCTTGCTGCTGATTTTGCATTGTCATTCACAGAGATGCCACCCATTCAGCAAAGATATGGTGAACTAATTATCAACATATCCATTCTGCAGATTCCCAACACTTCTATTAAGAAAGGAAGGCATTTGCATTCCTGATGGTGTTTCTGCCGCATGCAGTCCAGTGCCAGAAGCAGTCTTCTGAGTCAAGGCACCCAAGAAGCGTTTCAGACAGGTGCTATAATCAACTACCTGAGAGAGAAAGTCAAGCTCATGCTTGTGCCATGGCTCAAGACTATATCACAACCTCAGCTCTGCTGGGCCTGCACTTTCCAAAGAGAAACCACAACCAGCTGCGATTTTGGCAGCAACAAGACTTAGGTTGTGCAATAAGCTTGATCTACAAAGCATACAAGTTTCCACTGCAGATCAGCTATGGATAAGTTGACTGTTTAGCAAAGATTATATACAGACTCACCATGCTGTATCTAGCCATTTAAATTATTAAAGCCGCCTTCCCTACCTTGAGGTCCTCCAGATGTTTTTGGGACTTCGATTTCCATCATCCCCAACTACTGGCCACAGTAAACTCTGTAAGGCTGACCAGCTTGGGAAAGGCTGCCTTAATGCACTGGCTCCTTCTTCCATCCTCATTGGAACTATGCATAGTTTTAATGAACTATGCACAATCTATCATGACTGGAGGAAGAAGCTAAATGTCCCCTCATTTGTACTTTTTCACTTGGAAGGAATTAGCTTCTGCCACAAAACATGTTTGATAGTCTCTGGAACAGATGCTTTACAAGCAGATTGAACCAATGAATGAATGAGTGACCGGTCTATCAATGACCATCAGTCATGTGTGGTACATGGAACTCAAGGAAGAGCTGCTGCCCTCACCCTGATCTGGATGTGAGCTCTCCAGAGGCATCTGCTTGCCCTCACTAGAAACAAAGGCTGAGCTAGGGAGACCTATTTTATTTATTTATCTCATAAAATGTGTATGCCACTTGATTGTAAGGGGGAAAACCCTCAAAGTGGTTTACAAAAAGAAAGCAATAAAGTTATCAATAAAAACTACCATTTAAAACATTCACAGAGGAATTAAAATCAAAGATAAACTAAAAACAGATTAAAACATATGTCAACATTATACATATCTGGACAAGCTTGGGAGAGGAGTTACAGGTTTTTTAATGCATTTTGTATTCTCATTTTGTATTTTTCTGTTGATCTTTGGCTGAAGGGCAGTATACAAATTTAATAAATAATAAAATAATAAACAAAAATGCTTTTAGCAGGTGATGAAAAGAATACAGTGAATACGCCTGCCTGAGGTGTGAGTGCTGCCACACTAAAAGATCAGTTTCCTACAAATGTGGAAGGGGTTTTATGCCAGTTCCTCAGATTGAAGCTGTCAGGTGGCCATATTGGGTCAAGGGATCTTGCAGGTAAACTGGCTCCAAGTTGTTGAGAGCTTTATATACTAATAAAAATGCATTGGACTTGGTAGCAAATCAGCAACCACTGCTGAGCACAGATGTTCTATGCTGACGGGGTCTCACTCCTGTCAGTAGTCATGCAGCCGCATTATGCTCTAACTGCAGCTTTCAGATCAAGCACAAGGGAGGCCCCTTTGGTCTGATCTAGCTGACCTAGTCTTATGCTGCTTAGCAAGCTCTAAAATTTGTTGCTTTTTGTGTAGTCTGACACAGTTCAAGAGTTTGAATTAAATGATCAACATTAAATGCTGGATTATACCAAAATGAGTATAGTTTTATTAAGAATGTGTCGTGTCAAAGGCAGGCTGCCCCACAGAGAATTCTCATCATAGCCTCTCTTAAAGGAAGCACAATTCCACCCATCAATTTGCCACTGGTTACCCCTGACCAGCGGCAGCTGCTGTCAAATTTCTGTGGGAAGAACCAACAGCCTCTTGATGCCTCCTTGGGGATGTTTGAAACAAGGAGCAAAGACAGTTACAGGATGGAGCACACTGACACTTTGGCCAGGAGGGTGAGCGCCCTTTCTGGAGGTAACATCTGATGTGGCCTCCGCTGCCTTTCAGATACAAGGGCAGGCGGCGAGCGAGAGCGGCTGGCAAGCTTTGCTCCAAATGCTTGCAGCGCTCTGCCAACAAAAGTTATCTTCTGAGCAGGGTATTGTTTGAGCAAGAGGGCGTAGGCTGTGTTCACTACCCAAGAATTCCAAGCAGTATTTTCAGAGACTGCAGGCCATTCACGGTGCCAGATGCAAAAGCTCTTTCAGGGCAAGGAAGGAGGAAATCAATCAGGGAGCCCACAAAGGCAGATTTCCCAGCAGGAACAAACTGCCAGCAATGCCAGCCAACTCTGCCATGGTGACACGGATTTGCTTCATCATGACTGCAATCTGCACATTTCTGTCAGCTGCAAGACACACACACCACAGGAGAGGGTTCCACACAAGGAGAAAAGCCACACTGTGCAGCGTCCCAGGCCCACCTTGGGGGGAGTCGAGCTTAATCTCTCATCTCCCATCATGCAGCAGGCTTAGATACAAACACAAAGGACCCATTTTCAAGGATGGCCATTTGAATGCAAGCAAGCAAACAGGCTTAAGTAGCGTAGGCACAATCCACAAGGAATGTCTTCTGGTTATGCCTTGCTAAGGCAAGTGGAACCGCCCCAGGAGAACAAGCACTCCAAAAAGAGGGTGCACAACAGAACATGAACATTCAGATCATGCTTAGCATTTGCACAGTGCTTGATCAGTAGATATATCCTTTATAACACTGTCACTCAGTGAAGCAATAGGCTCTTCAGTTGAGAGTTTGGTGAATGAAGGATCAATTTCAAGTTCTGAAGCAGAGTCTAGCATTTTGAATGTTAACTGTCCACTTGCTGATAGACAAGGTCTTCCCATTGACTGCTGTAATCAAGCTGTCGCAGGGGTAACTCATTGGTGTGGACGGTAAAAACCAACCAGATCAGCTTATGACCAAGCTTGACCTCTACCCAACAGCCAGTGTTAACATCTGTAGTATCACCTCCAATAGCCTGCAAGCTCTTATCAGTGCCCTTCTTCACAAAATCTACAAGATTATGAGTAATAACTTCAACTGGTTCCCCCCCCGAGCCTTTCTCCAGAGTAGTGGTAGAGTTATCTTCCACCTGGTTCACTGCACATGAGCAGTACATGTGAAAAGGATCTAGCAGTCTTGGTTGACCACAAACTTGACATGAGCCAACAGTGTGATGCGGCAGCTAAAAAAGCCAATGCAATTCTGGGCCTCATCAATAGGAGTATAGCATCTAGATCAAGGGAAGTAATAGTGCCACTGTATTCTGCTCTGGTCAGACCTCACCTGGAGTACTGTGTCCAGTTCTGGGCACCACAGTTCAAGAAGGACACTGACAAACTGGAACGTGTCCAGAGGAGGGCAACCAAAATGGTCAAAGGCCTGGAAACGATGCCTTATGAGGAACGGCTAAGGGAGCTGGGCATGTTTAGCCTGGAGAAGAGGAGGTTAAGGGGTGATATGATAGCCATGTTCAAATATATAAAAGGATGTCACATAGAGGAGGGAGAAATGTTGTTTTCTGCTGCTCCAGAGAAGCGGACACGGAGCAATGGATCCAAACTACAAGAAAGAAGATTCCACCTAAACATTAGGAAGAACTTCCTGACAGTAAGAGCTGTTCGACAGTGGAATTTGCTGCCAAGGAGTGTGGTGGAGTCTCCTTCTTTGGCGGTCTTTAAGCAGAGGCTTGACAACCATATGTCAGGAGTGCTGTGATGGTGTTTCCTGCTTGGCAGGGGGTTGGACTCGATGGCCCTTGTGGTCTCTTCCAACTCTATGATTCTATGAAATAATACTGTTTTACGATGATGCTGGGGAACTGCTGATCTGAACTGTCTGGTTTTAGTGTAACTTTATTTGTATATTTATGGCTATTATGAAGATGCAGTCCATTTCATCCTTCTGACACAGATAATCCAGGGCTTTCATAACTGTTTCTTAGGCCCTCTTGACTTTATGTGATCCAACTACAAGCCTCTTGTCCTCTTCAGTAATCAAGCCAGCAGTGGCAGTTGTGGCATGCAGGCCAATCCCCTACCTGATGCTCTTTTATAATGTGTTACACTCTGACTTTTTATTAGAAGTGGAATGTGTACTTGATTTCACTAATGTCAATTCATAACTTCCATAATTTACATCTTGGGCATCAGCTATTTGTTCTTCAATTCATCAGCAGAGAAAATTATTTCATTTGATGGTATTGAAGCATCCTGCTTATTTCTCTGCCCTACTTTGACAAACTTCTCTTCCAATATCTAAGCCAGTGGCTATTACAACATCTTACAGTAACAAAACAGTATCAGTTAATGATGTGTTGTGTGAAAAAGTACTATATTTTACCTGTGCAGAGGAGATCGCCAATTATTTATTTAGAATATTATTATTACTACTACTAAAGGTAAAGGGACCCCTGACCATTAGGTCCAGTCGCAAACGACTCTGGGGTTGCAGCGTTCATCTCGCTTTACTGGCCGAGGGAGCCGGCGTACAGCTTCCGGGTCATGTGGCCAGCATGACTAAGCCGCTTCTGGCGAACCAGAGCAGCGCACGGAAACGCCGTTTACCTTCCCGCCGGAGCGGTACCTATTTATCTACTTGTACTACTACTACTACTATTTATTAAATTTATATACCACCCTATACCTGTAGTTCTCAGAGCGGTTCACAGGATAAAATCATAATATGAAAACACAAAATACATAATCAAAATAAAAACAAGAACAACCCAGTAACGCCCCAACACCTTTTAAAAGGGAATGTCAATCAACCAAAGGCTTGGTTAAAGAGGAACATCTTTGCCTGGTACCTAAAGGTGTATAATGAAGGTGTCAGGCGAACCTCCCTGAGGAGAGCTTGCAGGGCAGCAGTTGAAGAAGGAGCAAAAAGGGTTTTCTTGTGTGTGTGTGTTTCTTTGTGGCTGATTAGCTGCTCTCCCTGTGCAAAGGTCAGAGGGGGCAGGATTTCTGTTGAGGCAGGTGATTAGCTGTGGGAGGAGCTTATCAGAGCTTGCAAGCAGCGGTGCGCGCAGTTTGATCCATCCTTTAGATTTAGGGGAGCTAGTCTCAAACGTTTGTTGGGGGAGACCTAGGTTTTTTTTGTGGGGGGAGTTATTTGTCCTGTCTTCACGCTTTTTTTGATGGAGGACTGCTGTAGCCACCCCCAACGACACGTTCTCAAGATGGAGGGGGAGGGAACAGCTGCAGTCGCCTACGGTTCCTGCGCAATATTTGCCATCTTGCCAAAGGTTGCAGGCAGCTTTACCTACAGCAATTGCATGTTGATTGCCCTCTTAGAAGACAAAGTCCAGCAACTGGAGGAACGTGTAGCTACGCTCCAAAGAATTAGAGAGCTGGAGCTCTTCTTGGAAGCAACAGAGCACACCGTCTCCACCAAGGAGGAGACAGGGGACTCCCTGAGAAGGAGGCTAGTTCACCAACACAGGAGCCAGATATATGGAGAAACGTGACTCAAAGAAGTAGGAGGCCCTGGGTTGGCGCTGTTTTTTTATAAATACACAAGCGCTTTGTGGTCCTCTCCCTAGAATGGAAGACGAAGAGCAGACTCCATTTGAGGATCTCTCCTCATTACAGTCGATCAGGTATATGAAGACGAGCAGCAAAGTCAGTCCTCAGGGAATGTGCAGGCGACCTTGGAACGGACAGCTCACGGAAGAACCCCGACCAAACCTAAGAGGAGGCGTGTAGTGGTGATAGGGGATTCCCTAGTAAAAGCACAAGGTCAGGCAATACCAATGAGATGGAAACATGGAAGGTGCCTAAAGAAGCCAGGGTGGCTATCTAAAGAACTTTTAACTGAGTTAAGATTAAAAAAGGATGTGTACAAAAAATGGAAAAGGGGGAAACCACCAAAGAGGAATTCAAACAAATAGCCAGCACGTGTAGACACAAAGTCAGAAAAGCTAAAGCACAGAATGAACTCAGGCTTGCTAGAGAGGTTAAAAGCAACAAAAAAAGGCTTTTATGGTTATGTTCGTAGCAAAAGGAAGAACAAAGAAACAGTGGGGTCACTCAGAGGAGAAGATGGTGAAATGCAAACAGGGGACACAGAAAGAGCTGAACTCCTCAATGCCTTCTTTGCCTCAGTCTTCTCCGATAAAGAAAACAATGCCCGACCTGAAGAATTTGGAGCAAATGATTCAGCAAAGGAAACACAGCCCAGAATAACTAAGGAGATAGTACAAGAATACTTGGCTAGTTTAGATGTATTCAAGTCTCCAGGGCCAGATGAACTGCATCCAAGAGTATTAAAAGAACTGGCAGATGTGATCTCAGAACCACTGGCAGTCATCTTTGAGAATTCCTGGAGAACAGGCGAAGTCCCGGCAGACTGGAGGAGGGCAAATGTTGTCCCTATTTTCAAAAAGGGGAAAAGAGAGGACCCAAATAATTACCGCCCAGTCAGTCTTACATCAATACCAGGGAAGATTCTGGAGCAGATCATTAAGCAAACAGTCTGTGAGCACCTAGAAAGGAATGCTGTGATCACCAATAGTCAGCATGGATTTCTGAAAAATAAGTCCTGTCAGACTAACCTGATCTCGTTTTTGACAGAATTACAAGCCTGGTAGATGAAGGAACGCAGTGGATGTAGCCTACCTTGATTTCAGCAAGGCATTTGACAAGGTGCCCCATGATATTCTTGTAAAGAAGCTGGTAAAATGCGGTCTTGACTATGCTACCACTCAGTGGATTTGTAACTGGCTGACTGACCGAACCCAAAGGGTCTCATCAATGGTTCCTCTTCATCCTGGAGAAGAGTGACTAGTGGGGTGCCACAGGGTTCTGTCTTGGGCCCGGTCTTATTCAACATCTTTATCAACGACTTGGATGATGGACTCAAGGGCATCCTGATCAAATTTGCAGATGACACCAAACAGAGAGTGTAGGAAAACACCCACGAGGACAGGATCACACTTCAAAACGACCTTGACGGATTAGAGAACTGGGCCAAAACAAACAAGATGAATTTTAACAGGGAGAAATGTAAAGTATTGCACTTGGGCAAAAAAATGAGAGGCACAAATACAAGATGGGGGACACCTGGCTTGAGAGCAGTACATGTGAAAAGGATCTAGGAGTCTTGGTTGACCACAAACTTGACATGAGCCAACAGTGTGATGCGGCAGCTAAAAAAGCCAATGCAATTCGGGGCTGCATCAATAGGAGTATAGCATCTAGATCAAGGGAAGTAATAGTGCCACTGTATTCTGCTCTGGTCAGACCTCACCTGGAGTACTGTGTCCAGTTCTGGGCACCACAGTTCAAGAAGGACACTGACAAACTGGAACGTGTCCAGAGGAGGGCAACCAAAATGGTCAAAGGCCTGGAAACGATGCCTTATGAGGAACGGCTAAGGGAGCTGGGCATGTTTAGCCTGGAGAAGAGGAGGTTAAGGGGTGATATGATAGCCATGTTCAAATATATAAAAGGATGTCACATAGAGGAGGGAGAAAGGTTGTTTTCTGCTGCTCCAGAGAAGCGGACACAGAGCAATGGATCCAAACTACAAGAAAGAAGATTCCACCTAAACATTAGGAAGAACTTCCTGACAGTAAGAGCTGTTCGACAGTGGAATTTGCTGCCAAGGAGTGTGGTGGAGTCTCCTTCTTTGGCGGTCTTTAAGCAGAGGCTTGACAACCATATGTCAGGAGTGCTCTGATGGTGTTTCCTGCTTGGCAGGGGGTCGGACTCGATGGCCCTTGTGGTCTCTTCCAACTCTATGATTCTATGATTCTATGAGAGCATTCCACATATGGGGAACCACTGCAGAAAAGGCCCATTCTGGTACTGCCACCCTCCCTACCTCTCAGGGAGGAGGCACACAAAGAAGGGCCTTATACTCCATTTTACAGTCTCAAAGGGCTCTCAAAGCTGTTTACAAAACATGCTTGCAATTTTAAAAATCACATTCATTCAAGAGGAACAGAAATGACATGATGTGTCCCTATCGCAACAGGGTTATTCTGGTGGCATATCCTGCCCTCCTCCTTGGTGTTGCCCCTTTGGTCTTTGCCCACTAGGCAACAAGGCCAACAATGGCCTCTGAGGCTAAGGGGTGAGTCGGAGCAGTTGGAACTCACTTGGTCCAAGACAGTGACATGTTTTCACTAGATGGAGACAAGTCACTACTCCATCAAACATTCAGGAAGACGGATTTAGCTCTAATGAGTCTTATAAGAGAAAGACTCTGGCAAGTTCAAGTAATCTGGGCACAACAGTGTATCCAGAGAAAGGCCAGGCGATCTTCCCATGCAGGGATTGGGGGAAAGTATGTGCAAACCCCGCCTCTCGCTACCTGGTTTCCTATCCCTGAGGCTATCTGATGCCATCCACTGTCCACCACACAATCAGGGCCAGCCACATTTACGCAGCTTAGCGCTACAGCTGAGAAAAAGAGGAGGAGGAGCCACAATACAGCCTTCAAGACTACCACACAAGCACCAAACAAATACGTGCTAGCATTCCAGGCAAACTACTGCCTCCATTTCTAGGCTGAATCTAGGAAGCTGAACACATTATGGAAAATGTGGGCTGCATAGTGTGGAGTCCAGGACTCGGGTCACAGTTATAGGTCAGTCACAATTACAGGGCTTTGAGTGAATGTGCTTAAAGTAGAGTGAATGGAGGCTTTAGCAGCCTGCGGGGGGGGGGGGGCTACGCCTGAAGACAATAGCCATGCTGTGCCATCCCACGGGCTGTGATCCCTTGTTGTCTTGCAGCTGAAGTCAGCAAGGAGAAGTGGAGGCAGAAGCTGCTGACTCTATCAGATACTTAAAAACAGGATGCTGAATCACATCCTGTCAAGGCTGCAGTATCCTGACTGTAGCGAGCTCTGAGCAAGGAGGAGGCGATCTGGTTAGCCTGACAGCGGTTGGGAACTGGCTGCCATGTGGGCGTGGCCTGGGAAGCCAGCACAAGGCCTGTGTTCTGTGCAGTGCTGGGGGGCAGGGGAACCCGGAATGGAAGGGGTGGAATCTCCTGCTCTGCAAGGGTCAATTAGCAATGAGGCCTGGATCAGGCAACCCCACCCTGTAGCCTGGAGCGCTCCAGTTCATGCTACAGCATATGGCCCAGTCTAATTTTCCATTTTGTTTGCAATGTAATAATACACTTACAAATGTTTCTCCAGTGCTTTTAAGTGTGTAGAATTCTGTTTATTCAAGCAAGCCTGTGCCACAAGTGTGCAGCTGCCCAATGATTCAGTCTGAACCCCTTACTCCCAGAACCCGTGTGCCATGTGGGCCTCACCCAGCAAGCAAGGCGGAGAGCTTAAAAGCTCCTTGACCACCAGGAAACCCTAGCACACCTAGCATGAAAAGTGCTTTTAAGCTCTCTGCCTTGCTTGGAGGGCAAGGCGCTGGCTCTGGAAGGCTTAGGATGTTTGCGCAAGATCTTGCGGGAACTCATATGGCCCTGTGAGATCTTGCAAGAGCATCCCAGAACAGGTGTGCTGAGTGGGCCTTGCCCAGCAAGCAAGGTGGGGAGCTTAAAAGCTTTTTCCATCCTGGGTAACCCCAAGTGGACTTAGTGCAAAAAGAGCTTCTAGGCTCTCCACCTTGCTTGGATTTTATTTGTGCAATTTCAACCAGCCTGCCTCCAGCAGTGTGTTGTTGAAAGATGCGATCATATTGTATTTAGCTTGACACTGTTCAGCTGTTGTCATATTCTGTTCCTCATACCTTGAATCCCTAATGCCATCTACCAGTGGACAAAACAACCATCCAATGCTTTTCTCTGGTTCTTTGGCTAAAAAATACAGATAAGATTTGCAAGTAGCAAAAAGGTGGTTTTGCCCTTCACCATTCTTAGTTTCCTTATGTTTCAGTTCTAACGTCTATTTAGTGCAGTGGTCCTCAGGCCTGATCCTGCAAGGCCATTTTGGGGTAACCGCATTCACCTTTCTTGGGCTTATCAGCGTAGCAAAGTTCATGGAAGAATCTTCCTTTGGATTAAATATAGAAATGCTAAGAAATAATAATATGTCAAATGATTAACAGGTGGCCAGCACCACTCACCTGTCCAAGTGACCTGTGGAGGGTGGGTCACTTCTGGATCTTGCCTTCCAGCAGGATCTTTTCCCACCCCTGGTTTAGCAATTGCGAGTTCAGCAATAAGAGATGTATTGGGATGCTGGCTATGTGAATAGGTAATGTGGAAGGGGATGAAAAACCTGATGTATATGAAATATAGATGTGACCACACTCCCCACGAAGGATTAAAGTTAGCCGCTTGGGAGTACTCATAGGTCCATTACTGTCACCACAGCAGGCACAACAGTAAGGGTGCCTTCTACTAACTACAGCTGGTGTCTATATCTGGGTGGAGATATCCTGGCTTTAGTGATCTGTACTCTCATAAGCCCAGGTTGCATTGTAGCAATGTCTTATATGTTGGGCTGACTTCAGAGACAGTTCAAAAACCATGGCTAGTGTAGAATTCTGCAGACAGATTATCAACAGACACCAGATGATTCAAACATACAGTACCAATTCTGGGCCAGCTATGCTGGCTGTCAATTCATCTCCAGGTCCAAACATGGCTCAGGACAGCAGTCCCTCATGCACTGCTTTGTCAGGGACCTCAAAACCATCAGATGCCCTTACTTACTTATTGCATTTATATCCCACTTTTCCTCCAAGGAACTCAAGGTGACTTACATACTTCTCCCCATTTTATCCTCATAGCAACTATGTGAGGTAGGTTAGGCTAAGAGTGAGTAACTGGCCAAGAAGTTCACCCAGCGAACTTCAAGGCACTGCAGGGGGTTGGACTAGATGAGCCTTGGGGTCCCTTCCATCTCTACAATTCTTTGATTCTTCCAAGAGAAAGTGAATGGGCCTTTTTAGTGGCAGCCCCTTATTTGTGGAATGCTCTCCCCAGGGAAGTTTGCTGGGCACAAACACAGACATCTTTCAGCACAAAGTGAAGACATTCCTATTCTCCCAGGAACTGGAGTGATAATACTGCTATGGTCTTTGCATCTATTTTAACTAGGAGGTTTGGTGATCCCCTTGTGTTGTGAGAAGGAAAGAGTTTGCTACAAACTAGTCCTTTTTAGTATTGGTATCATTGGTTCCAATTCTTGCTACACAAGCAGCATTTTTTCTTTAATGTATGAGTTGCTTTGAGAATTATCATAAAAAGAAACAGTTAAAAATAAATAAATAATAGAATCTAGAAAGAAAATTGTATGCACCGTGAATTCCATCCATGTTTGACAAAAGACTATTTGGCTCCCATCAGCCCCAGCTAGCATGGCCAATGGCCAGGGATGATGGGACTTGTAGTTTAGCAACATCTAGTTTTACCCCATACCTGATTTAATTTTGGCCAAGATTGAAAACTGCATGGTTATATCTTGTGAGCATGGTTTACTTTAAATACAAACACACCAAATTAAGACTGAAACCCAAATTATTCTGCTCTCTCCTGGACAGAGCTTTCCTGTCTTAAAGATTATATTTGCAACTGCAGGTGTTGCTCTGTTCCAATTGCCCTCTTGACTCCTGCAGCGGAAAAGGCCTGCCTTTCAAGCCAACTTCTGTGCCTACTAGAACGACCCTATCTTTCCTGCAGCAGCCTTCTGATGGATGTAAAAGCCAGACAAAACTATATCACAGAGAAAACAAGGGCCTGAGAGTTAGAAGAAGCAGACTGAGAGTGCCCCCCAGTGGACTCACAGCGCAACACAGCAACTCTAAACTACAAAAACATAACAAGAGCCTGTGGGATCAGGTCAATGTTCCCTTCAGGTCAGCATCCTGTTCTCACAGTGGCCACCCAGGTGCCTCTTCCAGCAAGCGCACAAGCAGGGTTCTAGCGCAAGAGCCCTCTCCCTCCGTGTCGTTTCCAGTAACTGGCATCCAAAAGCATTGCCGCCATCTGAGCACAGCCATCATGGCTAGTAGCCATTGACAGTCCTTTCCTCCACGAACCTGCCCAATTCCCTTTTAAAGCCATCCAAGTTGGTGGCCACCGCTGTCTCATGTAGGAATGAGTTCCACAGTTTAGCTACGTGATACATAAAGAAGCACTTCGTTTTATGTGTCCTGCGGCTTCCAACACCCAGCTTCATTTGGTGTCCCTGAGTTATAGTGTTATGAGAGAGGGAGAATAACTTTCCAGTCCACTTCCTCCATGCCATGCATCATTTTATAAACTTCTGTCATGTCACTTACTTGCCTTTACCCTAAACTAGTAAGTTTCAAGCAAATTGTCCTTTAAGTTCTCTCTGTTCAAGAGACACAGAGTCCTCCACCTATCTGACAGTGTCTCCAATCATGGTGATGAACAACAAACCAGGATGCAAAATTTCAAGTCACCTGATTGCCAACAGGGACCAGTAATTACTGAATTCTGCCAGTGAAGGTTGGCTGCTCCTATGCTTAATTAATAATAATAATAATAAATAATAAATTTTATTTATATCCCGCCCTCCCCAGCCGAAGCCGGGCTCAGGGCGGCTAACAACAATAAAACAATACAAAAGTACAGGATAAACAACACTCTAAAATCATTCATTATAAAATTAATTAATTCAAGCCACTGGCAACCATTGGGCCAGAGCTCCGCGAAGATTACCGAGGGAGGGAGTCAGGCTGTGCCCTGGCCGAAGGCCTGGTGGAACAGCTCTGTCTTGCAGGCCCTGCAGAAAGATGTCAAGTCCCGCAGGGCCCTGGTCTCTTGTGACAGAGTGTTCCACCAGATCGGAGCCACAGCCAAAAAAGCCCTGGCTCTAGTTGAGGCCAGCCTAACTTCTCTGTGGCCTGGGACCTTCAAGATGTTTTATTCGAAGACCGTAAGTTTCTCTGTGGGGCATACCAGGAGAGGCGGTCCCGTAGGTACGAGGGTCCTAGGCCGTATAGGGCTTTAAAGGTTAAAACCAGCACCTTAAACCTGATCCTGTACTCCACCGGGAGCCAGTGCAGCTGGTATAGCACCGGGTGAATGTGATCTTGCAGCGAGGACCCCATTAGGAGTCTCGCTGCAGCATTCTGCACCCGCTGGAGTTTCTGGGTCAGTCTCAAGGGCAGCCCCACGTAGAGCGAGTTACAATAATCCAGTCTGGAGGTGACCGTCGCGTGGATCACAGTGGCTAGGTCAGGGCGAGAGAGGTAAGGAGCCAACTGCTTAGCTTGGCGGAGATGGAAAAATGCCGCCTTTGTTATAGCTGCAATCTGCGCCTCCATGGAAAGGGAGGTGTTGAAGATTACACCCAAACTCTTAACGGACGGTGCTGGCACTAATTGCGCCCCCCGCAAGAGATGGGAGTTGCCCCCCCAATCCCATATCGCCCCGTCCCAGCCACAGGACCTCTGTCTTCGAAGGATTTAGCTTCAACCAGCTCCCACGTAACCATCCAGCCACAGCTTCCAAACATCTGGTCAGTGTGTCTGGGGCCGAGTCAGGATGGCCATCCATCAACAGATAGAGTTGGGTATCATCGGCATACTGATGGCAACCCAGCCCGAAACTCCGAACAAGCTGGGCGAGGGGGCGCATAAAGATGTTGAAAAGCATCGGGGAGAGTATCGCACCCTGAGGTACTCCACACACCAAGGAGTGGCGCGATGACAATTCCCCCCCAAGCACCACCCTCTGTCCCCGACCAGAGAGAAACGAGTGCAGCCATTGAAGGACTGTGCCCTGGATCCCCACGTCGGCAAGGCGGTGGTCCAGAAGTTCATGATCGACCATGTCGAAAGCTGCTGACAGATCTAGAAGAATCAGCAGCCCCGACCCGTCTCGATCCAGCTGTCTACGAAGATCATCTGTTACGGCAACCAGAGCCGTCTCGGTCCCATGACCAGCGTGGAAGCCGGACTGGAATGGATCCAGAGCATCATTTGTTGCTGTTTGGCAGTACAGCACAAGGACTGCCAGCCACCTTCCCTGAATAAAGGTGCAGCTGGTTGGCTGTCTTGTCTCAGAAGTGGAGCCAGGAGGGAATTGCTGCCCAGCAGAGGAGGAGTCATTCAAGGCAGCAACCTAACTGGGATTCTGTAGTTTGAAATGGGGACCTCATGCGGCTGGAACCTGAGCCCAGGGAACTCACTTTGTAAGCTATGTGTACTCATTTATCAGCAGCCATTCTTCCACCTGACTGCCTCAGAAGGAGACGGAAGGCTCACTCTGTTGTCTCAGTTATGACCAAATGCCATTCAACAAGGCATCTACGAGTGGTCATTCTACAAGGTCATTATGGAACTGGAAAGTTTTGGAACTGAAAGTTCTTTGTTTTCCTATTCCACACCCTGAAAACTGTATTGATTAATATATAGAGACACAGCCGTACCTTGGAAGTCGAACAGAATCTGTTCCGGAAGTCTGTTCAACTTCCAAAACGTTTGGAAACCAAAGCACGGCTTCTGATTGGCTTCAGGAAGCTCCTGTAGCCAATCAGAAGCTGTGGAAGCCCAACCAGACATTCGGGTTCCAAAAATAGTTCGCAAACTGGAACAGTCACTTCCGGGTGTGCAGCGTTCAGGAGCCAAAACATTCAAAAATTAAGGTGTTCAAAAACCAAGGTACGACTGTACATATACACAAACATACACCCTTCAATCATATTCCCAGGGTCATATATGCAAAGAAGAAAGCAATTAAAATGTAAATACTGGCTAAGAACTGCAAGCCTGGTTTGCACATCACTTTAAAGCTATGGTTTATAGTAAACATGCTGAACATGTGCTTCGCCCTTTTTCCACTCCTTCAGCATGCCAGGAAGAAAGAAACCAAATACTGGCTTTGCATTAAGTGCAAATTATTTGTTTCCCCCAAACAAACCTTGCCGTACTGCTCATGTTTCCTTTCAGGTGGAAACAAACCACAACCGCTGGTTTACACATCACACAAAGCCAGTCTTTGGTTTGTTTCTTCCCTGGCATGCTGAAGGAAGAAAGGAGGGGAGCAAATCACCTTAAACCACAACTTATTTTAAACTATGGATTAAAGTGCCATGTGAACTGTGCCACAAACACATAAAAGCAGCAAAAGACAGGCAACAGGATTAAAATTATATCCAAAAATCTGGAGGAAATGAAGTGGTCTTTGCTTGGCACTCAAAGGATCAGCAAAGGGAGCCTCTCTGCAGAATGGTCTAAACACCTTACCTCAGAGGCTGTCAACTGAAGACACTAATGTACAGGTACATATGGAATCAGGTGGCCCTTCAAGTATGCTAGTCCCAAGGCAGGAAGAGTTTTAAAGGTAAATCAAATCCCCCCTTTTGTATTGTGCCTATTAGCTTGTAAGCATGAAAGAAGATACTGGCCTGTTTTCTTAGCTTCACACAGTGCAAAGAAAATCTTAGGTACTTTATGAACAACACCGCTCATGTCTCAGAGGCACAAATGGGAATTCCAGAATACATCAGCTCTGAGACTGGCAGCCAGTGCAGAGCTTCTGGCTTGACCAGCTCTGGTATTAATCCCAGGAGCGTCTGCTCTTGCATGTTCAACAGAACAGGTTAAAAAAACAAAAAAACCTGCTGCTCTTCTAGCTCCAACGCAAAACTTTAATCTAGTTCCAGTTAGAAAGCTCCTTCCCAGGTCTGGATTCAAGTACAACCAGCGACAGTCCAGGCCCTGCCCTGATAGTCTGCACATGAAGCCACACAGCCTGGAGCAACAGCCAAGATGCACATTGTTCTCTCTCCAGCTGGACCACGGATCCCTGGCAGGTGGAAACTATCACTGATAACCCCAAACACCAGGCAGATTTCCTAACAAATAACACAGACAGTCACAGGCTTACACACAGGCATGCTGTAAAAATTACCAAATTAATTTGGAAGTGCACAAAGTCCGCTGGCTGTTAGTATCACATCTGAGGTACAACTGACCCATGTATAAGTTGTACAACCAAAGAGAAAATTGATGCAAAGCAAGAAAGACTCACAAGGCACTAAAGGACATCCTAGAGGAGAAGACAGAGAAGGAAGCTATGCCATCAGAGCTAAAACCTCTGCCCTTAATATGTAGATTATTTCCTTAAATATTATGTGTGCATGGGCATGTATTTTCCACAGAATCATCAAATTTGAGGGGACGTCAAGAGTAGTCCAACCCCCTGAATCCCTGACAGGTGGCCATCCAGTCTCTCTTTAAAAACCTTCAGTGAAGGAGAGTCCACTACCTTCTGAGCATGACAGTTCCACTATCAAACAGCTGTTACCCTCAGAAAGTTCTTCCTAATGCTTAAGTCTTTTAATTTGAATCAATTGGTTTGGTCTTGCCCTCCACAGCAGCAGAAAACAAGCTGGCTCCATCTTGGCAGGAGGGTGCTCTGTTTGTCCTGGCCCAGTGTAGAAACCAAACTGGCTGCTATGGAAGTATCCACTGCATTTTCACACAGGCCACAGAGGATGGTGAGCCCCCTCCGGAGAGTACCACATGGAAACCAAGAGGGCTTGCAGTAGAAGAACAGACTGCTGTGCCCCTTTGCCACCATCCCACTGAGTTTCTGCGCTAGACAAGCTAACATTCTGTACACCCAGCACTGAACCATGGCAGGCTTGCAGCAGACGAGCTCAGACACAATTCAAATGCAACACTACATGTGTAAGAAAATGTGCCATAGCAAGATTCCAGTTTCACATTTAAATTGGGCTCTGAGCTGTTACACATGAAACATTAGCATGTGTAGTGCATTAGTCACAGATCCCTCCATGCCTCTGCACCAGTGAAACAACTTGGGTTTAAATGAGAAATATGGAAGACCACCAAGGTATGTTTTTCCTAAATGCCCCATGTCACATTTAATATTGGGCCTCACTCGTATCCAAGGTTCACATGGAAGAAATGGCAGTAATAGACCAATGAACATGGGGTGGGTAAGAGGGACCCAGCCAGCAGCAGTTTCCATCCACCTGGAAATTGGAACATTCTCCCCAGTCCTTCACACAGAATCAAGACCTTATATGGGATCACATAAACCAGCGAGGGGGGCAGGGGATGCCAGAAACAACTTTTGGAGCAAGGGTTTAAATAGATCCTGCTTACCTCAGGTTCAGTTTGCGGTCGTCATCACTGCCAACCTCCAGCTGAAGGGGAAAGAGCAAGAAGCATTAAGCATTAAAGGCTCAAAATAATATGATTCAAAAGGTTTTCGTGCAAGTTTTAAAAATAGCTTCAATAAAATAATAGCATGCATACATTTATTGCCTTATCATCACATGCTTTCTCCAAGGAGCTTAAGAGGGGCATATATGCCATCCCTTCCCCATTTCCCCCCAACAACCCTGAGAGGTAGGTTGGGGAGACAGAGAAGCCAGGTCACCCAAGCAAACTTCATGACTGACTGAAGGGCTGAGTTCACAACCTCAGCACAACATCACACTGGCTTTGTTGCTTCATTTAATAATATGAAAAGGGAAATAATATGTTACAGGTTTCAGGGGACAAGGACTAGATCTTTGCCTCTCTTTTAGGGCTGAAAGCTATAATCACAAGTGTTTAATGGTTATTGTATTTGTAAAAAGACCCCAATAAAAATGTGTTGGTTTCCCCCCAAAAAAGCTTTAATCACCAGATTAACCTAATGAAGATAACAGGAAAAAGAGAGAGAGGCTAACAGATTGAGGTTGAATCTTGACAAGACAGAAGTACAGTGGTACCTTGGGTTACATACGCTTCAGATTACAGACGCTTCAGGTTACAGACTCGGCTAAGCCAGAAATAGCACCTTGGGTTAAGAACTTTGCTTCAGGATGAGAACAGAAATTGCGCGGCAGCAGCGGGAGGCCCCATTAGCTAAAGTGGTACCTCAGGTTAAGAACAGTTCCAGGTTAAGGGACCTCCAGAATGAATTAAGTTCTTAACCCGAGGTACCACTGTGCTGTTTTGGGGGGACAGGGGGCAAACAGGTGTAGAGGACTCCCTGGTCCTGAATGGGGTAACTGTGCCCCTGAAGGACCAGGTGCACAGCCTGGGAGTCATTCTGGACTCACAGCTGACCATGGAGGCGCAGGTCAATTCTGTGTCCAGGGCAGCTGTTTATCAGCTCCATCTGGTACGCAGGCTGAGACCCTACCTGCCCGCAGACTGTCTCACCAGAGTGGTGCATGCTTTGGATGCTCTCACTTTGCAATGCACTCTATGTGGGACTACCTTTGAAGGTGACCCGGAAACAACAACTAATCCTGAATGCGGCAGCTAGACTGGTGACTGGGAGTGGCCGCCAAGACCATATAACACTGGTCCTGAAAGATATACATTGGCTCCCAATATGTTTCCGAGCACAATTCAAAGTGTTGGTGCTGACCTTTAAAGCTCTAAATGGCCTCGGCCCAGTATACCTGAAGGAGCGTCTCCACCCCCTATCGTTCTGTCCGGACATTGAGGTCCAGCTCCAAGGGCCTTCTGGCAGTTCCCTCACTGCAAGAAGTGAGGTTACAGGGAACCAGGCAAAGGGCCTTCTCGGTGGTGGCACCCGCCTGTGGAACACCCTCCCATCAGATGTCAAGGAAATAAACATCTATCTAACTTTTAGAAGACATCTGAAGGCAGCCCTGTTTAGGGAAGTTTTTAATGTTTGATGTTTTGTTGTGTTTTTAATATTCTGTTGGGAGCCACCCATAGTGACTGGGGAAATCCAGCCAGATGGGCGGGGTATAATAAATAAATAAATAAATAAATACTACTACTACTACTACTACTACTATCATTATGATGGTGTCTTACTGGAATAGGGACTGAAAAGGAAACAAATATAGATGGCCTTTCCTAAGTGGCAGCCTGTGTTTTGATTTCATAGGTTTCCTAACCCTAGCTGGTTCCAAGGAATAGTCTTAAGGCACAGGAGGCCGCTAGTTGCTGACGTTAACAGGACTGGGGCTGGTCAGTGCCTGTAAACCACATGCAACCAATATGGATGTATTATTAAGGAAATCTTCATTTAATATTTCAAAAAGGCACCTATATGGAGGTTTGGTTATATGCACTTTAAAATTTTACAGATGAACCAATTAAGAGCTTTAGAAAGCAGCTATATATCATTTCATTCCAGTTACGTTTTTATCCTCCTCTGATCAAAGCAAGCTGTCTAAAAAAAAACATGTTGTCTTTTGGAATCCAATCACTAGGCTGCTCTAAATAAAATCCAATCACTAGAATACTTTGAATGACAGATGAGAGGCAAGAGGTGCTCACGAGAGGTGCTCCCCCACCCCTGCCAGCATCTTACACAATAGGCAACCTAAAGATAGCAGAGAAGAAACATGAATGAGTTGCAACAAACCCAACACACCACTCACAAGCACAGAAATTTAATCCCAATAACTTCAATCAGGATTATTCCCAATATACTACTGTGTAAATGGGATCACAATAAGTTCGTGTTTTTCTCTCAGCAAAACTGCCAAATGTAGGGCATTTAAAACTGAAGCTCTGTACACTGGTGGAAACATTTTAAATGCTCACACTAAGCATGGACTCCTATGCACACTCAACCTGAAAGTAAGGCCCATTGAACACAGTGGGAGTTACTTCTGAGGAAACATGCACAGATTGCACTGATGAAAACCACAGCTCAAGCTCAACAAGCAGGCAAGTCTTTTCCTTGTTGAAGGTAGACTAGCACCAAAGCTAACCATGGAATGCAACCATACAAACTTTTTTGGGCATGAAGAACATTTCAACTATTCAGGAGCCACCTGAAGACCGGGGGGGGGGGTGTCAACCAGATCCTGGATGTGGAAAATGAGTTTTTTAACCTGAAAGCTTGGATCTGAGAATATCCCACAACCCACACAATATAGTGGCAGGTGGCAGATCAGGTGAATAAGACCAAGTGTGTAGAATATGGTGGGTGCTTTTTGGATCTCAGGATGATGGACTTGCTCTAGAGAACCAGGTGAGATTAGGTTCTTCTCTTGCCCATCCCACTCACTCCACATCGCCTCCCATGGGCCAAATTTCGGTTCTAAGCTGTTCAGGCATCCCTTGGCTGGCCAGTTAACTACAGCGACTTACATGGGCTAAGCCTCACAAGTAGAAAATTAGCTCTCTAGGCTAGAAATTTCTCTCCCCATTTCTGGCTTTGTTTTCCACTTCCAGGCAAGTTTTAAGGGTGTTTAGAAATAAAAATAAAAACATTTCACGACGTAACAGTAAATATGACATCATCCGGCTTCGTTGTCAAGCGGCGCGATCCGTCCTACCACTTCCTTCCCTCGCGCACATCCACTTTCCTAAGGGCTGCAAGACATTGCAAGCCGGTCGCCCAAGGGCCGCGAAGGCGCCTGGTGGCTGCGGGAAGGGGCGGCTGCCGCGAGGGGCTCGGGCGCCCCTTGCAGGGTCTCCGGGGAGAGGAGGGGCCCGGGGGCCGGAGCCAGGCGGGCGCGGGCCGGGAGAAGCCCCCGGGCTGGCGAAGCGAGGCCAGGCTGCGCGGAGGGGCTGCTCTGGGCCTCCCGGCTCCGGCCGAGGCGGGGCGGGCGCTGCGGCGGCGGCGGCGGGCAAGGCCGGCGGGGGGGGGGGTCTGGCGGCGCCGGCCGAAGGAGGAGCCCCTCACCTCGCTGGTGCTGGCCGAGGAGGAGGCGGCGCTGGGGGTGGGCGAGCGCTGCAGGGTCACCAGCGCCATGGCGGCGGCGGCGGCGGCGGAGCCTCCTCCTCCTCCTCTTCTTCTTCTCCTTGGTCCTCCTGCTCCTCCCGCGGCGGCTTCCCAGGCGAGGCCTCCGCCTCCTCCTCCGCCTCCTCCTCCTCCTCCTCCTCCGGCGGGCGGAGCAGCGCAGGCGGCGCCCGGGATCCGCGAGGCGGAGAGGAGGACTGACCCTCAGGAGGGGAAGAGATGTCGCAGGGCTTTCATTTGATATTCGCTTGGGAATACGTTTTATTTCTCTTTCAATGCCAAGTCGTGAAAAGATTTTTATTTTTATTACGGATATGGGAAGTTGTGAGAGGATTCCGCCCCGCCCCCGAGAATATGCGAGAGGATTTTTGTTTTATTTTTGTCCTTTTTTTTAATAGGAAAGGGGTTTGTTTCTTTATACCCCACCTTTCCCCCTGACAGCTTACAGATAAAAATAAGAACAGTTAAACAGCTATAGACATATATTTTACTTTATGGGGATATATGAAAGGATTTCATTTTTATTTTTTGCTGCACTGGGATAGCTGAAAGTATTTTTATTTCATTTTTATTTCATGGGAACGTGAAAGGAATTTTATTTTATTTCTAATTTTTATGGGAATAGGTGAAAAGATTTTAATGCTATTTTTATTGAATTTTTTTATTGAAGTAAGAAAAATTAGAAAAGCATACATCACAGGAACTAATATATAATAATAATAAACCCACCAAAAGTTACCCCAACAATAAAAATCCCCACCTCAACCACTTGTTCCTTTTAAAAAAATATCCTTTAAGGCTAGGAAGAATGCACCGGATTACAATCATAGGATTGTAAAATTGTGGAGTTGGAAGGGACCCCAATGGTCCAAGTCCCTGCAATGCAGGAATCTCAGCTATAGCATCCCTGACAGGTGGCCATCCAACCTCTGCTTAAAGACCTTCAAGGTAGGAGAGTCCACAGCCTCCCAAAGCAGACCGTTCCACTGTTGAACAGCTCTTACTGTCAGAAAGTTCTTCCTGATGTTTAGTCAAAATCTCCTTTCTTGTAAATTGAATCCATTGGTTTGAGTCATACCCTCCAAAAGCAGGAGAAAACAAGCTTGTTCCCTCTTCCATGTGGCAGGATATTTGAAGATGGCTATCATATCTCCTCTTAGTCTCCTCTTTTGCAGGTAACATTAACTTGGTGTGTCAATATAATTTGTTCACATTCTACATAAAAATGCACTGAAAGCTCAGTAGAATACTACTGATAGCTCCCTTTAACCAGCTTGATTACCCAGAGAAGGTTAAAGTGCAGTACATTAATTGGTCTCAAGAACCTGCCCACAATGAGTTTGTAGTTGCACAGATTGTGCACATTGTACAGAATGCCACAGCAACACCGTCCGTGCCAAGAGGGCTGGGCGTCTACAGCTGCATGCACACCACACCAAAGACAGATACAAAGGAGCTGCTGGGCTGTGAAAGTGTGAGGGGCCTGCAATGCTAAAAGCAAGAGACAGGCAAGTAATAGAGTAATTAATGTAATCGGCTTTGCTGAGTCTCCATAAAGTCCTTAGCCACTGAGGTCCTCAGGTGACCGACTTTCCTCCCTCATCCCAAAGGAGATAACTGATGGCAGAGACTCACCTGCAGGATTCACCTCTAAGGGCTGTAGCGATTGCAGCTAGTTGGGTTGAGGAGTTTCCCACAAACAAGCCCAAATGCCTAGCATTTATTAAATTTGTTAGCCACTTTTTTTACCAGTGTAACTCAAAGCAACTTACAACAATAAATAAATAACACATACATTAAAACACATACAGCTCTTTATGCACCCGCCCTGTCCATGCACACAGACCTCATTTGGTCTCATGGTTCTGTTTCCTGGTCAAAGAACAGTGACAGAATGCTGGGAACAGACTTTTAAAAATACATAGTTGTTTGGTTCATTCTTGGATACAAGAAAAGTTAAGGTAACCTATGAGCTGAATATAAATCTATTGCATAAACAAAACAACTTTAAAATGATAATGTTATAAAAGCTATCATAGCTCAGTTGCCAGTAGAGTCATCCCCATATGCAATGATGCAAACAAACTGAATACATGTACCATATTGGCCTGAATATAAGCCGAACTTTCCCCCCAAATTCTGACCATGAAAAGTTAAAGCGTGGCTTATATTTGTGACCTTATGGTACACAACAAGGAGCACAGGGCAAACAGCGCCAGGAGCATGGCAAAGCGTCGCCCACCCCACACGTAGTCCCCCGTCCTCTCCCCAAGGCCGGGAAGGGAGAGAGCGAGGAAGAGGAAAGGCCACTGGCAACACAGCGTGGCTCCCCCCCACGCCCAGTATGAAGCCAGGAGCAGTGAGGAATGGAGCGGCTTATATTCAGATTTTTTTCTTTCTCCCCCCCTTCCAATTTTAAAGGTGCTGCTTATATTTAGGCCAATACGGTAGTTGTACAAATCAATGAAAATAAAATAGCATGCAACTGTATTTCCCAAAGCCAGCTTGTACAGCCAGACATTTCAATGAATAAGCCTTATTCAGTGGTGGATAATTGATACAGAACACCAACTGGAGCATGAATCCTGAAGGTATAGGTATAGCGATTTTGATGATGTGCTGTGGTCAGATATAGCAGCCTCACGTAGCACACATTACAGTAATCTAGCCTAGAAGTTATCAACACATGGACCACATATAGGGGTCAGGCTATCCCTGTCCAGGAACAGCCATAGCTTGCGAACCAGACAAAGCTGATGAAAAGCACTGCTAGCCACAAATGACACTTGGGCCCCTAGTGACCAAGATGTATCCTGGGGTCATCACCCCCACTCCAGCTATGCACTTGCTCCCTCAGAAGGAGTGCAGCCCCATCCAGAGCAGGCAGCTTCCCATTTTCCCAAACATGGGAACCGTCCACCCAAAGAGCCTCTGTCTTCCCAGGATTCAAGCACAGTTGATTGGCCCTCACTGCATGTAGACAACGGTCCAGAGCTTTGGCAGCCTCTCCTGATTCAGATGTTACAAACAAGTTAAAGCTGTGTGTCATCAGCATCCTGGTGACACATTGCTCCAAAACTCCTGATGACTGCTCTCAAAGGCTTCATATACAGTGGTACCTCAAGTTAAGTATTTAATTCGCACCACTTTAGCTAATGGGGCCTCCCACTGCCGCCACATGATTTCTGTTCTTATCCTGAAGCAAAGTTCTTAACCCGAGGTACTATTTCTGGGTTAGCTGAGTCTGTAACCTGAAGCGTATGTAACCTGAGGCGTATGTAACCCGAGGTACCATTGTAGATGTTACAGAGCACTGGGGAGAGAACAGTAGCCTGCACAACTGCCAGGGGGCTCAGGAACACTCACCCACTGCTACTTTCTGGACATGTCCCTGGAGATACAAACTGAATCACTGTAATACAGTACCTTATTTATAATACGTATCCCCTAAATCAGTCCAGGAGAATACCATGATCAAAGGTATCAAAGGGTACTGAGAAATTGACTTCCGGGTAGCCGCACTATGGCGAACAGACGGCGAGTTTGACAGCTCTGTCAGACCCGACTTCACAGAGCGTCAGGGGGCAGCACACCCCCCCCAAAAAACCCTCAGAGGGTTGTCTGAGGTGTCGAGAGGTCCTGCAATCCGTGAACAGTGGCACCAAAACTCCCATCCTTGCCCCAGTGCCGAAGGGCGCCAGGAGTGGGGGGGGGGGAGCAGTGGAAGCCGGCGGATCAGGCGAAAACGCAACTCTGGAAATGAAGTCATGGGATATGTTCAAGAGATATTTACAAAAATGTAACAGTGATATAACATCTATGGCAGCGTTCGACCCTTGTGACCCTTGTGTAAAGTAAATATTAAGAAATAAGGAAAAATGGTACAACATGTTGTAAGAAATTATTAGAAAATATATTAAGAGGAAGCTAATAATTAGTACATTCAATATTACAAACGTTAATTATATTGGGAAATGATGATAATTTTACTTTATTTTATTTCATCTTATTTTATCTTAGTTTAGTTAGAAAATATGTGGAAAGAGTAATTTAATATTTAACTGTAAATTTATGTAAGGTTATTTTTTCTTTGTATGTGTGGATTTAAGATACTCTATGGTATCTATGGACATGGGTGGCGCTGTGGGTTAAACCACAGAGCCTAGGACATGCCGATCAGAAGGTCGGCGGTTCGAATCCCCACGATGGGGTGAGCTCCCGTTGCTCAGTTCCTGTTCCTGCCAACCTAGCAGTTCGAAAGCACGTCAAAGTGCAAGTAGTTAAATAGGTACCGCTCTGGCGGGAAGGTAAACAGCGTTTCCGTGGGCTGCTCTGGTTCACCAGAAGTGGCTTAGTCATGCTGGCCACATGACCCGGAAGCTGTACACTGCTCAGCCAATAAAGCGAGATGAGCGCCGCAACCCCAGAGTCGCCCGTAACTGGACCTAATGGTCAGGGGTCTCTTTATCTTGGTCACCTCCTTTGCACATGCTCCAGCTGGTCAATATCCTTCTTAAATTGTGGCACCGAGAACTGGACACCATATCCCAGGTGATAATTTTTTTGAATCTGAACTGAATAAAAAAAGTCAAGGTGGGAAATATTATCTGATGAGATTTTCACCCTGGATTGCTCTGACCATGTTTATTTGTCCACACAGTGGAATGGAATAAGCTATACCTCTAAATCAGGAGTGGTAAATTCCCCCCAGCCTCACAGGACCCCACTGATTTTGACAGCACTGGGAGTGCAATTTACTCCATCCCCAGCCATCAGGTTGATCAATAGGCCAGTCTGAGCACACAAGCCCTATATAGCTGTGACCCCAGAACTTGCACCTCAGCCTGTCTTGGGTGGAAGGATGCTGCCTGGAGTCTGCCCTTGTTCTGTTACTACTGCTTTGTTTTTGTTTTGTTTTGTTTTTTCTTTTGTTTTTTAAAACTTTTTTTAATTCAAAATTAAAACAAAACATATTATCCAGAAACATATCATCCTTATTCCCCCCCCCCCCATTTTTCCTCCCTCCCCCCACCCTCCCACACAAAACCCCGCACCCCACCCCACCCAGCTTCCCTGAGTTCCAGTCTTTGGTTGCTTTGAGAATGCTATTTTCGGCATGTTACAAAGCTGTATAGATCCTCAAACTATTTAGCGGATTATCATCAATAAAAAAGTTTGTGAATGTTCATTCAAAGCCAGCCAAGGAGTCCAGTTTGCTTTGTTGCGTCTTCAAATACTTTGTAAAGGGTTCCCATTCATCTTTAAAGTCACAGTTATCCTTGTCCCGTAGCTTGTATGTCAGTTTTGCCTGTTCTGCATAGTCCATCAATTTTTCTTGCCATGATTCTTTAGTTGGGGTTTCTTCCGTCTTCCATCCTTGTGCTATTAGAACTCTCGTGGCCGTTGTGGGCCTGAAGATGTTTTTCAGCTTTTTTGGCAGATTTTTCCCTACAATCCCTAACAAAAATGCTTCAGGTTTTTAAACAAATGTTAAATGGAGCATTTTCTTCAATTCGTTGTATATCATTTCCCAATTTTTTTTAATTACATTACAATCGCACCACATATGATAAATTGTCCCTTCCTTTTCCTTACACTTCCAACATATATTTGAACTAGTTTTGTACATTTTCCCTAATTGCACTGGTGTCGTGTACCATCTGTACATCATCTTCATGTAATTCTCCTTCAGTAGGGAACAATCTGTAAATTTAAAATCAGTTTTCCATAATTTTCCCAAATCTTCCATCATAATGTTGTGACCTACATCTTTTGCCCATTTAATCATAACTGATTCTACCTCTTCATCTTTCGTCTCCCATTCTAATAATATGCTATATGCGGCCTTCAGTAGTTTCACTTTCCCTTCAATCACTTCCGTTTGAAACCTAGATCTTGTGTAACTGAATCCTTTCTTGCTGTCTTCTTTATGTGTTTCATATAGTTGTCGATAATGCAACCAACTCTGAAAGTGGTCTTTGATCTCATCGTAATCTCTTAATTTCCATTTTCCATCATGGTCCTTTAATAAATCAACATATGTGAGCCATTTTCCTTTCTTTCCAAGTGGCTTGAGCAGTAATGCTTCATGTGGTGAAAGCCACCACAGGGTCTTTTGTTCCAACAAGTCTTTGTATCTCTCCCATACTCTCATTAGTGATTTCCTAATTATATGGTTGTAAAAACTTCTATGAACCTTCCCTTTCCCGTACCATAAGTATGCGTGCCAGCCGAATCTGTTGTCATGTCCTTCTAGTTCTAATGCCTCTTGCTTATCCAATCTCATCCAATCCCTGATCCATACCAAACAAGCAGATTCATAATACAATTTAAGGTCTGGGAGGGCAAACCCGTCTCTGTCTTTTACATCTGTAAGTATTTTATGATTTATCCTTGGCCTTTTGCCCCCCCAGATAAATTTTGAAATCTCTTTCTGCCATTTTTTAGAACATTCATCTTTCAGGAGGCCTGTATTGCTTGAAAAAGAAATAGCATTTTTGGCAACACATTCATTTTAATCGCCGATATTTTTCCTAACAATGAGAGATTCCTTCTACTCCATATTTCTAAATTTCTTTTTACCTCAAGCCAATTTTTTTCATAGTTATTTTTAAATAGGTTTATATTTCTTGATGTTAAACAAATCCCTAAATTTTTAAGCTTTTTATGGACTTCAATCTCAATGTTTTGTTCTAACTCGGTTCTTTCTTCTTCCTTCATGTTTTTAACTAATAATTTACTTTTATTCCTATTTAGCTTAAATCCTGTCACTTCCCCAAATTTCTGATTTTTTTCTATTACTTTAGCGAGTGAAGTTTTAGGTTCTTCCACTGTTATCACTAGGTCATCTGCATACACTTTTAACTTGAATTCACTTTTCCTAGTTTTTACACCTGTGATCTCTTTATCCGCTCTTATGTTTTTGGCAAGTACTTCCAAGACCAGAATAAACAATAATGGTGATAGTGGGCATCTTTGTCTCATTCCTTTTTGGATCTTACAATCATCTGTTATCACCTGATTTATAATTAATTTGACTTTTTGTTCTGAATAGATTGCTGCTATTCCTTTTAAAAACTCAGAACCACTTCTGATTTGTTCTAACAGCTTTATCATGAACTTCCAAGAAACATTATCAAAGGCTTTTTCAGCATCTATAAACATCATTGCCGCTTGCTTTTCATTTTTAACCTCCAAATATTCTATTATATTCAAAATATTCCTTATATTCTTCTTCATTTGTCTTCCTGGTAAAAACCCGGCTTGATCTTGATGTATATATTCATTTAGTTTTTTTCAATCTATTGCCTAGGATATTTGCAAACAATTTGTAATCATTATTTAACAAGGAGATAGACCTATAGTTTTTAATTTGAAGCAAATCTGCGTCTTGTTTTGGAATTACTCTTATATAGGCCTGTTTCCATGTTTCTGGGATTTCTCCTATGTTCAATATTTCATTCATAACATCTTTCAATGGGTTCGCTAATTGTTCATTTAATTTCTTGTAATATTTTGCCGTAAAGCCATCCGGACCTGGAGACTTGCCATTTTTAGAGCTTTTTATTGCCTCAAGTAATTCTTTCATTGTTATCTGGGAGTTAAGAATGTTCTTTTGTTCTTCTTTTAAATATGGCATATTGCTATTTCTGATGTACTCTTCTATCTTAAATGTTTTTTTCTTTCCCTTGTCTATACAGCTCAGAAAAATATTTAACAAATCCTTCTCATATTTCCTTCAGCTTGTCTGTAATTCTGCCATTTATGTTAATTTTATTTATGGAGTTCCTTTGTTCACCTTTTTTCAACTGCCAGACTAACAGCTTCCCCGGTTTATTTGCATGCTCAAATTATTTTTGTTTTGCTCTTTTTATTTTCCAGCTAATTTCCTCATTTATAATCATTGAATATTGGGTTTGTAATGTTTTGATTGCCTGTTTTACCGCCTCTTTATTTGCCTTGTTTGGCAGCTGTTTCTCCTTTTTCATAATTTCCTCTAATATTTCTTTTTTCTTTTTCTCTCTCAATTTCCTTTTAAATGGGTTTTGTTGTATAAAGAGTCCTCTCATTACAGCCTTGCTTGCCTCCCAGACCGTCTGTAACTTTGTTTGCCCTTGACTGTTTATTTCAAAATTTCAACAATTTTTTGATCATCTAATAAATCATCATTTAATCTCCATCTAAAAGAGATTTTGCTTTCTTTTTGTAGTTCCATAATCAGGGAATTATGGTCTGAAAAGGTTCTGGGATTGATTTCAATTTTTTTGACTTGTTTCCAATTCTTTGGAAATCTATACAGAATCTATTCTCGAGCTGCTATCATGTCTGTTACTACTGCTTTGGAACTTGCTCCTGTCACTTTAGACCACGGCATCTGCTTCCCCTTCAGCTGACAGCCAGCTCTTCCCACTTCCTGAATGCAGGTCATGGAACCTTGTCAAGGCCGGACACAGAGTCCCAGTTTGAAACAGGGAGTTCTCTCGGGAAAATGCCAACTCTTCAGCTTTGGCAGCACAGAAGGTTAAACTCCACCTCATTCTCCCCCATGTTCATTCTACAGGGAACTTTGACCCCTCTTTCCAAGCTCCTGGAATACATAAGGTTTGTGACTAGTCACCTTGCAAGTCGTTCTCAGGATCCAGTCTGGAGACTGCCTGCCTGCCTACAACTTGGGGCCATGGTTGAGTGAAAAAGCATTTCTGGAAAGTGTATTTTGTCAGCAAGAGGGTAACATTTATTTATTTTCTTTCTTTTGACTTGCTAAAAACAAATGTGCCTGCCTGGTGGTTGTGTGTGCTTGCAGAAAACATTGCTTTCTTTCATTGTTTCTGAATTCTGCCCTTCGAGGGGATTGGCTTGAAAGCAGTAGGAATTGGCAAAGAACTGGCTTGAAAGGAACTGAAAACAGGCTGGGCTTTCCGTATTCAGTTATCTCCTGGGCTGCTGCTGTTTTGCAAATTGGTGAAATGTGGCTTCTGACATGTTAAGTTTTCAGAATTGCAGCTTCCATTGTGAATAATTTTAGAAGTCCCTGCTTCTGAGTCTTTGCAGTTGTCAAGCAAGACATGATGGTGTATGGCAAGCTAGTTTCCCCTAAACCCTTGGAAGACAGAGGAAATCTGGTTGATAATGCCAGCATAACCTCAGCATTTCAGTGATTAAAATGAGGAAACACTTGAAATACCCATAGTTTCACCCAAGGTCAGTCCAAGACATTTTGGCACCTGAGTTGAAGCACAAAATGGCACCTCCCTGCTGCCAGGGAAAAGGGTACGTGAAGATCTGCACTGGAAACGGGGGTGGGGGGCATTCTAATCAACCTCACCCAATGGTTGAACTGGGAATCAAGGTCTGGGGGGGGAGAGCTATGAATCATGCAGGGCAGATGCAGAGCCCAGGAGATGCCAGAGGGCAGCCTCCACCATTTCCTCCCTAGGGGTGGGAGGCCAGCAGCACCTCCTATTCACCCTGGGAGTTGTAAAGCAGGCGGTGGATCTGACCTCCAAGGAGCATGCAGCAACTGTGGTGGCAGCAGCGGCAGGCAGTGCATACCCTGGAGGCAGGAACTGCTGCCCCTGTGGATCCTGCCTCCCTAGGCTGTCTCCTCATATTGCTTCATTCCAAACAAAACTGCCTGGACACCCATTCCCTACATCACGCATTAAAGAAGGCTGTTGTTTGTTGCATGCTGTGCTCATGTACTCTGCACTAAAGAGGTTCTCTGTTAACTTTAAAAAACAAACAAACCCACAAAGGTGAATGCAGGAAGCTGCCTTATCCCAAGTCAGACCATTAGTTCACCTAACTCAGTATTGTCTACACTGACTGGCAGCAGCTTCCCATGGGTGCACATTCCACTGTGTATGCTCTTTGAGTTAAAGATCTACTAGAAAATCCATACTTGTTTCTCAGTGTGTTGTCAGCAGTTCAAAATACACCTTGGCAGCTGCGGGGGTGGGGGATGGGCAGGCTGTGTTCTGGACGGATGCCTTACAGTTCATGTGCATTAATTTACATGTGGGCCTTTCTCCCCAGCCTGGTGCCCTGTATAAATCATAAGAGCCTGCTGGATCAGGCCAGTGACCCATTGAGCCCAGCCTCCTGTTCCCACAGTGCTGAAGCAGTTGCCAACTGGAAGCCCACCAGCAAGATCCTTCAGGTGAGGAAGCAGAGCAGAGCCATGTGGCTAGTAGCCACGGATAGCCCTTTCCTCCTCCACAAATTTCCAGTCCCCTTTTAAAGCCATCTCAGTTGGTGGCCATCCCTGTGGGAAGGTGCTCCACAGTTTAGCTCTGTGCTGCATGAAGAAATCCTTGTTAGACATCTCCTGAATTCAGCTTCACTGGATGTCCACAGGTTCTAGTGTTATGGGGGGGGTCTCCATCTACTGTCTTTAAGCTCTGCATGATTTTAAACACTATTTATCATGTTTCCCCTTACTCATCTTTACTCACAGTCCCCAAAGCTGCAACCTTTCCTCATAGGGAAAAAGGCTTCATTTGACCAGTCCCTGGGACAGTCCCTGGCTGGTTTGTTTGTTTGCAGCAGTCCGTTATAAACTACCATCCAGTCTATCTTTCAAAAGAGAGCAACACATTTTCTGTTTGTATCAAACTCCAGCATTACCAAGAATATTCACGTTTGATGGTTCGTGGAGAATAAGGCTGCTGTGCTCTGCCACCTCACTTGGAGGGAGGCAGCAATTTTCCTGAATCCCAGTTGCTGGCAAGTGCAGGAGGGGAGAGTGGTCCTGTGCTTGGCTCCTGCCTGCTGGCTTCCCCTGGGGGCATCTGCTTGGCCACTGTGAGGACAGGAGGCTGGACCAGATGGGCCATTGGCCTGATCCAGCAGCCTCTTCTCCTGTTCTTATGGAAGAAAGCAAATTCTTTTTTTTAAGCTAGCACAGTCCCCCCCCCAAAAAAAAACCCCTCACATTTTGTTATTCTGGCAATAAGCTTTTCTGCCACTTGCAGGGTTTCTTTCTGCTGTCTTTCTCTGACAGAATAGCCATTCAAGACTCTGCCACAAGGGAAGCCAAGTTCTCTGGCCAGTGGGTGCAGAGTTTTGAGAACTGGGAAGCAGCCCTTTCATGCCGGCATTCCTGTGCACAGAGGGATCTATTGTTAGCCCCTAAGCAGAAGGAGCGGCATCTGGAGGGTGTGCCAGGCTCTCCCGGCTGGAGTGTGGCACACTGACCTAGAAACTCACCAGCCTGCATGCTTTTGTGCCTTCCAATCCTAGGGTTGCCATATTTCAAAAAGGAAGAACCAGGACACCCCAAAAGTTGTTGAGCTTTTTGGTAAATCTTCCAAAGAATAAAATAAAATTGGGATTAAGGAGTTTTCCTGGGATGGGGGATGGTGTGTGTGCTTTGTCTTGTTGGTGTAGTAGTGGCAGCACTTGCCCTTCTTCTGATAGGAAATGCTCTGTAGTGGCGCACAAAAAAATGGGGAGGCCAAGGAGGGGCAAGGAAGTGAGAAAAGTCCTTATTTTAATCTGAGGAATGTTGGAGGGGATGCAAATAGAGTTACCAAGCCTAGGTATGGCCACCCAGGAATGAGTTCTGCTATGTTTGTTGGGATTTAATGCCAGGTGCACAAAGCTGTAGCCATTTTCTTCCCCCAGGAGAGAATTTAAGCCCCCCACCATGCGTGTTGCTGTGATTGGAGCCGGCATCATTGGACTGTCCACAGCCCTCTGCATCCGTGACCGATACCACTCAGCAGATCAGCCCCTGGAAATAGAGATCTATGCCGACCAGTTTACGCCTCACACCACCAGCGACGGGGCAGCGGGTCTTTGGCAGCCATATCTCTACGACAAGGGAAACACTCAAGAAACGTAAGACCCCTTTCACTCTACAGGACAGTGGAGTCAGGGTTGGCACTTGGCAGTGGTAGAAAATGTCACGGGACATAACAGACAACTTAGAGGGGCATTTGACAAAACATCGTTCTCAGTTGGTTGGTTTTGGTTAGTTGAATTTGTTCTGTGACAACCTGCGAGAAGTGAGCTTGCAGGGAACCAGGCAGAGGGCCTTCTTGGTAGTGGCGCCTGCCCTGTGGAACGTCCTCCCCGCAGATGTCAAGGCAATAAGCAACTATCCTACTTTTAAAAGACATTTGAAGGCAGTCCTGTTTAGGGACATTTTTAATGTCTGATGCTGTATTGTTTTTAATATTCGGTTGGATTTCCCCAGCGCAGAGTGGCTGGGGAAATCCAGCCAGATAGGCGGGGTATAAATAATATGATGATGATGATGATGATTATTATATCTAAACATATTTGGCCTTTAGCTTAAAAATGTATAAATTACTTCCTTTGGCCTTCCAGACTGCTGTTTCTACACCTTACTTAATATAGTGCTCTCTGATTGCTTTACATTTTTTTCTGTACACCATCAGTGACAGGTGCACAAGTTTTGTTAAGCCAAGTTTTGTTAAGCAGGTTGTGTTTGCCATTATATATTTTTTATTTGTCTGAGAAAAATTCCATAAAAATCAATTTATTTATAAAAACTGTTGGGTGTAGTGAAGGGTTAACCTTCTGTGTCTCGAGGCTGAGAGGAGGCGCTTACAAGGGAAGTAAGCCAGGACGTGACGAAAGCAGCTTGGAATGCTGTGAGCTGAGTGAAAAGTGAAAGCAGCTTTGCTACGCAGCTGCTGAGAGAGACAGGTCGCAAAATGCAACTTCAATCAGATGGATTGTAAATATGCTATTTTTGAGCAAATAAAGTGCTATTAGGAAAGAAGAAACGTGTGGGACCTGTTTACTGACTGCCCTTTCTACACGGACGCTGTGCAATTCTGCTAATTGCTTTACGACCTGCAGAGGTGCAGGGGAGCGTGCCGGACCAAGAGTAAAGCAATAAATCTTATCCTAACATGGTTATGGGTCAACGTGAAGTGTGAGGAAGGGCTTTGAAGTTTTATCTGCTGAACGTCAGTTTGATCGACTGCCGGAGACTTCAAAGAGGCAGATCGGAGGAGGCTGACGGAGGCTGGCAGCCAAGAGCCGTGACGTCCGGAGTTCCCAGTTTGGCTGAGTGAGTACCTTTGGAAAAGCCAACAGAAGGGAGGGCAATGGCTCAGCCCTGTGAACATGGCTTTGAGCTTAAGCTGCCATGTCAGAGACTGACTAGCCAAAATTGGCTGCAGTGGAGCTTTCAAGTGGAGCTTTTGCTGGTGGGGGGCAGCTGTGGAATGTAATTCACCCCACACAGAATGCAGCTGGGAAAGCAGAGGCTGATAGGGCTGCAGAGCAAAATGAAGTGGAGAAGCGTGTGCTTGCTTTTTGGCAGAAAGTGTGGATGCTCATCTGGTGCCTGTTGTCCTGGGTGCAAGAAAGCCAGAGGCTGCTTGGCTAGCACTCCAAGAAGCTTGTGGAGCTGGAGTGGGAAGCAAGGGCCGAGAAGTGGCTGCATCCGAAAGGGAGAGGCAAGATGGCGCCGGCCACCGATTCACAGCTGGGAGGAGCTGTGAGCCCCCACAGGGGGGCGAAGGGACTGTTGCTGTTCCTGTTGTTGTTGCTAGCAATGCTGCTTGTGCTTTTGCTGAGCCTGGGAGCTGTGTGGATGCTGCAACGTTTCTGTGTGAGGAACCTGAAGTGAGGCCAAGTGTTGGAAGCCCTTTACCCTTCAGAGGGGGTGCAGAAAAACGTCCTGGAGACCCTGTGAGCAGTGGGGGGGCAGTGAGCAGTGAAAGCTCAGAGACGCCTCTTTCTCCAAAAGCTGCCAAGAGTTGTTTACGTCGTGAGTCGGAGCCTGGGAAGCTGAAAAGTGCTAGAGGCTTCAAGGTCAGCCACCTGCAGCAAGTAGAGATAAGAGCTTCAGAGTTGTGTGGGAACGCCGAGACAAGTCCAGTCTCCATGGCAACTGAGAGAGTTGCATCTACGGAAGCTGTCAAGGTCGTGGGCAAGTCTTCCTGCCGGGGGGAGTCTGTTGCCGTGACAACCAGAGAGGACATCTGCAGAAGCCCCAAGGAGGGGGGTAGTGAGGAGATTGTTGCCCTGGCGACCCAGGAATGTAAACAACAAGACTTTCTCACTATAATAATTGACTCTGGTGCCTCAAATACGTTAGTGCCATCTGCTGATCTTTTGAGGAATTGCAGGACAGTAAAAACTGAGAAGTTTGTTAAGTTTGCAGATGGGAGCAGAAAAAGGCTAACAGAAACAGGACTGTTCTACTGTTCTTTTCTTAAGCATGAAGTCAAAGCTTATGCAGTGCCCGGTTTAACTAACTGTTTGTTAAGTGTGCATGATCTATTGATTGATAATTTTCAAGTTTCTTTTGCAGGTGACAAATGTGAATTTTCCAAGGATGGGAAACACGTGTACACAGTGCAGTCTAAAGATAATTTGTTTGCTGTAAATGTGCCTTTTTCCACAGGAGAGGATGACACCGAAGATGCGAAGGGCCAATGTGTGAATGTAGCGCCCCACAATGGTTGTGCACATATTTGGCACAGACGCTTCGCTCATTTAAATTGGAAATTTCTCCAAAAAGCACCAGAGCTGACACAAGGATGCAAATTTAATGTTTGTGACAAATTTCTAGATTGCAATGCATGTAAACAGGCGAAAGTTGTGACATGCTCATATCCAAAGTCAGAGAGGCAGACCACGCAACCCTTTGAATTAATTCATGCAGATTTGTGTGGGCCCATGTCTGTTGAGTCACTGGGAGGTTCGAAGTATTCTTTGCTTTTGATTGATGATTTTTCGAGGTCTGCTTGGACCTTCTCTCTGAAAACGAAAGGGGAGGCGGCTAAAATGATCAGGGATTGGATCACCGCAGTTGAGGTAACCTTTTCCACCAAAGTTCGTGGTTTTCAAAGTGACAGAGGTGCTGAATTCACTGGTTCTGCTTTACAGGATTTCTTTAGGGAGAAGGGGATTAGCCACAGACTGACCGCTCCTTACTCTCCGCAACAGAATGGGGTCGCAGAGAGAAAGAACAGGACGGTACAGGAAGCTGTGTCTGCGATCCTGTGGGACGCAGGGCTACCCCAGAAGTTTTGGTCGGAGGCCTGGAGATATGTGGTCCATACCGAGAACAGAGTGTACAACTCTAGTGTAGGAAATACACCGTATTTCTTACTTCATGGAAGGAAGCCTAACGTACACTACCTTCGTGTGTTTGGTTGTGAGGCTTGGGTGCTTATTCCAAAGGCTCTACGCAAGAAAGGTGAGCCAAGATCTAAAAGGATGATCTTTGTAGGGTATGAGCCTGGCTCAAAGGCCTGGAGGTTTGCATACCCAAGTGGAGACCAGTCTAGGTTGGTTATCAGCAATAGCGCTGAGTTCTGTGAGCAAGCTGGTTGGAAACGTCTGCACGCTAATCCAGACGTGCTTCCACAGCAGTTCTATGACTCAGACGAGGAGGAGGAGGAACTTGGAGCTGGGGACCACGGTCCAGAGGGACAGAGTCCAAGGCAGGGACAGCTCAGGATCCCTCAGAGGGGGGAACCTAGAACACCTCCTCAGGCAAGTGTCAAGTTTGAGCCAAAGAGTGAGCCTTCTTCACCTGCTGGACCAGCTGTAAGGCCCAAGAGGCGCAGCAGGTCAGAGGGGGAAGACACTGAAGTTGAGGATGATTTAGCTGGACCCAGTGAAGCAGCAGGGTCACCAGGAGTCACACTGAGGAGATCAGCGAGGACAAGGAGGCCTCCTGATCGGTACGACGCTTCAGGCGTCTGGGTAGGTTCTGCAAGATGTGAACCTGAATCCTTCGAGGATATTCAGAGTTTACCTGAGGAAGAAGCAGGCAAGTGGCACAGGGCAATGGACAAAGAGATGAAGTCCATGAAAGATCTAGGTGTGTTCTCACTCACCGAGTTGCCACCAGGGAAGCAGGCTGTGAGTTCCAGGTGGGTTTACCGCTTGAAACCCACTGGCGCTGGAGAGCCGCAGTATAAAGCCAGGTTAGTTGCTCGAGGATTTACTCAGAGGAAGGGAATACACTTCACGGAGGTGTATTCGCCAACGTCACGAGCGGAGACTCTGAGAACGCTTTTAGCTTGTGCGGCACAGAGAGGCTGGAAGGTAAACCACTTTGATGTGGATGTTGCCTACCTTAACTCAGATCTCCAGGAGGAGCTGTACATGATTCCTCCTCCGGGGTTTGAGAACTCAAGGCAGGATGTTGTGTGGAGATTGCACAAATCCATCTATGGATTACGTCAATCTGCTAGAAACTGGAACATGTGCCTGAATGAAGCTTTGGAGAAGCTAGGTTTCAGGAAGAGTCTTGCTGACAGTTGCCTGTTCCTTAGAGGATCAGGAGACTCACAGGAGCTGGTGCTGATTTGGGTTGATGACGTGCTTTTCGTCTCAGAAACAGATGAACAGGCGGAGAAGTTTGCCAAAGAGATAGGTAAACGATTCAAGCTTAAACAGCTTGGTGCTGTCAAAACCTATCTAGGTGTCAGTGTTGAGCGTGCACAGGATGGAAGTTTTTTGCTCAGCCAGAGAGGTAAAATTGAGCAATTGCTTCAGAAGTTCAGGATGAGTGATTGTGCAGGAGTGAGAAGTCCTATGGAGACTAGTTTTGTGAAGGACAGCCAGCAAGCAGAACGCGCTGCGTTCGAAAATACTGAAGTGTTTCAGTCAGCTCTAGGGAGTTTGTTGTACTTGTCCCAGTGGAGCAGACCTGATATAGCGTTTGCTGTCAATCTGCTCAGCAGGGAGGCATCAAACCCTAGTGTGCAAGCCTGGAATGGCATCAAGAGAGTTCTGAGGTATTTGCAGGAGACCAAAGACTTTTGTCTTAGGTTGCCAGCTCAAGGAGAAGTCAAACTGACTTGCTTTGTGGACTCGGATTGGGCTAATCTTGAGGATCGCAAGTCTGTGTCTGGCCTAGTGGTGAAGTTTGGGAACTCAGTAGTTGGATGGAGGTCCAAGAAGCAAAGTCTGATAGCGCTCTCATCCACTGAGGCTGAGTTTAGTGCTCTTTCAGAGATGTGCAGAGAAGTAGAGTTCTATGCTTGTTTGGTGCAGGAACTCTGCGAAGTGGATTGTCTGCCGATACGTGTTTTCGAGGACAATCAACCATGCCTGCGTTTGGCAGAGTCAGGTCAGTTCAAGGCCAGAACGAAACACCTAGACATTCGCTTCGGAATGTGTGCCAAAGTGTTCAGGAGGGATTAGTTGCGCTGAAGTACTGTCCCTCTGCCAAGAACCTAGCTGATGGGTTCACGAAGCCACTCACCTTCCAAAGACATGGGGAGTTTTGTGAAGGTCTGGGTTTGGGACGACCAAGGGTCGATTCTCCCCTCAGGCGCGAGACAAGAGGGGGTGTTGGGTGTAGTGAAGGGTTAACCTTCTGTGTCTCGAGGCTGAGAGGAGGCGCTTACAAGGGAAGTAAGCCAGGACGTGACGAAAGCAGCTTGGAATGCTGTGAGCTGAGTGAAAGTGAAAGCAGCTTTGCTACGCAGCTGCTGAGAGAGACAGGTCGCAAAATGCAACTTGAATCAGATGGACTGTAAATATGCTATTTTTGAGCAAATAAAGTGCTATTAGGAAAGAAGAAACGTGTGGGACCTGTTTACTGACTGCCCTTTCTACACGGACGCTGTGCAATTCTGCTAATTGCTTTACGACCTGCAGAGGTGCAGGGGAGCGTGCCGGACCAAGAGTAAAGCAATAAATCTTATCCTAACAAAAACAAACAAACATAAGACTAAAAGCTTTGGATTCCCTGATACTTGAGGAATTACATCTCTTTATGTTTTCATCTGAGTAGCTCATCCTTACACTGAGCCTTGTTGGTTCAGTCTCCCTGCTCTGCCTGTGTGGCTCTTCAGTGAGGACTAAACTGCAGAGAGGCAAATCTGAACTAAATATTCAGAAAAACTTCCCAAGGATAAGAGCAGTGGAGAGGTTGGTGAGGCCTTCTTTCTGTGAAGGCCTAGACAGGCAGGCAGCAGAAGTATGCTTCAAGCTGAAGGCAGTCAGCCATTTTGAAGGGAGTTGGAAGCGTTTCAGTGGGTCATTGTTTCCCATGGATGACTCATAAGCAGAGCTGGGTTGGGTCAGTGCCTGGATAGGTGGAGGCCTGGAACCCACACATATACGCCTTTGGGATCCCAAATGGAAGAGGAGAAAAAGGGAAGAAAATGAAGGGAAGGAGCCTGGCCTCTTCCCAGATCCATGTGTTTCCCTTCCTTTCCCAGTGCATCTGTGAGAAGCAGACTGGAAGCCATTTTGGATTAACCATGGCTATGTCAACGTTGTCCAAAAACAAAGAACTGTGGCTAATCAAACTGTTTTATGAATTTGGTTGAAACACATGGTACTGTAGCTAAGGTTAACCACAGTTTAGAGTCTGAATGTGATGCTAAACTGTGGGTAGTTGAAATCAAAAGCAAATACTTCCCAACTCCTCCTTGCAGACATACTGGAGAAGGGGAGGAGAGGGGAAGCATGCCAGCTTCGGTGGGGGTGGGTTGGACTAATTCCTGGCACAATAAACAATCCACCATTACAGGAAAGGCATTGTATTGGCATATTTGTCTTGGGAGAGGCATTGCATCGGGAGACTCATCCATTCTGTTTTCTGGTAGACCATCAAGTTGCAGGAAAATTTACAGTACAATCCTAGAGTGTGTAATTGTCTGACTGTATTATTTAATATGACAGACTCTGGAATAAAGAGACTTTTGATTATCTTCTTCAACACATTAATTCACCAGAAGCTGAGGAGATGGGGTTGTTTCTGCTCTCTGGATACAATCTCTTTACACAGCCAGTTCCGGTAAGTAACTGATGTTAAATAAGAGCAATTATTTCAAAGGATGTTTGGTCTTCCTCGTAGAAGGAGTTTTGGAGTATTGCATATCCCATAGATAATGGGAGATTGCTTTCCATGGCCTATTTGCATGACACTCAATATGGCTATTTTTGCATCACTGCAAAGCAAAGGGGGAAACCCACAACCAATAGGTGTAGGAACATGAGGCCAAATGCATCTCAGGTGCATCTCTCTTCGTTAGTAGAATCTATTCTAATTTCTTGAATGACTTGCTCAAGAAGTGGTGCATGAATCACAGTTAAATGACGCCATTTGGTACAAATTATCAATTTTCACAGAGAACAAGGTGACTGGACCAGAGCATCTTAGACATGTGGACTCTTCCCTCAGTTGCCTTATAACTGGCACAATACTTTCTCCTCTGCAGGACCCATCATGGAAGAATATCGTTTTGGGATTTAGGACCTTGACACAGAAAGAGCTTGAGCTCTTCCCTGGCTACAGGTATTGATCAATTCTCTCTTCCCTTTAGGTTTTGGGTGTCATGGTTTGCTTTGTGAGATAAGGCTGACACTACCTCTCTGGTGGGCTAGGAGGCCATCTAGAGCAGGACTAAAATGAGGAGGGGGAGAGGTAAATTCCAGTGGCATAAATGACACTCCCTGGATGTGACGGCTATTATAGAATCATAGACTTGCAGAAACCTCCTCCAGCACCTTCCAAGACTAACAGGGAGAGTGCCACTGACCCTCTGACTCCCAGCTCAACATTCCACTCACCAGAGGCAAGCAGGACATGCGCTCGAAAGGGTGCATTGCCACTTGAGGAAGGTGGATGGGATGGATGGAGTCCACCAAGAAAGAGTCGCTTTCCAGCCTCTCTCAACAACGCCCTCTCCACTTTATGCGATTTCACATGTATGCATGTAGCCCGGGAACAAAAGCCCTGCATAAGTGAAGGGACCCCTGTATTTCAGATGGTAGCCCATTGCTATGTCCTTATCTTTCATTTCCCTGGTTTCAGCTATGGTTGGTTCAACACAGCTCTGATGCTGGAGGGCAAACGATATCTACCCTGGCTTACAAAGAGGTGTGTATGATATTTGCTTTCTTCTCTCTGTTCTGACAATATCCATACTGACCATGAGAAGGTGCCTTGTCAGAGTTTGACCATTGGTCTGCCAAGCTCGGTATTATCTCTACGCTGACTGGCTCTTCAGTTCCCTCCCAGCCCTACCAGGAGATGCCCTTGGGAACAGAACATGGAACCTTCCACAGGCATAGCAGGTGCTCTACAAGTGCCCTTTGTCTGGAAGAGGCTGCCAGCCAGCCACGGTTCCTGTCAAGATACTCCATTCCATTCCATTTCTCCTACTCCGGCTGGCTTTTCAGGGTTCCTCTTGCCCTAATAGTCACCCAGCATCCAGTGCCAACAGTCAGCCAGCATGCGGAGACCTCACTGGGCTCTTTCTAGGGATGTCACCAAAACTGGAGAAGTGTCAGAATGTTAGCCATCAGTCACAGTGGCTCGCCCTGTTGTTTACAAGGCAACATTTGTCTTACAGATTAAAGCTGCAGAGCGTCAAGTTCTTTCATCGGAAAATTGAGTCCTTCCAGGAGGTTAGTTGGGAATTTAAATGTATTCTGGGAGGGGCATTGATAAAGGTATTTCCCTTCTCCACCAGCTGCAGACAGGATTAGATAGAGGTGGGGGGAGTCTATTGTTAGGCTTTAAATATTGCTGCATTTTGAGCAGAACTGGAGCAAGGAATTTTGGGGAAGGAGAAAGCTTTGAGGTCTGAGGTTTTTCACAGTCCAGTGGTATACAAAATTTCAATAAATAAATAAATTCTGAATTCCTGCAAGATTGTAAAAATCATAATAATAACCCACCCATATATATGTTTACATGAACTGTATTTAATTTATTGAATAACACAATATAAAAACAAATTAGTTATGATTCTTGCATTGCACAGCACAGGTTTCGATTAGAATTAGATGGCCCTTTGGTTCCCTCCCAGCTCTGCCGTTCTATGCTTCTCTGAATTAATGTGGCCCAGTTGCTTCCCTTTACTAAGATTAGCCATAACCCTGGAAGGTGGGACCAGCCTTAAAACCTTTCCACCAGTCTGGAGTAGTTTCCCCCTAGCATCTCCTGTGGTCATTCCAATCCTCTCCTGGAGTTTTCTTAAATACGCTTGGATAGAAATATGTCAGTTAGTGGTAAAAAGCCATTCTGGAACTTTGGCATCTTTGACAAAGGTTTACAAAAGACAAAGTTGAAATTCTTCAATATTGCCAAGGGACAATGTGTCGTCTACAACACAGGTTCAAAGATGATAGGATATTCCAGACTAGGAGTCCCAAACTTTTCTTTAGCCCTCGGGGCATATTTGGAAATTTTGGAAACTGTTGGTAGCACAACCAAAAACCTTTTTACAAAAGAAAAACCAGCAATGTTCAGATGCGACCCCCCCCCTGTGAAGCGCCTGTGCTCCCCACTCAACACCTCCTTTAAATTATAAACATTGGAAGGGTAGGGGGCATTGGCAGGTGCCAAGGGTTATATCTGAGGGTTCCATGGAGTCCTTCGGAACCACGTTGGGAAACCACTTTGAGACACTAGACCAGCCTTGGGTCCCAGCTAATGTTGGACTACAACTCCTCCCATCAGCCTCAGCCAGCATGGCCCAGTGGTCAGGGATGATGGGAATTGTAGTCCAACAATACACACCACACATCATGATGCCACTTTAAACAGACATGGCTTCCCCCAAAGAATTATGGGACCTGTGGTTTGTTAAGCGTACTGAGACGTGTGAAGAGGCCCCTCTTCCTCTCCCGGAGCTACATGGATGCTTGAGCTGAGATTCCTGCATTGCAGGGGGGTGGACTAGATGAACATTGGGGTCCCTTCCATTTCTACAACTCTAAGATTCTATGACTCCCAGAGCGATTTAACAATCAATCCCTCTTCACAGGGAACCGTATAGCTCTGGAGGTTTCATAGCAACTCTCAGCATCCTTAACACACTACAGTTCCCAGAGTTCCTTGGGGGAAGCCTTGATTATTTAAAGTGACAACCTAGTGCTCTGAATGCTTGGTGTGACTGTAAGCCCAGACATCCCGGTGGCGATCACACAGGGTCCCTGGATGTTTCACCGTCTATTGATCCCTGTGCCACCACTTTATTTCTCGCTGCCACCACCCAGGCCCTACCTGGTACAATACTGAGTCCCGTCAGGGTTACATTGGAACATAAACTTCTGTTATTTATTGCAGTTTAACAAGCGTGTGTGGTTTCATAAACGGTATCGGTCCATTACAATCATGGGTGCCTATCCAGACCTATAACTTCCGCTACCTACTCTCACTCACTAAACCACCTCTCAGATATTTACTTGTCTTCCTAGCTCCTAACTGTTCCTGACTCAGCTTATTTCACTACACTAACTCAACCTGCCCCCAGACTCTATCCCAATTCACTCCCACTCCAACCAACCTCCCAACCTTCCACCCCTCCCAGAGCTGGTTTTATAGTTCCTCTGACTCCACCCCCCTGGGTTTTGATTGGGTAACCTGTTTAACTATTTCACCTCCAGCACTCTCATATGTTAACATCACAACCCCCAACCACCTGCCCTCTCTCTAGATATTTCTGGAGTATGGCTCCAATAATTCCTGCCCTGCTTTAGGCAGATATGGTGGACTTTCCAAACCATTTTTTGCTAAGCAGGACAGAAAACCAGGGTGGCCAACCTCTGGCCTTCCATATGTTTTTGGATTCCAGTTCCCATTTGCCTTCAGAGACAGTAACACCACAAATCTGTCTTTTGCTTAGTTGATGGCTGAAGGTGTGGACATCATCATCAACTGCACAGGGGTTCGTGCTGGGGAGCTACAAGCTGACCCTGAGTTATGCCCGGGCCGGGGGCAAGTCATCAAGGTGAGGCCAGGCTTTCCAGGATTCTTTTGGCTGCCTTGCAAGAAGGGAAGAAGCTGCCTGTCTACCTGCAGTCCTGGTGGGGCTATGATGGGGTTGATGGGTCAGCAAATCCGTGACATTGCTCAAGCTGAGGATCCAGACCAGAGTCAGGAGTTTTATACGGCAAGGTGGGGCTTGATTTGTTCCTCAGGTCACCTGATTCCTGCTGGGGTGAATGCAGCAATACCCCCTTGCTGTTGCCTCTGCTTGTTTTGGCTCTCTAGGTTGAGGCCCCCTGGGTGAAGCATTTCATCATCACCCATGATGTTGAGACTGAGATCTACAACACACCTTACATCATACCTGGGTAAGGAAAACATAACTGACTATGACAGAATGTCGTCTTCCCCAATTGGATGCCTTCCAGATGTTTGCTCCTCCAGCTCCCATCAGGCCCTGCCAGTGTGCTGCTGAGTTGTACTGCAAAACATCTGGAGGACTCCTCGTTGGGGAAGCCCAATGGCATTTGTGTTGTGAACCCAAATAAATGCTTGCTCAGGGTTGGGGAATCTCAAGCCCAGTCTGGGTGCAGCCTTCCAGGCCTCTTTGGTGCTTAGGACCCTTCTTGCTCTGCTCCCTCACTTCACACCATCTGCAGGCCCCCACCTCAAGCGCTTTAACCTGCTTGGATGTGTCCTTCCACTGGGGCAATGCTGCTTGCTTGCCTGGAGGGAGGGAGGGGCATGTGAGGTGCCGGGTGCAGAGATTTCTGGAATGTAGCCTAATGTACAAAGATAAGTGTCACATCTCGCCCACTTTTGCCTTTGTGGGGATGGACAGATCTGTCCTTCCGAGTCCTCTCAGTTTCTAATTTTTCCAGCCTTGGATTAAGTAGTCCACATTTCTGCAGCAATGTCTGATTTTTTGATTTTTTTTAATCCTCACAAAAATTCTTCAGCTTTTTATGTGCAAATTTCTCCTAATTAACACTTTTTTCATTAGGGATAGAAGGAGCTGTCCATTTCAGTTCTCTCTCTTTCTGGTTTTGCTAATCATAAATTCAGTTCACATTTTGCAATTTTAAAAAAGCCTTCATGAAAATTATTCAGCATTTTACATGTAGATTTCTGCTAACAAACACATTTTTATCTGTAGTTTTGACTCATGTACACGTTTTTGCAAACTCTTTCCCCTCATATGGTGCATTTTTGCATGTTATTTTCACAATATATTCATTTCTATGCACACTGTCACCTAATAAACGCATTTCTGCAAGCATTTGCTGGAGAACTGCATTGCAAGATTCAGTTAAGTGCAAATTTCGAAGGATGACTGTGCTTTAGTTCTCATATTGTTTCAGAAAGTGCAGATTTGATACATTCAGGATTAAATGCAAACAGAATTGAAATTCTCCCTCAACCCCAGCCTCCAATCACTACTGGAATGCGGCCCCTAAGAGGGTGATGTGGCCTTTGGGCTGAAACATTTCCACCCCCTGTGCTTTATGTGATTTCTTAACTCTTGTTCGCTTGGCCATTTCAGGATCTGTTGCCCATCCCAACCCACAACACACAGAGGTAACAGATAGGACAGCAATCATGGGTCACATCCACACCATGCATTTAAAGTGCATGGCTTCCCCTAAAGAATCACGAACTGTAGTTGTTGTCCCCGTCCCCCCCAAAGCTACAACCCCCATACAAATGACAGTTCCCAGGATTCCTTGGAAGAAACCATGTACTTTAAATGGTGTGGATGTGGCATAAATGATCACAGGCCCAAAGAGCATCTCCTTGGGGCCTCTGGCCATCCTGGAGCCCTGGGACGTTCGTGGTGTGATGCACACAAGCATTGCTTGGGAGACTCAGAGCGTCACTTCTCCCACAGGGAAAAAGGAGCAGGAGCAGGATGCTGACACCAAATGCAATAGACTGCCATTGTGGCTTGGCAGTAGCCAGCCTGGCACACTTGTGTGACCCTTGCTTGACACCATTTCTTCCAAGCTGGCTTAGGGCCGATTCCACACACACACGCTGCCACTTCCCTTTCTGTTTCTGCTGTAGGAGCAACGCAGTGACATTGGGAGGAATATTTCAGCTGGGAAACTGGAGTCAAGAGAACAGCCCCCAGGACCACCAGCGCATTTGGCAAGGGTGCTGTGAGCTGCTTCCTAGCCTCCAGGTACAGTGACCAGCGTGGGGACTGAGCAGGCCGTTGTGCTCTTCCTTCCCTGCACACAGGGGGAAGTTCCGGGCGCAGCACAACCTGCTTTGAGTTTCCCTTGGGTTAAAGGAGTTCCTTTATTTACTTTTTGAAATAATTTTTATTTGATTTTACAAATTCATTCGCACAAGTAATATTATCAAAGACATTAACATTTACACAAGATTCTTCCGAATCTCAAGTCTTCCCTCCTCACCTCCATGGGTTCTTTAAATAACTTTTTAAACTGCATATTATAAGTCCATCTAATTTACCATCCTCCATTGTATCCAAAATCTTGTATCACTGCAAGAGTTATTTAAAGCCTGCCAAAGAGTTCAAGTGTTTACAGTGGTCTTTCAAGTACAATATATATTTATCCCATTCTTTGTTGAAGTTTTGATCCTCCTTGTGAGGAATGTGTGTGGTTGTTCACAAACAGCCAGGACTCTGACCTGTCTTTTACAGGTTTTATTGAGTGCAAACTATGTAGAGTGCAGAAGTCCAAAATCCATGTCTGCCTCAATCACTAGCAGATTCCAGAAGTGGTTTCTTCCGGTTTGCCTTCCAGCACAAAAGCCCGGAGAAAACCCCCTCTCCGCCTCTTTTCCTTACGTTTATTCCCCTGGCGAAAACAACTCCTTGGGAGCCGCGTTGTGGCTCATCTCAGGCTGAGTGAGCCTTTGCAACCCCCCCCTTCTTTCTTCATCCATTTCACCAGACCCTGACGAGGTGCAGCTGCTCAACAAAGGGGGAGGCTCTCTGGACGTTCCTGCCTCTCTCCCCTCCCTTGATGGCAGCCCCTGACACTCCTGAGTTCTGATTTTCCCTGGTTAATCTTGCCCTCTCTGCATAGTCCAATAATTTCATCTGCCAGTCCGCCCTAGTAGATATCTTGTCATCTTTCAAACTCTGGGTAAGAAGCATCTTTGCTGCTGTTGTAGCATACATAAAGTCTTTTCAGTTTCTTCAGTATCTCTGCACCTACAATTCCTAACAAAAAGGTTTCTGTTTTTTTTAACAAAAGTTATTTTAAACATTTTTTTTCAATTCATTTTATATCATTTCCCAGAATTCCTTTACAATTCCACCACATATGATAAAAGGTGCCTTCCTTTTCCTTACATTTCCAACAAACATTTGAACTTGTCCTATACATTTTTGCTAATTTACTTGGGGTTAAATATCAGCAATACATCATTTTCATATAATTTTCTGTTAAAGTATAACACATAAATTTCAAATCCTCTCTCCATAGTCTTTCCCAGTGCTTTTTTGTGGGGGGATGCAAGAGTATGTCCATTTACTGTATTTATTTTTCCTGATTTGAACTATAAAATGGTGATTTTCTTGAGTCAAAATGAGAGCACCCCTAAACATTATTTTAAAGAAGAAAGCACTGGTTTCCCATGCTGCAAACTGTATATTATACCCAAAATCTCTTGCTCTGGGTTAAAAGAGTTCCTGGTGGCTTAAAGAGTTTGTACCATGTTTGCACAGACAAGTAATGTATAAATGGAAGCCAGTGGCAGGAAATGCCTATCTGGTGGCAGACCTATTTCATAACATTTGTATACAGCTTGATTGTTAAAAAACAGCAACCACAAAGAATAAAACAATGAAATTGTTAGTAAAAAGTTATTACTGTTATTAAAAAAAATTAAAACCAACAATAAGTTAAAAAGTAAATTAAAGCACAGGTCAACATTCTCATAGCTCAGTCTCACTGTGCCTCTCACTGTGTGTTTAAGGGTCTCTTGGCTTATTTCCACCTCTAGAATAGATCGCATGGAGTCTGCAGAGGAGGGCTTTTCACATTTAGGGTTCTGTCACTGAAATTGCCTGGATGAAGGGTGGTATATAAATTTAATAAATAATAATGATAATTTGTCCATCCCTAGGCATTAAAGCATCATATTGGAGCTCTCAGGGGGATGAGGGGTTGTGTGAACCCTGTTAGGATGCTGGAAGCAAAGCTCTATGAGGAAGAGAAGCAGAATTTGTTGCTATCTCTCTCTCCTCCCCCCCCACCTTTTTTTTTTTTTTTGGCTGGGTTTCTATATTCATCATGATTCTGGCAGGCAGGAATTCAGCCGGTGGGGAAGAGTTCCTTTCAATATTGCTGTTGGAGTGTTTGCAGTTACTGATAGCTTCCATTTGATAATTGTAGTGCTTTGCAGTCATTTCTGCACCAGGTAAAGTAATTTTTAGCTCCTCCCATTCCCCCCACCTGCCTTTATTTTGTCTGCCCCGTCCTGCACTTTCCCCAACCCAAGGTGGCATCCCTAGATCTCAGACAGGGCTGTGCCCAAGCCTGTGGCCCGGGAATGGGGGACCCGCAGGGGCCCTCCAGATGTTGCTGAACTGCAACTCCCATCACCCTTGACCAGTGATGGCCGAACCTGGCCCTCCAGCTGTTTCTGGACATCAACTCCCATCATCCCTAGCTAACAGGACCAGTGGTCAGGGATGATGGGAACTGTGGTCCCAAAACAGCTGGAGGGCCACGTTTGGCCATCACTGCCCTTGATGGCAGGCTGGCTGGCGCTGATGGGGAGGGGAGCTGCAGCTTCCTAACCTTGAGCTGGAGTTGCAACACCCCAGTCTTCTACCACAGGAAGATTCAGTATAAGCACTGGCAAAGTGGATTGCTGTCCCTACTTCCCATGTTTTCTTACAATTGCCTGCTCTGAATAACCATGCATGTTGCTGCTTCCAGAAAGCCAAAATCATCCATGAATGGAGCGGTCATCGTCCCGTACGGCCAAGAGTCCGATTAGAACACCAGGCTGTTCGCCATGGGATGTTACAATCAGAGGTGGGTAACTTTCCGTATGCATGGTGTGAATTGATTTGTGGAACAGGATCAGGCCTTGCATGGTATCTCACACATGCTGAGGCTAGGACTCTCATATATCCTTGTGGGGGGTGTGTGTTACTCTAAGGCTGCAGTCCTGTGTACGAGTAAGCTAGCCCTACTGAAATTTAGTGAAACAAAATGCATTTCTCTGTGTGTTTGATGCGTGGATGGTGCATTAATTGACTCTGACATTCAGTTGCCGTAGGAAGTAATGTTTTCCTTCCTGCTGTTTTCCTTGGTGAAGTAGCTCTCTTCTTGCCTTTTCCTTCTCTCGCAGGTGATCCACAACTATGGCCATGGTGGCTTTGGGCTCACCATCCACTGGGGTTGTGCCATGGAGGTAGCCCATTTGTTTGGGAAGATTCTAGAAGACAAGAGGTTGGCCAAGCCACCCCATGCCAACCTCTGAGCACGTGGCAACAGTTCAGGCCACTTCGCTGACTTTTACTTGCAGGATGGATCTGCCTTTGCAGGATTAAGGAGCCTAGTTTTTAACTGTTTTCATAGATTGTTTTGCTTTGTTTTTCTTGTATTGCTTTGTTCTTCTTGTAAACTTCTTGGAGTCTCCCCACCCTCTTACAATCAATTGGTATATAAATTATATGAAATAAAGAAATAATACTCTTAAAGATTATTCAAGGAAGCAAGCTGAAGGTATGATCCTCTCTACCTATTAAGACAATTTCTGCCAAAATAAAGGCAGCATCCCTCAAGCTTTTACTATGCTGGTATTGGATGCTTGTTATACTGTCACACATCCTGAAAGATACTTTACTGATATGCTGGAGAGCCTATGGTCACAAGCGCACCTTCCTTCATATGTGGTGGCAGTGTAAAATATTAACAGCTTATTTGTGGTCTATATTCATGGACCTTTCTGCAATAAGAAACCAGTCTCTAACCCCAGACCTGGTATTAGCTCTCCTGGCCATTGACAGTGACTTAAATCCCACCCTTGTTCACAAGGAGCTGCTAAGACTTTTCTTTGCAATAGCCAGACTCAACATTGCCAAACATTGGAAATGTGCAGCAGGTCTCTCTAGGGATGGGTATTTTGAGAGGGTACAGGACATTGCCTTGTCTGAGCATTTAACCCACCATAAGAGGGTTTTAAGAGGGTTACAAAACAAGGCCGTTTTGATGTTGTATGGCAGTGGGTCCCAAACTGGGCAATACCACCCCCTGGGGGTCAGTGGGATTACTAGAGAGGCATTAAGAGGCAAGGGGGCAGTAGCTGGGCACTGGCAGTGCAAATGACTACCAGACTTTGAAAAGCTGGTGTCACTGGTTCATGTTACTGGATTTTGTCGAATTAATTGAACTAAATAGTTACAACTAGATTTTGAATAAACATGCAGTTGTTACCATTTGGGTCTGCTGGCACCAGAGCCCCACATCTCATCCCTTGAACCCTGAGGAGACACGTCTGCCGTTGGACTCTAATGACTGGATTCTAGACTCCTCAGAGGCTCAGGAAAGACCTGAGGAACTTTCTCCAAAGATACTCTGGCAGCTTGAAGTCCTGTGGCCAAGACAAAGCCAATGGTTGCAGGAAAAGGAACCACCCTGATAACTGGAAGACACAGTAACCAGAGAGCAGGGCCTTAGTCGCTGTGGTCACCTAGCCCAGACTATAAAACTTCAATGCACTCCTGAGACAACCTGCTTTGCCTGCCTTAGTTGCAGAATAACTCAGGGCTCATCCAGACTTACCCTCGCCCCAGCACTTTCCCCCAAGGAAACCTGATATTTACCACTGAATTGGAGCAAACATCAATTAGGCTTTCTCTGGATTGATGTTTGGTCCAATTTATCACTAAAGAGCAGGTTTTCTGGAGGGAAGCAGAAAGGCAAGGGCAAAACAATGAGGACCTGTGCCTAGAAAGTGCGGGACATGCAGAAAACTGCTTGGATCCCTGCTTTCTAGACACAGGACAAGCCCATGTCTGGATAAGCCCCTAAATGTGGTCCTCCTGAAGCAGCACCTTGTTGTGCCTAAACTTTGCTGCCAGGTTGTTCCATCATCTCATGAGGCTACTCTCTACATCAGGCCAGGGCTATCTGCTTAACCTTGGAGTTAAAAATGGAACCCCACAGGGCTTCCCCTAGACCTCAGCTCTTGGCCAACTCTGCTCCCTGAGGTCATTTTAACTAGAGATGCTGAGAATTAACCTGGGGAGTCAACCACAAAGCACATGGCCTGTGGACACCCCACACTTAATAGGACAGGAGATGGAAATGTCCGGTCATTGTTGAGTGGGATGGAAAAAAGACAAACGGCTAGTAAATGAGAGGAAAGGCTACACCACCAGTTCTTGGGTGGTTTGTGGTCCAAGTCCATCCATGCTGGGTGACATAAATAGGCTTTTTGAGAATGGTGTGTCCTGAAAACCTAGGGAGGAGAGGTGGCCCACATTTTGGGCACAGAGTAGCCACAAAAGCTCCCATAAAGCTCACTATTGTAGAAACTATTTATTTATTCAACATAAAATATCCAGTGTGGAATCAAATCATCTGATTTTGCATCATTAACAGAGAAACAAAAATTGAGTACAACAAGCTTCAGTTTTACAGAAGTCTTATTTTCAACATGAATGCACACCTAGTTTAGAAACTGTACATAACGCAGTAGAGACATTCAAGTGTTCTCCCCCCACCCCAATTCCAGCAAGCATTGAGCAATACACAAAGACCATTCATCACAGAGTATGGAAAGAATCACTTTTCCTCCACAATAGCTTTGCACATCAACAAACTGGACAACCAACAGAACTCTGAACACACAATTAAGTTCAGTTCCAAGTGATATTTTTACATTGGTGATTTTTTATTTTTTAATGGTTTCCAGGAGTTTGTAGGCCTAAGGCATCAATGCCAGATTTTATATAGAGAATCAGTTTTCCAGAAAAGACAGCAACACAGATTTCCATAAGAGTCAAGAGCTTTTACTAAATTAAATCTTGGTTTCTGTTACCCAAGCGAAATCTTATGGATTCAAACAGAACAACCCCCACGTTGATGGCCATCTCTGTTAAACAAAATTTGTGACAGTATACTTTTCCATAGGACTGAATAAAGCACAAGCATACCTAATTCAAAGAAGGTTGGTTTTGTCATACAGATATTTTGAATTCAGCAGCCACCATGGTATCATATGTCCTGCCTGGCTCTAGCCTATGAAGCTTTTAATGTGTGTTGGGGGGGGACCTCTCTCCCAAATGAGAAGCCCCAGATCAAAAGGCCTCTGGGACCAGATGAGGGTCAAGAGCTTCAGGTTGGCTGCAGCAGGGAAAGGGAAAGCTGCACAATGTATTTCCATCCGACAAGTCCTCTTGGACTTAAAAAAAACCCCATTAGTAGGATTAGAACCACCCACACAGAAACAGGCACAGCACAGTTGCACAAATGCAGACCATCTTCATGGATTCTGCCTCTTGAAGTCCATCTGATCATAGAATTGTAGAGTTGGAAGGGACCCTGATGTCAGTGGATGTTCCTTGCAATCCTTAACAGCCCTTTTCACATGCAAATAAGCACCTACAAATTCACATGGGATACACTTATCAATGGCTATGGATGACAACTAAATGGCACCACCTTGTCTGGAGGCAATTTACCTCTGCAACATCAGGCAGGGAGGGGAAACAGCAGGGAGAGCAGTTGCCTTCATGTCCTGCTTCCTAGCAGTTATGGGCTGCCCACTGACAGAAGCAGGATGCTGGGCTGAATGGACATCTGCCCAATTCAGCAGGGCTCTTATTTGTACCTGCTTCTCCTTATAGGGTAGTTTTATTCAATGTGTTCATTCATTTTGGGAGTTTTCTAAATCTTGGAGTATGAAATGAATTGGGCAGAGGAACCCTTTTCCTGGAGAGCAAGGACTCCTACTTTTTTCATTGTTCAAAATTCCAAGACATGAGGGATTAAGCATAGAGGCCAAACGCCATCCCCATCATGCATGGGCTCTTGACTTTCCACGTCAACCCTTGGATCACTCTGACTGACCAGACAACTGCAGAAACAGCCCCAGCAAAGTGTTACAGGGGCTGGGACCCAACGGAGAGAGCCACAGCATGTATTTCTGAATGCATACACACCTGGAATCACAATAGCAGGTTCTCACTGGCTTTACTGACAGGGAAATGAACCCCAAGAAAATGAAATTCTGCTTCCTGTTCTGATGGGTGAACAGAAAGATCTGTGTAGTCCAGCGTTCCTTTGTTCCACAGGGGCCAGCCAGATGCCTCTGGGAAGCCCACAAACTTGCATTGAAGCCAACAGCCTCTCCACTGCTCTTGTTCACCCCAGCTAATTGTTTTGGGTGGCATAGACTGTCCCTGAAACTGGAGGTTCTATGAGGTCATCAGGACAAATAGCCTCTTCCATGAATTTGCCAGAAGCCATATAACCCATAAATCAACGAAGTCTTTAAATGAAGGAATGAATTTCCTTTGTCTGTGCTGAATCTGCTGCCCCCCAGTTTCTCTGGATGATCCTGAGTTTAAATATTATGAGAAAAGCTTTTCACTATTGAATTTATCCACGCCACCCATAATCTCATAGAACTCTCTCCTGTCCTCCCCTCAAGTTGCCATGTTTCTAAACGAAAAAGCCTCAGATGCTTAAATGTTCCTCTTAGGAACATCCTTTCAGTCCTTCAGCTGCCCCTTTCTGCGCTGCCATGAGGACTGCTTGCGCACAACATCCCAAATGCATGGCCCTGTTTGCAGACTTCACCTCTAGGGCAAGCAAAGTGGTGGGTTTCTTTGTTTCTTTGTGGTTAGTAGAAGAGCTCTCAGAGCAGCATTTGCTGAAGTTCCCAGCTGCTCTTTAAGACTCAGAACCTCTCTGGCAAAGAAGCTCTCAAAGGCTGATGGTCGTTCGTGGATGTTGATGGGAGTGCAAGGCAAGTGATTAATTCACAAGTGCATGAGACTGATGGAGGGCTGCACTGGGATCTGGGGCACAGATCTGCAAGCCCACTTCCTGGCATTGAGGGCATTTGTGCAGAGCCAAATCCTGTCCATCGATCTGCCTGCTTGGTATGGAGCACTTGGCGTCAAGAAACTAAGCTTGTTTGTCATCAACCACACGAAGGGGCAGACAGTTTGGCAAAGGCTCCCATTTCTCTTCCTCCCCGGCTGCATCACATTCCTCCCCCGAAACTCTCTCCCGCACGTTCACTCTCCAGATTTAATACCTCTCCTTGCACAAGTGGACAGTGATGGGTGCGAGTGAAAAAAGGCGCCCAGGACACAGGTGGAGCGTTCTTGCTTTTGGACACACACGGCAGTGACAAGACATTCTGCTTCTCGGGTGCCAGAGCTGGAGGGGCGGAAACTCCTTGGACGACCTTGCGGCTGGGCCAGCGCGTCGCGTCATCACCCCTGAGACCCAGAGTTTGAGTGTGGGACTCCGCGCCCAAACATCTCCTGCCCCCATTCCCTGTGGGTGGACTCCTGCAGGCCGCGGCCTTTGGTTTCGATGGGCAGCAAGCAAGAAGCGAGAGCAGCCAGGATGCAGCAGCCGCTGTAGACTATCAGCGTCAAATAGACAGAGGACTCCAGCATCACCTGAAGGGGGGGGGTGAGTCAGCAAAGGCAGACACAGAAGGGCCTCTGAGCCAACTCTCAGGGTCAGAGAGCTCTACACATACGAGTTGCCTGGGTTCACCATTAAGGGTTGGAGTAGATGAGCTGAATGTTAAAGAGCATAAGACGCTTCTGGTTCGGGCCAAGGGCCCATCTGGCCCAGCATCATCTTCTCGCAGGGGCCACCCAAATGCCTGTGGGCATGGATTAATTGGGGGGGCAGGCTTTAAGTTAGGGGGGCAGAACTGAGTTATCTGTGATGCAATTGGTCAGTTAGTTAAGTATTCTTATTTATTTACTTGATGGGGGGGCAGCTGCACATAGTAGCACAGGTTCCCCTTTAGCACACAGGGGACCTGGAATTCTTAGGAATAAGGTTCAGGATGCAAAAACAGGCCTAGCAAATGTAGAATTTAATGTCCAAACTCTATGCCTCTGTGCAGCAACAACCCAGCTCTCTCTCCCCTCCAAAATCCTCATCCCAGGACCCTAACTAGCAACCCCAGGACATTCTGAAATACCCACCTTGATCAAGGAATGAATTTAACACACTGTTACCTGAGCGATAAATGGTGTGATGAGTGCGCCGACTCTGGCTACCCCGCTACAGGTCCCGAGACCCAGAGCACGAGTGGCCGTGGGGTAAACCTAAGGAGAAATTCATACGTGCATTGGCACATGGGGACATCTTGCGCTGAGATTCCTGCACTGCAAGGGGTTGGACTAGATGACCCGTGGGGTCTCTTCCAACTTTATGAATCTATGATTCTACATGCCTCACTTCTCTGGATCTCTGAATAGTCACCAGAAAGGTGATAAGGGGCAGTGGAGGGAAAGGATGCTTCTGGTCATATGCAGAAAGCAGCCCCCAAGCAATGGGCCAACACATATTGCCCTCAAGCATTTGAGATTTGGGGGCAGGGATTCCTCCAGGTCAAAAGCAGACGTTCATGGCTGGTGCTAATGGCTGAGAAGGGTGTGCAGGTCCCATATGCTAATAAAAACACAACATGAGATCCTGGGATCACCACACACACACACATTCCATGTTCCACTGGGCAAGCGGGAAAGGTGGAAGCGGCTGCCAACTGAGGAGGTACTTACTGGATCTCATGAATCATAGGATTGTAGAATTGTAGAGTTGGAAGTGACCCCAAGGGTCATCTAGTCCAACCCCCTGCAATGCAGGAATCACAGCTCAAGAATCCCTGACAGATGGTCTCCCAACCTCTCCTTCAAAACCTCCACGGAAGGAGAGTCCACCACCTCCTGAGGTGTCCAACAGCTCTTACTATCAGAAAGTCTTTCCTAATGTTTACTCAGAATCTGTAGTGCATTCTGGGCCCCCCACAATCCTAAAATTGTGAAAGAGACAACACAACGAACACAGCAAGCCCTCTGGAGGCAGCAGCACAAGCCTCTCTTTCCCATGTGCTCCATGGAAATGGAGAAATCCCAGAGACCCTACGGGGGCTTGGTTTCACAGTCTCTGCCTTGCTCTTCCACGCCAACCACGATGCTCCTGCCCCACCCCATCAAGACCTCCTTGCTACTGATGCTCCTTTGCTCAGGCCTGCCCCAAATCCTGGTCCCGGGCAAGCCCCCTCCTCACAGAATATTTGGCTTCTCGTTTTCTTACCTCAGGGGTGTAAACGTAGGCGGCTTGAAATCCTCCCGAAATAAAAGCCCTTGCAATGAACAATAACACAGTGAGAACTTTCCTGTAAGGACAAAAGGACAATGTTTTTGTTTTGAGAAGATAGATGCTGGTACATTTTGACAGGACGCACTCATTGTACTGCTGTATCATAAGAACATGATGTTATGGATTTGTTGGGGTTCAGATTCCCCTAAATTCCCTTCCCCATAATTCCAGTTCCGCCCCCCAGCTACGCCACTGCATCTAGGTGCAGGTTGTATGTCAGTGTAAATAAAACCCTATATCACGAAGACACTGCAGTCTCTGCTGTGCCTCATTGTCCCAAGAGGGAACACAGCCCCTGGTAAGCATGCCTCCAACCCTGAGATCTTGCACCATTTGTGCAGATGGGGGTGGTGTGTAACAATAACAGTCTCCTGCTGGATCAGGCCTAAGGGGCCCCGGCCAGTCCAGCACCCTGTTCTCACAGTGGCCAGCCAGGTGCCCCAATGGGAAACCCACCAGCGGGACCCAAGCACAGGAGGACTCTCCCCTCCAGCAACTGGGATTCAGAAGCATTTCTGCCTCTGGCTGCGGAGGCAGAGCATAGTCACCCAGGCTAAGGACCATCCTTAGTCTTTTCTGTGGTCTCTTGGAAGACCAAAAATGGGAAGTGGAGGGCAGAAGCATCACTAAAGCTACCATTTAAATTCTTTGTACTGGTCTGCAACCTTCCCTTTACCACGAATAATGCTCTTTCTGTATCCCCCATGTGGAACCTCTGAAATACTTTGCTCCGGGTTTGCCTGAAAGTTCAGAATTTGCAGGTGTGCAGACTACCTGCTCCTCACACCAGTATGGAGAACCTCCACACAGTTAGGTAAAAGCATTTGTAGCACAACTTTGAACATGTCCCAGCCCCCCCCCCGAAGTGCTTTGCAGTGCCTTCCTTGTGGGGGTGGGGCATTTGCAGGGTTGGGTGGGTTCCCCCCACCAGCTGGTCTGGATCACTTTGCTCACCTTCCAACGCAGAGAAAGAGTAGGAGGCTGCAAAATGCAAAGACAAAGAAGCAGAGGGCCATTGTCTTCTTACGCCCAATCCGATCAATAACCCATAAGGTCACTAGAACACCTGGAGGAGGAGGAGGAGGAGGAGGAGGGTGTTACTGGCTGAAGCAGGCTTGTGAGTAGCTCTCTGCTCGCCCGTGGTACATGGCCACAGCCTTCATGTCAAGCAGGCAGAGCAGCAGTTATGGAAGCTGTTGCTTTTTTCAGGCCATAAATGACTAACATAAGCTCTTCTGGGGCAATGGGCTTGTGGATTTGTTTGTTCTGGCTAGCAACTTTTCTGAACTTATTTTCAAAGCCTTCCCTGCCTCTCTGACTGCTGTGCAGCGCCCAATTCAGATGGGTCATGGAGGCAATTCTGAGGCTGGTGTGCTCTGAACATCCATAGGACTAGTGCACAGGCATGAAATCTAGTGGGTCGCTTGCTCGCTCGCTTGCTTCCTTGCTTCTTTCTTTCTTTAAAAAACTGGTGTTTCTCTGGCACATGTTCAAGGCAGTTTACAGCAACAGAGAGCGAAAGAGAATTGCTGAGACTTTAACCATAAGAATGAGATACAAATCCAGAAACAAAGGAATTTGTCTTATATTGAGTCAGATCATGAGTCCAACTTGCTCAGCATGGTCAACACCAGCAGTTCCCTAAGTGGGTGATACTGCCCACCCCCTGGGGGTGAGGGTGGGATTTCCTAGGGGAGCAGAAGGAGGCAGGCGTGCTGGAATGACTTGGAATAGCTGGTGTCACTGGATCACATTCATCAGTTTTGTTGAATTAATTAAGCTACATAGTTTTAATTAGATTCTGAACAAATGTGCAAGTTTTCCCACTCGGCTAATCGGAGCCTTTAATTTCCCAGCAGTCTACCTGGGAACTCTGAGAGAGTGGTCCACAGGAGGTCGATGTAGTCCTTTTCAGTCAGGTATTCACATGCCAGGCTGCACTTGGCCTTCACTGCTTTTCTCTTGCTGGATACTTAGATGAAGCAAGAAGAGGAGGAGGAGGAGGAGGGTGAATATGTGATATTTTAAGAAATCATTCCAGCCTCCCCCCCCCCCACGCGCACATGCATCCTTGCACCTTTGGGCCTGGTGTGCCCCTGCTGCAATTTTAAGTTGCGAGGTGAACCACCAAGTTGTGAGTGTCACCTGTGAGATCCCCTCTCCCTATGTATGCCCACTTGACCACTTGGATCAAAGGAGCTGGAACTGTGACAGCGTATGCAAGAAAATGGTATTTTAGTCTGGCAGCAGCCGCCCTCTGGAACTCCCTGCCTGTTGTACTCACAGCTGCAGAGGTCTCCTGCTTGAAAGAGCTCCGTGGTTAGTAAAACTAAGCCGTAATAAGAAAAGGCATTGGAGAACCTGAAGAGAAGCAGAGAGAGTGTTGCAGGCAGGCAGGCAGGTGCATTGAAAAGGAACATGGCATGGCCCTGAATCTGGGGTGGGGAGGGGCTGCAGGCTCAGGATCCAACGGGGGGAATGACATTGCGCATGTGTGTGCACAGTGCAGCTAGGTTCAAGCTCACAGTCGGCTGGGGTGGCCAGGGGCAACCGTGGTCCGCATCGTAATTCGCAGTTAGCTTGCCACAGTACAAATCCAGTGTCATAAATTCAGTCACGAGTCCTCTGAACATAAGAACATAAGCAGAGCCTGCTGGATCCTGTTCTTGCAGTGGTCAACCAGTTTCCTGTGGGAAAGCAGGGAGCAGAACAGGAGCACAAGAGCCCTCCGCCCTCCCGTGGCTTCCAGCAGCTGCTGTGCAGAAGCAGAGCTGCCTGCAGAGGCTTTGGAGGCAGAGCATAGCCACTGTGGCTCAGAGCCACTGATCGCCTCCTCCGTGAATCTGTCCCGTTCCCTTTGCCTCTTGTTTAACGCATTGACCGTGTCAAAGAAGGAACCTGCAGGTCAGCATTTAGCAAACAGCATCTGCTAAATTCCCTTTTCCTTGGGCTGCACTTTTAATGTTTTTGACCAAAAATAGAGAGGGGTCCTGATCAATTTTAACACAAGCACTTACAAAAACAGCTTTCAAGGGCTCTCCTTTTTTTCTCTTTCGCACTAGAGGGAAACACTTTTTTTGCAGTGGGGCTGTTGCTCGGTTAAAGAAATATGAATTTAAGTGCACAAGTTTTAATCAGCAGAATAAGTGGGGTGCACTAATTTACACCTCTGGCTATTTAAGCATTTGCATTAATCAATTAATTGACTAGAGCATATGTGATGGATGAACTAGGATGTCTTTAATCAGGTCACAGCCTCGTCTCTTGCACTTTTAAAGAGTGCATTCCCCCTTTTGCATGTGAGCTTCCCCCCACCTTGGCTGCCCCAGCCTCTCATTGCATCAGGGATGTTGGCATTGCAGCGCCCCCACGTCAGGTGGCCAGGTGGTGGCACTGCATTAGTCAGATCCAGCAGGGATCATGGGGCTTGAGAAGCCAGTTGAGATCCCGCCTGACTCTATAAAGCTGCCAGATCTGTGCCCCGAGGGCGCAAACCAAGCCACAGGGCCACCCGACTGATGTGCCAACTTGCCCTCAGGCCACCAGATCCCATGATGAAAGGGGGTTATATACAGTAGGTCTAATAAATAAAATAAATAAATCTCAGAGAGGCAGGCTGACCCTGAATCTTCTCTATCTTCCTCTTACCATATAAACCAAAGCAGGAGGGTTGTCCATCTAAACTGGGGGGTGAAGAGGTCCCTCATCTTCCCTCTGTCTTCCTGTTTGGAAACAAACATATACATAGATATAGGGAAGCTGGGTGCTGTCTGAAAACATCGGCCAAAGGGGGGGGGGCACCATGGATTTCTTAGGAGTTTGCCTGGCATTCCTCATTCATCTGATGAGTCCCTGTGGCAGCTTCCCAGCTGTCAGAAATTAGCAGCGCCACATTCACACCATACATTTAAAACACTATGATACCACTCTAAATCAATGTTGCTTTGCCCAAGGAATCCTTGATTCCCCTCTCAGAGCTGCAATTCCCAGAGTGCTTTAACAACCACTCCCTCTTCTCAGGGAACTCTGGCAATTGTGGCTCTGGGAGGGGAAGGGGGGCTTCTACAACTCTCAGCACCTGTAACAAACTACAGTTCCCATAATTCTTTGCGGGGAGCCATAACTGTTTGGTATCATAGCACTTTATGTGCAGGGTGTGGATATGGCCCAGTTGAGTACCTGAGATGGGGCCTTTTCAGAGGTGGCACCCATAATATGCCTGCCTCCCCTCCCCTGCTTACAGCAAATACACTTTTATTTTAGCAAGTTTTCATATGTTATTTTAATATTTTTTACTGATGTTGTACATATTATTTATTGTAAGACATCTCAGACATTTTAATGAAGTGAGATACAAGTCTTGCAGACAAATGAAGAAAATAAATAATCCCAGGTCTGAGCCAAGTGATCCATGCACACTTTTATTGAAGCTCGCTGGATTTTGGGGTGGTTGTTTCATAGAACCCTAGAATGGCAGAGTTGGAAGGCTCCCAAAGGTCATCTAGTCCCACCCCCAGGAGTGCTGGTCTGCCTGCACTCACCTGCCTGGAGATGATCAGTTTCCCCAGAGGCATTGGAGCTCCATTCTCAGTCGCTATCCGCTTCAAAGTGGCAAAGGCTTTCTCCTGATTCCCAGATAGCACATCGTATCGCGCACTTTCTGGTAACCACTGTAAAGGTATGATAAATTTATTTTATTCATTTCATAAAAATTATATACTGATTGATCGCAAAAAATACACCTCAAAATGGTTTACAAAAAAAGAACAAAACATGAAATTATCAGTTCATTTTTTTAAAAAAACAACTATCTAAAACATTAAAAAAAACCCCAACAAGCTGAAAGCCTGATTAAAACACTTGTCAATAGTGTATATATCTGGATAGTCTTGCCCCGCCCAAAAAATGTTTTTGGCAGGTGCCGAAAAGAGTACAGTGAGAGTGTCTGCCTGATGTCAAGTGTGTGTGCTGCCACACTAAAATACTGATTTCTTACAATCACTTTCTGTCCAAAGGCAGGAGACCAACCAAATGGACAGGACTAATCTGAAGCCGTGTCCCCCCCCCTCCCTCCCCAAGACTTTGGGAAGCCAGAAGGAATACCTACGAAACACAAGATGGCAAAGAGCAGAAGGGGGGCCGCCGAAAGGATGAGCAGCCAGCGCCAACCCAGGGTGGGCATCACGAACACCGCCAGGAGAACCTCAAAGACGGTCCCAATGGCCCAGAAGACCTGCCCGTGTGGAAGGACGGAAGCGGGTTTGGAGATGTCAGCCCCATCGCAACAGGTGAATATCAATACATCTCTGTTCTTGGCCCTTGCTGCAACATGTTCTACGATGCCTGGAGAGCAGGCATTTGGAATACTTAGTAAGCTTTCAGCTTTAAGTGGCACTGTCATAAGACCTCAAAGACAACATCTTGATATTTATAAATAAAGCATAACCTTTTAAAAAATGTTACTACCCCAACACCAATATTATTAATTTTTATTTTTTCCAGGGAATGTGAACAAAATAACCCACATTTGCAGGTATGTTTAATTTTAACTTTCATTCAGTTTTGCAGTTTTCCTTTTCTTACCACCCACCCCAATCTCTACCAAGCAGTGAGAGATTCCAAGGGTCTTTGCACTTGACTGAGGAGCATCGCATTTCAAGAGGGGCTTGTTATTGTGTGCTATTTAAATGTATTTCTTGTTTAAAACAATAAATAGATTTCTTAAAAATCATATTGAAAATATCCCTGACAGTTCACTGTGCTCACTGCGACTGATGGGGCTAGAAGCTAAAACATCTGGAAAGCCACAGTTGTGGGAAGGCTGAAAGCATGAACCACAGCAGCAACGGGTTGAGGGCCAGCTGCCTCCCCCCCCCCCAGGAAAGGCTTTGAAGGAGGGAGCTCCCACTGATCTCCTGATCACATCTGAACCTTCGCTTGGGATGCTCTCTGTCCTGGGATGGCCTTTTGGAGCAGAAGGGTAACTCCTTTCCTGCCAACAGCCTCACGCCTCTTTGTTTTTCCACCTACCTCAATTAACAAAATGCATTTTGCTCTAGATTTCATTGGGAGGAATTCTGCATACAGCGTCACCCTGGAGAGAAAGGAAAGAGAGGAGGCAAAGTCACAAGGAACACACAGAGGGTGTGTGCGTTTGGAAATCTGATGGGCTTCCTCCGGGAACTGACACGGGAAGAACTTAATACAACTTTATTTCCCCTGGCCAAACAACTGATATACCTACACACCACAACCACACAAAATATTATAAATATAAATTATCTATTTTGGGGAGGCAGATGACTTCTAAATGTGATATAAAAATGTCTTCAGTAAATGTAATATGCAAAGGAAAAATATATCACACAAATCCTCAGAAAAAGGAACATATCCCAGGAGCAGAGCTAACATGTTTGAATCAAATGGCATTAATAAGATTCCCTTGCTAAGGATCACTTGGCAGACTTGGGCAAATTCAGTGCTTGGCAGCTGATATAGTGGAGTCCAGAGTCCAAAACTGGTGGTTTCCCCATGGATTTGTGGTTTGGAAATTCATCACTCTGTAATGTTTCTGAAAGCTTTGGTTTGATTTTGTTCTGGCTCTTGAAAAAACTTGAGGGGTGGGGGTGGGGGCTGGCTTTATTTTCAAGTGGATGCTGGTGCCTATGAAGGAAGCCCATTAGCCATTGATTAAAGACCTGCTCAGGTTGCTTTGAAACAGCCCACCTGTGGGGCAGAGGATCCATGTTCACAGGTCCAATGAATGGGGAGAAGGAAGGAAGGCAAAGTGCTTCTTCTGACGAGAGCAAAGCAGGCCTGGAGTCATTCCAGGGGCACAACTCTTGGGGATGCCTCATCCTCCCAGTTCAGGAGCTCATGCCTTATTCGGGACTGATCTCTCCTGCCCCGCCAATTATTTCTGCCATTTTCATCTCTGAATTCTGCCCTTGTCTGGGCCACGTTTGACTTCCCAGAGGCACCTGGATCCACACTGCTAAATGTAAGCAGCTGAAAAGGTTGGGATTCCCAAGCGGAAGTGCTTTGCAGTTTAGCTGAGCTCCTTTAGATATTTGAAGATGGCCATAATGCTTTGGGGTGGGGAAGATGGAAGGCAGTTACTAAATGCAAAAGAAGTTTGGGACATAGTCAGTTTTTCAACTGAAGAAAAAGAAGAAGAAGAGTTTGGATTTGATATCCCGCTTTATCACTACCCGAAGGAGTCTCAAAGTGGCTGACATTCTCCTTCCCCTTCCTCCCCCACAACAAACACTCTGTGAGGTGAGTGGGGCTGAGAGACTTCAGAGAAGTGTGACGAGCCCAGGGTCACCCAGCAGCTGCATGTGGAGGAGCGGAGACGCGAACCTGATTCACCAAATTACGAGTCCACTGCTCTTAACCACTACACCACACTGGCTCTATAGCACTAAAACCACCAGGAAGGGAGGGGCAAGGAATGGGAATATTGACTTACGACTGAGGGACTCCTCCGATGCCAAAGCCCACCAGCCCCCTCAGCACCAGGATCCAGCTGTAAACGGGTGCAAAACCGCTAAGAATACCATAGTATAAGGTCCAGAGCACACTGATCTTTAACCCCTGCATTGGATTAAGAAATACAAAATTGAAAGAAGACCACTGCCATACTCTCTGACAAGCTTCTTCCTGACTTCAAAAGCAATTCTCCTTCTCTTACAGGGCCAACCATAAAGTCTGTGTTGTCAATATCAAGACTGGATTACTGCAAGGCGCTCTACCTGGGGCTACCCTTGGGCCTGGTTCAGAAGCCCCAGCTGGCGCAGAATACGCCTATCAGATGGCACATAACATGTGACCCCATTCTTGAAGTGTCTGCACTGGCTGCCCATCTACTACTAAACCAGGTTCATGCCCTTGTGTCTCTCTATAAAACCCTGAACAACTTTGGGGCATTGTTGGTTGTTCCCCAAGTTGGTGAGACTCATTTGACAACAATGAGAAACTGAGCATTTAGTGTCATTGGCCCAGCCCTGTGGAACACCCTGCCACTAGAAATTCATCAGGCACCTTCCGTTTCAACATGCTGGGGGGGGGGATATATTCCTCCAGGCCTATACCAGCGATTAAGAATGCATCTTGCCACAATAGTTAGCTGATTTCTGATTTAAACATTTTTTTAATGGTTTTTATTGTATGGTTTTATGTACAGCTGTTCTAAACTGCTCTATTGTGCTTTTTAAAAAAACAATTAGTCGTATATAGCTATATTTATAAATAAATTAATAAATATCCACTATATCTTACACCAAGGAAAATGAATTTGTAGCCCTCCAGATATTGTTGGACACCAATTCCCAGCAGCCCCTGCTAGTATGACCTACAGTGAGGGATGATGGGAGTTGTAGTCCCATGCTCATCATCTGGTGGCCCCAGGTTCCCTGCTGTAACTCAAAAGAAAAGCAGAAAGGTAATTACAGCCCAAGAATGTGGAAGGGAGGAGTGAACTGAATTTAAACTGAGTCAGACTTGGAAAGATTAGTCCCAAGTAGTGGCAGAGAGGTACACCACCCGGTTTGAAGCCCCACTGCCTAACCACAGAGGGCCTTCGTGGCACTCAGTTTGGTGGCAGCAACGATTTCTGCCTGGCAAATACTTCAGGGGAAGGCTGGAGACTTACTGTTTTTCTGCCATACTGGTCTGAAATGTTTCCCCAGAGTGTGGAACTGAACATCATTCCCATAAACACCACCTGCATCAAGTGAAAGAAAGGATATTTCTTATTCACAGGCTGAACTGGGAGTGTTCTGAGAGAACCATCTAGAAAAGAAAGCGAAGAAGAAGAAGAAGAAGAAGAAGAAGAAGAAGAAGAAGAAGAAGAAGACGACGACATTCTTAGACCAAGTTTGGCAAGATCTCAGAACTAGAATTTGGCACACAAACATCTGAATTTTGAGCCACAACTTGACAAAATGTCCAATTTTTGGATGATCCCACAGGGTATGGGAGATCTGTTATAATGGTTGACAGATAGCATCTTAGAGGCTGACAGTAAAACGGCAATATTGTGAGGAGTGAGAGACAGATATATCCATCCTAAATTCCTCATATCAATCTTTCCGTTTTTAGGGGAGAGGGGTGCGGGAAATCTGACCTCAGAGCTTTGGCCTGGTAACATTTGGCCTGGTAACATTGGGGCTATATGGGGAGGGTTATGTACAGATTTTTGTTATAATCATCTGCTAACTGCATGGTGGAATCAGTCATACAGCCCAATGAGTGTCTTTTACCAGTCACATCTGGTTTGCCAGCTGTGGCCATTTCAGGACAGAGAGAGCCTTCCCAGAGTGATCCACACACTCTTGACTACAGCAATGCACTCTGTGTGGGGCTGCCCACTGAGCTGGTTCAGAAGCTGCCCCTAGCTCTTGGCGTCTCTCCTGGGTGGCTCTTCGGGGGGAAATGAACCACCAACCCTGAAAGAATGGTCCTGGCTGCTGAACCTGCTTCAAGGCACTTAAACTGAGGTTGAATGGCCACCTGCGGGGGATTCTTTAGTTGTGATTTCTGCCTTGGACTCAGGGGCAAAGGAAGGCGCTGTGACACCCGGAGCGGGCGTCACTACGGAGGGCGCATGGGCGGTGTCACTACGTACGATGCATGCGCCGTATATAGTGACACCGCACATGTGCTGTATAGCGGCTTGCTGCCAGCGCCGCTCCAGTGCTGTATGGACGGTGCCAGGAGCCTTCTGTTGCCGCTACAACTGCAAACGAGCAGAGGATCCTGGCACTGTCCGCACAGCGCTGGAGCAGCGCCGCAGCAAACCGCCAAGTACAGCGCATGTGCGGTGTTGCACACATGAGCTGTACATAGTTATGCCACACATGTGCTGTACAGCAGTTTGCAGCCAGCGCTGCTCCAGCGCTGTATGGACGGTGCCGGGATCCTCTGCTCGTGGCTGCAGCCGTGAACGGAGGATCTTCCACATGCAGCTGCAGCAGCGCAATGGCTGTGAGCGCCGCCGCAAGCCCCCACAGGGTGACTTCTTGTCACCCCCACAGTCATGGAACCCGGGGCTTACTGCCCCCCAGCCACCCCGTTGCGACCACTGCTTGAACTTGATGACCCTTCCAGCTCTACAACCCTACGACTTTGTGGACTTACAAAGCACAGCGAGGCTTCTCCTGCGCAGACTGGCCTGTTTATGAAGATCTGCCTGTGAGGCTCTCTCTATCTTCTTTAGTTGAGGCCAGGAGGAGGGAGAGGCTTTCCACCGGGGGCACCCCAACTTTGGAACCCCCTGTGCATTGAGATTACAGCTGGTGCCTGCCCTGAAAACCTTTTGACACCAGCTGAAGGCCCTGTTATTTGCCAGCCTTTGGGTGAATGGTTTGGGTCATGTTTGAGGTTTCTTTTAGTTGGCTGGTTGTAATCATCTGCCTTGTTTGTCATATCTGAATGGTGAGGTATCTAGTTTTGTTTTAATTTGTAACACACCAAGTAATGGAATTTGCTATGAAAAGTGAGTAAAAGAATTTTTCTTTTAATGGCACCATTGTGGTCATGTCCACACCATATATTTAAAACACTTTTAAAGAGGCATGGCTTTCTCCAAAGAATCCTGGGGACTGCCGTTTGCCCTTCATGGAGCTGCCATTCCCAGCACCATTATCTTTGTTACTGTGATGAGATGCATTATCCACCCTTCACTGGAAGGTCTCAGGGCAGGTTACAGAAATATAAAATAAAGCATTAAAACAAATTACTATCACAACTAGAGTAGGTCCTAAAATATATAGATATCTCAATGGTCAAAGGCCCAGGTAAAGAGCCAGGGTGACAAACTACAATTCCCATGATTCTTTGTGGGAAGCAGTGTGCTTTAAATGTGGTTTAAAGATATGGTGTGGATGTGACTTGTGTTCAGGAAACATCAGCACAACCCTACACTGGAATATGGTGGACAATAAATCCACCAATCATGTCCAACTCCTTGTAGATTTATCTCCAGAGAGATTAAAGCTAAGGGAGTTTGCCTTGTGGCAAAAACAGTGTGTAGCCTCAACAGGCACCTTTAACCAAGCCCCAGATTCCTGCAATTCAATGGGTAGTGAAAAGGTTGCCCAAAGGAAGACTAACCTCCACCAATAAGCAATGCTAGAGTTTAGAGCTGAAATTCAGTGAACATGAAGCAAGCCACAGTGCGAGGGACTGTAACACGCAGGTGTCTTTGTGGGAGAAATAGATTCCTTCAACACTCTTGGGCATTCCACAAACTGGTGCACTTGCTGGACAGAAAGGGTTTTTTGACTCTTTGAACAACCCACAGTTAACGAGTGGAAAACCTTACAGAATACAAGAGCTGTCTGGTATTTTCCTACCGAGGTTAGCAATGCAACCTGCCAGGTGGGTAATCGCCACTCACAGTGAAGCTGGGGTGCAAGGATGCTCAGAATCATCATTTCCATGGCATCAGCCATCTAGAAGGGCAAGAAGGAAGAAGGCATCAGTTAGAGCACCAGCTGCCCTGACAGTTCACCAGATTTCTCTTCGCCTTCATATGTATATATATAATTGATTTGTTAGCAACAAAAACAAAGTGCAAACACAGCACAAGGAAAGCAAATAAAGAACCAACCATGTACATCATAAAGCCTCACAGCCTGGATAACAGTACAAAGACACAGCACAGCCCAAAGCGATAATAAAGTGTTAACTCATAAAAAGATCCCCTTTGCAAATAATAAAAACATGTAAAAATAAAAGTATTCTCCACCTGTAAGTTCCATCATTATTGAGAATAAAGGTTCTGTATAGTCTTACATGAGCCAGGCAACTGCATGTACTGGTGACTTTGAGCAACTGTGTGCCTCAGCAGTTGCCTAAAATCAAGCCATATATCCCAAAGCCAGTCTCTTCTGGCTCAATGCCTCCCATCATCCAGGCCAGGGAAACTGAGGAAAATTAAGGTGGGAAATAGTTGCAGTTTGTGGGCCAGCCATTCCCTGTCCCTGCCCTCCCTTGGCTTTGCTATTTCTAGCAACCTCTACTTGCCCATGCTAAGCCTGTCAGGATGGAGAGTTTCCACTGGAACCTGCCAAATCCGATGGCTTCCACCGCATCTTCCACCATAAACGTATCTAGAACAACAAAACAATATAATAGTACAATGTAATAATAACTAAAAAAATAGCAATACCCACTAAAAGACAAAAGGGGGGTCCTTGGGCCAGCAACCACAATCCATTTGAAAGAGACCAAAAAATGTTTACAGTGTTAAAATGAAGTTATGAAAAGCTATGAAAAGTTTTGGGGTATTTAATTTTTTTCACAGTGCATATTAACATTTTGCTCCTTCCTCAGGAGTGAGGGCAGATGTCCACACAACTCACCATCAGTTGGGTTTGCAAACTCCTTTGGCACCATCCCTCCATCTTCCAGCTCCACAGCCTCTAACTGCATCTGGACACCCTCAATTTGGACTTCATGCTCTCCTGAAATGACATCTTCATCTGACCGTGAACTTTCCCCTGTGCGACGGAACTTGACAACCCTAGTGGTGTGGGAACCATAATGAATACATGGCATGGATGTACAGAAGAAGCAGGTGTGCATCACGTAAATGCTTTCCCTCAAGGGTGAGGAACCTGTGGCCCTTTGGATGTTGTTAAACTAGAGCTCCCAACACCCTTAACCATTGGCCATGCTGGCTGCTGAGGCTGCTGGGAATCAGAGCCCAACTTCTGGGGGCCCTGCTTGTGTCGTACACAATAATGCAACACCTAGATCATCTTATTCTCTTTGGAAATCACAGCAATGTTTCTTGTGGGCTTGCATTTCAGGCTTGAAGTGAATGTTTCCACCTGTGCCTAATATTATATTAATCTCCCATCCAAAAGGGATCTCATGCTCAGCCTTGTGAGTTGTAGCTGCTGCAGTCAAACAACCATGCACAGCAATCTTCCTTGAAGGTGAAGGACACCTGACAAGCTGACAGGTTGCAATAAGTATCCATAGCTAGGGATGGAAGGAACTGTCAATTTTCCTTCTCTCTGTTTCTCATTTTTCCAATCTTAAATCTAGTTCTTCACATTTCTGCAGAAATTTGCAAAAAATAATAGTTGTAATCCACATGAAAATTCTTCAGCATTTTAGTGCATTTTTTTCCCAAACAAACACATTTTTGTAGGCAGTTTTGACCAACATATACATTTTGCAAGCATTTTCTCCTAATATGATGCACTCTTGTATTTGCACAAATATATTTGTTTTTATGTACACTTTTCCCCAGTACATGCATTTCTGTAAACCTTGTCTGGTCAGAGAACTGCATTGCAAAATTGGGATAAGTTTGCATTTCAAAGGATGGTCCCAGTTTGCATGGTGTTTCAGAAAGTGAACTGCATAGATTCGGCTGAACTGAATTTCTCCTGCATGCCTATCCATGCAGGTTACCTTTACCCAGCCCACCTTTATCCCATGCCCACATACCTGGGAGCAAGTCCCATGGAACTCAGTGGGACTTACTTTTGAGTAGACACGTATAGAATGCAACCCACAAGCAAAAGAGGCAAAATCACATTAGATATACTGTACACACATCAGCAAACACAATGGACGATACTTCGTTTTTTAAAATTGACATTTTGAGATAGGAAGCAAGAAAACAGCATCTTTTCTACCCAAAGTGATTGCTTTGCTTTGCTTCATCATAAAACTGGCCCTGGAAAAAATTCTCATTGTTCGCTAGCTAGAGCTGGGTGCTGAGGCCCTTGCAACTGTTTCCTAGGGCTAAAGTTAAATGCAAGCAATTTGAGGCACTAATGTCTTGACAATATGAAACCTCACCCCCCCATTTAGTTCCATTTGCAAACTTTATCAAAAAATAAAAGACATCAGGATAGTTCTGAAATTTTCACTGGTGGTTCTGATGAGAGGCTACAGTTTATTTTATTATTTTATAATGGACTGGTGCTGTTTTTCCAGGAAAAGCCCATCCAAAGCTGCTTACAAGTTGTTCTAGATTTGGAAGGTCATGATAACAGATTTGGTTGGCATGCATATCTATGGTATGAAAAGACAAAAGTACATAAAGAATTTTTAACACATTTGGTAAAAAAATCAATTTATGGTGTATGAGAGAAATATAAAAAAATTGTTAGTGCAGAAAACACCACAGTGGCTTTCCCCACTAAAAGTGATACCATTGAAAAAGTTGGATGCGAAAAATAAATGGGAACTTATAAAGAGCTGTTAACAGAGGTAGAGAACCAACTGAAACTAAAGAATTTTGAAGATATAAGAGAGTTGTTAACAGATTGGTTACAGTTAAATGATGCATTTAAAAAGGATAAAAGAAATGGATTCAGTAATGAAATCTCAAGGTTTGAAAAGGAATTGTTGGAAAATAAAGTAAAAGCACTGTCTAAAATGTAAAAGATGTTGTTAGAATGGTATACTAAAGATGAAGAGGTTAACTTGGCAAGAGATTTTGGATACAATACTCAACTCTCCTCTTGGGAGAAGCTATGGAGAGAGGACTTAAAATTTACAGCATGTAGAACACTGAAAGAAAATTATATGAAGATGATGTATAGATGGTATTTGACTCCCAGTAAGTTAACAAAAATGTATAAGACTAGTTCAAATACGTGCTGGGAATGTAAAGAAAAAGAGGTCACCTTTATCATATGTGGTGGACCTGTAAGGTGATAAAAGCATATTGGGAAATGATATACAATGAGTTTTTAAATAACCTTTGTTGAAAAACCAAAACCCTTTTTATTAGGAATTTTAGGTGCAGAGATACTAAGGGACTTCAAAAGACTGCTCATGTATGCGATGACAGAAGCCCAGATACTCTTAGCCCAAAGATGGAAGAAAGACAAAACACCTACAAGAGAAGAGTGGACAACAAATTGATGGACTAAATGGCTAAAATGACTGGAAAAGTCAGGAACCAGGATGTTAATTTTTTTAACAAGGACTGGGAATTTTTTTAAATTTTACTTGAGAGAACACTGTAAGCAGCAAAAAACATTAGCAGGACTGAAATTACACTTGCAATGTGAAAAGAACCATGGATATAAATAGAGTTTTAAGAAGAAAAAGAGGACAATATGATATGCAGTGGAAAATGGTTATTAGCAGACTCCACTTTTGATTCTATTTTATTATAAAGGATAAAAAAACCGCAAAGCTGCTTACAACAACGGGAAGACATATATAATGAATTAAAGAAGATATTTAGACATATGTTCTTGAAAAAGCCAGATACATTCTTGTTGGCAATGGTAGGAGAAGACATTACTAAGAATGACCAGAAATTGTTCTTATATGCAACAACAGCGGCGAAGTTGTTGTTAGCCCAGGTTTGGAAACAACAGCAATTACCAACAGTAGAAGAATGGTGACAGAAGGTAATGGAATATGTAGAAATAGCTAGATTAACGGGGGAAATTTGACAACAGGGCGATGAAACATTTTTAAAAGAATGGGAAAAAATTATGTCATACATAGGAAGGATAAGGTGAAATAGTGAAACCAGTAGAACCTCATAATGTGAAATACAAAGAAAATTTCTGGATAAAGAAAATAATAAAAAGTAAATTTTGGAACAAGACGGAGATAGACTGAAATTGCAGAGTTTTGAAAAACTAAAAGACAAAGTGCGAGACTGGCTTCATTATTATCAAATAATGGAGGTATTTAAATTGGACAGGAAAATTGGCTTCCAGGTGGAAAGATCCAAATTGGAAACAGAATTGTTAGAACCCAAAACTAAGAATTTGTCAAGAATGTATAACTTGCTGCTGAAATGGAACACTCAGGATGAAACGGTAAAATCGGCTATGATTAAATGGGCACAAGATGTTGGACATAACATTATGTTTGCTGACTGGGAACAGTTGTGGACCACAGGTATGAAATTTACGGCATGTAATGCCTTAAGAGAGAATATTATGAAAATGATATACAGGTGGTACATAACCCCAGTCAAGCTTGCAAAAATCTATCATTTGCCCGATAACAAATGTTGGAAATGTAAAGAAACTGAAGGTACATTTTTTCACCTTTGGTGGACGTGCCCAAAGATTAAGGCTTTCTGGGAAATGATATATAATGAAATAAAAAAGGTATTTAAGTATACCTTCCCTAAGAAACCAGAGGCCTTTCTCCTGGGCATGGTCGGCCAAATGGTGATAAAAAGGATAGAACTTTCTTTATGTATGCAACAACAGCAGCAAGAATACTCATCGCAAAGTATTGGAAGACACAAGAACTTCCCACACTGGAGGAATGGCAGATGAAACTTATGGACTATATGGAATTGGCGGAAATGACTGGTAGAATCCGTGACCAGGGAGAAGAGTCGATGGAGGAAGATTGGAAGAAATTCAAAGACTATCTTCAGAAACACTGCAAAATTAAAGAATGTTAGAGCGATGTTGGATTGAAAATAAGTGGTTTCCAGCTGTACAGGTTAAAGTTAATGATAGAGTAAGATTAAGATTAAGATTAAAGATGTTTAAAGAAATGGAAATTTGATATTAAGAGGGAAAATTTTAATGTTATATGATACTAAGACCAAGGATTAGGTTTAAAGAAGTTGAAGTTATATATTTTAATATTTTATTAAATTAAAGTTTGGGATTAAAAAAGTGGAAAAGAAACTGCTGGACAAATAATATGGATTGGAATACAAAAGAGGGAGGTATGAGGAAGTCCAGAAAGTAAGTAATTTAAAAATAGAAATGGAAAAGAGATATTGTTTTTAATTGTTATGTTTTGTTGTTGTTGTTGTTTTTTATTGTTGAATTTTGTGTTGCTTTTTGTGTGTGTTGTTGTTATATGTATTGTGTATGTTTTTTTTTCTCTTTTTTATTGTCTAAAACCTTAATAAAAATTTTTAAAAAAAGAAAGAAAGAAAATAATAAAAAGTAAAATGTATAATGTGATTAATGTAACCAATGGTAGTTGTAAATGAATACAGACAGACAATAAGAATTGTATATACAGGAGGATTTATTTGGCTATAGACACTCTATGGACAAATACGAAAGAAGATCAATAATATACAAAAAGGATGAACACAATGCGAAAATTTTAGATGTGATATAAAAAGCCAGAAGAAGGAAGGAAAGAAGGAAGTCGGCCCTTAGGAGCAAATATAAATGTAAAATGTAATACAAAATGTGTATGTGGAGTATGTAAATGAAAATCAATAAAGAATATTATGGGGGGAGGAAAACTACAAGTCTTTAAAAATAAATAATTAATAAAACAAGCTAGAACCAAGAATAAAAACTGATTCAAATAAATAACAGACTCAGAATTCCCAGGACATCGTAATATTCCAGCCTCCATGCAGCAAGCTGAGCAAAAAGGTTACACAGGGAAGGCAAATAAAAAGGGATGAGGCTTTAAGTCCATCCAAAGATGCCTGAAGTGCTGCTGCCCCCACAGCACTGCGAGGAGGAAGGCAGGTCCAAAGGTGTGGAGCCACCACATAAAAGACTCTATCTCGCTGTCTCTCATGGTTGCCAGCACACAACTAAAATTGAGAATTACCCCTGCAAAGAAATACAACACTGTATCAATATTATCCAGAGTGCAATAGGGGGAGAGGCATGAAGGCACGTCTCCACCCCCATCATTCTTCCCAGACGCTGAGGTCCAGCGCTGAGGACCTTCTGGCAGCTCCCTCACTGCGAGAAGCAAAGCTACAGGGAACCAGGCAGAGGGCCTTCTCGGTAGTGGCGCCTGCCCTGTGGAACGTCCTCCCAGCAGATGTCAAGGCAATAAGCAACTATTTTACTGTTTAGGGACGTTTTTAATGTCTGATGCTGTATTGTTTTTAATATTCGCTTGGAAGCCGCACAGAGTGGCTGGGGAAAGCCAGCCAGATGGGTGGGGTATAAATAATATATGATGATGATGATGATGACGACTCAATGGCAGGGCACATGTTCTGCATGCAGAAGATCCCAGGTTCAATCCCTGACATCTCCTGCCCTGAAACCCTGGAGAGCAGCTGGCAGTCAGTGTTGACAGTACTGCCCTAGATGGACCAAAGGTCTGACTCAGTAGAAGGCAGCTTCCTGTGTTCCTAATTAGTAGTGTTGCTTTGGAAGAGTGAATGTCCTTGGTCAGCATATCCAGAAACTGGAGAGGATGGTAGTGCATTCCTTCTACTATTGGTTGTCACCCTTTGCCCATTCATATTTTATCCACAAGTTCTTCATAAGCATTGTAGTCCATGATGCAAGAACCTGGCTAACTGCTCTTTGTTTTTAGCAACACCATGTCTTTGTGGCTTCTGCCAATGCAGCGGAGTGGGGAACTATGGCTCCCAGGATTTGAAGGGGTAGTCATTTGCTTTAACTGTAAGGTGTGGATCTGCTCTTCAGCCCCACTGAATTCATTGAACAGGACTTATTTATGAGTAGACATGGTTCAGATTGCACAGTTACTGATCTTTGCCTTGAAGTGGGGGAGGGAGGTCTTGATTCCTGAAATGTTTCACGGCTGTGCTCTTGTGTGCACTACAGAACCGCATGCGCACGAAATGGAGCTAGTTATACCAACGCCTGAAAGATACTTAAAAGAAGTCTTCACTGACTGCCAAGGAAGAAATCTTATTTGCTCTCACAAGCTGTGCCTGGACTGCAAAAAAGAATAATCTTCCCTCCCCCTACAAAAACAGAGCCAGACAGTCACAGAGAAGCAGGAGGCAGTGAAACCTTAGCCCCTGCATTTGTGTGGGTGTCACTGTTGGCTGCACATATCCACGGAGTGAGCACCCTCCCCCCCCGTCCCCCCCTCCCTGTGCGGCAATGCAAAGCCCCTCTTGTCCAAGCCTCAGAATGTCCAACACCAGACCCGGTGGGCCCCAGTACAAAGCTCTCTTTTAAGAGGAGGGAAGATCCCCTCCCCATTCCAGGAGGAGGCATCATGTTAGAAGGAAAAGCCGGTGGGGGGGTGTCTAGAATGAATATATTTAGCACCCCTAGTTGCAAAAGCATCGGTTGGGTTGGATGGTTCCTTCTGAAATCTTAAAAATACCCCCCCGGTTTTGATTTAAAAGGTGTGACAGTCATTCATAAAGCGAGGCTCTTGCGCAGGCAAGCAAGGGAAATTGCTGGCTTCCCTGAGGCCTTGAGGTCAATGGCCCCCTTTGGGAAGAGAAACCTCGCTGCAGGGAGGGGGCTGGGGGCGGCTTGCGATTCTCCTGGAGGTCCTGGGTTATTCTTCCCGCCCCTCCCTCTTCCCAGCAGAGCTCTAGCCCTTCTCCCTCCCCGGGTTACTCACGGCAGCTGTCTTAGCTGGAATAAATCTTCCTCCATTGCGAAGGCAGGGCTGGAGAACCCTCGCTCCTTTCTCTTACATGGTGGGAGGAAGGAGAGGCGCGAGGATTTCAGGAGGTCTCCGTGCTGGACAGCTCCCGCTTCTGCAAGCCGATCTGAGCTGGGGAGACCCGGGAGAAGGCCGAAGAGGGGCGGAGGGGAGGAGGAGGAGGAGGAGAAAGGGGAGGAGAGGAAAAAGGGGAGGAGGAGAGAAACGAGGAGGAAATACAAAGAGCAGAGAGCTGCAGGAGCAGCCAGCTCCCTCTGTCTGACCACAGGAATCGGCCAATTCCCTTCCCATTTATCTTTATCCCTAAGCTCCAAGGTGCGATACCAATTTTTGCTAGGAGACTGGTAAGAACATCAGAAGAGGCAGCTGCTGGATCAGGCCAATGGCCCATCTAGCCCCGCACCCTGTTCTCACACTGGCCAACCAAACGCCCTCTTGTGGTTTCCAGCAATTGGTATTCAGACGCGTTGCTGCCTTTGAAGGTGGTGGCGGAGCAGAGCCCTTGTGCCTGGTAGCTATGGAGGGCCTTCTCCTCCATGAATTTGTCTGGTCGCCTTAAAGCCACCCAGGCTGGTGGCCACCGCTGCCTCCTGTGGACATGGGTCCCATAGTTTAACTATGTGTTGTGTGAAGAAGGACTTTCTTTTATCTTCCAAGGTTCAGCTTCACTGGATGTCTGAGTTCTCGTGTGATGAGAGAGGGAAAACATGGGAAGACTCTTGAACCCTCTGACTCTGTCTACTGACCAGCACCAGCTCTCCAGGGCTTCAGGGAGAAGCCTTTCCCAGCCCTGACGATGCCAGGAATTGAATGTGGAACTTCTGCATGCAAAGCAGGTCTTCTGCCTCTGAGCTATGGTCCTTCCCCTTAAGAATAAGGTAAGAGTCCAGTCCTTGTTGCTCCAGGGCTGGTTTAACTGGGAACCCTCAGCAGTGGTCCACTTTGCTCAATACTGTCTATACTGACTGGTCGCAGCACTCCAAGGTTTGGGGCAGGACTCCTTCCCAGCCCTACCTGGAGGTGCCATCTGGAACTGGGACTTTTTCATGTGGAAAGTGGCTGCTCTGTCACTTTGCTCAGCCTGCAAGGCTCAGAGAAGTGGGGGGGGGGATGCTGATGAAGAAGAAATCAGAATTTTCTCTTTGGGGCTCAGGTCCACTTCGTTTCATGAAGTTATATCCAGTGAAGTTATACCCTTCTGTCTTTGAAAGCTTCTGCCACCATAAATGTGTCAAGTCTTTCTAAAAGTACCATAAAAAGGTAAAATAAAAAGGGCCCCACCCATGAGATAGGCTTGCTGCGACAGTCCAGAGATGAGCAGAGTGGTTGTGGAAGGAGACTTTGTAAGGTGCATGAAAGTCCATCTTTAAAAAGGGTCAGGAAGGAAGTGGCATGGAAGGTCCCTGCCTAAGATCATGGAGAGCTGCTGTCAGTCAAAGTAGACAATACTGGGTGAGATGGACATATAGCATGACCTGGTATCTAAGGCAGCTGCCCGTGTTACCCCTTTCCATTGACAAAAAATAGGATCAGAATACCAGGCACCTTACAAGGTGGCTAGTTGAGCCCTTCCATGAGGCTGCAGAGTAGAGAGAGGGAAGGGAAACAGGGATGTTCTGTTGAGATACCAGTTGCCTTTGGCTGTGCCTCAATTAATACACAGCAGCAACCATCCCATCAGACTATCTGAACAGTTTCCATCCCAGCTGGTTATTATAACAACCTGTAACTTGCCCCTGAGTTTACTTTTGTTTTTATCTCCTCCCTCCCTATCCCTTTTTCCTTTTGCTCTGAGACAGTCTTCTCCTGTTTATATTGATAAGCAAACCAATCTAGGAGCAGTGGCGAAGCCGCATGGTCCACTATGGGGGGGGGCGGAGAGCAGGCGGGGGCATGGCGTGCATCCTGGGAGCGTGGCACACGTTCTGGGGGCGTGGCGCCTGGTGTGCAGATGTGCACGGCACGTGTCTGGGGGGGGCATCACGATGGCACCCTACCAGAATAGTGGTAGTGCTCCCTCCGCACCCCCGTTCCTCCGCCAGTGTCTAGGAAACTTTTTAGCTGCTAAAATGTTAAGATAACATAAGTATTGCTGGGATAATGCAAACATGCCAGATCCTGTCCATTCCAAATCCCCTCAGAAATTGTGGGGAACAAAAGATGATTTGCAGGGTGGTGGGGAGTTCACCTGTTTCTGGTGGTAAAGCCACCTTAGGTTAAAAATCCTGGCTGCTGGGATGAAAATAGGTGTAAAAACCAGCAGAGAGTGAAACAGAAGCCAACAGAAGGAAGCAGCAGGAACCTTGTATATAAAAGAAATACGCAACACATAGCACTTTATGGGGTATTTTGAGAGGGCAAGAGCTGCTAGTGACTAAAGGCCTTGAATGACGTGCATTTTCTCCAGCCCTCTGAGAACTAATTACTGGATTGACCTTGATGGCTCTTTCAAAACAGCTTTCTGGTGTTGTGGCTGAACTTCACTAGCTTTGTGGAATAGTGTCTGTTGAACAGGTGTTTGAGAGCTTATGAGCAGCTGGATGGGGGGGCAGGGTGTGGGAGAGAACCCACCGAGGCAGTGGGAGTGCAGCCAGGTAATCTTACATCCTGGGCCCCTTTAGAAGGCATGCACATTGCTGCAGTTGTGAAGCACACAATTATCATTTGTCTTCTCCCCCTCCACACTTCACAGCTGCTTCTACATTCCTGATACATTAGAGCAAACAAAGACAGTTTTCGAATGCTGATAAAAAAGGAAATAGTTTGAGCGTGTGGTGTGTGTGCATGAGCAGGAGGAATTGGAGGTGCACAAGAAAGGTCTGTGTTAGTGAGTCTGTTATGGCTGTTACATAGTTGTTGGCACCTGTCTGTCTTGGACTTCACTCCAGGGGTGAAGTCAAACCACTGCGTCAGCAGCACTCAAGTGACCTCCCTGGGGCGCAAGCCTGAGCAGTGTGGATGGAGGTCTTGGGCTGCCCAGATGACCAGATCCCCCCCCCCGCCTTGCTGATGTGGTCCAATTCCAAAGAAGGGCAGTGCCAAAGAATGCTCCAACTACCGCACAATTGCACTCATTTCACATGCTAGCAAGGTTATGCTTAAAATTCTACAAGGTAGGCTCAAGCAGTATGTGGACCGAGAACTCCCAGAAGTGCAAGCTGGATTTCGAAGGGGCAGAGAAGCCAGAGACCAAATTGCAAACATGCGCTGGATTATGGAGAAAGCTAGAGAGTTCCAGAAAGACATCTACTTCTCCTTCATTGACTATGCAAAAGCCTTTGACTGTGTTGACCACAGCAAACTATGGCAAGTTCTTAAAGAAATAGGAGTGCCTGATCACTTCATCTGTCTCCTGAGAAATCTCTGTGTGGGACAAGAAGCTACAGTTAGAACTGGATATGGAACAACTGATTGGTTCAAAATTGGGAAAGGAGTATGACAAGGCTGTATAGTGTCTCCCTGCTTATTTAACTTATATGCAGAATTCATCATGCGAAAGGCTGGGCAGGATGAATCCCAAGCCGGAATTAAGATTGCCAGAAGAAATATCAACAACCTCAGATATGCAGATGACACAACCTTGATGGCAGAAAGTGAGGAGGAATTAAAGAACCTTTTAATGAGGGTGAAAGAGGAGAGCGCAAAATATGGTTTGAAGCTCAACATCAAAAAAACGAAGATCATGGCCACAGGTCCCATCACCTCCTGGCAAATAGAAGGGGAAGAAATGGAGGCAGTGAGAGATTTTACTTTCTTGGGCTCCATGATCACTGCAGATGGTGACAGCAGTCACAAAATTAAAAGATGCCTGCTTCTTGGGAGAAAAGCAATGACAAACGTAGACAGCATCTTAAAAAGCAGAGACATCACCTTGCCAACAAAGGTCCGTATAGTAAAAGCTATGGTTTTCCCAGTAGTGATGTATGGAAGTGAGAGCTGGATCGCCGAAGAATGGATGCTTTTGAATTCTGGTGCTGGAGGAGACTCTTGAGAGTCCCATGGACTGCAAGAAGATCAAACCTCTCCATTCTGAAGGAAATCAGCCCTGAGTGCTCACTGGAAGGACAGATCATGAAGCTGAGGCTCCAATACTTTGGCCACCTCATGAGAAGAGAAGACTCCCTGGAAAAGACCCTGATGTTGGGAAAGATGGAGGGCACAAGGAGAAGGGGACGACAGAGGACAAGATGGTTGGATAGTGTTCTTGAAGCTACCAGCATGAGTTTGACCAAACTGCGGGAGGCAGTGGAAGACAGAAGTGCCTGGCGTGCTCTGGTCCAGGGGGTCACAAAGAGTCGGAAACTAGTAAACAACAACAACCACCTTTCTACCAAGGCACATGAAGCGGTTTATGTAGGAAGCCCCCAGCCCCCTATTGTCTAGGAATCAGCAGCTGCTGTTAATTAAGGGTTATTGTCAGCTCTGATGTTAAGTATCAGCTCTACTCTACTGTTTAATATAGTTAATTGTATTTGTTGCTTGATTTTATTTATTGCCTTCCTCCTGCCAATGTGGTTTGCAATTTTAAAAAATTGACTCAAGCAGATGGTGCAGCACATTCTTGAGTTTACTTCAGGCCACAGCTTTCTCGCTTGTGCCATCCCAATGGTTCCCTCTTTGTTGCATTCTTCTTGTTTTAAATTGAATTTTACTATGTCTTTGCCCAATAAGACGACAGGCCATTTAAAGTCTACAACACTTAACAAATATTATGCATGTGGCTTGTTATTCATAAGGAGCGTTGCCTATTTACTGCCCGATTCTACTCAAAAGCAAGCCCCTTTTGAATTCACTAGGACCTTACTCCCAAGTAAAATGTATTTTCTGTTTTTTTCTGTTTTGTTTAAAGTGCTTTGCCTTTTTCTCTCTCTTTCTCCTCGGGCGCATTTAAACTAACACAGGCAAATCAGGAAGGCTTTTTGCTTTCCTCTTTTCCCCTCGGGAATATATGGAGAACAATTAAAATCAAGGGTGAAGGACAGGGCCGGATTTAGGTTTGATGAGGCCCTAAGCTACTGACGGTAATGGGGCCCTTTATATGTCCAGCTGTCCTTTGTCAACAACAAATTGTTGCTGTTTTTTATGTTGAATATATGCTATTTGGTAATTTATGGACGTAATAGGTATCTAAAGCCATTTGCACGTAACAAAATATGTATTTTATCAAAGTAATTGTTGAACTGAAATACAATTAAGAAGAAGTATATTAATAGTGAAATACAATTAAGAAGTATATTAATAGTGAAATAATTATTATGTAGGTTTTATTTGTTTTTTATTTTATATTTTGGAAGTGTACATCCAAGTTTTTTCTACAGCTTGCTTGGCTTATTCGTAGACCCGGCCCTGATCCTGGCGACAGCCTTTCGCTTGCCTTTGTGCCACGGAACCCTCTGCGCGGGGCGCGGGCGGCGGGCGGGAGCCTGGGAGCGGCGCACGCCTTAGCAACCAAGGGCGCGCGGAGAGCGGGGGGGGGCGGGCCCGTTGCTGGGGAGGTCCGGCTGCCCCGCTTCCGTCCCGCGCCGTCTCCCTTCCCCGCGCGCCTGACGCCTTTGGTTCCGCCCGGGGCGCTTCGGGGCGGGATGCTGCTGAGCCGCCGCGGGGTGGAGGAGCTCGGCAGGAGGGCGGCCAGGCGGCTCTTCCGGGCCGGAGGGGCGGCCAGGTCAGTCGGCGGGGGCGGGGGCACTGGAAGCAAGATGCTGGTCTGGATCCAGGAGGCCCCGCGGGGTTCAGGGGCAGCATCCCGCTTCTGCTTCGTCGCCGCCGCCGCCGCTTTCTGCGTTTATCTCCCGCCTTTCCCCGGCCCCGTCTCTCCCTCCTCATTTAATCCCCCGAGAGAAGGCCGCGACTGGCCTCCGAGGTCACCCGGGGATCTTCATGATGGCCGAGTGGGGGAGTCCAAGTCAAGAATATCAGCATTATCTGATTACCAAGTATAGTTCCAGATTTGCCAGGACTGTCATGAGGGTTGTATTGAAAATGATGGTTCCCTTTCATATGCAATAAAGGAATGTCAAATCATATAAAAAGTGTCCTTGCCAAAATCTCAAATAATGTGTATCCCCCCCGCCCCCAGTTATAGCTCTGCAGTCGTACCTTGGTTGTTGAATGCCTTGGTACGCGTCCGTTTTGGCTCCCGAACACTGCAAACCCGGAAGTGAGTGTTCTGGTTTGTGAATGTTCTTTGGAAGCCGGACATCTGATGTGGCTTCCGCGGCTTCCGACTGAGTGCAAGAAGCTCCTGCAGCCAATCGGAAGCTGTGCCTTGGTCTTCAAACATTTTTGGAAGTCGAACGGACTTCCAGAATGGATTCCATTTGACGACCAAGGTACTGACTGTATTCTGGAGTTCCAGTGTAATATTTTGGGCTGTTTGTTTACAGATGTATATTGGGTTCACCCCTCTCTCTTTTCTTCTTAGGTATAAAGTAATGAAGAATTGGGGAGTGATTGGTGGGATTGCAGCTGCTCTTGCTGCAAGCATCTATGTCTTATGGGGCCCCATCACAGAGAGAAAAAAACGCAGGAAAGGTAAATGAAAGAGAGACTAGGGAGGAGTGAGTGGGGCAGGTGAGTTTGCACCTTGCATCTCCTGATCCCAACAAAAAGAGTCTCATATAAATATTGGGGTCTTCCTTGGCCACTGAATCCCAACAGGAGAGCCCTTTTGTCTTTTTTGAAGGTGTGTTGTTGTGCTTAAAATGGCCAGTGGTGGCCATACAGAAAACTAAAACATAACTGAGGCCCTGTCTGCAGGATGATTGTCTTAAAATTAAAAACCTGAGGAAGGAAAGCAAAATGGAAGAAGACAGCAGTTGGGACTAAACAGAGTGAACAAATGCTTTTTGACACTCTAGAATCAAAAGCAGGAAGAAAGACTGATATCAGGTGGAAGGGTTTCCAACTAAAACGGGGATGGGGGAAACTGGACCTTCAGGTGTTGTTGCCAACTCCCATCGTCCTGGCCACTGACCATGCTGATTGCAGTTGGAGACCAACAGCACCTAGAGGGCTGCAGATGTTCCCCATCCCTGAACTATAGGAGGATGCAGCTGATACGTGCAGAATGATGGGAGTGTAAACTGCAGGGATGGGGAACTTGAAGCCCTCCAAAGGTTTTTGTACTCCCAACTCCAATCAACCCCAGCAAGCATGGCCAGCACTCAGGGATGATGGGAGTTGGAGTCCAGCAACATCTGGAGGGCTGCGGGTTCCCTTTGCTGGTAGAGAGAAAGAAGGGAAGATTAATAAAGAAGAGCAAGACCACAGAGATGTTTGGAAGTAAGTCCAAGAAGTTTAATTGGGAGCGGGAGGGCGGGGAGTGCAAATGGAGGAATAAGGTCAGAACAACATGCAGAAAAATTGTTCGTTTATTAAATTCATTGGGAGCTTGTTTACCAAGATAACTCAACACTACTTGCAATGTAATAAAGGAAACATATACATTAAAACCAGCATAAAAGAAAAACAAAGAAAAATCTAAAAGACAATCCTATTTTTAAAAGGCAGGATTAAAACATTCCACCTACTCCAGGAGACCACATATAATTAAGAGCCAAGGGGCTGGTGGAAAAGGAGTGTTTCTGTCTCCTGCCTAGAGCTGTGTGATGATGGTGTCAGGCGAGGCATTCTGCAAATGACAGGACAAGGAGCAGCATTTAGGGCAGGGCAGAGCAGAGGTACTGGAGAGTAAAAGCAGGAAGGCTGTGTTCAGAAGGTTGCAGCAATTGCAGTGATGTATTCCCCCCCCCCCCCCCAGGGCTAGTGCCAGGTCTTCTCAACCTGGGAAACACGTGCTTCATGAACTCACTTCTCCAGGGGCTGTCTGCTTGTCCGTCCTTCATCAAGTGGCTGGAAGGATTCACAGTTCAGTACCAGGTCAGCCAGAGTGAGACGTCTGGGAAGTATTTGTCCCTGACCTTGCTCCACCTCCTGAAAGGTAAAGGTCCTTTTGTGTTATTTTGGGTGCATAACACAAAGCATAAAGCAAGCCACTTCTTTTCCTTTTATCAAGCACAGTGGAACCTCAGTTGTCAAACACTTCAGAAGTCGAACGTTTTGACTTTTGAATGCCGACAACCCGGAAGTGAATGCTGCTGTTTTCGAACGCACCTTGGAAGTCAAATGGCTTCCAAGGTGCATTTCTCCATTTTTAATGGCTTTTGCTGACCTCCCATTGTGCCTCAGTTGTCAAATGTTGTGGAAGTTGAACGGTCTCCCAGAACGGATTACGTTTGACAACCGAGGTTCCACTATATGTCTTAATTTAATTTGTTACATAAGTAGAGAAAACAGTTGCAAACCTCAAAACAAGAAAACAGTGTTTAAAAAAGAACAATAGACTAAAGGTAAACAGTACAGGGGACCTACAAATACTTAGCATCACATACCTTATGGGAAAAAGCACCTCCAAGCTAAGATTGTAAAATGAAGTACAAATATTATATGAGATATACAGTGGTACCTCGGGTTACATACGCTTCAGGTTACAGACTCCGCTAACCCAGAAATAGTGCTTCAGGGTTAAGAACTTTGCTTCAGGATGAGAACAGAAATCGTGCTCCGGTGGCGCGGCAGCAGCAGGAGGCCCCATTAGCTGAAGTGGTGCTTCAGGTTAAGAACAGTTTCAGGTTAAGTACGGACCTGCAACTGTAAGGGCTCACAGGATTAACTTTTGTTGCCTATCTGATAGTCCTCACATCATAGGAATATAATTGTGTATGGTCATTCACAAGTATCAAGAATTTTTCCAAAACAGTCAATATGAACAACAATTTCTGTCCAAACAGAAGACACCACAGGACATCCCCACAAGAGGCATTATAAGTATTACATTACCAGCATCTATCTGAACTGCTCTGTTCTTTCCTATAAAGGTGCTATGGAGTCCAAAACATCTCTCATCATATTAGAACCCAGTAGTGTTATCCCATAAAGCTCAATGCTGGAAGATTCAGGACAGACAAAAGGAGATGATTCTCCACACAGTTAAACTTCTGGAATTTGCTCCCACTGGTTGTAGTGATGGCCACCAAATTGCACAGCTTTAAAGGAGGATTTGGCAATTCATGGAGGATAAGGCTGTTAGTCAGGAAGACTGCTCTGCCTCCAGTCTTGGGTGGGGGCTGTGTGCCTCAAGTACTGGCTGTTGGGGAGCATGAGTGGGGAGCATGAGTGGGGAGAGGGCTGTTGTGCTGGTGTCCCACTTGGAGGCTTCCCAAAGGCCACTGTGGAAAGAAGAATGCTGGGCAAGATGGTTTTACTTAATTCCGTTTACACAAGTGGAGAGAACGTTCTGTAGAATAAGAGGAATGTATGTTTAGGATGAGTGAATTCATTTCTGTGCGTGGTCTGCATTGACTATTTTGTGTTTGATGCATTCAGCTTTATCCTGCCAAGAGGTGACTGAAGATGACTTCCTGGATGCTAGCTGCTTGTTGGAGGTCCTGAGGATGTACAGGTGGCAGATCTCCTCTTTCGAAGAGCAGGTAGCTACCCAAGTGGTGTAAGGCACCAGAGTATGCTTCTCTGTTGCTGTTGTTTTCTACAGCCTTGACATCTGGCACATAACAAGCAAAAGCCAGCTGCTGGGGGACACGAGCGGGAGAGGACTATTGCTCTCTCATCTCTTACTTGCAGCCTTTCCAGATACTTCCCAGAGGCATTTGGTTGGTCACTGTCGGAAGGAGGTTGCTGGACGAGATGGGCCTTTGGTCTGATCCAGCAGGGCTCTTGTGTTACGTTAAAGAATTGTGGCTTTGTTTACAGCAGACGTGGGGAGCCTGCTGCCCTCCAGATTTTAGTGGATCACATCGCCCATGATGGCTGGGACTGATGGGAGTTGGAATCAGCAGCCCCTGGAGGGCCACTGGTTCTTCACCCTTGATTTATGGCATTCCCAGTTTTATTTTAACTGCTTTGCGCTGCCTTTTTAAGTGGGTGGGAAAAGGTCTGAATACTCACTGCAAGGGTGGGGAACCTGTGGTCTGTGGTCTGAATGCAGACCTTAAGACCCCCATGTCTGGCCTTCAGGACTCTCCCCAGACCTCACCCCACTTCTGCCCTCCTCCACACACCCCTTGAGTACTTTTGAAACTTGCTGAAGGCTGTGTGAAAGCCAACCATCCCCACTCGGTGCACAAAGGAGACTGCCTGCCCGCTGCATCTCTGTCTGAGGCACAACTCTAGTGTTACCTTTTTTAAAATTCTTCTCCTGCATGCAGATATGTGGGAAGCCGCCTTATAGTGAGTCAGACTATTAGACCGCCCAGCTTTGCATTGTTGTCTTGGACAATCAGTGGTTCTCTGAGGTCAGAGGGAGGCCTTTCCCAGATCTGCCACCACAGATCCCTTTGATGGGGGATGGCAAGTGTGAATCTGGGAACTTCTGCACACAAATCTGCTCAGTAGACATGAAATATATTTGAAAATTCATGAGATTTTCCCCCAACCTGCTGTGAAGGAACCCTGGCCTCTTGATCTTCCATGTTGCCTTGCTGAAGGTCCATCTAAAAATGCAAGCCGAATTTTCAGGATTCAATTTTTTTCTTGGGAGCTGCAAAAATGTACCTCAAGGGCAACATACATTCTCCCCTGTTGTCTACTTTTCTGGTGAGCTTGGCCTGGCATTCTGAGCTTTCTGGTGCTCTTTCGGTAGGATGCTCACGAGCTGTTCCATGTCCTCACCTCCTCGCTGGAAGATGAATGGGACCGCCAGCTGCGGGTCGTGCATCTGTTTGATGTGCATTCTCTGGAGGTGAGCACTCAGGAGACACGGGGGCTGCAAAGCAACCTTTCCTATAGGCAAGGTTGCAGCATTTGGGACTTTTCATCTAGAGAAAAGGTGAGTAAGAGGTGACATGGAAGTTTATAAAATTAGTTGGAGGCAGCAAGGCTTCTGAATACCAGTTGCTGGAAACCACAGAAGGGGAGAGGACTCTTGTGCTCCTTTGGGTTTTCCAAAAGAGGCATCTGGTTGGCCGCTGTGAGAACAAGATGTTGGACTAGGTGAGCCTCCATTGGCCTGATCCAGCAGGCTCCTATTATGTTCTTATAATTTGGTGGGCTGCCCAGCTGAAGAGACCTACGTAAGATTCTGCTTTTAAGCTGTTTTTTCAAAGTTGTGCTTCCCTGTACTGCCCGGAGTGGTATTCAGCCAAGTATAATTCCGAATGGACTCACTGAAGTTAATTAACATTAGGCCCATCAGTGTCAAGGATCTACTCTTGAGTATAACTGAGTTGGATACCACCCTTGTCACTTAAGTGTGCAATAGTAAAGATATCACCATGTGGAAAGGGTTTTCTTTTTTAAAACTAACTTTATTTTGTATTTGTCTGTATAGAAGCCAGAAATTCTACAAAAGCAAATATGCTCCAGGACAAGAGGTAAACACACTTTTCTGATTTGGTGAAATGTAGCAGATACTGTTTGTACTACTGATATAAAAACCCAAACTCCTTTGGGCTATGGCCTGATTTTGTTGTCTGCATGGGGCGACTGTGACAGGAGCTGAAAGAGTGTCTGGCTATTGGAATCACTCTTTAACCTTGTCTAATGACATTATTAAATTTGTGTAGCACCCTTCATTCGCAGATCTCAGTGTGCTTCACAACATAAAATTGCAATATAAAAACCACAAAATACTTAGTAAAAATAAGAACAACAAACCAATACACGCCCCCCAAACACATTTAAAAGGGCATCGCATGTCTATTGGCCAAAGGCCTTGTTGAAGAGGAACGTTTTTGCCCGGCACCTAAAGTCTTTAAACTAGCCTAATGGTTTCCCTATGGTGCTATTGCGGTCTTCCCTATCCTGGTGTTTCCAGATACAAGATTATCAGGAGGGCACCAGTCACAGTGTCTGGCAAAACAATAGAAGAGTCAGACGGAACAACCTTTATTTTGGTTTGTAGGGCCTCCTCCTCCTGTGTTGAGTCACTGGAAGCTGCAGCATCCTTTTCATGGCAGGTTAACGAGCAACATGGTCTGCAAGCATTGCAAACACCAGGTCCGTAAGTCTGTGTGAGAGAAAGAGGCATACAGATTGCAGGAAATCAATGGGCGGGTGGAGCTGAGACCCAGGGAGGACCGAGTCACTTCCCATGTAGATGGGCTGAAGAGGAGCTGCCAAGGGGGTGACCCTCTGCTCCCCACAACTGAGACTATTCTTTGGGGGGTGTTATTGCTTCCAGGATGGGCAGCCTGCTTTGAAGAGTTGTTGTCCTTGGTAGTGCTTTAGTGCAGGAGAGGGGAGCCTCTTTAAATGTCGGGTGGGGTTGGTGGGGCACATTCCAGTGGTGGGAAGGGGTAGAGGGTAAGGTTGGCGGAGTTGTGTATGTGACTCTGCTCTTTCATACGGCAGGGTTCATTTCCAAAGGGTTTCATAGACCTCCCCCCATCTCTTTATTATCTGCCCAGGCAGGCAAAGAGCATCATCGTGAAAGTTGGGGGGAGCGAGAAGTAAGGTGTTTACGTTATAAATCCTCGTTGAGACATTTGGGCTCTTTTTCTTTCAGAGTCCCCTCAGATACGACACTTTTGACAGCCTTTCCCTGAGCATCCCTGCCACCATGTGGGTAAGGCACCCTCCTGTGGGAATCCCTTGCAGCTGCCCAAGCACAGCCCTTTTCTGACTCACGGGGTTTAAGGACGTGTGCCAACACTTCCTGTTTTACTCCCCCACCCCTCCTCCACAGGGCCACCCACTGACCCTGGACCAGTGCCTCCACCACTTCATCTCCACCGAGTCAGTCAAGGACGTCTTGTGTGACAATTGCACAAAAGTAAGTCTCTTGATTGCAGTGACCCCCTCCCCTGGTGCATTTGGTGCAGATTAATTGCCCCTTGATACATCTGAAAGATGCTTTTATTTCCTAGGTACTCCATTCTCTTCCTGGTCCTCTTGTGGGCTTAGAAACAGGATGGTTGGGGTTTTTTGTGTTTCTGGCTGATGTTGTGGATCTTGAAGTTGCAGAAGATGCTGCGCCCCATTCATGGTTTTTGTGGGGAGCCTTTTCTGTTGCAGGGACTATGACCCACCTGCGGCTCTTAGAATGGCTGACAACCCTTCCATGGTCTTACTCTAGGCACCATCCTGGTTTTTCGATGTGGGTAAGCTGCCCATGGTTCGAAAGACCAGCTTAAAGGATTCTCCCCCACCTCCAAATAAAGCTTAAAATGCAAAATTTGCAGTGCTTGTGAATTATGCCATCTGCTTCAGGACTGCTATACCTGGATACATCAAATGTAGTACATTTAGTAAGTAGTACAGTATGATCGCATCTTGCACAGGGAAGGTGCATGTATGCCAAAACATGTATACTCAAACCTCCCCTGTGCAACCATCCTTATTTTATGGAGCTGGTGTACCAGGCAGGACTCCCACCCACCCCCAAACAGAACCTGGGCTCTGCAATGCTCTTGCGAGAGCTTGCAAAAACTTGGGCAGCCCCATGAGATGTTGCAAGAGCATCCCAGAGCCTGCACACTGAGCAGGACTTGCCTGATAAGCAAGGCAGAGAGCTTCAAAGCTCTTGATGAGCTGGGAAAACCCAGCACAAAGGGCCTTTTAAGCTCTCTGCCTTGTGTGCAATTTATTTGCGCAACTTCAGCTGGCCAGCTTTCAACTGCACAAGGTTGAAATTGCGCAAGTTAATTACAGGTAAAATGTGATCATACTATAGATTTCTCAGAGTGGTCTGTGCCTGTACCATACGTGGTTGGTTTATAATTCATTTTGGCTTCCTCCACCCACCCACCCCCAGATTCAGGCCGAAGAAGGGACTGGGCAAATCATGGAGAACCAGAGAACAACATTTGTCAAACAGCTAAAACTGGGGAAGGTAAGAAAACCGTCTTAGCATGGAGTTTCCAAGATCACCATAAGAGCAGTTTCTTATTTTCTTTACCAAGAATCAAAATAATGTATGCAAACTACACCAAATTAGCAAAATGCTGTCAATAAATTCAGCCTGCTGCAATATCACACTTTATGCAGCTTGCCTTTTAAAATATAAGAGGGGAAAAAGAAAAGAAATAAAATGTTCCCCCTTCTTTGTTTACCAAATAAGATTCTCAACTTACTAAGTCAGTTCAAGTTTGAATTTCAAATCATTATAACATAATAATATATAATAATAATAATAATAATAATAATAATAATAATAATAATAATTTATACCCCGCCCATCTGGCTGGGTATCCCCAGCCACTCTGGGCGGCTCCCTATCAAATATTAAAAACACAATATAGCATTAAACATTAAAAACATCCCTAAACAGGACTGCCTTCAAATGTTTTTTAAAAGTAGGATAGTTGCTTATTTCCTTGACATCAGATGGGAGGGCGTTCCACAGGGCAGGGGCCACTATCGAGAAGGCCCTCTGCCTGGTTCCCTGTAACCTCACATCTTGCAGTGAAGGAACTTCCTGAAGTCCCTCGGAGCTAGACCTCAGTGTCCGGGCTGAACGATAGGGGTGGAGACACTCCTTCAGGTATACAGGACCAAGGCTGTTCAGGGCTTTAAAGGTCAGCACCAACACTTTGAACTGTGCTCGGAAATGTACTGGGAGCCAATGCAGGTCTCTCAGGACCGGTTTTATATGGTCCTGGCGGCCACTCCCAGTCACCAGTCTAGCTGCCACATTCTGGATTAATTGCAGTTTCCGAGCCACCTTCAAAGATAGCCCCACGTAGAGCGCATTGCAGTAGTCCAAGCAGGAGATAACTAGAGCATGCACCACTCTGGCAAGATAGTTAGTGGGCAGGGAGGGTCTCAGCCTGCATACCAGATGGAGCTGGTAGACAGCTGCCCTGGACACAGAATTGACCTGCACCTCCATGGACACAGAATTGACCTGCACCTCCAATGACTCCCAGGCTGTGCACCTGGTCCTTCAGGGGCACAGTTACCCCATTCAAGACCAGGGAGTACCCCACACCTGCCTGCCCCCGTCCCCCAAAAACAGTACTTCTGTCTTGTCAGTATTCAACCTCAATCTGTTAGCCGCCATCCATCCTCCAACCGCCTCCAGGCACTCACACAGGACCTTCACCACCTTCACTAGTTCCGATTTGAAAGAGAGGTAGAGCTGGGTATCATCTCCATACTGATGAACACCCAGCCGAAACCCCCTGATGATCTCTCCCAGCAGCTTCATGAAGATGTTAAAAAGCATGGGGGATAGGGCGGAACCCTGAGGCACCCCACAAGTGAGAGTCCAGGGGTCTGAACACTCATCCCCGAATACCACTTTCTGGACACGGCCCAGCATAAAGGAGTGGAACCACTGTATGGCAATGCCCCCAGCTCCCAGCCCCTCAAGACGGCCCAGAAGGATCTTATGGTCGATGGTATCAAAGGCCACTGAGAGATCCAGCAGATGAATAAATAAATGTACAGTGGTACCTCGGGTTAAGTATTTAATTCATGCTGGAGGTCCGTTCTTAACCTGAAACTGTTCTTAACCTGAAGTACCACTTTAGCTAATGGGGCCTCCCGCTGCTGCTGCGCCGCTGGAGCATGATTTCTGTTCTCATCCTGAAGCAAAATTCTTAACCCGAGGTAATATTTCTGGGTTAGTGGTGTCTGTAACCTGAAGCGTATGTAACCCGAGGTACCACTGTAATCTTAAATGCTTCGGCAATGCATATATTTGTATGTATTAATATGGGCTACTAGTTGAAGAACTAAACAACTAGTCTTAAGTTTGGTGGTTTTGGAAACCTATAGAATTATTTGTTTTTCAAACACATCTGTAGTGCGTAACAGTGGTTTCTGTGGGCCTCCTCACCTGTGTGAGAAGCGATGGATAGCCAAAGGAACATAACCTGCCTTTGGGCTTTGTGCGAAAACCAACTTTCTGCTTGTGGTGCTTAGACTCCTAATTTCTGATTACATTTGTGCACATACGTCGACTTGCACACCATTCATTCCATGTCTGGAAAATTAGAAATACTGGTGGATTTTGAATAAAGCTTTTAAAGAGCGATTCAGTTTGGCATGGTTGGTGTTTCATTGGGTGGGAAGACCTTGCTTCAAACCCCTAGGCAGCTATGGCGGCCTACCATGCAAGATAGTTGTGGAGAAAATGGGGTAGTTCATGTATTCCGGAAACTAAGGAGGCAGAAGATTTGGCAGTTGTAGTCCAAAGCATCTAGAGAGCACAAGGTTGACGAAGGCAACAATCAAGCCTTCTGTGGCTTCTGTGCTGGAAACCCTCTGCCTCTATGGCGTAACTAGGACAGCCACCTTCCCACCCCTTTCTTACATTTTGCTCCACAGCTACCTCAGTGTCTCTGTATCCACCTACAAAGGCTGAGCTGGTCCAACCATGGCATGCCCCTGAAACGAAACGAGCATGTGCAGTTTGGCGAGTTCCTCATCATGGATGTCTACAAGCACCGCTTCCCTGCCCAGAAACCCAACCCTGCAGGCAGCCCACAGGCATCACCGGACCCAAAAGCCGGTAGGCAAGCAAAGTGAATGAGGACTTGGAAGGGAGAGAGCCAGCAGGGGAGTTAGTCCTTGTGCTAAGCCAGCTCATTCCAGAAGCTAAGAGGTGAAGGACTGTGGAGGACTGTGGGTCAATATGATTGGCCCACCCTGGGCTCCTTATCATAGAATTGGAAGAGACCCTGAGGGTCATCTAGTCCAACCCCCTGCAGATGGCCATCCAACCTCTGCTGAGGGAGGTCGTCCACTGTGAGAAGAGGGTGCTGGGCTAGATGGGCCACTGGCCTGATCCAGCAGGCTCTTCCTATACATAGGACCACGTCAACAAGGCTGCACCCATCTGCCCTCCACCAGATGTGGCATCTAACCTCAGCTATGGGGCAGGTCAAGGCGTACATGTGTGTTTATATTGGAATTGACAATTGGGCTGGCCAGCCAGATCTAGCTTTATGCCAGTCTCAGATATGAAAAGGTTTAATGTCCACCTCCATGTGGCTTGCCTGGGAAAGATGTGTGGACAAGATTCTCTTCCAGCTAGAACTAAGAGGGCTTGTGTGGGGCCCATTTCTGGCCCTGCTCTGTGTCTGGAGGGAATGTGATCTTGCCTGGACAGAGAGGGCTATGTGTAGAAACCTAACTTTTCCATGGCTGGAATGGAGCCAACTGTGCAAAGGTAAAGGAACATCTGTTGCTGCACTCCCTTTCCCATCTGCTCTCCGCATTGCTAGCAAGCAGAAGGGAATGTGGCCCTCTGGCTAAAGGGTTGCCACCCCTGGTTTAAAGCCACCTTGCAGCTCAGTCCAGAAAAGCAGTTTGTACCCCCACAGAAGGATCAGTTTCCCTGCCTAGTTGCCTGGAGGCAATTCTTCGTCGCCATAGGAAAGCAGCCATGTAGCTGTTTACAAACCAACTTTCAGAGTTTTAAATAAAGGACACCGTACAAACCAGGCACAGGAGCATCCCCTTCTGTAATAAGCAAGCAACCAGTTTTAATAATAACAGCGATGCACTATGATTTTGGGGTCTTTTTGTAGATGTGGAACAGGCGGGCAACAACAAATCCTCTTTTATGAATGGTACCTGCTCTCCATCCTTCCTTACGTCCCCAGTAGCTTTCCCGTACATGACAGCACCTGACTGTAGGTAAGTAAGAACATTTGAAACTACTTCTAACTTTTCCCGGAGTGACCAGTAAATCTCCAGAGTCGTTCTAATGTTCCATCATGCCACTGATATTTTCTGTTGGCTGTCTGGGTCTCCCGTATCAAAAGTGCAGTGAAATCCTGACCTATTCAGGCCCAGCACACGTTTGCCCGCTTGGTTTATCTCAAGTCTGGATGCTGCTACAGGAGCATGGAAAGCAATTTGCAAATGGAGCCGTTGCTGCTTAACAAGGCTGGATCCCCTAGTAGTCCACTCCGTAGAATGCTCTTGCTCATGGCAATACAAAGGGCACCATTGCTGCCTTGGACTAAACCAGCCTTCCTGTGTTTTTCCTTCATTTGGCAGTTCTCCATCATATCTGTACCGCCTGATGGCCGTTGTGGTCCACCATGGGGACATGCACTCAGGACACTTTGTCACGTATCGCCGATCTCCACCGACTTGCAAAAGCATGCCAGCCACCAGCAACCAGTGGTTGTGGATTTCAGATGATGTGGTGCACAAGACCACGTTGCAGGAAGTCCTTTCGTCCAGCGCCTATTTACTCTTTTACGAACGTGTCCACTCTAGATGGCAGCGCCAAAGCCAGGAGCATCGAGCTGAGGAGTGAAATGAATGCAGATCCAGCTGGTGTGCTTTTCTGAGGACAATGGCACACCCTCTGTCTTGCCATGCAAACGTCTTCCCCTACCTATAAACTCCTGGTCAGTGGTCTGTGTTTGCGTGGCAGGAACAAGCACTTTGTATCAAAACATTGTGCCCTCCCCTCACCCCCTGTGGCCATGCACAGCAGCATTAGAAAAGTGTGTTTTAAGTGTTAATAATCTTCTCAGCAGACTTAAAGACCTTCTAGCATCCCACTTCCTGTGTTGTGATGGAATTTCTTTGTGCTAATCAGTCAGATGAGCAGTTGCAAAGAAGAGAACCTACAAGTGCCTTGATCGTATTTTGAATCCAGACAAAACTGGCTGTGTCAAGCGGGTGGACGGGGGACTTACCACGTGGCTGCTTACCTAAAATTCCCAAGGGGGAGCAGGCGGTGGTGTGAGAATGCGTGACTTGGCTGTGTAGCTGGGAATCTACTGCTGACTCTTCATGGGGCAGCCTCAAGTATGTGTGTGCAAGAGAAAAGCAGAAAGTGTCCAGTTTCTTTCTGCCTTCAGTGATGTTTTAATGACTTTGTCAAAACGATGATGCAATGAGCTGATAATTATGTCCCATTTTCTCTTGAGAGTCCAGCTTGGCAAGGAATGGAACAGCTTTTCCTGTTTCTGGGTGGTTCTATCACCATCCCAGGAAAAACCCTCCTCAGTGTCTTGATTTGAAGTCTTCAAACTTTTGTACAGAATAAACCTGTTTCTGCCAAATGTAGACTGCTGTTTTTGCTTAAACAGTTTTGTGTTGGTATAAGTGAAAACCTGTTCATGTCTATGTGAACTGGTCTTGTTGCTGCATAAAACTAGTTTAAAAGGACCCTGGCTTGGTACTAATAAACACAGGTGTGTCACGCACCCTAAAGAGAACACCCCAGTGTTGACAACTGCGATGGTTATTATTCTCTGCCCTTATGCTACCCTGCATCCCTGGCCTTAGCACCTGTAGTGGAAGCAGTCTGCCAGAAACTCTCAGGCTAGGATTTGTGGCAATTATTCTTTCTCCTTCAAAGTGCTGTAGTTTACAAGCACAATGACTCTCATGGGCAGCAATTAGTCACAATAGGATCTTGGATTTACTACTCATTTCAATACCATGTGGCAGAAAATCTACCAGTCTGCTTTTCAAGGAGCTGTATATTTTAACTTTTGCGTTTTGGCTATGAGAAGTTTCCTTTGTGCTGCCAGAGTGAACTTCTGCTGCACAGCCCTGAGAGGTCATAGGCCCAGCCTTAGCTTCCTATGGCTATTTCATGACTTGCAAAGTCAGTAAATATAGGACTAGGTATCCAGGAGTCACCCACACCCCTCTCCCCTTTTCTGAGGCTCAGAAATTGCCCCAAGGGCTCCCCAGAGTGGGTTGGTTATGGTGGCATGTATCATGCTTCCATTAACCTTTGTAACAGGCAGGAAACGAGCTATTTCTTTCCCGCCTGTGGTCATCTGCCATGGCTGTTTCCATAACTGAGTCCTTAACAACCAAAAGAACCAGGAAGGCTGCTCTATACAGTATCACTGGAGTGTAAGCCTGAAGCTAAGATGCCACTTTTGCCTTTATCTTGCACTATGGGTTGTAGCCAACTATGTCCTACTCAGAGGAGACCCCTGGAAATCAATGTCCATTAGTCATGAGCTTTAACTTACCATATTTTTCGCACTATAGGGCGCACCCAGTTTTTAGGGGGGGAAATCAAGGAAAAAAAACTTTTTTCTCCCCCAGCCCCAAAGAGCAGAGTACAGGCTGCGCACAACCTCTCCCTGCCGGAGGGGTTGTGCGCAGCTATGGCACAAGCCAAGGCAGCGAGCAGGATGGATCCCGCTCGCTGTTTTGGCTTCCTCTTTAGCCCCGCGCAACCTCTCCTTGCCGGGAGATGCTATGCAGGGCTAAAGAAGCCATAGCCCCGTGCAGCCTCTCCTTGCCGGAGGGCTTGCGCGCAGCTATGGAGCAAGCCAAGGCAGCGAGCGGGATGGATCCCGCTCGCTGTTTTGGCTTCCCCTTTAGCCCCGTGCAGCCTCTCCTTGCCGGGAGACGCTGTGCCCGGCTTTCCTGGCTTTCCTGGGAGGTGGGGAGATTCCCTCACCTCTCCCAAAAGCCCGCAGAAGCCGCACAACCCCTTTAAAGAGATCGCGGCTTCTCCTGGCTTTTCTGGGAGGTGGGAGAAGGAACTGATGCGGCCAGTCAGTCCCTTCTCCCTCCTGTGGAAAAGCCCGCAAGAGCGCACGGAGCTTGTGTGTGGCTCTTGGGGGCTTTCCCCTCCTGCCACCCCCCTGCATTCGCTCCATAGGACGCACACACATTTTCCCTTGCTTTTTAGGAGGGAAAAAGTGCGTCCTTTGGTGCAAAAAATACGGTAAATGGGACTGTAAGTAGATATAGCACCAGCTACGATCAGAAGGTCAGCAGTTCAAATCCCCGTGACGGGGTGAACTCCTGTTGCTCGGTCCCTGCTCCTGCCAACCTAGCAGTTCGAAAGCACATCGAAGTGCAAGTAGATAAATAGGTACTGCTCCGGCGGGAAGGTAAACGGCGTTTCCATGCGCTGCTCTGGTTCGCCAGAAACAGCTTAGTCATGCTGGCCCCATGACCTGGAAGCTGTACGTCGGCTCCCTCAGCCAACTATGTCGTACTCAGAGGAGACCCATGGAAATCAATGTCCATTAGTCATGAGCTTTAACTTAAATGGGACTACTGTAAGTAGATATAGCACCAGCTACAGCCCTTATGCTTTTGGAGTCATACCAGAAATAATATTAGAAGAGGACCTGACCTTTGTAGCCTTTGTTCCTAGGTCAGGTGGATGACGAACAGAACTCCCTGTCTTGAGATATTCTATAACAAAGCCATTGATCTGCAAGATTTCGCCCTCCTTGCCTGGTACTGCCTCTTGCAACACCCCTCTCCTCCTCCTTCCTTGATAACCCACTTGCTTCTTTCCGGGGTTGCTTTTTAGGAGGCCAGGGACTGGCTCCCTTATGGCTTGGAAAATACTAAATAAATGATGGTCCTACAGAAGGAAAGATCCAAAGAATCCTTCAGTTAAAGACTTAAGACTTTTAGCCCAATAGGAGCAAGAAAATTGATTAACTGTCATCTACAGGGGACGTGGGTGGCACTGTGGGTTAAACCACAGAGCCTAGGACTTGCCGATCAGAAGGTCGGTGGTTCAAATCCCCGCAACGGGGTGAGCTCCCGTTGCTAGGTCCCTGCTCCTGCCAACCTAGCAGTTTGAAAGTATGTCAAAGTGCAAGTAGATAAATAGGTACCGCTCCGGCGGGAAGGTAAACGGCGTTTCCATGCGCTGCTCTGGTTTGCCAGAAGCGGCTTAGTCATGCTGGCCACATGACCCAGAAGCTGTACGCCAGCTCCCTCGGCCAATAAAGCGAGATGAGCGCCGCAACCCCAGAGTCGGCCACGACTGGACCATTAATACCTATCCACAATAACTACTAAGCAAACTGAACTCTGAGTAGGTTCCAAGGGACCAAGAATCACTGGTTATTTGCATGCCAGTTTCTATAAACTCAAGAATAGCTCTGGATGAGGACTAGGGAAGTGGGAGGGTGGGGAATACAGGATGGTTTTTTTTGTCTTACTGTCTTCAGTTTTTACTTTTGTAAAGCTATAAAATCCAATTAATATTTTTAAAGAGTTGCTCTGGTGATACAAGGCTGGGGGAACCTGTGGCCCTCCAGGTGTGGTGGGACCTGGATCCACCAACCAGAAGGGCCTATGGTCAGGCTCCCCAGCCCTGTATTACAAAGGAAATATACATCAGGGTGGCGGGGGAGGTTTATCTTTCATTACTGCTTTGCTTCAGAGAAGATTATAGAAGCAGCTTTTACCTAATGATCATGGGCTACTGGCCATCCTGCTGGTCACTCCCTTTTCTGTAGCCACTTACGCCCAAAGCGCCTAGGAAATCCTCAAGCCCCCTGCATTTTACAAAGCAAGCATAGCCCCCCCCCACCCGGACATTCACCATATGAACCATGGCCATACTAGTATCTGAAATCCAATGATCAGCCAAGTATTTGACCCCAAATGCCTTTTTATTTTTACCACAAAGGCACTAAAAGGAACAAAAAAACACTCTTGGAAACACTCTCTATTCATGCCTACAAAGAAACTAGATGGCCAAACTCTTGAGAGAAACGAACACTGTGTGGAAGGAATTCAGTGAGCCATCTCTCTCATTGCCCTGGGGTCAGCGCCATCACATTTCGAAATGTCAGGTTGATTCTCGGAGCCAGGAGCTTCTTGCGACTGGGCAGGCTGTGGTACCAGTAACGGTTGGTGGGGAAGTTCATCATCAACAAGCTCCCATGCTCCAGCTGCAACTTGACAGCCTCAATGTAGCGTGAGGGGTTTTTGCCTCGGGAATCCTTGTGCCGGAAGACAAAGTCCCTGCAGGCTCCAAAGGACACGGATGCGATGGGGCTGCGAGGGGCCAGCTCTCGCTCATCATCTCTGTGCTCCCCCATGTGATCGTGACCGTCCTTATACCTGGCAGGGAGGGGAGATGAGTGATGCAGTTAGGTAGTTTTAGACTATGGACTCAAATGCGCTTGCAGAGTGGAGGTCTATACTCTTTAGATAGTGATGTGCATGATTTCACTTGCTTCAGAATGCAGTAAGCCAGCCCTGCTGCTGTGTTTGGGATGCTGGTCTCCTGCTACTTCTGTTCAGGGGGCAGCGACTAGACTTCTGCCCTGAAGGGGAAGATCCACAACATCTTTCCTCCTTTCCAACTTAATCTGTACTATACCATATGGATTTCCTACAGGCATCTTTTTGGCCACTGCAAGAACAGGATGGTGGACTAGACTGGGCATTGGCCGCCAAATATTTCGGAAGAGAAAACTAATTACTTAAATGCACCAGTAACAGTGATGGAATTACAACAATTAATTAACCAGATAAAAACAGGTAAATCGCTGGGGTCAGACGGTCTATCAGCGAAGTACTATAAAAACTATAAGAGCTTTTGGCACAGCCTTTGAAAGATGTAATGAATAAGATTTTGAATACAGGGAAAGTATCAGATTCTTGGAAAGAGGTATTGTCAGGGGTTCAGAGAGAGAGGCACAGGGTAGGCAGGAGATGGAGAGCGAAGGGGAGGAATTCCAAGCCAGCGAGGAAGAGGACGACAATGACTCAAGGGATTCCATGAGTCTTTCCAGCGAATCAGAGGATTCCCAGAAGGGGGCGCCGGTGGTCAGGGCCAGGGGAGCCCCAGGGGGGAAATGTCAGGAGCAGGGTGCCAGCGGAGGATCCCAAAGTGGCAGCTGGGCGTCAGGACCAGCCTCCCCACCAAAGTGCAGCGAAGGGGGTGGAGTTTCCAGTGTGTCAGAGGAAGGAGCTCCAGCAGCAGAGAGAGGAGGGGGGTCAGAGCAAGCAGCCCTCCCGGAAGGGGGGGGAGCAGTGAAGGGAGCAGTGTAACTGTCAAAAGGAAAGTTAGAGGTTTGGCGCGCGCGCCTAGTTCAAATGTAGAGGCGCGCGGAAGTGCAGGGAGCCCGGAGGAGGGGCCAGGTCCCAAAGCCCGCAGGAGGGGGAGCAGCAGTCTGATTCCGCGTCAGAGGAATCCAGAAGGGGCAAACCCCAGGGGGCAGAAAGACCCTGCGGAAAAGGAAGGAGAGAAAGAGGTGGAGCAGCGCAAGTCTCTTAAATTGGTGCAGAGGAGGGACTGACTCAGACGGGACTTCGGCGGTCTAGCGTAAGAGACGTAAGGCTGCGCGCCTAAGATGTCAAGCAAACCATGAACTGCAATAAACACCTTTGTATTCAAGAAGACGTAGGCGTTGGTCTTTTGTGAGCTAAGACTTGAGGCAGCCTTGACAGTAAGTCCCGTCTCAAAAGCAAAAAATTTTTTTTTGCACAGCTCACGAAGTTTGGCAGCAATGACTACTGAGGAGCAGATAGCGTCCCTGCAAAACGCAGTCACCGAGCTCTCCACTGCCGTCGTGGTTTCTCAGAAGACAGTTGCAGAAGCAGAAGCGCGATGCCAGGATCTGCAAGCCAGGTGGGATCGGGCGTGCAGAGAGGGGTTCCCGGGGTCCAGATCAGAGGGAATCGGACTGGGACGAAGGGGGGGCAATTTAGTAGCCCACTTCGATGGGAACCTGAAGCATTATCCCAATTTCAGAGCAGACGTCGTATATGCACTGCATTTACTTCGAAAGGACTTCAAGGATGAGGAGGAAAAAGTGGGGTTCATTGTGTCCCATTTGCATGGGGAAGCACGGAATTGGTTACGCAATTTATGGCGCGAAGATGGTCTTGCACGCAGGGACTCTGATGAATTTCTCAAAGCCATGGACGCTTGCTTCCAATCTACTGTTGACGTTGATGTGGCACGTCAGGAGATGCATGGATTGCGGCAGGGCAAGGCTACAGTGCGTCAGTACCATTCTCGCTTTTAAGCATTGCTGAAAGTGCTGGGCTGGGAAAAGTACTCCCTGGCAGTAAGGGACTTGTATTGGGATGGGCTACAGGGCTCAGTGAAAGTTGAGCTGGCTAGGGAGACAGACCTCAAACCCTAGCAGACGTCGTGCAGAGGGCACTCACGATAGGGGTGCGCCAAGAAGACCGCCCTTGGCACAGGGAGGAGGGGCGTCACGTCCGCCCACCAGCTAGAGCGCCTCCTTTTCCTTCTAGGGACTTGGAACGTTCACGCCTTTCGCCTGTCCTGGCAGAGGGGGAAGAACAGATGGAACTGGGTGGTGCAAAGGCTCAGACAGCTGCCGGAGCCTCAGCGTCAGGAGCAGTCAAAGCGAAGCCTCCTAGAGGGACCAGGAAGTGTTACATCTGTGACAGTGCACGGCACATGGCTAAAGAGTGTCCCCAGAGGCTCCAGAAGCACACTGCAGCCTTAGCAACAGTAACAGGGGAAGCTTTCCAAGGGGAGCAGTTTCAGGGAAACGAGAATGCCTGGTTGGAGGGAGAGACGCTGGGGCTCCACCAGGCACGTCAATGAAGCAGTCCCCAGCGCTTTTGCAGCCTACAGACCCCTTACCACCTAAGCCAGTGGTGCAGCTCACTGCTACTCTCCAGCTGCCTAATGGACTCACCCTGGAAGTCCCCATTACGATTGACTCAGGGAGCAACGCTGACTTCGTGGGGGTGCAGTTCGTCAAGCAGCATCGCATAGCGCTACTACCAGCCACGCTGCCTCTGAATGTGGTCACTGTAGATGGCAGGAAGTTGCTGGGTGGGCAAGTGGTACAACAGACGCCATCCATGCTGCTGAAAATTGGGAATCATCGCGAGGTCATCAGTTTCAATGTCACCCAACTGTCAGACACGCCCATAGTGCTAGGCATGAGTTGGCTGGATAGACACAGTCCATCCTTGGCGTGGTACCAGCGGCAGCTCACCTTTGGCTCGTCCTACTGTGCACAACATTGCATCCAGATTGGTGAGGACGAGGAGGGCCGGGAGGAAGGGCAACAGCTGCATCTAGGCATGGTGCAGGCAGTGCCCCACAAATACAAGGGATTTTTGGAGGTCTTCTGCGAGAAGGAAGCTGACCAATTACCACCCCACAGGCCCTACGACTGTGCAATTGACCTCTTACCAGGGGCAACGCTACCGACTGCGAAGCTGTATTCCATGTCTGAAGATGAGATGCAGGAGCTCAGGGAGTTCATAGATCACAATTTGAAGCGGGGATTCATCCGAGAATCCAAGGCAGTGGGGGGCAGTCCTGTGTTTTTTGTGAAGAAGAAGGACACGCCCCAAAAACGACTCATTGTGGACTATAGGGCCATAAACTCGATGACAAAACCCAAGGCTTTCCCCATGCCCAAGATTGACGACCTGCTCGCGACGGTGAGGAAGGGGAGGATCTTCACCAAGTTGGATCTACGCGGAGCCTACAATCTCATACGCATGAGGGAAGGTGACGAGTGGAAGACGGCCATGTTCACGCCGCTGGGCACCTATGAATACAGAGTTATGCCGTTTGGTCTCCAAGGTGGCTCCCACCATTTTCAAGCATTCATGCACCACGTGCTAGCAGGACTCCTCTACAAGAAGTGCGTATGCTTTCTCGACGATATTCTGATCTTCTCGGAATCGCAGGAGACTCACGAAACAGACGTAAAGGAGGTCCTGCAGAGGCTACGGGAGCACAGACTCTACGCCAAGCTGGAGAAGTGCCAGTTCGACGTGACGGAGGTGGATTTCCTGGGCTACCGGCTGTCCGACAAGGGCCTAGCCATGGACAGCGCCAAGGTCCGCGCGGTGTTGGACTGGAATAGCCCGCGCAATCGGAAGGAGGTCCAGAGGTTCGTCGGCTTCGCCAACTTTTACCGCAAGTTCATCAGGGGTTTCGCGAAAGAGACGGCAGCTATCACGGACACCCTCAGTTCCAAGAAGAAAAAGTTCACCTGGACGGACCAGGCGGAGCAGTCCTTCAGGAGGCTTAAGAGTCTCTTCGCGTCCGAAGACCAGCTGCTACACGTGAATCCTGGCAGGCCCATGCGGGTTGAGACTGACGCATCTGACAGAGCAGTGGGGGCCGTCCTCTTGCAGGAAGATTCGCAAGGGAACTGGAGGCCCTGCGCTTTCTACTCACGGAAGCTCAGCAAGTCGGAACAGAACTACACCATCTGGGACAGGGAGTTGTTGGCCATCCACGCGGCTTTCAAGGCGTGGCGGCACTTCCTCATCGGAGCCAAGCACACCGTGCAGGTCCGCACGGACCACAAGAACCTGGAGTATTGGCGCACGGCGAAGCTCCAGAGCCAGAGGCACATGAGATGGGCGGAGTTCTTTGCGGATTTCGATTTCCGGATAGAGTATATCCCGGGAGACAACAACATCATAGCGGATGCGCTCTCAGAAAACCGCAGTATCTTGAGGAAGCGGCACCAGTGGCAGCCAGGCACATTTTTGCACCGCAAGCGTGGGCGTGCGCTTCTGCCGCCGTGGACCTGGACGCGGTACGACGCGCGCTACAGACGGACCCGTTTGCACAATCCAAGATGGAGGAGGTGCGAAGAGGGACAGCAAAGGACGGCGAATTCCAGATACGCGACGGCCTACTGACCCGCAAAGGTGCTCTCTATGTCCCAGGGGACGATCTCCGAGCGAAGGTTCTACAGCAGTTGCACGACGCCCCCAGCGCGGGTCACTTCGGCAAGGAGAAGACGGCGGACTTAGTAGCCAGGGACTTTTGGTGGCCCCAGATGCGGGGAGAAGTCGCGGATTACGTCGCCAGGTGTGACACTTGTCAGAGGTCCAAGCCAGTGCACAAGAAGCCAGCGGGATTGCTGGAACCGCTGGAGACGCCACTGCAGCCGTGGGAAAGGGTGGCGCTGGACTTTGTCACTGATCTGCCCAGTTCGCGGGGCAAGACGGCGGTGCTTGTGGTTGTAGATCTGTTCACCAAGATGGCGCATTTCATTCCTTGCGCGAAGGTGGCAACAGCGGAGCAGACCGCCAGGCTATTCATAGACCACGTGTTCCGGGTGCACGGCTTACCACGGTCCATTTTGTCCGACCGGGGTCGCCAATTCATTTCCAGTTTCTGGCAGAAGCTCCTGGGCATCCTGAATGTCAGGATCAACTTAGCGTCGGCGAGACACCCCCAAACCAACGGCCAAGCGGAGAGGGTCAACGCCATCATGCAGCAGTACCTGCGATGTTACGCCAATCAAAAGCCTGCAACTTGGGTGGACTACTTACCGATGGCCGAGTTTGCCTACAACAACACGAAGCACGCGTCAACGGGGGTGACACCGTTCTTCGCCAACAATGGGCGACACCCCAGAACATTCCCGGCGTTGGAGACGACGACGCAGGGGGAGTCGCAGGGAGCGGAACATTTAGCAGCAGAATTGCAGGAGGTCCACGAGGAGCTACGACGGCATTTGGAACTAGCTAAACACGCCTACAAAGTGCAGGCAGACAGGCACAGGAGGGCAGGAGAAGACATCCAGGTGGGGGACTGGGTATGGTTAGCAGCCCAGGCGGTGCCGGCCAGGTCGTTAGCTAAGAAGAAGCTAGGACACAAACAGCTAGGGCCATACCAAGTTGAGGGCAGGGTCAATCCCGTAGCTTTTCGGTTGACCCTCCCAGAGGATTCCCGAATGCACCCGGTCTTTCATAGGTCGGTGCTTACACCCTACAAGGCCCCACACAGATTTCAGGAGCCAGGGACGGCACCAGACCCGCGTAGGAAGTCACCAGGGGGAAGTCACCGAGGATCCCGACACTCAACGAGGTCACGGAAATTCTGGACTCGAGATGGGGGAGGAGGGAGTGGAATACCTCCTCGCCAAGGAAGGTACCCCGGCTAGCGCCAACAGTTGGGTGCCAGATTATGCTCTGGAGGAATCTTGGCTTAAGGACGAGTTCCATGCACTCTTCCCGCACAGGCCCATGCCAGAGGAGTATTTTGACGACTGGCTTTTACCCCCACACTTTCAGGCAGCACCTTCAGGGGTTCTCCTCCGCAGAGGAGACCACGCCGCAATCGAGCCCTCCAAGGGGATCGGGCTCGGGGGTGGACACGGACCGCTCTTATTGGTGGGACGATCAACCAGAAGTGGGGTGGCGAAGGGGGCCTTGGCAAGCAGCTTCGCCTGAAGTAACAGGGGAGGGAAGGGTTTGGAGGTGTTGGGGAGGACCCCGGTTTCGAGCACTCCTACACTGAACTGGAAGCTGTGGAGATCGACGTCGACGAACTGTATCCTGCATCTACCCCCGCTACAACGCGGCTCCCGGAACCTGCGCCCGCGCCGCGGGTGGGGGGATGGGGGGGCTTCGCGGGGGGGGGATGGATGTCAGGGGTTCAGAGAGAGAGGCACAGGGTAGGCAGGAGATGGAGAGCGAAGGGGAGGAATTCCAAGCCAGCGAGGAAGAGGACGACAATGACTCAAGGGATTCCATGAGTCTTTCCAGCGAATCAGAGGATTCCCAGAAGGGGCGCCGGTGGTCAGGGCCAGGGAGCCCCAGGGGGGAAATGTCAGGAGCAGGGTGCCAGCGGAGGATCCCAAAGTGGCAGCTGGGCGTCAGGACCAGCCTCCCCACCAAAGTGCAGCGAAGGGGGTGGAGTTTCCAGTGTGTCAGAGGAAGGAGCTCCAGCAGCAGAGAGAGGAGGGGGGTCAGAGCAAGCAGCCCTCCCGGAAGGGGAGGGGAGCAGTGAAGGGAGCAGTGTAACTGTCAAAAGGAAAGTTAGAGGTTTGGCGCGCGCGCCTCGTTCAAATGTAGAGGCGCGCGGAAGTGCAGGGAGCCCGGAGGAGGGGCCAGTTGCCAAAGCCCGCAGGAGGGGTTGAGCAGCAGTCTGATTCCGCGTCAGAGGAATCCAGAAGGGGGCAAACCCCAGGGGGCAGAAAGACCCTGCGGAAAAGGAAGGAGAGAAAGAGGTGGAGCAGCGCAAGTCTCTTAAATTGGTGCAGAGGAGGGACTGACTCAGACGGGACTTCGGCGGTCTAGCGTAAGAGACGTAAGGCTGCGCGCCTAAGATGTCAAGCAAACCATGAACTGCAATAAACACCTTTGTATTCAAGAAGACGTAGGCGTTGGTCTTTTGTGAGCTAAGACTTGAGGCAGCCTTGACAGGTATATATTACATTAATTCCAAAACAAGATACAGATTTACTATCAGTAAAAAATTATAGGCAGGTATCTCTGCTAAATAATGGCAAATCATATGAAGATGGTGTTAAAAGATTTAATTCATCAAGATCAAGCTGGCTTTCTTCCTGGCCGCCAGATGAATGAAAAGCAAGCGGCTTTAATGTCTGTAGATGCAGAGAAGGCCTTTGATAATGTGTCATGGATTTTTATGGAAAAAAACTATAGAAATGATGAACTTTGGAGAGTCATTCCTTTGGAGTATTGACGCAACTTATTCAGATCAACAGGCTATGTTGATAGTGAACAATGTGATAACGGAAAAATATAACAAAAGGGACAAGAAGGGGACGTTTCCTGTCACCATTATGGTTTATATTAATTCTAGAAACCCTGGCGTGATAGAATAAAAGGTATAACAGTAGGGTGCAGAGCTTATAAATTGAAAGCATTTGCGGATGACCTTGTGATAACAGTAGAAGACCCAATGGTAAGTATATCAAGGGTCTTAGAGATAATTGCTGAATTTGGTCAGGTAGCAGCTTTCAAGTTGAATAAAAATAAAATGAAAGTATTGGTAAAAAATGTGACCGTTCAATAAAAAAGAGACTTACATCGAACAACAGAATTGACAATAGAAAAAAAGGTGAAATATTTAGAGGTATGGTTGACAACTATATAGCCACTTGGAAAGAAAAAAAGAAAAACCTAAAGGTATGGGGAAGCATAAGCTTATCACTATGGGGAAGAATATCAGTAATAAAAATGAATGTATTGCCGAGAATGCTATTTTTATTTGAATCAGTACCCGTTATCAGTAGAGCAGGACACTTCAAGCAGTGGCAAAAAGTTACTTCTAAATTTATCTGGCAGGGAAAGAAGCCAAGGATTAAATATAAATTGTTAACTGATGCAAAGGATAGAGGCGGTTTTTCCGGACTTGAGGTTATATTATGAAGCGTCCTGTCTCTGCTGGCTTCGGGAGTGGATAATGTTAAAAAATGCAGGCATTCTAGATTTAGAAAGTCATGACAACAGATTTGGGTGGCATGCATATCTCTGGTATGATAAGACAAAAGTGCATAAAGGTTTCCTAAACCATTTGGTAAGAAAATCAATTTATGTAGTATGGGAGAAATATAAATATTTATTAGACCAAAAAACACCTTGGTGGCTTTCCCTGCTAGAGGTGAAATCTGTGAAAAAATTAAATGCAAAAAATGAATGGGCAACGTATAAAGAGCTGTTAACAAAAGAACAACAACTGAAAATGAGAAATTTGATGATATAAGACTTATTAACTGACTGGTTACAGTATCACCAATTAAATGATGCATTTAGAATGGATAAAATAAATGGTTTTAGTAAAGAATTTTTAAGGTTTGAAAAAGACTTGTTGGAAAATAAAGTGAAAATACTTTCTAAAATGTATACTGTTAAATCTGTATTGATACAATGGGCATGGGATATTGGATATAATATACAATTGTCATCATGGGAAAAATTATGGAGGGAAGACTTAAAATGTACAGCATGCTGTACGTTGAAGGAAAACTCTATGAAAATGATGTACTGTTGGTATTAAACTCCTACTAAATTAACAAAAATGTATAGAACTACTACAAATATTTGTTGGAAGCGTAAAGAGAAAGAAGGCACCTTCTACTATATGTGGTGGATGTGTAAGATAGCAAAAAGCATTGGAAAATAATTTATAATGAGTTGAAAAAAATGTTTAAAATAACATTTGTGAAAAAACTAGAAGGTTTTTTTTAAGGAATTTTAGGTACAAAAATACCAAGGGAGCAGAAAAGATTGTTGTCAGGCTCTGGGGGCTTGGCTTTCCTCCCCCCCCCCCTTTGGCTGCGGATAAGCAGGACAAAGTGACAAGAGTCCCTTACCATTTAAAGGGTCTTTAATGATCACAGGAAAATAATGAAGCATCCATTCCCGAGATAAAGGTGCTCCCAATTAAGCTTCCCTCCCCGGCATCTCACAACCATTGAGCCTTCTGCATAGCAACCTTATCAGCTCTCCTTGCCCTTGGAGATAAAGGCTGGACACTCTGCAGCAAAGGGGAGTCCGTTCTCTCTCTCTCTCTCTCTACTTCTCCTAGCTGTTCCCCACTCAGCTCTGCCCAGCTGTTATTTTCCGATGTAACATGAACAATGGTATAAATTGAATATTAAAGATAAATAGAGAACTTTATAGGGTGCAGGTGGGAAAAGATTAATAATGGAACTCATGGAAGGGTGGCAGGAAGTCCAAGGACTCAGAGAATCCTATTTTTTATGATTATGACTGATATTTGAATGTAAGTGTTAAATGCAAAAATGAATGTCCTTTTGTTCCCATAAACTCAGTATCATGTAACTCTGCAGGCAGTGGCTGGTGGGAATTGTAGTCCAAAAACATCTGGAGAGCAGCAGTTGGCAAACGTAGTCAAGGGCAGCTCCTGTAGAATTGCAGTAGGATGTCAAGCTCCTCCTGCACTGCCCTCTGTATGTCACAACAGCAGTCACAAGTTAGTGTAAGGGACTGGGCATGGAGAACTGGTTCCCTGGTGCTCAATGCCATACTAACCACCACCACCTGCCCAACATTACCTGTTAATGAGAACAAAATTGAAGGTGTCCCCGGTGGTTAGCTGGATTTGGTCTCTTATGTGATCCAGAACTGGAATCCATGGCTTGGGTGAGAAAGTGACACCTGAGTATGTGTAAGTCAAGCCAGCATCCCCGTAGGTCACTTGTTTCCTTGGGATGTTGTGCCACTTTCCAAATATGTGGAGTTTAGTGAACTCTCCTGCTTTGAAAAAAAGATGACAAACTCAAGATGGGCTTTCATAACCAGATGCAGGGAAGAAATGCCACCAAGTAAAAATTTCCCCTGAGAGCAGTGGTGGGGAACCTGTGGTGGCCCCCCGATTCAATTCATGGGGCCCTCTGGACACTGCGGTTGATCTCTGCTTCCTGCATCACCATCCCTCTAGAAATTGCTTTTCCTTCCATGCCGTGTGTGAGTTTGTGTGGAAAGGAGAAAGGGAGAGCAGGAGAGACAGATGTAGAGGAGAAAACCTCTTGCCGCGAGTTGGGAGAGGCCAGAGGGAGAGAAGGGTGTGGGGAGAGAAGAATGTTTCACACAGAGACGTGTAACTCCGCAAATTTAACCTGGTACGTTCTGCATGCAACGCAGGTGCTCTACAACTGAGCTATGGCCTCCCCCATTAAACAACCCTCTTCACTGCAGCCCCCTGCCCAATGGCCATTCAGTGAGAAACTGCTTCTCAGCCTGGCTATTATTATCATTACTGCCCCTGAAGACGGTTTGGAAGCTTCAGCTGGTGCAGAATTTGACAGTCAGGTTGCTCACTGGGGCAAGACGGTTTGAGCGTTCACACTGATCCTGGCCTGATTGCACTGGCTGCCAGTTAGTTTCCGGGTCCAATTCAAAGTGCTGGTTTTGACCTATAAAGCCTTAAACAGCTCAGGACCACAATAGCTACGTAATGGCTGTTTGTGGAATGCTCTCCCCAGGAAGGTTTGCATGGTGCCTTCATTATATATTTTTAGGCACCAGGCAAAAACATTCCTCTTCAGCCAGGCTAATTAAGATTCTACAGCCTTTTAAATGTGTTGTTGGAGGGGGGTTATTGTTTCGTTTTTGACTTTTTATTTTGTGTTTTTATCTTTTATCTTTATCTTGTGAACTGCCCAGAGATCTTCAGCTGAAGGGTGGTATATAAGTTTAATAAATAATAATAGCCATAAAAATGAGGAAATCTATTTATAGTATGCTCCAGATAGCCCTGCTGCACAGAGAATTCATGAAAGATTCAAAGATCAGATCTGTTTACCTTCAAAATATTCCACTTCCTTTTCAAGCTCCTGGAAGATCCTGTCAGCCTCTGCTTTGTTGAAAAGGATCCTATAATCGCAGTTTAGCCCTTCTGCCCGGATGTGTTTCCATGAAGCACCAACCAAGGGAGTCTTGCTTTGGTGGGATGCATCCAGCTTGGGCCTCTTCTTGCTTCTTCCACTGCCTTCCGCACCTGGGTCAGCCTCCTCCCGCTCTGGCCCAGGGGACATCCTCTTGTTCTTTGTTGCTGTGGTCTTAAGAGGCCCCCGGACAATGAATTTCTCCATCAGCAGTTGCTACGCACCTCAATCGAGGCTGTAGGAGGGCAAGCCTGTGACTGACCAGAACCAGATTAGATATGCCTGGGGTGGGGCGCTCCTGGCTGTGGAGTGCTCTTTTTACTAATATACTTGCAGCAGCTGGAAACTATAATTTGTGGTGTCTGCAAAGGATCTCTTTACCCAAGGGATGGGGAGCCTTTGGCCTGCTGGATGGTGCTGTATTCCAGTTCCCATCAATCCTAGCTTGCATGACCAACAGTCAGGGATAACGGGGGTCACAGTCCAACAACATCTGCTGGCACTTGGCTGGGGAACACTGGCTTGGACAAGCTGACATCTGTAATTATGGAGGCTGGCAAAATGGAACCTCCAAGTTCAGAAGCAATGTACCCCTGTATACCAGGTGCCGGGAATACACTGTAGGGGAAGGCTGCTCTTTCATGCCTTAGGGTTAAAATGCTATGCTCTGGCTGCCCTCCAATGCCCGTCTTACCTCCTGCAATCCCCAGGATATTCTCCAAGGCTCCTCCTGGAACCGAGGCCAGGGAGCCTCCCTGCCTGAATCCTGTTTCAGGTCCCACCTTCGTCTCCTTTCCAGTCACTCCTTGCAGCTCCTCCCTTCCGGCAAAAGATACTAACCGAGAGCCCTGCCTGCTAGAAAGAAAAATGGTAGCGTTGTTATTTCAGAACAAGACAAAGTCTGTTCGCTCCATCTCGAGGGCTTCCCAAGCATCGTCAAAGCTTCTCATGAATGTAAAATCAAAATTGCAAAACATAACCTAGGAGCAGTACAGGCGCAGTTTCCAATATTATTTTTGATCACACTTTGCTTGTAAGGTTGATTCTACTTTGATGGTGATCTGCGGAGGCGGAGACACTGCTCTCTCTTCCCACGGTACTTTCCCCCTAACGCGCACGTTCATCACGCAAGTCGGCAAACAGCGTGCATTGGAAGGCCTGCACGCCCCTGCTGCAAGGAGGACGATCCTTCTCGCCATTTCCTCCAGCCTCCGTTTGGCGCCGCGGACCCGCCTTCCGAGAACAGGCGCTGCGCAGGCGCACAAGGAGCGGGCGGGCGGGGCCCAGACGCTCCTCGGCTGCGCATGCGCGCTCGCTTTGGCGCCAATTTAAAGCGTACCTGAAGCGGGAGCGAGCGGCGGCGGCGGCGGGTCTTGCCGTGAGGGGGCAGAAAAGCTGAGCCAGCGGCTGCTGCGCCCGCTGCCTTTCCCTCGGCGCCCTTCTCTCCCGAGCTGCAGCGCAGGAGCCCGTCTACGAGCGGAGCCACCATGATCGGCCAGAAGACGCTGCTCTCGTTCTTCTCGGCGGCGCAGGCCAAGAAGCGGAGCCGCTCCCCGGAGCCAGTCGGGGCCGCTGAGGTACAAAGGGAGCCAGGCGAGAGGGCACGGGGAGCTCGCTCGCTCGAGGGGCTCGCTTCCAGCGGGGGAGAAAAAGGCGCCTTCCTGAGGTACCGGCCAATGGGAAGCGCTTTAGCCGCCCTCAAGCCAATGGGAAGCGTCCGGGGGTGGGAGTAAGTCCGACTCGGCGCTCTTAACCAAGAAGAGCTAGGGCTACCTTAGCAACAGAGATCAACTGAGGGCAGGGGCTTTCAAGCAGAACTGCGATAGGGCGAGCGGGCTGCAGGGCTCGGGACCGGCGACCAATTAGGAAGCTGTTTTGATGGCCCGTAACCAATGAGAAAGGAAGGGGGCGCTATCTCGCAAGTGATAGGCCGATACACGGCGCTTTTGGCGTCGCTGGCCAATTGGGCGCGAAAGTCGCCCGTGTTTTGTTTTCTCATGGCGGCGGTGGCGGGCCGTGGTCTGGCCGCTTGGCCGCCCCTCACGCGCTTCTTCCGCCCGCAGGCAGGCTCTCCGAAGAGGTCGAAGGCTGGCGCTCCGTCCCCGCCTCTCAGCCCGGAGCAGCTGGAGCGGATCCGCCGGAACAAAGAGGCGGCCTTGCAGAGACTCGCTTCCCGCCTCAGCAGCCTCGCTCCTCCGGAGGTCGCGCCGGACTGGAGGCTCGCTCTCGCCGGGGAGTTCGCCAAGCCCTACTTCGCCCAGGTGGGCCAGGGGCGGAGAGGAAGGCGGGGGGCGGCCATGGGCAGGGCAAGGATGGGTCTCAGCCCATCTCCCCTACCTGACGGCCTTTGAACTGGAGAGAAGGTCGATTGCAACGCACCTTATGCGAGCAAAGGATGTGCTCCCGCACGGAGCTGCAGTCCGGGCCACTTTAATAGATCCCCCCCTAATTTATTATATCGAAAACAGAGCTGCTGTTGCTGTGCTGTGTTAAATGGACTGTACCAAAATCTGCACACTTGCCTGCCTTGGTGCCTGTCTCTTTCCTCCTTTACAGACATGCATTTCTTCCCTTTCTGTTTTATGCCACGTCGATAGCTTATTCAGTACTTGGTAGCAGACTTCTATGCTTGTTACTCGCGCAAGTGTGCCGCTGGGTTCAATAGGGCTTCCTAGTAAGTGTATGTAGGGTTATTTATATATTTATGATTAAAGTTTTCCTTGGCTTAAACACCTTGTCTTTTTTTTCAAGTTGTGCTGTACAGTCTTTTCTACAGATCAGTTACATTGTTGAGTACAGTAAGGTTTGGGAGAGGAGGGGTGGTGGTGAAATTGTATGTGTAGGGTTCTAGTCCTGCAACCTGGTCTTTTGTATGTTTGCATGGAAGCTGTTCCTTCTATATTTCATGGAGCTAGCACTCATGGAAATTTACATAGGATGTGGTCTTACTCTCCTTGTGTATACTGTATTTACAGAATAATTAAGTGGTTATTCCTGTCTACCTTGCGGGCCCAAAGTGGCATTAACAGTTCCTCCAAAACCATTATTGATCAGCCTTTATATACAAGAGAGATGCAAAGTATTTAGATTTGATCTACCCTGTCTCAAGAAGCTCCTGGTGGCTAGAAGTATTTTGTTAATTATTGAGCATGTATCTTGCTGCAACTGACGTTGGAGTCCATAGATGTTAGGCAAGAAGCTGTGGCTAAAAATTGGAGAGGGGTTCCAGGGTCATCACTTGTCCTGAAATGGGAGGCTCCACCTTGCAATATTCCCCTCACTTTCAAGCATGTTTCTCAAGTTTCTGTATCTCTTGAACGTTCATCACAACTTTTCTGAAAACTTAGCTGCCTGACTTATATCATGGGATCCAATTTCAAGTCTGGGTGAAGCAAACTCTTCACATCTTTAAAAACAATTGGTTGGCTGGCCTCTCTTTAAAGCCTTGGGATGTATTGACAGAAGAAAGCTTTACGCATTAACTGAACTGAAATTTTAAAATGACTGCTTGAAACACAATATTGTGTGTGACGCCTAGGTGCTTTTGTGCAATCAAACCGCAACCTACTGAACCTGCTGGCCCTCCTTAACCAGGATTGGAAACTGTCTGCTTCTGTTTCCCAAAACAGCTAATGGACTTTGTTGCTGCAGAGCGCAAACGCTACACAGTGTATCCAGCTGTGCATCAAGTCTTCACCTGGACTCAGATGTGCAGTATCCGTGATGTGAGTAAACCTGGTACAATCAGCCCTACATTTATTCTACCTTTTCCTTCAGGAGTCACTAAGTTGTCAGTGATATCTTCTCTTTTTTCCGCCTCTAGATAAGTGTTGCACTTTCTGTCTGCATTGTTTTGAAAACCATGGGCTAGTAACAATAATGTTTGGTGCTGCTAGTTGCATTTTGGCCTCAGAATGTTTTGCATACACTACTGTATCTAAGTTGTCCTGACTGTAAAGGGAGGCCACTATTAGTTAATCCAATTGGATAAATGCTAGGTGAAGCTGAAAGGGGTGGAATGGAATGGAATGGTGGGGCTTCCTTAAAACTACCCATGTTCTGAGATTTGAACATGGAGCTTTTAATCAAGCACGCTACATAATAATAATTTATAATCATTATTTATTTGTACCCCATCTGACTGGGTTGCCCATGAACTGTGGTGTTTATATAGTTGTCCCATTGGTCTTCTCTGGAACACACGAGAGAAAGAGCAAGGGATAACCAGCCACATACTGTGTCCTACCAAAGGGACGTATTAAACTGGGCAGAGATGAATGACAGCAGGAGTGATTGTATTGAACAAATTTCCGCTTTTGTAACTTTGTTCAGGTAAAAGCTGTCATCTTAGGCCAAGACCCATATCATGGACCCAACCAAGCACACGGACTCTGTTTCAGCGTCCAGAGACCAGTTCCACCTCCACCCAGGTAAGATTAGGCTTTAAACTTTGTGGTCCTATTAGGACCAGATATGCAATACTGCCTTTCCATTAGTCTTTCAGTTGCATAGTTATCACTAATATGTTATGTAATAAATGAAATCCCTATGATACAAATGCATGAGAGGAAGTCTGTCAAAACCTTTCTTATTTTTGATCGTAGCCTAGAGAACATCTACAAAGAACTGGCTGAAGACATAGAAGGCTTTTCTCATCCTGGCCATGGAGACTTGACCGGGTGGGCTAAACAAGGTGAAGCAGGATCAAAGTTTGTTGGGCGCTTTTCCCCCTGTGGTGGGCTTCCCCCAGCTACTATCATGTGTGTTTTTCACATTCTGGATACAGATTGCTTCTTTCCAGCAGCCAATGGTAGTACTTGCAGCAGTGGATGGAGAATTCCTTTCAGCACGCCCCAGATTTTAGCAAGGAAACAGCCCCTGAACATCCAACACAATCCCAGCCTCCCGCTGCTTCAGAGAGGCTAGATCTTGCTGAAAAGAGCAATCTTAGCTCAAATACAGTGGTACTCCGGTTGCAAACGGGATCCGTTCCAGAGCCCCGTTCGCAACATGAGCAGAACACAACCCGCTTCTGCGCATGCGCGTGACGTCATTTTGCACATTTGTGCATGCGCGAGTAGCAAAACCCAGAAGTAACCCTTTCCGGGTCGCCGCAGGACGCAACCTGTAAAAACGTATCATGAAGCAAACGTAACACAAGGTATGACTGTACAGTACAGACTTTACAGAACAGTGGATAGTTTTGCTGCTACATGCAGCTCCCTTACAGAACAGCTGCTTATTATAAGTTTATACAGCCATTAGCATTAAATTAAACACACAAGCTACAATAAAATGCCCTCAAATACACTGGGAGGTGGGGGTTGACTTCTGATGATGATGCAGAATTTGGCTGGGATAAACATACTGAATAAACATATTTTGTGTGCAGAGTATTGATCATTTGCCCTTCCTAGCAGCAAAAGCAGCATATTTTTATTTAATGTTTTCTGCATGCTTGCTCACCCTTTCCTGTTTCATTTTCAACCTAGGAGTACTGCTACTCAATGCTGTTCTTACAGTCCGAGCACACCAAGCCAACTCCCACAAAGAGAAGGGCTGGGAGCAGTTCACAGACGCAGTGGTCTCCTGGCTAAACAGCAACTTGGATGGTGTGGTCTTCATGCTTTGGGGGGCTTATGCTCAGAGGAAAGGCAGCTCTATTGACAGGGTAAGTGCACCGTTGCTTTTCCATTCCTCTGGAAGTGACACTAGTCTGGACAGGGGGAAAAGGCTGGAAGCTGGTCTGTGTGGTAGGCAGCATGGAATCTAATCCTGAGCTTGGATTATCGCCTCATGCAGCACCCATTAGAGTACATTGTTTTAAAAGGGTATTCTGGGACTGCAGAACTGGGATTATTAGAGGATGGGCTCAGGTTTGGTCAGTGTTTCTGTTAAATGATATTGGTCCATGGAACAGCAGTACAAAACCTAAGATTCTGCAAATGTGGTGGCAGTTCAGTGGGGCGGGATGACTACAAGGTCTTAAAATCTCTGATTTCTTGCAGAAACGGCACCACGTCCTACAGACAGCTCACCCTTCACCCCTGTCAGTGCACAGGGGTTTCTTTGGCTGTAAGCATTTCTCTAAAACAAATGAATTGCTGAAAAAGTCTGGGAAGAAGCCCATTGATTGGAGCACCCTGTGACACAGAATTTGAAACCAACTGTGTTTGATTCTTAGAGTACAGTCACTACTTGGGAAAAATTCTTTGGATTTGTTTTAATTGAATGTGCCAGATCAAAGAGTCTACTCCAAATCTCTTATTTTGGAGTAGCTTTGAATTTAATGGAATTAATCCTGAAAATGTGTTTTTCACATTCTTGGTGCATTTTGGGACAAAAATAGATTGGCTGAGATGTTACCCTTTTTATGTTCACTCTGGCTAGTGCCAAGGAAGGCATTCCATTCTGTTATTAGCTATTGTAAAATGGGCTTGTTGGTTTTTACTCCCCATTTTGTACATCTCATGTTGAGGGAAATGAAAGCACCTTTTCATATATATTTTTACACCAAAGAATTTCATTTTTCATTTTTGGCCCACTCAGTGAAGTATCCATTTAGCAAACTGTTTATGATGTACAAATCAATGTCTTATTTAGTCTTCTAAGCTTGTCCTTTTATCAGTTGTCAATTAAAAGTTGCATCAGTTGCTGTGAACTGTGACCCTGTTTTCACAGTTTTCTGAGGTCTGCAGGAATTAGATCAGCTGTGGCAAAGTCAAAGGATTCCAGTTGCTTTCTTCTTATTGGGATAGGGAAAGGATGGAGCCAGATGTTGGAAAGCATTGCCTGACCTATGGGAGAAGTGGGGTTCCCAGTGCTAATGATGGTTGTGTTGGGGAAAACATCACACATGAAAATCTTATTCAGCCACAGTTGGCAGCTAAACTTCTGTTGCAGGTATTGGGCTTGTAGGAGCTGTCATTATCAACTTCTGTAAATTATAAGAAAGTCTGGCATACCCTTTTTATGTGCAAATTGCATAATAAGATATTCTGTTCTGGTATGTTTTAAATACCAAATTATGACTTGTACTTGTGGTGGTTTTTTTACTCTTTGTACCACTAGGTGACAACAATGCAACTATTTCTTTTTTTACAGTCACTGTATATTTGTTATAAAAATAAACATCTTTGTTATTTGCTGTTTGTTGGCTCCCCCCACTGCTTCTTTTGCGTATGTGTTACTAAATTTATTACCCACATTTCACCAGCAGTTCCCAGGGTGGGTTGCAACAATTTAAAATTGGGAATTAAAAACAGTTAAAATGTATTGCATATGCAAGAATAAGGTGGATCCTGAAAACACAGATTTCAGGCGCCAAAGGCCAGGGTAACGCAATGCACTTTAAGCACTCGCCAAAAACTTTATAGTGAGGCAGCCAGATGCACCTCTGGGAAAGCAGCAGCACAGCCGAGTTCTACAGACATTGAATTACAATAAATCTCAGCAAGCTTCCAATTAGTTATTGAAATGAGAATGACTGTTAGCGAAACACACTGTACCAGAGTTGTTCATGCGTAGTGGGGTCCAGATAGCATTATCTACTGAAAAGGTTAGGATAAGATACCCCTATTTCTAAGAGGTTGCCAGCATCTTGGGTGGAGCATTTGACTGGCGAGTTTCTCCATTAATGCTACTGTCCACACTCCTGAGAAAACTCAACTATGCTGAAATGGCTAAAATGACCGAAAGAATCAGTAATCAGGAAGACCAAAATTTTAATAAGGAATGGAGAAAATGTATAACTTATCTTAAAGACGATTGTAAATAGTTAAAATCGTTAGTAGGATTGGAATAACACTTGTAGTTTAAGGTTGAATTCTGGACATAATGCTAGAGGTAAAGGACTTGGAGTATTATAAAAGATGCGGGAGGAAATTCTGAATAATCGCCAATAGCACAACATTTGTAGGGTGCCCAGCTGGGCACCTTCTTTGCTGGAAGACGCATCCCTGTTCTTATCTATGCAGATGATGCAGCAATGCAGTGGTACCTCGGGTTACATACGCTTCAGGTTACAGACTCCGCTAACCCAGAAATATTACCTCGGGTTAAGAACTTTGCTTCAGGATGAGAACAGAAATCATGCTCCGGCAGCAGCGGGAGGCCCCATTAGCTAAAGTGGTGCTTCAGGTTAAGAACAGACCTCCGGAACGAATTAAGTTCTTAACCCGAGGTACCACTGTACATGGGTAGGCAAACTAAGGCCCGGGGGCCGGATGCGGCCCAATTGCCTTATCAGTCTGGCCCGCGGATGGTCCGGGAATCAGCGTGTTTTTACATGCGTAGAATGTGCTTTTATTTAAAATGCATCTCTGGGTTATTTGTGGAGCATAGGAATTCGTTCATTCCCCCCCCCATATAGTCCGCCCCCCCCCCAAGGTCTGAGGGACAGTGGGCCGGCCCCCTGCTGAAAAAGTTTTGTGACCCCTGACCTTTTAGAACACATGACATGACAAAGTGGAATATGGAATGCTGCAGCATTATGCACTTCATGTGGAACCCAGACACTTCCTTCTGAAGGTGAAAGGAGTAGAGACGTAAGCCATTTCTCTTTTGATGGAAGATCAAGAAAACTTTACTATAAACTTTGATAATTATTATGGACAAAATAGTTATGGACAAGTCTGTGCAAAAGGCTTATTTACTTACACACACTTGTAGTCTGCCCCATGGAAAGATGGGCTATACATATTTTAAATAAATACCTGACATGGGCAAATATTTTGATGGAGGAAGTAATTTTTCAGGAAGAAGAGCAAGATTATTGCTGTAACCTCTGAAATAATGAGAGTCAGAATTGGGGAAATCAATTTCTGATTGTCTTGAATGTACATTCTGTTTGGATGTGTCTAATAAGCCTCCTTCTGAACTGCTGTGCACATGACTAGAAAACCAAGGGCAGAGCCCTGCTAAACTTGTTTTGCTGGTGATCTCAATTTAGTTAGCACCACAGAGCAGGCAGTTCCTTCTTGGTGTTCAGTTTATGAAAATTAACAGTAGAAACTGACAAATTCTCTATTTTGTACTCCCTCCCCCCCTGTCCTGTCCCCCAGTGTTACAAAACGTGGGTTAACCCAAGCAGGATGTCTACCAAGGAATTTCAGAATAAACTCTATGCTCTTGGTAGCAAGCTATGGCTCAAGCTCGAGGGACTACCCAAAGCTGAACCTTGGGAGATTGTGTTCTTTTTCTTCATCATCTTGTTCATTGGTACGTATGAATCATGCTTGCAACTTTCTGAGCTTGTCAGATGGGTCTATTTTGTCATTCAGGAGCTATGAATAATCTATTATTAATCTACATGGTTTCCGATTCCTCAGCAATTGTGATGCTCAGGACAGGCTTTAAGTAAAGGTTTGTAAGAATTCAGTGCAGATCTACGCTGCTAAGTTTCACCATACAATATAAATGCTACATACATACATACATATATATATATATATGAGAGAGTATTTGTGTGGCAGAATCAGGACTGGCAGCCAGCCCCTAGGTTCTACAGCACTTAAAGTTTCAAACTGAACTTTATCATATGAATGGCATGAGAGTCAACATTTACAGAAATGGTTAACTCTGGGTCAAATGGTAGTGTTGCTTTGGGCTACCGTAGGACTTGCCGATCGCATGGTCGGCGGTTCGAATCCCCGCGGCGGGGTGAGCTCCCGTCTTTTGGTCCCAGCTCCTGCCCACCTAGCAGTTTGAAAGCACCCCTAAGTGCAAGTAGATAAATAGGTACCGCTTTATAGCGGGAAGCTTCGTCACGCTGGCCACGTGACCCGGAAGTGTCTGCGGACAGCGCTGGCTCCCGGCCTCTAGAGTGAGATGAGCGCACAACCCTAGAGTCGGACACGACTGGCCCGTATGGGCAGGGGTACCTTTACCTTTTACTACAAGATTATGCATGTACAGTTTAGAGCTAACAGCGGACTCTCCCAGCATAAAGAGAATGAGGGTCGATTCACACATAACTTCTCATCACTTGCATTCTGAGATGAATGTAGGAAGTGTTCATATCCATTGCAAAGCAGCATATCCAAAGCAGTATGAAATCTCTGCCTGTGACAGATGTTCAAATATGAAACCGTCATCAAGTGATTAACATGCATGTGTCCAAAGATACACCAGGTGGCATGGAGCAGTTCCTGAAACAAGTGACGGGGTAATTAACAACCACAGATACCGAAGAAAGCTGGTAGATATAAAAGCAACCGTGTAATGTTTCCTCTTGAATTCCAAAGAAGAAAAGCCTGCTTGTGTACTGCAACAAATCCTCCCCCTGTTGGAATTGGGAAAGAGCCAGATCAGCCTAGCCTTCTTTCAGCTAGAACTCTGGGCTAGCCTGAACTAAAGCTTTATTTCCTTTGCCCTTCACCTGCTGGTACTCCAGTTCTTTACATTAGAAATCAGCTGTACCTTTAAGAACAGCTACTACCACTCATATTCTGTCTGATTTGCAATGGGGTTTATAATCATTGTGCAGCTCACACCATCCTTTGAGAACTGTCAGTATTATTTCTGTCTCGCTGATGTGCTAGGAGTAATAGTCATTGTACAGCGGAGTGGGTTAGTGTTCGCAAGTTTGAAAGCCATGCAAAATCCTTCCCCAACCCATTACAAGAATTTCCTTTCCCAGTCTCCGCTATAGCCCTAGTGTTGTTTATGTCCTTTATCCATTCCACTTCCCAGGCCTCAGAGAACCAGCTGCTTCTTCCTTTCACTCCCTCCCCCTGCCTGTATTTTCTAGGAATCCATTATCTTGACAGTGATCATGACTGCCTACTCTCCACTCCAAGCCTGGGTGCAGCTGGGAGAGCAGGAAAGCGCAGGTTCCTTTTTTTTTGTAGGTGCCAAAAGGAAAACAATGAAAAACAATGAGCATAGTTTGGGCATGCTTGTTCTAGAGCTCTTGTTGTTAGCAACTCTTGTGCCCTCTAGTAATTCCAGAGGGGACAAGACAAATCTAAAAGCCATATCTGTCCCTTTCTGGTGAGTCTATTCATTGTATTAGCAGGTTGGGTTGCTCTAACTCCTGGCTAGCAATTCCAGAAGTTAATATTTTCTCGCGCTCTCTCTGCCTTTCAGTCATGGTACTTTCCATCATGGTGACAGCTTGCACCGTTTGCTGTGACCACTCCTATACAAGATCAAAACCTAGGAGGATCCAGCAGACTAGGTGTAAGAAGGGTATGAAGAAAAGGGTGTTCTCATCCTGAAGGAAAGTTCTGAACCTGAGGTAATATTTCTGGGTTAGTGGAGTCTGTAACCTGAAACTTATGTAACCTGAAGCGAAGCAAGCCCATAGGGAAATTCGTCTTGTGGAACGACTCAAAAAACGGAAAACTCTTTCGTCTAGCGAGTTTTTCGTCTTGCGAGGCATTTGTCTTGCAGGGCACCACTGTAATGCTGTCACGGTCTGAGTCAAAGTCCCGGCTGAGGACGTCGAGACCAGGGGCGAGATGGCAGGGTGGGAGCAGGAACGAGAGCCCAGAAGCCAGGAAGCCAAGAGTCTGAGGGCCAGAGAGCCAGAGTCTAGAAGTCAAGGGTCCGAGGATCAAGAAGCAAGGAGTCACGAAGTCAAGGGTACGAGGATCAAAAAGCAAGGAGTCAAGGAGCCAAACGCAGCAAGGCAGGAACTGTGTTGCTGTGGCAAAGAGCCAAAGGGAAATGCTGACCTTATATCCCTTCCCAGCTCTTGCCACCAGGTGCTGTGAGTTACCAATCAGCCTCACCTGTGTGGCCGCGCCTTGTCTCCTCAGAACAAACTTAGAAGGCCCCAGTCCTGCAAAGTCCTACTGGTCACAGGGCCTGGCTCCCGCACGCACTCCTGACAAATGCCACTCTGAGACTAGACAGACTTCACAAAAGTGGAGGCTAGAGTGTGGGTGACTATACTCAACTACTGGCTCAGACTATCTCTATCTCCCCTTGGCCTTATCCCACTAACTATGAGTGATGATTTTCAATCCACATGGAAACAGGCAGTGGCAACTAAAAACTCATCCCTGGGCTTCTCTCCAGGTCTTCTACTCAGCATGGGATATGATCAGGCCAAAGCACTCATGAAACAACATGTAGCAGACACAGAGCACCAACTGGATCTAGCCAGGACCCCAACTTTTAGTGCCAATGAATCTATCAGGTACTCTGCCTCCCTCATGGCATATCTAACTAAACTTGAAGTCCTAAGCATCGGAGGGCCTTTACCCTGGCACGATGTCACACCCTCCCCTCGGCTGTCATTGAAGGTTGATATAGGAAGAGAGGCAATGCCGCTGTGATTCTGGACAGACAAACAAACAATAGAGCATGTGCTTCTCCAGTGCCTGTATTACAGAGACATTCGTATTAGCCTCATCTACCCACTCATCTCCCCATAAGGACCCAGGGTGCACAGGACAATTCTATACCTCCCTGCTGCTTTCAGATACCAACCCTGCTACAACATACAAGTTGCCAGGTTCTGCATAGCAGTGCTCAAAATTTGTCGGATCATGACCTGCGCCACAAACTAGATTTAATGAACACTCATATTGGAGTGCTTTGTAAATCGATAGCCATAGCCTTTTATATACTAACCTTTTATGCTCTTCCACATCTGTTTAATGCTCCTAACCCTTCTTTTAGATTCTTTTAGCTTCTTATAGTTTTTTATATATACCTTCTGTTTTAATAATTTTAGCTTTCCAAAACGTTTTACAGATTTTGAATGATTGTACCCCACCCTACTTATGCTGGTCTATGACCGTAAGAAAGATTTTATTTGATTAATAATAGGACCCACAAAGGGGAGGGTGGAAGTCCAAAAGATTCCTAGGAATCTTGTTTTTATTATTTATGTTTGATATATCTCTGTAAAATTTTAATTTGAAAAACCAAATAAATAAATTTGTAAAAATAGAAAGGGGGGGGGAGAGGGCGGAACTGAACTGGCTCAGTCAGGCAATATGCCTTCTGCACAATTTCAGATGGAAGTTCTTTGCAAAAGAAGAAGGAAAAATTAAAGTTTAGGGTTTTTCAGATTAAATGATATTTGTTAAATTTTCAGCAGCACAAAAAAAATCCACAAAAATGGCAGCAAAAAGTTAATGTACAAAGCATTATTTATCAATTTGGTCTGTCCACAGGGTTATATTCACTGTAAATGACATTTATGCTACCTATTACAATGTATCGCCACTATCCCTTCTACAAGAAGCCATGTTTTTAAGTTAGTTTTGCTTCTATGAATAATTCTGTCTTCCTCTATGCTTCTTCCTTAAGCAGCTAAAATGATTTCTGTGGCTGAGGGGGAAGCAGACCCCAATCTGCAACACATACATCCCAAGCAGTGCTTGTAACCATCAGAAACTATCTCTAGAAGGAAAACAATTACTATCCCCTTTTAGGCTTTTTGTAAAGGCCAATAAAAGAACAACCACCACACCATCAAGACAAGCGTGGATGACAGACTGGAGTACTGGGCCCCAGCTAACAAAATGAATTTCAGTGGGTGCAGATGTCAGGTTCTGTGCTTGGGCAGGAAGAGCCAGCTGCACAAATATAAGGTGGGGGACACCTAGCAGTACATGTGAAAAGGACAGAGGACCACAATCTGAACATGAGTCAACAGTGTGATGCAGCAGCAAAAAAAGAAGAAGAAAAAGCTATTGCTAATCTAGGCTGCCTCAACAGAAGTATAGTGTCCAGATTGTTATGTACAGTGGTACCTCGGGTTAAGTACTTAATTCGTTCCATAGGTCTGTTCTTAACCTGAAACTGTTCTTAACCTGAAGCACCACGTTAGCTAATGGGGCCTCCCGCTGCTGCCGCACCGCCGGAGCACGATTTCTGTTCTCATCCTGAAGCAAAGTTCTTAACCCAAGGTACTATTTCTGGGTTAGCAGAGTCTGTAACCTGAAGCGTATGTAACCCGAGGTACCACTGTAATCTTAAATGCTTCGGCATTTAATACCACTGTATTAAGATTAGCTGCAGTTCTCACTCAGGGCCATCAGTATGCAAATGAAGGATTGAGAACTGTTGCTCACTTATTGGTTAGCTAGTTGGGAGTTGTTACTGTTACAAGTTACTTAGTATTATATAAAGCAGCCAGCTAGGCTGCAGCGAGTCTGACTCCAGGAGAAGTTCTAACAGCTGCAATAAAGAGCTGTGAATCTAACAGAGCTGTGTCCTTCGTCCATCATTCCCACTATTTAACACTGGCGACAAAGGTGGGATCAGATGAAACAAGACACAGCCAGAGCTGAACTGCTGAGCTGAACACTCAAGAACTGAGATATCGCCGAAGCTAGCGTCCATCCCTCACCATTCAACCGGCACCGGGAAAACATGGCGAGGGTTTGTTGCTCGTCTACACCAGCAGATACTCTACCAGCACTGGGAAGCAAGAAGGCATCGGCAAGGTATGCTAACAAGAACTGCCACGCTGTCACCAACTGCCATTGCTCAGCCGAGCTGACAGTTGGCCGGCCCGACGGGTCGGAACTCAGGAAAATTTATGTCACCGTGACTATTGAGGGCAAACCATGTGACATGGAAGTTGACAGGGGCTCTGCCATGTCCATCGTCTCTTGGAGTACCATCAAAAGGTTGATTCCCAAATTATCTAAGAAACAACTGGACTCCACCTACCTGCATTTGCGGGATTATCAGGGAAATAACATTCCGGTTGTAGGTGTGGGCAAGTTCAAAGTGACCTTTATGGAATTTTCGGGACCGCTGAAGTTAGTCGTGGTCGATGGAAATCGGCCCAGCTTGCTGGGACTGGACTGGTTTGCGTCCCTGGGCTTGGAAATTACAGGCATCCACAGTGTTTTGCAGTCAGAAATAGATGCCATCATCACAGAGTTTTTGGAAGTGTTCGATGGAACCTTGGGACAGTACGTGGGGTCGCCCATCTCCTTTAACCTTGATCCGCTAATCAAACCCATCAGAGTCAAGCCTCGACGCGTACCATTTGCACTCAAGCCTAAGGTGGATGAACAACTGGACAAGCTGATCTCACAGGGGGTCCTGGAACCCATAAACAAAACTAAGTGGGAGACTCCCATTGTGACGCCCATCAAGCCAGACGGATCAGTGTGCATCTGTGCTGACTATAAGTGCACGATAAGCAAGGCGCTCCAACAGCATGCGTACCCCGTCCCTGTCATCCAACACTTACTACGCTCACTGGGAGAGAGCAAGGTTTTTGCGAAACTCGACCTTGCTCAGGCATACCAACAGCTGCCGGTAGATGACGCCACTGCCAAGGCCCAGACGAGCCACTCAGTTTGGAGTCAGTGTGGCGTCATTCCCACAATCTAACGCAGATCAAGGGAAGTACAGTAATAGTCCCACGCTCTTCTGCCCTGGAATACAGCGTCCAGGTCTGGGCACCACACTTTACGGAGGAGACTGACAAGCTGGAACACGGGCAGGGGAGGCTGACTTGGGGTTGGGGTTGTTTTCTCCTGCTCTGGATGGGAGAACTCAAACAATGGCTTCAAGTTACAAGCAATATTTTGACGAAACATCCGGAAGACCTTTCGGACAGTAAGAGCTGTTTGGCGGTGGAAGAGACTCCCTCGGGAGGCGGGGGCCTCTCCTTCCTTGGAGGTTTGCAAGCAGATGTTGGGTGGCCGACTGTCATGGATGCTTTAGCTGAGATTCCTGCATTGCAGGGGGTTGGGCTAGAGGACCTCGGCGGTCCGTATCAAATACCTATTTTTGGTAACAGTTTTGAAAAAAGTATACGTCGAACGCCGCCAGGTTCCAGAGAAGATGTCGCGCAGCAGCGACTACAGTTCCCAGCACACATTTGCGCGCTCCGTGCTTGTTCTTCAGCCCTTCTTCCAGCGGTGCATGCTGGGTAACATAGTCCTCCCAGTGGCTGGTTTCCGCACAGATGCCGATGGGAGGTTGCCGGAAATGCCTCCCTCCCGAGGCATGCTGGGTAGTGTAGTCTGTCCATGCCGCTAACCTCCGCAGGAATAGCCGGCGGGCCGCTTGAGCTCTGTGCAAGGCATGCTGGGAAGTGTAGTCCTCTCCCGCTGGAACAGCTCTCAGGCTGCAGTCCTGGGCGACCCTGCTCAGTCCTGCTGCGGGCATAGCATAAGGAGACGCTGGATATAGAAAATGGACCATCTTGGGTTTGCGTGATTTTTACAGGAGATCTCCCCTAAAAGGCCAGCACATCACAGATCACATCTGCCTCCGCTGACTGAACTGCAACCTTCCTGGATCTGGTGCTCTGTAGCAGCCGGGCTGTGATGCAAAGCGTGGATCCCAGGAGCGGGTCCTGATTCCACACGGGGCCACCAGCAAAATGCTCTTGGATCCTTCCTTCCTTCCTGTGACGGTGTATGCACAGCTGTGCTGCTGCCTGATGGATTAAGGCAACCTTGTAAAGTGAAATACGAAACTGACATTCCAATAATTTCAGTAGTAGCTTCAAGAAAGACATGAGACCTAAGACAAATTAAGGATTAGTTAAATTATGAGAGACGTGTGTACTGGCAACAAGTAATATATAATTGAAGTAAGGAATAGACGTGAGGTTGGGTCTATAGTTCAAAGACCAAATCTTGCTTTATTGTTCTGTAAATAATTTTGTGTTCAAAATTTTTGTGTTATTATTTTTATTTGTATTTTTGGTTTTCTTCCTTCTCTCTCTCTCTCTCTCAGTGTATCAACAAAAAAGCAAATGCTTTTTTTTTTTAAAAAAGAAAGAAATATGAAACAGACAGAAATAAATTCTGTGGTGCTTTCCTTTCCTTTATTATCTTGGAGAGAGACTTCTTAACCTGAATACTGTTTGCTTTTTCTTGTTTATCCTTCCTTATAACAACACACCATTGATCATCACCAGGGTTTACTGGAGATTGCTTTTGAGTCCATAGACTTTTCTTACCTATTGACTTCCTGGGTTTGTTCACTGCGATTGCCTTTTCGCAATCCTTGAGGCTCTGTGACTTGGAATCATGGTTTTGTGCAATGCCCATGTCAGAAAAAACTTGTATGTCTAGATTTTACAGTTCAGTCAGTGGAAATGGATATGATCTGTGATTTGACCGAGGGTTTGGAGGTCTCTTCTGTAAAAATCATCTGAAGTCAAGCAAGATCCATTTCTTAAATGTCCTGGATTCAACGGTTGCCTCCATCCTGGCAACATTACATTGCAAGTGATAAGCTTAATGGGGAAGGATAGTGTTGCCAAGAGGATGCATTTGCAAAAGTTGGATTTCTCATAACTGCCAGAGCGGCGCCTGCATTGTAAGTCGACCCCCCAGCATGAATTATTAAGTCCCATTCATTGCCCTGGAATTAAAGCCATCTCAATTAAGGGCTTTGGTATTTTTATCCACACGTAAAATTTTTCTTCTACACCCCAAGACCAGGCCTTGTTAAGAATCTGATTCTGACCCAAATGCAAAAGAACACTTAACTCCGGAAACAAGGGGTGCTGAGACTTCAGCTTATATCCTCTGCCCTAGAACAGTTCCTCAGTGTTGTGGTGTGAAAAGGGTATTCTGCACATGCCTAGAGGTACTCCTGTCTTGCTTACTACTTTTTGTGTTTCAAGACTTCCATAGTTATGACATAACACAAAGCTGTGTGTACACAGAAAGGTTCTTTGGCACATTATATGTGTTGATTGGCTTATAAATGCCAGGACGTCTGTATGACCATCATCTTTTTTTTGTGAAATACAGCAGAGAATTATGCAATTATCGCTATCTATACTACATATTATTTTCATCTGACCTCATTGTTTGCAACCGCCACAAAAAGATAACCAGCACAACACTCCATGCATTTGATGAAGTGTGCTGTAATCCACCAAAGCTTACACCATAATATATCTTTTTGTTTTTAAAGTGCCTTAAGACTCTTTGTTGTTCATCTTATACATGTCAGCTCAGAAGTAAGTCCCACAAAGTTCACTGTGGCAGACTGCCAGGAAACTGGGCAAAGAGTTGCAGGCTTAGGCATGTTTTATACTTTTACAGTATTTGATATGGTTGTTGTGCAGTGTTAAGAGGTTTTGGGGCAACGTGCCACCAGTATGCCAAAGACACACATCTATACTTCTCCATGACATCTGAGTCAAGAGAGGCTGTGCATGACCTGGACCACTGTCTCGGCACGATAACGGACAGGATGAGGATAAATAAGCTGGACTTGAACCCTGCGAAGATGGAGACACTCTGGGTGGGTGGTTCTCATGTCTGGGAGGTTGGTCAGTTGCCTCCATGTGAAAGAGCAGCTTTGTAGTTTGGGGTGGCTTTGTTGCTGGAGGCTCCGGCAGCCTCAGTGGCTGAGTGCCTTTTACTAGATATGGCTGGTGTACCAGCAATGATGGCTGTTCTTGGAGGGGGATAGTCAGGCCACAACGATTCATGCACTAGTCACCTTGATTCTAGATTCAGGTAGGTAACCGTGTTGGTCTGATGCAGTCAAAATAAACATAAAAATAAATAGTCCAGTAGCACCTTAGAGATCAACTAAGTTAGTTATTGGTATGAGCTTTCGTGTGCATGCACACTTCTTCAGATACACTGAAACAGAAGCCACCAGACCTTTATATATAGTGGGAGGGTGGGGTGGTGTTTTCCTGAGAAAAACCTTCCCCTCCCAACCCTCCCACTAAGGGTCTGGTGGCTTTTGTTTCAGTGTATCTGAAGAAGTGAAAGCTTATACCCAGAACAAACTTAGTTGGTCTCCAAGGTGCTACTGGACACTTTCTTTATTTAGTAACCTTGAGTTGTTGAATGAGCTCTAGGTGGGACTGCCCTCACACCTGGGTTGGAGGCTCCAGCAGGAGCAAAACTCTGTGGCCAGACAGTTGATGGAGAAATACTATCCTGAGCTTAAAAGCTTGCCAGGGGAAGAGCAGAACTCCATGTCACACTATTACACTTGCTGCATTGGGGCAAGCATTTCCGCTCGCCTGATGGAATGATCTCTCCCCCACCCCCCTTGCACTGTTCTGGGTGCTCTCCTGGGTCCCTCCCCTGAGCCACTTTGGGGTGGGGCAGAAGAGGAGACAAAGTCCCAGAGGTGCTTGTGGGATTCTTTGTGTTGGCCCCCACTATGGTGACTGTATAGCTGAGTCCAACCCAAAGTCCCTTAACAACTTGGGTCCAGGATGCCTTAAGGACCACCTGATTTCTTAGACCTCTGCCTGATCCCTGAGGTCTGGGGGAGGGGAGTCACAGCTCACATTCAGCAGGTTCAGGAGCATGGGCCCAATCCTGTGGAACTCCCTCTGAGCTGAGATCAGACAGGACCCTCTCTCTGTTGAACTTCTGGTGCCTAGCAGGCATTTTAAGACAGTCCTGATGATATAGTTAGGCTTTTTAAAAAGACAAAACAAAACGCTGTCATATTTGTTAAGCTGACTGCACACTGGTTAAAGATGATTCTGATTAAGTGCATTGCCAAAATAAAATACAAATTATCAGAAATTGGAAAAATAAATACATAAAGGCTAATTCAGGGGGATTAGGTCAAACTGCGCCCTACTTCCCGAACCCCAGCAAACCCATCCATCCCTCCTTCCCTTTTGGAACAGTGATTCCCTTCCCAGGTCCTTTGAGAAGTGTTGTCATCCAGCTGGCATGAATTATTGAATGTTGCTAAATTTTTAATACAGATAGGATGGCTTAATGAGCCCCTGCATTTGCCCTACCCTGTTAGATCCACTTGATAAAGATGCCCACATAGCAACGCCCAGCCTCCCTCTCTTGCTTGCCTGCCTTCTGCTTTCCAAAACGGAGGGGCTGGAAGGCAGGCACAGGCCTAACCCCCGTTACACAAGGAGTTCTTCCTTCAGGGCCGCTGGAGGTGGTAATGCTGAGCTTGGGTGTTGTCCCAGGAAGCCCTTTTCTCCACACTAAAGCAAAGCTTGACTACTTGGGCATGTGTTAGTGGAAATAGCAGAAAACTGAGTCATGATATGGCTGCACCCACCTAACACAGAATAACAGGTAAAACCTTTGTGAACCTCCCCCTGTAGCAGTTTCACAAGCTTCCAGGTGGATTATACTAAACTTGTGTAAGATGTTTTTTCTCACAGACTTCAAGCTACAAGAATTATTGTTCTTGGGGGCTACAGAGGGGGCAAAATATAGTCTGGTTGTGACCTCCCACCCCATCCTGGATAGTCACCTTTGGCCTCACCCCTTGGGTCTCATCCTCCACTCAATCAAAGCCAACAGCAGACTCCCTCAACCTGGTGCCCTCCAGATGCTTTGGACTACAACTCCCATCTACTTCCATCAGTGTGGCAGGTGGGAACCCTACTGCACAGTGCTGAGGCTGATAGGAATTGTAGTCCAAAGCATATGAAGGGCACGAGGTTGGGGAAGTCTGGCCTACAGAGACATGGAACACCTGTCCACTGCTGGCTGCTGCCTCCCACCGCTTATCAGTTTCCCTTCCCTCTGCCTTCACCCACAGTGGTCCTAGCACATGGGTCACTCTCCCAGAGGTATCGTATGCAGCCATGCCCAGTTCCTCCTCCTTCTTTGGCTATCCTTCAGAGCCGAGTAAGATGGTCTTCCATGAACATGGTCTGAACAGGGAGTCCATGACTGTGGAGGCCAGTTCTGGATCCACACGTCCTTCCACAGTGGGGACATAGGTGTTGATCTTGGTGAGGGTTTGCCAAGCGTGCCTTCCTCTTAGCACATTTCTCCCTTGCGTCCTGAGTTTGAGTGTCTTCAAAACCCATGGCACCTTTGGTAAAGGCCGTTCTCCAATTGGAGCACTCGCAGGCCAGCATTTCGCAGTTGTCGGTGTTTGTACTACATTTTTTGGCCTGCCCAGTTCCATGCAGTCCAGGACAGAGGCCCATCCCAGGAATTAGCAGCTGTGGCAAGGAAGATTCTGGGAGCTGCCCTGCAGGGCTACAGGAAAGGGTTAAGGACAGCTGTGCAGTATCAGGCACATCTAATCCAGCATCCTGCTCTCACAGTGGCAAACCAGACAGGTGCCTGCGGGGAACCCACAAGCAGGATTCGAGCATAAGAACCCCGAGCCCTGAACCTGCAGTTTTCTTGCACTGCTGCAAACCTCAGTTGCTCCTCTGAACATGCGCTGACTTCCCCTCTTGCTTCTCAGTGGCCCAATCTTGTTTTTTACAGTCCTGTTGGCTCTCAGCCCTGTGTTTGCTATGCACAAATGTCTTACACACATAGATACCACATAGCAGAGCAACATGTTACACAGTGGTACCTCGGGGCAAGAACTTAATTCGTTCCAGAGGTCCGTTCTTAATCTGAAACTGTTCTTAACTAGAGGTACCACTTTAGGTAATGGGGCCTCCCGCTGCCACCGCGCAATTTCTGTTCTCATCCTGAAGCAAAGTTCTTAACCCAAGGTACTATGTCTGGGTTAGTGGAGTCTGTAACCTGAAGAGTCTGCAACCTGAAGCATCTGTAACCCGAGGTACCACTATAATAACATCAGTGAATGGAAACAAACACGATAGAGTGTAACATAGGATGAATGTAACTCTGATCATCTTCAATAAAATACAGCAGAAGAAAGATATTTTTGCCCAACCAATTTATGAGCATCCCATTGATGTGTGACTGTGCATGTGTGCATTGCGCTGAACCTAGAGGTGACTTTTCAAAGGCCAAAGCAGCCCTAAAAGAGCCCAGAATTGAGCAAGGAGGTTGTGCTTTACTTCCAGCCTTGGGCAAGAAGTGAAGCACAAGTCCCTGGGCAAGTTGACTTCCAGGTTGGCGACCGTGGGATGGGAGCTGTAAGCCCCGGGAGCAGCAGCAGCAGCAGCAGCCAAGGCAGAGGGACTCTTCCCCCGCGGAATCCTGGAAGGGAAGAGCGGGAAGCGACCCGCAGGGTCCCCTAATCCAGGCCCCGGCAGCGCAGGCACGTCGACTCCAGCCTCCCTGACAGAGTTCCCCGCCCCTGCCCGGCTCCGGAGCGCCGGGCCCCGCCGGGCGTGGGGGCGTCGCCGGCTGCGGAGGGCGGGCCGTCCCGCCTGCGCCCAGCTCCGCACCGGGAAGCGGCTTCTGGCCGCCGCCTCCGCTGGCTGCCTGGCGGGGCTCGGCTGGGGCTGCGGGCGGCGGGGCGTCGGGGCGCCATGGCGCTGCTGCTGGAGTACGAGTTCAAGGCGCTGCCGGCCGACAAGCAGATCGACACGGAGCCCTTCCTGGAGGCCGTGGCGCACCTGCCGCCCTTCTTCGGTGAGCGGGCGGGGACGGGGACGGGGGCGCGCTTGCACGGCGGGCGGGCGGAGACCCGCGTCGCCCCGGGGCGCGGCCAAGCGGCCCGCTGCTCGCCTCCTTCCTCCCCGGGGAGACTCGGCCGGCGCCTCGAGGTACGAAGCGGGGATGGGCGCGCGCCCGGGGACGCTTCCCGAGCCTAGCCGTGTCCCGAGGCTTCGTCGCGCTTCTTGTCATCATTCGGACAAGAGCCCTGCCGGGTCGGCGACCTAGTTCTCCCCTCGCCCATTTCGCGGAGGGAGCGGGTGAGGCTGGGAGAGAGAGAGAGAGAGAGAGAGAGAGAGAGGCTGCTCTGCCACTATCCAAGGAGGAGAATAGTTTTCCTTCCCTTCTCCATTTGTATCTTGCCTTTCTGCAATGCTGTACACAAAGGGCAGTTAAAAAAAGGTAAAAGAAATCACAAAGATCCCACAACCTGTACAGTCTGAGCCAATGAAAATAACTTGAAATGATAAAAAGGACTATAAATAGTTTGAGACCCAGAGTGGTGTTCGAGTGGGAAAGCCCAGGGTTCAAATCCCCACTCAGCCACAGGGTGACCTGAGGCCAGGCGCTGCCTCTCAGCCTAACCTACCTCACAGGGCTGTTGTCAGGACAACATGGTGATGGACAGAAGTCTATGGGCACCTTGAGCTCCTTGGAGGGAAGGTGCGATATAAATTCATTAAATAAACCTCTTGTGTTGAATATTGCTATTGAATATTTTGAGTGCTTCCTCTTGTATTGGGCCTTAGAGTTTTGTCCTTCTGCATCTGCAGGGGCCCCGGCTGGCCCAGGCCTGTGTCTCTTAACATCTCTTCACTGCCCAGCCTGGCAGCAGTAGTGGTTTTCTTTTCTTTCCTGCTGGCTTGATGGGTGAATTGCAGACCTGAGTGACATTGTGTGGAACCTGCATGTTAGGAGGCAGTGTATCTGTGCCAAATACTAGGGGCAAAGCAGGAGGGCATCACGCTTGCACCCTGCTCAAAACATCTAGTGGGCCGGGGGTATTGGGAGTTGTAGGCCAACAACCTCTGGGGACTCCAGGCTGAAGAGACCTGATGTGGACAGCATGAGCCAGAGGGACCTCAGGCCAGACTCGGGGTTAAGGCGGCTTCCTCCGGTGGTGAGGTTAGAGTGCTGGGAGACCAGGGTTTGACCATTTGTTCTGCAGCAGCGTTGGAGCCCTCGGCACAGAGTCACCTGCTGTTTTGTGCTCTGCCTCAGCTTCTCCACTCTGAAAAAAGCAAGAAAAGAAATGATTTAATTTCAGTAGAGTTGTTGTGAGGACAAAGACAGCTGTTACGCAAAAGAAGAGCATTTTATGTAGGAAAAGGGCTGGTGCAGTTCAAAAACAGGATTGTCCTATTCAGTTACTCGGTTCAGAACATCTTGAGGGCACCAGGTTGGCCAAGGCTGCTCTCACTGAAATGCTGCTGGAGCTTGAGAGATCTTTCAGGTCCACCAGTAGCTGGCATTCAAAGGAATAAAGAGGTGCCATTCAGCTATAATTTCTGCCCACCTCACCTCAGAAAATATATTTCAGAGTTGGAATAGAGTTGGACATCCAAAATGATGAAGGGGATGGAGGGACTCTTCTAAGAGGAAAGGTTGCAACGTTTGGGACTTTGTAGTTTAGAGAAAAGGCAAGTGAGAGGCAGCAGGATAGAAATTTATAAAATTATGCCTGGCCTGCAGAGACTGGGCAGCTAGAGGAAGGTTTTTCTCCCTCCCTCGTAGAACTCGGGGGCATCTGATGGAGCAGAGTGATGGAAGATTCAGGACCGAGTAAAGAATGACTTCCTCATGCAGTTAAACTCTGGAACTCCCTTCCACAGGAGGCATGGCAGCCACCAACTGGGATGGCTTGATAGGAGGACTGGACTAATTCATGGAGGGCAGGGCAATCGATGGCCGGTAGCCAGGATGGCTCTGCTCTGCCTCCACAACTGGAGGCAGCAATGTTTGCGAATGCTGGTTGCTGGAAACAGCAGGAGGGCAGAGCTGCTCTTGGGCTTGGGTTCTGCCTGCATGTTTTTCATTGAGGCATCTGGTCGGCCACTGTGGGAACAGGATGCTGGACTCTTTCCTAAGGTTTCCATCTGTCTCTTCTGACAAGTTTTGGCAGGGCCTTTGCCATGCCCTTGGGCCTGTTGTTACGTGGGGCACCTGCAAAGGTGTGGCTGGGGAGATGAACCTGTGGGGAGGTGGCACCCCGTCACTTGGGTTACCTAATTGCCAGCCTGGCCTTATCCTGCAGCTGTGTGTCTGGCAGGGACTCAGCTTTCCTTCTAGATCCAGAGGCTTGATCTTGGCAGCACCCAGCAACCTCTTTTTCTTGCCTCTAGCCCTACAAGAGAAACAGGTTTTTTAAACGCAGCTGAAGAAATGGCCACCAGAAGGATGCTGCTGGATCCGACCAGGGCACCCTGAAGTCCAACATCCTTTTCTCACAATGGGCAACCAGCCACCCCAATGGAAAGCACAGAAGCACAACAGCTCTCCCCACCTGTGATTCCCAGCTATAGCATTGTTATGGGGGGTTTTTTTGGGGGGGGGGGCTCAGGCTGGATGATACCAACATGTCCCTTCCAATCCTGTGCATGCAGAGTTAGAATCAGTGAGAGGAAACCTACTGATCCAGTTTGACTAGTCTCTTGGCTAAGCTAATGGCCTCAGCTTGCTAGTTAAATACTGCTGTTTACATGTCCAGAGAGGTTGCTCTGCTGCCATAGAGACAAATGGGTGGGCATTTCCCCACCTCACCTGCAGATCCTATGTCATTCTAGGATGGAGAACAAGAGGCCAAATATCAGAGGGGGGCCCTGAGGTGTGCACAACAATATTATAGCCATGATGGCTAGTAGTCATGATCCTTCATGGATTTGTCCAATCCTGTCTTAAAGCCATCCAGGTTGGTGGCCATGATCTTGTTGGAGCAAGTTCCATTGGTTTAAGCTTTAAAGAAGCCTGCCCAGACTCTTCCAACACTGAGATTTACTGGGTAACCCCAATTGATTTTTGTATGACGAGGCAGGGAGGAAACCTCCTTTCTGCCTGTCCACAGTCTCCACAAATGTGGGCATTACCTTCTCTTTGCAAAGCCTTTGTGCTTCTGGTTTTCCCAGGGACTGGCTGCATCCCTCCAGACCATGGAAAGGTGCTCTGGACATGCTCAGAAAGGCACCTCCATTGCAGCATGTCCTCTGGGAGCAGCCATTAAGATTCAGGAGGAAGGAAGGAAGGAAGATTCAGGACAGTGAAAGGGCTTCTGCGCTCAGTACATAGTTAAGCTTTGGAATTTCCTCCCACAGGAGGCTGCAATGGCCACCAGCTTGGATGGCTTTAAAAGAGGACTGGACAAATTCATGGAGGAAGAGAGGGCTGCCGGTGGCTCCTAGCCAGGATGGCTCTGCTCTGCCTCCACACTGGAAGGCAGCAGGGCTTTCGAATACCAGTTGCTGGAAACCACAGGATGCCAGGGGGCTGTCAGGAAAGGCAGGTTCATCCACAGGTCAGAAGGTAGACTCAATGTGAAGTCAGCTTTTTTATTCAGAAAAGGAAAACGCAGCAGAGTTCACCCAGGCTCAACTGCCCTAGTTGAAGACGTTGCTGGGACTGGCGTCTGGCCCTCCTTTGCTCTCCAGCCCTCTTCCTCCGGACCCCTCCCAAGCAACTCTAGCAAGAAGGAGGGATCCCTCTCTAGGCCTTTTGCTCAGCAACACACGGCTCTTCATGATCTGGGTGTCTGTGGAGGAGGAGAGCTTGCTGTAGAGGGACTGGCCAACTTCCGTGAAGCTGAGGCAGCGTCCGGCTCCTCTCTCTGCTCTCTTTCAAACTGAGACCCTTGGCACCCAGCCCTGTCCTGGAATGGCTTCCCTGGTTCATGGCGTCAATAACCAGACCCCATCTTCAACACTGTTCTTGAGATAAATGGTGTCCTTCTGAGCATGCACAGAGTATCTTTCTGCTGGAGTAGCCCACGGTCTGGAAATGTGGGGTGTGCCTTCTGGGCTTGGGAGTCTTTTCCTGTGATCCTGAGTATTACATGGCACAGTCTGTGCACCTAGATATCTTTATTTTTCAGGAAGGATTATTTGTGGGTGGGGGGCAGTTGTCTGTTTTTCTGCCTTCAGGAGATGCTGGAGCAGCTCCTCTGAACGGGGTTTGTCTAAGGAAAATCTCTGTGTTGAGGCCATGGAGTAAACCGAGAAGTTGAGCAAATGTTTGCCAAGGAGTCGCTGAGCGCTTTGTCCTGCCTGGCTGCACTTCTTGCCACCAGTGATCAAAATGCGCCACGTAAGGAAAGTGATCGCTGGCTTGTCAAATAAGGAGCGCACTTTCATAATGGATGTAACTGGAACTCTTTGCTCCCTGGGCACCTTGGGCTGATTATGTTTTATGTGCTGCCTTCTCACTGTACCAGCCTCAGGGTATCTGTTGAGCGGAGCTGTCAATTGTTAAAAAAATAATAACCTTAAATTCATGAGAGCCAGAGCTCATGAAAGGTCCTAATCTGGGAAGGGATCAAGCTGGGGACCAGTTCAGAAGGCTGGGACTCGGGAACAATGAAGCAGGGTTCTGATATGTGTATCCAGGCCCACTGAGTAAGTACAGCTCAGCCCTGCTCACCTGGCGGATTCTCTGCCTCTCTAGAGCATTTTTAAACAATGGAAACAAGGCAGTCATCTAAGAGACAGGACACAAAAAGGAAAAGCAGGGAGGGGGGAAAGCAACACAGCTCCAAAAAGGAGTTTCGTAGTTCTTATAATGGCCAATTGTTAAGCACACAGTTTGGGAGGTTGGTTGAGTGCAAGAATGTAAAACTGAATTGGAGCAGCCTGTGGAAATTGCCTTACTTTGGGGAAGGAGTCATGTTGAACTAGCAGAATTCAGGACACCCCCCCCCCCCCCGTGCAATGGCCTTGACGCCAAATGGAGCATATATGTTTGGCGATCAGGGGATTTGATCCCATCTAGCGGCAAGGGAGTGGCAGAGGCAAGGATCTGGCTTGTTGGAGCAGCGCCCTGCCCTGCCCTGGCTCTCTGGTGAGTGTGGAGCAGTGACTGGCTGCTCTTTCTTCATGCCAGACGTCTTCTTGAGCAAGGGCTCCTGCCAAGTGCTGCACCCTAGAAGAGAAATCCGCTGTGGCAAATCCCAGACTTATCTTTGCTTTCCATCTGCCCAGCAGCTATGCAGCTTCTTCTTCTGGGAGCTTTGTCAAAACTTGAAGGATTCTCCCCAGGGTGGTTTTTTGGGGGTGGGGAGAGGATAGCTTTCCATTTAGGGTGATCTGTTGCTATTTCATAAAGCGCTTAATGAAAGTTCAACCTGCTCTATGAACTTGATTGTGGTCCATATGAGGGCATAAGGATCAGGCCTGCTGGATCAGGCCAGTGGCCCATCTAGTCCAGCAGATGCCACAAGGAGAAGCCTGCAAGCAGAACCCCGGGTGCAAGAAGACCTCTCCGCTCCTGTGGCTTCCAGCAACTGGGATTCAGAAGCATTGCTGCCCCTGAATGTGGGGGCAAAGCAGAGCTGTCCTGGCTGGTGGCCACTGAGAGCCTTTTCCTCCTCTAGGAATTTGCCCAGTCCAGGCTGGTGACCACCGCTGCTTCCTGTGGGAGGGAGTCCCTTAGTTTAACTACGTGCTGCATGCATAAGTGAATCTCCCAACACTGAGCTTCCTGGGCTGTCCATGAGTTGTGGTGTTATGAGAAACTTTTCTCTCTCCCCTTCCTCCAGGCCAGGCATAATTTTCTACACGTCTATTGTGTTGCCACTTCCTTGTCTTTTCTCTCCTCACAACAGCCCTGCCATGTATCACGCTTCCATTTTTACACAGCTTTAAGCTGCATTAATCTGAGGTAGCCCTCCAGCGTACCTGATGGTGGTCCGTAGTGTGAACTTTAGGAGGAGCTTGACAGCACTTGGGATGCTGGGATAGTTTCACAGATTCTGCACACGGCACCTTTTCCTCTCCCACAAATAAGATAATGTTCATGCAAAGCTACCCAAGACACTTCTTCTGTTTTGATGTAATTCTGAACCCTTGCTGGCTGTATATTTTGGAATATACAGAATATTTAAAAAACCTCCAGCTGTTTTGTAGAGGCACAAAGTGGATCAGCTAATCTAGCCCCTGCCATCCTGATACCTCCAGATATTTTGGACTACAACTCCCATCACTCCCAGCCAACACTCCAGATTGGCAAAGGCGGACCAAATCTCTGAAACGTATGAGTATGAATGTGTATATAAATGTTAGAATCCTAGTTTGTAACCATAATTAACGTAAAGTAGGGGGATAGTACAAAGGAGTGGACCAGCTGTTGACAGGCATCTGTCTTTGGAGACGATGGAGTGTGCCTCTGGGGGTGAAATACAACTGCTATGTTTTAGGGATCATCTTAGGTACTCCACTCTGGCTTTGTACAGGGTTTACTCCTTGGCTTTATCTTCTCCCAGATATGTCCCCTTAGATGGGCTCCTTTCTCTCTCTTTTTTAAAAATGATATTTATTAAAATTTCAGAGAACAAAAGAATTACACAAAAACAAAAAGTAAAAATACAAGAAAAATACAAAATACAAAATACAGAAAAAAGAATAAAAGACACTTAAAAAGAAAAAAAAGAAAAAGAAAAATGGATCAATCTTTCCATAACTTACATTCATATCCTTGTTTCCCTGACCTCCTCATACCTCCCTTTTTTGTATTCTAGTTCAATTGTTTAAGTCAGCAATTTCTTTTCCTCTTTGTTTTCTCATGATCCTTTAACTTAATATACTATAACTTTAAATTTTCATCTGTTATCCATCCTTTTTTACATACACCTTTATAGCATTACTGCTTAAACCACCTAACTTCATTCCAACATCATTCTAACATTCATTAATTTTGCAATATTTCTGTAAATAGTCTTTAAATTTCTTCCAATCTTCTTCCACCGACTCTTCTCCCTGGTCTCGGATTCTGCCAGTCATTTCCGCCAATTCCATGTAGTCCATCACCTTCATCTGCCATTCTTCCAGAGTGGGTAGGTCTTGTGTCTTCCAATACTTTGCAATAAATATTCTTGCTGCTGTTGTGGCATACATAAAGAAAGTTCTGTCCTTCTTTGGCACAATTTGGCTGACCATGCCCAGGAGAAAGGCCTCTGGTTTCTTCAGAAAGGTATATTTAAATACCCTTTTCATTTCATTATAAATCATCTCAGATGGGCTCCTTTCTCAGGTGGATGAGCCCCATCTGCCCCTCTCTTCCCTCTACAACAAGGGCAGAAACCACCCTCTTGACCATTGGATCCACCACGGGTCACATCTGCTCAATCTGCCAGAGCCTGTCTTGGCATGCACGGGAAGTCCCTAATTCTCCAAGGGTTTGAGAGCCATCAACCACCCTCACCTGGTTTAGCTGGCCAGTCGAGGCTGTGGCTGCTGTCACATGCCAGCAGCTTCTAGGAGCCCCAGGTGAGAGCTGAGTATTGAGTGGGGACCCGAGATGAGCAAACTACCCCACCAGAGGTACTATCCCTCCCCTAACATCCCCATACATCCTGGAGTGGACCAAGGGAGCATATATTTCTGGAAATTTGGTGTGGAACTCAAAAATATCCTATAAAAGGTTGAGACTTCACTTGGACTGTCTCCTCCAGGTGGCATGTCTGCTTGAGAGTCTGGCCATTGCTGTGAACCCCAATTTGAGCTGGCTGCTCTCCTGGGCTCTGTAGGCAACAAGGCCTTTCCTGGCTTCTCATTCCAACAGGTGGAAAAGTTGGATAATCATTCAGGGTCACAGAAGATCCCAGTCGTCTTCCTCTCGTCCTCCTCCCTCCTGCAACCTTTTGCACTCTACATCTGCATGGGATGCTGCCTGACCGGCTTGACGCAACAGCAGTGCTGAAAATCCTGCTGCTCAGGTTCAGGCCCTTTCTCTGACCCAGTTGGCTCTAGGTGCAGACACCTAGGCATGGGGGTGGAAGCGCGTCTCCCCTTGGGCCAAATTGGCAGGTGACTCTTGCAAGGCTGCTGCTCTGCCACGGCTCTTGCTCAAGTTGCTGGTACACTTGCCTGCAGGCAGGTATTGTGTGGCCGGAACCAGAAAGGCAAGAATGTTGGGTCTCTTGTTGCATCTGGCTGATGGGAAGGTGGCCCTGAAGAGCAAAAGCTCTTGGGAACTGTTAGAAGGTTGGGCGGGGATTGTCTCGCCATCTGGCCTTCTGGGGTGCTTTGGACTCCCCCATAGGTTGCCTGGATGAGGCCAAAATTCAGTGGCAGAGCAGCTGCCTTCATGCAGAATGTCCCAGGTTCAATCCCCTGCTTTTCCCTGTTTGGGCTGCCCGAAAGTGCAGACAGCTGCTGCCATCCTGGGCAGACTAACATCCTAAGCCCATCTAAGGCAAACATCTCGTGTTTCTGTTTAAAGCAGCCCTTCCATTCAGAACCACGAAGACCCACCGGACTCTCGCTTCACTGTAGCTGAGGTGGCACGTGGAGCCGGCTGCTTAGTCATTTGTTCATTGCATTTATATCCCACCTTTTTCTCCCGAGGAGCTCAAGGCAGGGCCCAGGGCTCTCTCCCTCCCTCCTCACTTAATCCCCACCACAACCCTGTGGTTTGCCTGGGAGGCTATGAGCAGCCCAAGGCCATCCAGGGAGCTTCATGGGGGTTTGACTAGCTGACCCCTGGGACCCCTTCCAACTCGTTCACCAGAGCCATCGTGGCCAGTGGGACTTGTAGCCTGGCAACATCTGGAGGGCTGGAGCTCCCCCTCCCCCCCAGCACCAATGGCGATGCAGCCAGTGGATGTGTGTTGAGAGACATCCCCCTCTGACCGATTTCATCACTCCAGAGAATGCTTTCGACAGACAATGGGCAGGCTTGTTCTCTCCTGGGCTTCACAGTAGGAGCTATTATGTTAGGAAATGCATTATAAAAGCTCTCTTTGCAGCCCCTCCCCGCAAACCCCCTTAGTCTGATCAGCTGTACAAAGGCTGCTTTGAGAGCCAGACTGCTTCTTATGGGTATGTTGGTAAACTGGTTCACTTGGCATCTAGCAAAATGTTTCTCCCTCCAAAACTGTATGAATACCTGACGGCTTCATAAACTGATGTGAGCTGTGAAGATATCACAGGGTTGGGGGAAACTGTGGAACTCTTCGCGACTAGAAACTGGCCAACAAAACATTTTCTGGAAGTACTAAAAGGCTGTTGGCACTGACACTGAATGCGTTTGTTAAGCAGGTACAGGGTGTGGGCACATCCAACTTTATAACGTTTGGACTGTCTCTCCAAAGAGATCAGGCTGTCATGCGTCTGGTTTTCCTTTCTTATTATCCCCACAACACCCCTGCAGTGTCAGTTAGGTTGAGAGAAATTGATAGTCTAAGGTGGCCCTCAAAATTTTGGCCCCTTACCACCTCCCACGCTGCATCATCTCTGGTTGGATTAGATGACTTTTGTAGTTTCTCCCAAATTAAACAGCTCAGGACCACAAGACCTCAAGGACCTCCTCTCCCTGTATAAACCATCCTGGACTCTGTGTTCATCCTCTGAGGCCCTTCTCAGTGTGCCTCCTCCACGTGAGGTCCGGAGGGTGGCAACGCCAAAACGGGGACTTTTTTGTCCTGGCTCCCCATTTGTGGGGTGCTCTCCCCAGAGAGGTCCGCCTGGTGCCTTCTTTACATATGTTTAGGTGTCAGGCAAATCTTTCCTCTTCAACCAGGCCTTGGGCTGATTAATACTCTACAGCCTTTAAAATGTGATTGTGGGAGGGGTTGTTCTTTTGTTGTTTTGTGCTTTCACCTTGTATTTTTATCTTCTGAGCTGCCCTGAGCTCTTTTGATGATGGGTGGTATATAAATCTATTAAATAATAATAATAATAATAATAATAATAATAATAATAATAATATGATCCTAGGTACCTCTCCTTGGAGACTTTCACCCCTCCTGATACTGGTTCCATTGACTCTTGCTTGCAAGGCATTTTTATTGAAGTTCAGCCAGAATCTCCCTTCCTGAGTTTTCACCTTCTTGTGGACCAGAAAACTAGTGCAAACATGTTGCCCCCCTCTTCTCACGTGCCCCCTCACTAGGGGGTGGTTTTTTTAAAGGAAACAGTTTCCTTTCTTCTTACTGGGCTTTAAGCAGGAGTCTAATGTTGAGTTAAAATTTCGTTTTATAATGTATAGAAAACAAGAACAGTTATAACAACAGGTGAAAATTGAAAGACGAAAAACAAAACTATAAAAGAGGCACGTAGAAGAATGAGTACAGTTGCACATGGGATAAAATAACAAAGCCAAGAATTTTCTGTTTAGCTGTCAGTCACATTGAATCCTGAAATTGTAGAGCAGGTTTCTTTCGTCCAGCGTGAGGCTCAAACCCATGACCTAGAGATTACGAGTCTTGTGCTTAACTGACTGAGCTATCCCAGGAGCAACCCTCGTGGTCCTACAATTCCAGGATTCAATGTGACTGACAGCTAAACAGAAAACTCAATATAAAAGGGTTTGCTTATCCTGAGCCACCATTGGAAAGTCAAGAATATTCATGTTGTTCAGTTGTCAAGTTTGGTTCAGATTTGCCAGGCTTCTGATGAGGGCTCTCTTCAAAAAGATGCCTATGTAATAAATGAATGCCAAAGCATATAAACAGCGTCTGGAGGTTCTAGTCCTTGTCAAAAACTCAAATGATGTGTGATTTTCTTCATTATAGCTATGTTCCAGTGCCTAGTGCCCGATTCTGGGCTCCTTTCCGTGGCAGCTGTGGTTTGTATTAACGCCAAGCTGCTCCTTTTCCTTTCAGATTGCTTGGGGACGCCCATTGTGTATGCGCCAGTCAAAGCTGACCTCTCTGGGAACATTAAGGTAAGGAAGGGCCTTGGTGCGTCTTTGGGAGAGGCTGGCCAGTCAAGTGGGAATGGCCCTGCGATGGGGGCAGAGCAGGACCCCAGCCCAGGGGAAGCAGCTGCTTTGCTGGCAGGAGGCTCCAGCGGGGCCAGAACCCGGCTTGCTGTCACCCAGGGCAAAGACCCAGTTTGTCATACACCCACACAACACATTGGTTCATAAAGGGCATAAAAAGTAGTTTGAAAGAGGCTGGAGAAGCGATAGTCTTTCCAAATACTAAAACTGTCTGTGTATGTACCTGGCTTTCATTCAGCCTTAAGTAGATCTCCTCAGAGATCATTTGAGGACTTCTAAGAAGTATTATGACTGTATGATATACTACAACTCCTACTCCTACTCCTTTTTTTTTAGTTTTTAAATACATCTTTATTGGTTTAAAATACAATCTTACAATAAAGGTAAGTACAACAAAGTTAAGCACAGAAAAGAAAAAAAGGAAAAAGAAAAAAAATAGTCTCCACATCAAAAAGTACAAAAAGTTTAAAAGTAACAAGAAGAAAAAAGAAAAGAAAAAAACAATTAAAAGTACCAGATATTTATACACCATGTCTTATCCAATAAAGTCTTCTGTGAAAAGCTTCCAGTTGTTTTCATTATGCTTTTTCTGTTGTCTTGATTTTATCACACAGTTTGTTTTATATCTTTTTCCATATATACCTCTAAGATATTTATTCCATTTATTTATTATACACAAATATCATTCAATTCTGCTAGGATGGTATCATTTTTACAATATAGTCTTACATATTCCTTAAATATTTTCCATTCTCCGTATACTTTTTGATTTAAGGTTCCCCTGACTTTTCCACTCAGCCTTGCTAATTGGAAATACTCTATCATGAGTGTTTGCCATTCTGTTATTGTTGGTGTTGTTTCCATTTCCAACTTCTGGCCACTAGCATTCTCGCAGCTGTGATTGTGTACATGAACAGTGGTCTTGTGTTTTGCTTAATTTCTATTGGCAATATTCCTAATAGGAAAATCTCCGGCCTTTTTTTAACAGTGAATTTAAATAATTGCTTAAATTCATCATATATGTTGTTCCAAAATTCACTTATAATTATGCACGTCCACCACATGGGATAGTAAGACCCTATCTCCTTTTTGCTTCGCCAGCATGTTGGTGAACTACCTTTGTACATTTTAGCAAGTTTTGACGGGGTGTGATGCCATCTGTAAAGAATCTTCATGGTATTCTCCCTCAAGTTATAACATGATGTAAATTTAATGTCTTGTTGCCACAGTCTTTCCCACTGCTCCATATAGATATTATATCCAAAGTATTGTGCCCACCTTATCATTGATGTTTTTACCTGCTCCTCTTTCACTTCCCACTCTAAAAGATATTCATACATTCTTGATATATACTTTCCTTTATTATATATTAATTCTCTTTCAAAAGTGGAAGTTTCTTTGGCAAGACCTTCTTTCTTATCTATACACAATTTTTGATTTAGCTGGAAATACTGTATCCAATCAGACAGATGGCATTTTTTAAAAGTTGGCTTATCTTTGTCTGGTTCTAGTAGTATCCGGTAGGTGGGCAACTCTCCTTTCATGTTTTTCCTTTTAACTGCTATTGCTTCCGCTGGAGATGTCCACAAAGGTATCTTTGGTTCCAAAATTCCTCTATATTTACTCCATATCTTATAAAGTGATTTCCTTATTACATGGCTTAAGAAACCTTTGTGGACCTTCACCTTTTCGTATATTAGATAGGCGTGCCACCCAAACCGGTTGTCGTGCTCCTCAAGATCCAAAACATCTGTGTCTTTTAGTGTAATCCATTTTTTTAGCCATACTAATCCTGCTGCAGCATGGTATAATTCCAGATCTGGTAATCCAAATCCTCCTCTTTCCCTTTTGTCTATCAATACCTGATGTTTAATTCTTGGTTTATTTCGGTTCTAGACAAATCTAGCTAATTCCTTTTTCCAATCCTGGAAGCATTTCATTCCTCCCAGAATTGTTAAAGTTTGAAACAAAAAAAATCATTTTTGGGAGGATGTTCACTTTTATTACCGAGATTCTTCCCAAAAGGGAAAGGTGTAATTTAGTCCAGTTTTCCAAATCCTTTTTTATGTCTTTCCATGTTTTAATATAGTTATCTTCGTAGAGATTTATATTTTTATTTGAAATCCAAATCCCCAGGTATTTAGCCTTATTTTTAATTTCCAGACCATTTTTTTCTTGTAATTCAGTTTTCTCCTCCTGTGTTAGATTTTTGGTCAATAACTTTGTTTTCTGGTGGTTTATCTTCAGGCCCGTTAATTTCCCGTATTTTGTAATTAAATCAATAGCTGCTGGAATACTTTGATTTGGATTCTGAGTTGTTATTATATCATCTGCGAATGCTCTGATTTTATATGATTTCTCTCTGATTATAATTCCTTTTATTTTTCCTTCTTTCCTGATATTATTCAGCAGCGGTTCCAAAGCTAATATAAATAACAGGGGTGACAAGGGGCACCCCTGTCTGGTTCCTTTAGTTATAGGGATATTGTCTGTTACATTACCATTTATTAACAACTTTGCTTTTTGTTGTTCATATATTGCCTCTATTCCTTTTCTGAATTTTGTTCCTAGACCCATAACCTCCAATTGTTTATTAATGCAATACCACAAAACATCGTTGAATGCCTTTTCTGCATCGAGTAATAATAAGGCAGCTTTTTTTATCATTTTTGGCTTCTAAATATTCTAAAATGTCTACAATGTTTCTAGTATTGGCCGAGATTTGTCTTCCCGGGAGGAACCCGGACTGATATGGGTGTATAATTTCATTGATGGCCTCTGTAAGCCTTTGTGATCGCAATTTAATAGTGATATTGGCCTGTAGTTAGATATTGACTGTGGGTCTCTCCTACTCCTATTCCTAATGATAGAAACTGTGATAATAATCAGGCACACACCAAAGACTTAAGTCCTATTGAACTCGGTGGGGCTTACTTTTGAGGAAAAGTGCTTAAGATTGCAGTATAAGACTGCAGAATCTTTACACAGTTACCTGGGAGTAAGCTCCATTGAATTCATTGGGACTTCTGAGTAGTAAAGGCTTGCAGTTTAAGGCTCTAAATAATAAAATAAAAGAATAAATACTCCACAAGTTTCCTTAAAAAATTGCTGAATAATTTAAAGTGGATTGGCTACATTTCCCTTCCAAATTACAGGAAGGGATAAATACAAAGTGCTTCGTATATCAGCATCACATTTCTTTCATTACAGGTATTTTATTTTCAGTATAAAGAGGACTCAGTTTTTGTAGCTGATTGTACGCACCAGTGCCCTCTTTATATATTCTCATGGTGTAAACATGTATGTTGTCCTCTGAACCCAAACACACACACACACACACACACAGAGAGAGAGAGAGAGAGAACACAAACACATAAGCAAGCAATACTCCAAAGTGCTTCTGTTCCCAAAGAGGGCAGGAGGTGGTGTTCTGATCTCTTCACCGCTTTTAATTGATCTCTGAGATGTTGAGGGAAACAAAAGAAGAAAGAAAGAAACAAAGCTTCCCCTTTTCAACTTTGCTTGGAGAGCAACCTTCTCCAGGATTTCTCTTTCGCAAACGGTTCCAAAAACAGGCAGGGGGAAAGGGGAAGGAGGATCTTTTTCCAGGGTTTTTTTTGCATCCCCTAGCAAATTAGCATCCCTCTGGTTCTCAGCAGCTCCAGATCCACTCTATGAAAGACTCTCCAGAGCCGCAAGGAGGGGCCCGTGGTCAGAGGAAGCCCCTGCAAGCTGGGAGCCTCAGTGGTGTCCCTCTAGGCTTCATCCAGGGATGAGACTCTGGCTACCCCCCAATTAACTTCGGCCCTGGTTTCCAGGTTCAATCCCCCCCGGGCATCTTCTTAAAAACATTTTTAATTACATGGTGAGAATTCAAAATTGGTAGCAGCCACTGTCTTCCCCTCGGTCCTCAAAACAAAAGTGAGATGTACGAGGGAGATGGTAGAAACAAAGAGAGCAAAAATGACTTGGTTTTTTGCTATTTGTCACCTGTGCCGCGTTCTCTGTGTTGTTGAATTGACCTTTCGTTTGGTTCTATTTCAGAAAATACGAGCTGTTTACGAATCGAATCCAACCAAGTTCAAAACGCTGCAGAACATCTTGGAGGCGGAGAAGGAGATGCATGGAGCGGCTTGGCCAAAAGTTGGGGCAACCTTGGCACTCATGTGGCTGAAAAGGTGCCTGCGGGTTGGAGGGTGGTGGCTTGGAGGCCTCCCTGGCGCCTGGGGGGCTGACGGGAGGATGTAATGTGGTCACCCAACACCCTCTGCCAAACGAATAATCCTCCAGAAGATTTCATCTCGCCACTGCTCTCCGTCCCAGCAGGAGAGCCATGCTGGCCGGGGCAGATGGCAGTTCTGGTCCAAAAGACCCGAGAGGTACCAGCAAACCCTGAGCTATGAAAATGCAACAAGGAGTCGAGGGGAATGGCTGAGGCCCTTGTTCCCTCCCCACCTGGGTGTGGAGTGCCAAAGGGAAAGATAACACTTGGCATCATAGAGTTGTAGAGTTGGAAGGGACCCGCAAGAGTCATCTAGTCCAGCCCCCTGCAATGCAGGAATCGCAGCTCAAGAATCCCTGGCAGGTGGCCATCCGAGTTCTGCTTTAAAACCTCCAGTGGAGGAGAGTCTTTATTTACTCTGCAAAATAATTTTATTTATTTCATGAAATTTATAGACTGCTTGATTGTAAGCAGAAAAACCTGAAAGCAGCTTACAAGAAGAATAAAACAATACAATTGTCAAAAAAGCAATTAAAAACCAGCTATTTAAAACTTTCAGAAATTACTGTATTTTTCGCTCTATAAGACACACTTTTTCCCTCCTAAAAAGTAAGGGAAAATGTGTGTGCGTCTTATGGAGCGGATGCTGACAGGGCTTCTCCCACCTCATAGAAAAGCCCGCAAGAGCCATGCTCCCTTTAAAGAGTGTGCGGCTCTTGGCTGGCTTTTGCGGGAGGTGGGGGAAGGGACAGAGGGCAGCTTAGCCGCCCGCAGTCTCTTCCAGGCAGGGGGAGCCTTCATCCCGCTGCCTGGGAGAGGCTTCGGCAGCTATCCCAGAAGCCAGAACAGCAAGAGGCTATGCCAGAAGCCAGATCTCTCTTGCTGTTCTGGCTTCTGGGATTCAGAATATTGTTTTCCTTGTTTTCCTCCTCCAAAAACTAGGTGCGTCTTATCGTCTGGTGCGTCTTATAGAGCAAAAAATGCGGTAATTTAAACTGGTGATAAAGCTAGAAACAAGTTGAAACACATGTCAACATTCTGCATCGCTAGATAGTCTTGCCTAAACAAAAACATTTTTAGCCAGTGCTGAAAAGAGCATGGCAAAGGCACCTGTTTTATGTCAATAGGCAGGGAGTTCCAAAATGTGTTTCCTGCCACAACATGATCCAAGCTTTAGGAGAGAGTGGAAGATGAGAATTGGCAGGAAAACATAGGAACAGAATTGTTGGTGTGAAGTCTTTAATCGGGACCAATCTCTGCACAAATACAAAAGAAAAATGGTCTGAATATACTATGTACTGCCTGTGGTGGGAAATGTTAGCATCAGTGATTAAAACCATTTCACTGATAACCTGTCCCCACCCCCCCATTTTGACAATTTTATTAGTATAGATGGGTGATCAGCTGGAGCGTAAAGAAGCACTAATAGTGACACAAGAATGAAAAAAATACCGATAGTAAAAGGATGGTTTGTAAGAATCTGGAAGGTAGCTGTGATGCATCAGCTAGGAAGGGTTGGATAGATAGATAGATACAAATGATACTATGTGCATAGAGGTATTTGTTATAAGTAAAGTAAAACAAATTATTATTTCAATCCATTTCAACCTGCTGTTGAACACTGCTCAACGCTGTGCGCTTCTTCAAGGCTTAGTAGGCTTAGCTCACCTGTTCACTGTGTTTCTCTGCCCACCCCCAGCATGCAGCCAGTTTAATCTTTCTACCCCAGAGCACTCCTGCTTTGAATGAAAACAATCAAGTCTTCAGTCCTCGGTCCAATTTCACTTCTTTTGCGAGAGAGACCAGGACGGGGCTGGGCTTCAGTCCCACCAGGGTCTCCAGAGGATTCCAGCTGCTCCGTTTTCTCCACTATGAAGGAAGCTGTGCAGCTCTCGTTTTTTGGGAGGGGATGGTGGTCATTGGCTTGTTTTTGTTTTTGTCTTACGATGTATTTTGCATTCTCATTTTGTATTTTTCTGTTGTGAGCCACCCTGGGATGGTCTGATGGAGGGCGGCATACAAACAACAGCCACACCCATCAGCCTCAGCCAGTGGAGCCAGTGGTCAGGGGCAGTGGGAGTTCTAGTTCACAACAGGCCTGTTTTAAGTGACAAAAGGTTCAGGTGCTGTGTTTCCTGGCTGTGCCTGGCAGGTGCCTCTCGCAGGGCAGGTGTCTCCCCCCCGCCTCACCTGCCCCGTTTCTCCCGCAGGGGCCTGAAGTTCATGCAAGTTCTGCTGCAGAGTCTGTGTGATGGCGAGAGGGACGAGGAGAACCCAAACCTCATCCGGGTCAATGCCACCAAGGCCTATGAGTTGGCACTGAGGAAGTACCACGGCTGGATGCTGCAGAAGCTGTTCTTGGTGAGTGGAGCTCGCAAGAGCCACCCAGCTGAGCCAGCCTGATCCCAAGGGGCTCCATGCCTGATTTTATAAGCTTCCTGTCGTGTCGCCTCTCACTCCCCTCTTCTCTAAACTGCAAAGCCCCAAACACTGCAGCCTTGTTCCATGGGGGAGGCACTCCAGCCTCTTGATTGTTTGGGCGGCCCTTTCCCAGTTCTGCAGTATCCTTTTTTGTGGTGAGGTGGCCAGAGCTGTGAGGTAACCAGAAATGATAGCTGAAGGAACCTCCTTATTCTGAAGCAGTCTCTCTTTGAATGCCAGCTACAGGGGCAGGGAGAGCTACAGGAGATGCCTCAGTTGTGGATTTGCCCCAGAATGGTCTGGTTGGCCCCTGTTGGATGCTGACCTAGATGGGTCTTAAGGAGAATCCTGCTGGATATCCCATTGCTGACTGTGCTTCAGGCTAGGAAGGCTAATAGCCACTGACTAACCTGTTCTCAGTGTAGAAATCTAACCCAGAGTTATACCTGTTTTGCATTTTGAAGGAATTCTGCACTAAGGTAACCTGAGTCTTGCACCAGGAAAACAAGGTGAACTCTGCCATGTGCATAATTTTTTTCCACCTGTGTGTGTGTATTTCTGCTAGTCACTAGGAGGGGTGAAGCAGTACGAGGCGCTGAGGAAATCATGGAAATCCAGCGCCCCTCCTCTCCTTCCCCACTTCTCTGGTTCCTGAGATTTTAGCTGTTGTTCTACACATGCTTTCAAGTCTGTCTTGCTGGTCATGAGGACTGAAATTCTCACAGCACTGGGCCTCCCACCCGCTATCCATTTCTGTGCTTGCCAGTTGCAGAATGCAGACATGCCCAAACATCCAGGAGCAGAGAGTTCCCTAGATTTGCATTCAACTGATAAAGAAGTACTCCCCCCTCTTTTTTATCTTTTTTTCTTAAACAAGACAAAACAGTAGATCATCCCTAAGAGTATGTTGGTCTGCTCTCCATGTTGTACAATATTTATTTTCCACTGCAGTTCAGGTGGGGTGGGTGTTTAACTCCAGGCGGTTTTGCCACACCTTCCGTCCTCTGACTGGGTTGGCATGTTGGCACTTTTCCTGGGGGGATGAGGGAGGGCAGCCCTGTGCACTGGTCTTCTGGGCGAGGAGGGCAGAGATAACTCAGGCTTCATTCACACCAGACGTTGAAAGCACAGTCATGGCTCCCTCCAAAGAATTCTGGGCACTGTAGTTAGTGAAGGATGAGTCCCCTGTTCCCCTCAAAGAGCTGCAATTCCCAGGGTGGTTCAACCATCACATGGAGCTCTGCGAATTGTAGGCCTCTGAGGGGAATAGGACTCTCCTAACACCTCTCAGCAACCGTGCAGACCACAGCTCCCAGAATCCTTTGGGGGGGAGCCATGGCTTTTGAAGTGGTCTGAGACTGCTTTAAATGTATGATGCGAATGAAGCCTCACTCTGAACATGACAAATGAGTGCAAAGCTAAAGAGAAGGATTCACATCCTCTCCAAGTGTCCTGATTTTCCAGGGGCAGTCCCGGAATTACTGAAGCCATCCTGGTTTCTGATTTGGTCCTGGAATGTCCTGCTTTTCCTTTTCCCTCCCCTCCACATCTCAGATAATAATTAAAAGTGGTGTGTGTTTATGTGTAGGTGCAAAAACAGAGCCCTGTTTAAATGGACAATAAAATTCCTGCACCCTGGACAATAAAATTCCTGCACCCAGTGAAGGAAATGGTGAAGCTGGCATACGAAGCCCTGCCTATAATTTTGAAGGAAAAGGTCACCAATCCACGTTAAATTCTTGACTGGCCATGCTTCAGCAGCTGCTTTAGGGAGGAGAGAGAGGGCTGGCTTGGGGGTGGGGGGGAGAGAAGCCTACTGGCTCCTCAAAGAGAGAACTTTTGCCTCCCTTTCCTTCCCCCCCACTTAAACTCCGCCCTCCTGCGTCCAGTTAGCCACCTCCTTCCACACACGCACCCCACGCACGCTCTTCGTCCCTCCAATGACAATGGGTAGACCACCGCCAGTTTTTTATACTGGGGAGTAGATCGCAGCCTATTTGAAGTTGGAGATGCCTGATCTAGTTCAACCTGTTGTGATGCGGGCATGTGCAGCCGTCCCATCTGGGGATCAAACCTGCAACCTTGGCGTTCTCAGTGCTCCGCTCTAACCAACTGCGCTAGCTGGCGTTTCTTGCTTCGTGCGACTTGGGTTTATTCTGTCTCTCTTTTGTCCTCACCCAGGGCTCTGTGTATGCTCTCCCTTACAAATCGGATTTGCTGAAAGCCCTGGAAAAAGGCAAAGAGGTGAAGGAAGAGGAGACCTTAGAGAAGATCCACCAGTTCCTCTCCAAGGCGACACCCATCCTGGATGCAATCTACGAAATGTACACAAAGATGAATGCTGAACTGAGCTACAAGGCTTGACCAAGCGCTTCCTCCAGCAGATGGTCTCCTGGTCCCTGTGAGCAGCCCCTCCGGCCGGTCTCAGCCTCCGGAGAAGCTCGACTTAGAAATGCGTTTCTACCGAAACTGAAGCAATACAACCTGGAGATCGTCTCCAGGGTCTTCCTGAACCTTTTGTCCTGCTCGTTCAAGAGCTTAAAAAGTATTTTATAATCTTTATCTAACAGATTTATTTATAACCAGTCTCGGGAAATGAGGGGCACCTGGCAATAAAGCTTAGCTAAGTGGTACTGTATTCCATATATATATATATATATATATATATATATATATATATTCCTAATATTTTATAATCTCTGTATATTTTGGGATTCCTGTATAGTTAGATGCTTCGATGGTGCAGCAGGTATGGCTGTTTGTACCTGGTTTTTTGATGTGCTGACTGAATTAGGTGTTTCTCCACAACAGATGCCAGCAAAGAGTGTGTGTGTGTGATTTGCACAAAGAAGTAATAATGAAAACCAGCCTTCAGTTACCTTTCTTGAGTGACATTTTTAATCTCACCGGAGTCGAAATATTTTCTCACTCCTTTTTGCAACTGTTTACTTCAGGGATAACTTCTCACCCTTTGAACTACCTGCAACCTGCCTCCTTCCCCCACTTTCCCCATTGTTGCCTTTTCAGATATCTTGGTTTCTGAGGCACAAGAACCATTTTAGGCCTTAAGTGGATCACTGCTCATCCAAGCCTTATATTTTCTTCAAGTAGCAACAGAGAAGACAAAAAAATAAAGTCTGATGTGGGGAGATGTGTGTCTCTGAATTTATTTGTAGAGTTGAGCCATGCTCACACATTTAAGGGGCTAGGATGCCATTTTAAACAGTCCTGGCTTCCCCCAAAGGATTGTGGGAGCTGTAGTCTGTTAAGGGGGCTGAGAGTTGGGAGGAGGCCCCTGTTCTCCTCCCGGAGGTTCAGTTCTCAGACTTCTCTGTGAAGAGGGATTGACTAGGGAGAAGCCATGACTATTTAAAGTAGTATCATAGTGCTTTCAGTGTATGGTGTGATTGGGGCCTGTGTGTCTTTTGCAGACAACTGAGGGGAGGGCTTTGCAAACCCCTGCTATAGAGGGTCCCCCCCTCATCCTGGAAGGTTTAAAGGCTGTCCGTAGGCTGCAGTTCCACAGGAGCAGATCATGCCTGCAGAAGGAGGTATTGAGGGACAGAACCTCAGTCTTTTTCTTTCTTTGTAAACGGTTAGGGCTCACCCACACTTCTGCGTTCCCCTGGGAAAACCTGCTGTTTACTGCTGAATCAGAGCAAACTTTGTCTAGTTTTCTCTGGATTGACCTTTGCTCCGATGTAGCACTAAAGAGTGGATTTTCGGAGCAAGGGCAGAACTGCTCTGAGCTGTGCATAGAAAGCCTGGGGCAAGCAGAAAGCCACTTGGCCCTGTGCTTTCTAGGGATGGGGCAAGCGGAAGTGTGGAAGATATGCTTGAGAAGGTTTGGGCCAGTTCTTAGAGGGAAAGGGGGTAGGGAGAATCACACTGCCAGTGATTAGGGGTTGGGCTTTAGCACTTTTGGCGACGGCAAAAGCAGGGTAAAGGTAAAGGGCCCCTGACCGTTAAGTCCAGTCGCGAATGACTCTGGGGTTGTAGCACTCATCTTGCTTTACTGGCCGAGGGAGCTGACGTTTGTCCACAGACAGTTCTTCCGGGTCATGTGGTCAGCATGACTAAGCCGCTTCTGGCAAACCAGAGCAGCGCACGGAAACGCCGTTTGCCTTCCCGCCGGAGTGGTACCTATTTATCTACTTGCACTTTGACGTACTTTCGAACTGCTAGGTTGGCAGGAGCAGGGACCGAGCAACGGGAGCTCACCCCGTTGCGGGGATTCGAACCGCCGACCTTCCGATCGGTGAGCCCTAGGCTCTGTGGTATAGACCACAGCGCCACCTGCATGATGTCAAATAGTAAAACCAGCAGAAAATAAATCAATACAAATAGAGAGAGGGAGAAATGCAAAATTAAACAAATTTTACGTAATTCTCACCTGCTGCACAATTGGGCTTTCCTTGGTGCAGAATCCAGCCATTATGGTTATTGAGAGCTTTTGGTTTTTGGCCAAAAAGGCTCTGGAAATAATTTACGTACATTTACAACAGGACGCTCCCTGCCCCCAGGCTTACAATGTAAAAAAACCACAGCACACAAGGGGAAGGGGATTGGGAGGGAAGAGGAAAAGAAAAACCAAGCTCAGCCACCAGTTTCTAAAGAGCCTTTTGTTCCTATAATGAGCAGCGGGCCCAGTTCAGGGGCAGGAGGCGCCTGATGGAGCTGGGCTTTCAGCAAAGCTGATGGCATGAATCTGGCTTCCTATCTCTCCATCCGATGGAATGGCTGCCCCAGGTGACAGCCGAGGGAGAGTATTGTGTTAATTTGTGATGTACAATTTTGCCTTTGCTGGGTCAGCTTAGCTCAATGCAGTATTCAGTCTGCTGGCAACAAACAGCCTCATGAGAGCCCCAGCCATGGAAGTCTGCTGTCCCTGAATGCGGAGGGTGGCCCTGTGACTGAGAAGGGACCAGTCCTCTTTGCAGTTCTCCAAGCATTCTTTGAAGCCTTGCCTATTGCCGCCCATTGTAGCATCTCGGTGCTTCTAGATCCAGAGCTGGTCTCTCCATGGAAATAATTCCATTCATTGACCTGCTGCCTGTTTCGTTAGGCAAGGCAAAAAAGTTTAATTATGCAGACCTGAAGATGTTGGGGAGCTCCTCCAATTTCCTCTAAATCAGCCTTTGCCATCTGGGTGCCCTCCAGATGTTTCTGACTGGCTAGCACAGATGTGTGAGCTGGCGCTATTGGGGATTTCTGTCCAAAACATCTGGAAGGAACTTGGTTGCCACAAAGTGCTTTAAAGAGCCCTGTGGCATCTCCAAGGCAGGCGGACGTCTCTCCATTCCTGAAGCCTGAACTTCCTTATTGCATCAGCACATTTTGTTATCTGTCACTTGTTCCACAAATTCTATCATTCCCTTCTGTGCTGGGTGTAGACCCTTACTTAATAAATTTTTTATTTAATAAAATTTATACACTGCTTGATTGTGGGGGGGAAACAACCCTCAAAAAAGTTTTACAAAGGATAAAACAAACAAATGATCAATAAGAAGGATTAACAATGATTAAAGACTTTTGGAAAATTAAAATAATAATAGACTGAAAACAGCTTAAAACTTGTGTTGCCTTTCTAAACATCTGGGTAGGCTTGTATAAACAAAAAATGTTTTTAGCCATAAAAAGTCCAGGGAAGGTGCCTGCCTGATATCAAGAGGCAGGGAGTTCCAGAGTTTGGGTGCTGGAACTCTCAAAGCTCAAGTTCTTACAACTGTGGCCTGGGCTGTCTTAAGCATATGCGGTGCCGGGGTGAAAAGATCTGCCCAGCGCACCCCCCAGCTTGCCCAGTCCCAGGCGCACAGGAGTGCGGAGCCAGCCGGCCGCCTCAGCGTCTTGCTGGCTCAGTCACCCCCGAACTCGCGGCGCAGAGCTGCCCGCAGCAGAAGAGTCTGCCACGGAGCTCTGACCAACGGTCAGGCTCTTCCCTGGACTCAACTCTCGGGCCTCGGACTCTCGGCCTGGCGCCCCTGAGAGCCTGGCGCCCGGGTGCCCCACACCCCTAGCACCTATGGGTAAGACGGCCCTGACTGTGGCATCTGCCACAGTGCCAGTTCTGCTGATCAAAGCAGTCAGGTGGGTGTATATGGGGGGATGCCATCCTGCAGGCAAACTGGTCTCAAGGCATTTAGGCCTTTATATAGGATGGCAATGCCAGTGTAGCTTTCTTGAGCACAGGGGCTGGGTGCTGGCAAGGCGTCCCACCTGTCAGCATCATGCTGCAGCATCCTGCACTAAACTGTCGCTTCCGGCTCAAGTGCAAGGGAAGCCCCACATAGAGTAATCCAGCCTTGAAGGAACCAGTGCACAAACTCCTGGGGCCAGGCTCTCCCAGTCCAGGACTTGGTCGTAGTTGTCAAACCAGTTGCAGTTCGAAAATGGCACTTTTACCCACAGTCCACCTGAGCCTACCATGACTGAGCTGGATCCAGAAGCACCCCAGCCCGTGAAGCTGCCCCTTCGGGTAGCTAGCTGCTAGTGAGCTTGGGGGAACCCCAGGTCTGCAGAAGTAAGGGGGGCAGGAATGCCACACTCCCTAACACTTGGGGGAGGGTAAAACCCAGTGAGCCTGCTCAGAATGCTGGATGGCTGTGGGAGTGGAGAGGAAATGGAATTGAGTAACCTAGAAAGATCCCTCCCTCCCTCCCTGGAATCCTGAACTGGAGCAGCCCACTGCGCTGCAACATTTTGTTGCAGGCGCCACTTGTCCATCGCTCAGGTACCTTTTCAAGCTGTGTTTAGTTTTAAACACCGCATCATTTCGTTTTGCATTCTTTGCCAGAGATTGGAAACTAATGTAATGGGGCTGTGAGCCAGCTTAATCGCATCATCTATGTAGCTTTGTCCTACTTCAGTGGGCGGCATCACCAATGTCTTCCATGGGCTGACTAAGAAATCCTTCCCTTGAGAGTTCTAGCCCATTGCCTGCTAAGCGCAGGGCCGTCCCCAAGCCCATCCTGGCTCAGAAAGTACCATCAAGGGATACTCTGCGTGTGCGCCCACAAGAGCATTTCATTGGAGCCAAGCCTTTTCCTGGCTCGATGGAGATGTCGGTTGCCAACCGGGTGCCCAGAAATCTCCACGTAGTTGCAGTTGGACCCGTGACAATAGCAAAATGTGGGGAATTTCAAACACTGACCACCGATGCACATAAATATATTACAATAGTGGCTGCCTTATTTCCAGTCTCTTTCCAAATAATATTGACCATTAAATCTGCCTTTTCCAATGCTACCTCCGTCCATGTTTTCAGTGAGGTATCCCCCACAACCCTAAGACCTCTGGGCAGCTGGGAGGGGCAGCAGGTTGGGGCCTGAAGAAGGTGCTGCCTGCTGCCTCCCTCGCTTTCACCCACCGCCTGCTCCTCTCCAGTCTCCTCTTGTCTCCCCCGCAGCCTTCAGGGCACTGACTTCAGGGAGAGAAGCCAGCAGCCCCTCTCCAGCAAGCGGACCAGGTGTCGCCCTTCCAAAGGGGTTTGGATCCTTCTCTCCAGCTGCAGGGTTGGAAAGACGCTCAAGGACGGATGGGGGAAGGCAGACTCAGCCAGGGGGCAGCAGGCTCTGGTGCCTCTCTCCTGCCAAGGCTCCCAGCCTGTCTGCCCTAATCCTTGTGCTCTGGCTGCTGCATTCCGGTGGGGATTAACTCCCTGCCTTTTGCTCTCTGGAAACAGGGCTGGGGTGGCCGCAGAGGGGACTTTGGGAGCAGCCTGGTGGACTGAAGCAAAGCCCAGGCAGGTGCCTTCTGCCAAGCAACGCAGGCCCTGGGTCCACTGACAGCCCAGCAGTGCCAGCACTGACTGGCAGAAGCTGTCCAGGGTCTCAGGCCCAGAGCGACCTAATAATGCCAGTTATGCAGCTACCAGTTGTGCTGGTTACTGAGAGGTGAGGGAAAACACACTCTGCATGTCCTCAGAGACACTCCCCTCACTTCCTATTACTCCAGCTGATGGTGGGTTGCTTGCCCAAGACATAGGCCTGGAAGGAGGAGCCTGTGGTGACTCCACCCCAAACATTGCTGGAGTAGAGCTCTGCTCACCCCTGACCACTGGCCATGCTGGGCAATGGACAGGATGGGGATCGGACCCCATCTAGAGCTGGGGGACACCTAGGGGTGGAGGAAGGGGGGCGGTGGGGGCAGGCTGCCCCAGGTGTCACCACTGAGGGGGGGTGAAAAAATGCCGGGCAGCACTCACCGTGGGACCTGGGAGTGACGCGGTGGCTTGGGCGCCCGCAGGCTCCGCACTGCCCAAATGGTCCGCCCACTGCCTCACCCTCAGCTGTAGGGCGACTGAGTGGGAGGAGGCAGGTAGACTCCTTGGAGGCCCCACAGAGCATCCTGCCCCAGCTTGCCCCACCCCCACCCTTGGGTGCAGGGCACTTGCACTACCCCAGGCGCCCAATCGGCTTGCTCCACCACTGGGGACACCCAGGCCCGTATCCTGAGCAAAGGCCATTTTGTTTGTTTGTTTAATTCACGTCTCCACTCTCCTCCAAGGAACTCCAGGTGGTGTACATGGTTGTCTCCAACTGCTCATTTAATCCCCACAACAACCCTGTGAGGTAGGGGAGGCTGAGAGGTAGTGACTGGCCCAAGGTCACCCTGTGAGCCTCATGACTCATGACTGAGTGCGGATTTGCACCCTGGTCTCTCCCAGGTCCCGGTCCGACACTCTAAGCCTTGCACCACACTGACCACAGAAGGAGAAGGATAACTGTAATCAGACTAGCTGATAGGACTGGGCAAGGCAGGGCTGAGCTTCCCAGCACCTGCCATCACCCAGAAGAGTGCAAAGGGGGCAGGGGGAGCTGGAAGCAGAACCACAGCTGCTGTCCACTTAAGGTGCCCTGATTCACCCACAGGACCCCAGCTCAGTGGCAGAGCAGCCTGGGCTGCAGAAGTCCCCGTGTTCAGTTCCCAACAGGGCTGGGAAAGACTCGTGCCTGAAGCCCTAGAGAGTTGCTGCCGGTCTGTGCAGGTGGAGCAGAGGTCTGACTCGGCATAAGGCAGCTTCACATGTTCCTGAGCCTAGGGGTAGAGCAACTGCTGGGGCTGCAGAAGGCCCTATCTCCGGTTAGGGGGTTGGAAAAGATTCCATGCCTAAAACCTTGAAAAGCCGCTGCTGGCCAGTGTCCACAACACTGCGCCAGATGGACCACTAAGGCAGCTTCCTGTTTCTTTTCCCCTCCTCCTGACAAAGAATCCTATGAAACTGACAAGCTTGCAAATTCAAGCAGAATCAAGCCTCTTTTAAAACAACAACAAATGGAGGCTAGGTCCCATTTTTAACATTGGCAAGAGGCAATAAAGTGCTGTGGGTGAGGCTGTGATGCCACACATGCTTACCTGAGAGTAAGCTGCCAGAACTGAGTGGGTCTTACTTCCAGGGAAGAAGTGTGGAGAACTGGGCTGACACTCCCAGTGCAAGAAGAGAAGAGGAGCCCGGCTGGATCAGGCCAGTGGCCCTGCGGCTTCAGCCTTCTGTTCTCACAGTGGCCCGCCAGGCGCCCTCGAAGGACCCGAGCCCGAGCCCCCTCTGCCCTCCGGCAGCTTCTGGCGACTGGGATGCCAGCCGCGGAGCCAGGGGAGAGCCATCCTGGCCAGCAGCCCCCGAGACCCGCTCCTCTTTTCAGTCCATCCAAACTGCTGGCCATCGCTGCCTCCTGCGGGAGCGAGTTCCACAGATGAGCTAGTACTTTCTTTTATCTGTCGTCCTGAATGGGCGCGAGTTCGAGAGTTATGCGAGAGGGAGGAGAACTTTCCTGCTCTCCACGCCGGGCAGAATTTTAGAGACTTCTCTCGTGCCGCTCCCTCTCGCCTTTCCTAAGCTGCAAAGTCCCCATCGCTGCCGCCTCGCATCCTAGGGAAGCCCCGTCGCGGATCGGATCTTGCTTCCTTCCGAGCAAAGGCTCCGACGGCGGAGGACGGGACCCAGGCGTCCTGCGCCCCCCTGCGCGCCCGGCTCACGTGGGATGCAGAGAGGAGGAGGCGCTGCCCGGAGGAGGATGGCCCGCCCGTCCGGGGGCGGAAGGTCAGCCCGGCCGGCCGGCTGCCTGCGCGGTGGGCAGACCTGGCGACGGCTCCTCCTGCGCGGCTCCAGGTAGGGGATCGGGGCCGGCGCCTTCCCCGGCGGGGCCTGGGGGGTGGGGAGCTGGTCCCTCTTGCTTTCACCAAGGCGTGGGGGGTGGGGTGGGGGGTCAAGCCCTGCCCCTCCCCCACCGCGCATTCCCGGGCTGGGCGCCCCCGAGCCCCTCCAAGCCTTGAAGGCGCGTGAATGGGAGCCCTGCAGGAGGAGAGAGGGCCCGATCCCCGGACGCAAAACTTTACGTTCGAGCCTTGGCCACGTGCCTGCCTGGGGACCTGAGCTGATGGCGAGCCAAGTGCCCTCTGCACGCGCTCAGAGGCAGCGTCTCCAGGGGAAGCCCTCTACCCGCTCTTGAAAGGGGAGGAGAGCCGATCCATGGAGCCCCCGGTTGGGAAGGACTAGGAGGACCCCTGCTCTGATCCAGCCCCCCCCCCCGCTCTTCTTAGAGTCTTCCTGTTCACACGCGCTGCTCTTCTGACCAAGCTAACCCTGCTGGCTCATTTAACCCACACCACGGCCCTGCCAGGTAGGCCAGGGTCACTCAGGGAGTTTCAGGGTTGAGTGAGGATTTGAATCCGGGTCTCTCCCAGGTCCATCCCTCTAACTGTGACACAGTACACAGCTAGCAGATGGTTTTGAAGACTAGCAGATGGTTTGCCTAGAGAAATGGTGCCTGGTATCTGGGTGTCCAGATTGTGCCTCTGTCTTTCAAGGATCCCACCCCCCTGGGCCACACATGTGCCTGGGAGGGGATGAAGCCTTTGCAAGCCAAGCATGGCTTCTTCATGCAGTGCATAGTGGAACTACGGAACTCCCTCCCACAGGAGGCAGTGACGGCCACCAACTCCGATGGCTTTAAAAGAGGCTCAGACAAATTCATGGAGGAGGAGACGTGCCGGTGGCTCCTAGTGGCCAGGATGGCTCCGCTCTGCCTCCACACTGGAAGGCAGCCATGTTTCTGAATCCCAGTTGCTGGCAAGCACCGGAGGGGAGGCAGCTCCTGTGACATTTCACACCCCACCTTGCAATCTTCGCCTCTCTTGTTCAGCCCTGTCTACACTGAGTGGCAGTGGCTGTCCAGGGTTTCAGGCAGGAACCTGGGACCTTCTGCACACAAAGCAGATGTTCTGCCACTGAGCCACAGACCTCCCTTATTCATTCAGGAATAAACTCAAATGGGAATTTACTTCCAAATAAGTTTGCATAGTATTGTGGTGGTGTTTTTTCTGTATGTTTTTTTTAAAAAAATACATATATTTTAAAACAACAACAATCCTGTGTGCTTTTGATCCAAAAGCTTTGATATTTCCGTTTTGCTTTCTGTTAAAATCATAAAAAATTATTTCAGAATATGTGGGGGGTTTTCTCCATTTTTTATTTTTGCCATGAAATATAGAATTATAGATTTGTGGAGTTGGAAGGTACCCTGAGGGTCATTTAGTTCAGCCCCCTGCAATGCAGAAATATCGACTAAAGCATCCATGACAGATGGCCACCCAACCTCTGCTTAAAAACCTCCAAGGAAGGAGAGCCCCCCACCTCCTGAGGGAGTCCATTCTATGCCAGTTTATAATGAAACCCAAGAGGACATGGTCACTTCCTCTCAAGTTTCTGAGTACTTCCACTTCATCCATCAGTCCCTCCTTGTTGGTGAGGACCAGGTCCAAGATAGATGATCCCCTTGTTGCTTCTCCGACCTTCTGGGAAGTGAAATTGTCAGTGAGGCAATGGAGGAATTTGTTGGAATCTTGGCAGAGTATGTGTTCCAACAGATATCGGGATAGTTGCAAGTCTCCCATGCTTACTACATCACTCCTTTTTGAAAAAAAGCTAACGCTACTCTAGGCTGCATTTGTACAGTAGACAAATGAAGAGAAGTCATCATCCCACTCTATTCTCCCTTGGCAGTACCGTGTTTAGTTCTGGGTACCACAATTTAAGAAGGATGTTGACAAGCTGGAATGTGTGCAGATGAGGGCAACTAAGATGATCAAGGGTCTGGAAACCAAGTCTTATGAGGAATGGTTGAAGGAGGTGGGTTTGTTTAGCCTGCGAAAGAGGAGGCTGAGAGGAGACATGATAGCTATCTTCAAATATCTTAAGGGCTGTCATATGGAGAATTGTTTTCTCCTGCTCTGGAGAAATAGGACTCAAACCAGTGGCTTAAAATTACAAGAAAGGAGATTCCGATTAAACATTCAGAAAAACTTTCTGATAGTAAGAGCTGTTCTGTTATCCATTATTATCTCTTGAAAGGCATTCTGCCTGCGTCGTGGTGTTCCCTGACAGCAATTCATTACGTTGATTATTTCTTGTTTATGGATTCATACATACATTATATACATACATGTTTATGATTTGTAAATTTTGGATTATATTCTAACTTCTACTAATAATACATTTACCATACTTATTAGCCATGTGTTGCGGCTGTATTTGAGCAGTAAGTGATATTCGGCAGTGGAACAGACTCCCACAAGAGGTTGTGGACTCTTCTTCCTTGGAGGTTTTTAAACAGAGGTTAGATGGCCATCTGTCATGGATGCTTTAGCTGAGATTCCTGCATTGCAGGGGGTTGGACTAGATGACCCTTGGGTCCCTTCCAACTCTATGATTCTATGAATGTTTGGTAATCTCTGCTCTCTCTGCTCCATTGAAAAATTCCTCATCTAAGCCAGTAGGTCAAAGTGTGGATAGACAGGCCCCCAGTTTCTGGAAGCTGCACCTTCTCTTCCAGCAAGGCAGCCAGCTTGTGTTTGCTGCAGGTGTCGTTTTGCACATTCTCCGGCAGGAAGAGAAACGGCACGGGCGGTTTCCTCGCCGTCCTTGTCTCTTGGTCCTACGCGCTTCATGAGGTTGTTTCATTTCAGTTCAGGCAGTATGAAGGAAGCGAGGCTTGCTGGGGGAGCCGGCAGGAGTCAGGGTCAGGTGTGGGGCTTCTGCTACAGGGTAGGCTTTGTGGGGAAAGCAGCTCCTTTCCTGTGGGGACATACCAGGAAGTGGGTGGTGCCGCCCTTGGTGTGTTCCTACATGCCCCCATAGAAGCAAGGAGTGGTCTAGAGTTCTCTGAGTTGCCACAGATGATTCTATTTGCAGGTGGAGTCAACATTCCTTAGGACTGGAGCTGAATGCTGATCTCCTCTGAGGGACTTTGGCAAATCTTCTCTCCCCCCCCCCCCCACTTTGGACGCATTCCTGGTTCCTTGGAATGACGCTTGCAGGAGTCACATTTATTCAGCAACAGCAGAACAACTAGCAAGAAGCCGGCTTTGGTGGTCCTGTGTGGCACTTGGGAATGAGATTTTGGCCGCAGGGAAACTGAGGCAAGGAAACCCCTCTGTGGAGCTCCTTGAGACATCTCTGTTTGGTGTGTGGGGCCAGCCTCCTGACATTTAGGTAAGCACAAGTGGGGCAGATTTGGGAAGGGGAGAGGGACTCTGTTGAATCCTGGATGGGATGGGGGTGGGCCAGCTATAACTGTTATCAAACAGTGGAATCTCAAGTGGCAAAGTCATCTTGCATGCCAGGAGTCTTGGATGCTATCCAGCATCCCCATGTAAGGAATCTCGAGAACAGAAGTGTAGAGTCCAGATCAAGGGAAGTCATAGTCCCATTCTTTTCTGCCTTGATCAGACCACACCTGGAGTACTGTGTCCCATTCTGGGTGCCACAATTTAAGAAGGATGTTGACAAACTGAAACGTGTGCAGAAGAGGGAGACCAAGATGATTAAGGCTCTGGAAACCAAGCCTTATGAGGAACGGTTGAAGGAGGTGGGGATATTTAGCCAGGAGAAGAGGAAACAGAGAGGAGATATGATGGCTATCTTCAAAGATCTTAAGGGCTGTCACATGGAGGATGGCGCAAGCATGTTTTCTCCTGCTCTGGAGGATAGGACTCAAACCAATGGCTTCAAATTACAAGAAAGGAGATTCCAACTAAACATTCGGAAAAACTTTCTGACAGTAAGAGCTGTTTGGCAGTGGAACAGACTCCCATGGGAGGTGGTGGACTCTCCCACCTTGAAGGTCTTTAAGCAGAGGTTGGATGGCCCTGTGTCCTGGATGCTTTAGCTGAGATTCCTGCATTGCAGGGGGTTGGACGAGATGACACTTGGGTCCCTTCCAACCCTATGATTCTATGAATGTTTGCTGTAGGAAGGCATCATCCAGGCATCAATGCAGTCTGTCTTGGAGGTCTATAGCAGACACCCACAGTAAGGTCAGCGTTGTTCCTCTCCTACAATTTTTACCCATATACTCTTGAGTCTGCCTTCCATGCTCCAGGTCATAGAAGTATTCACAAGTGTACACCAGTGTGTTCTGAGGTCTGCAACCACTGTCCTTGCTCATCTGGCCCAGAAGCGGTGTCTGAGGTGAGCTCCAGTGACACAGCATGGCTCCTGGCAGTCCTGCTTCTGTGCGCCACGTTCCTCCAGGGGTTCATGTCCTGCACGGCGCAATCTTCCTTCTCCCTAGCGACACCCCCTCCTGCGCTGCTGTTCCAGGACAGCCCTCTCTGCTCTATTCCTCATCTAACCCAGTAGGTCAAAGTGTGGCTAGACAGGCCTCAAGTTTCTGGAAGCTGCACCTTCTCTTCCAGCAAGGCAGCCAGCTTGGGTTTACTGCAGGTGTAGTTTTGCACATTTTCCGGCAGGAAGAGAAACGGCACAGGCGATCACTGTGGTTGTTTCCTTGCCATCCTTGTCTCCTGGTCCTACGTGCTCCATGAGGTTGTTTAATGTTTTAGTTGAGACTCATTCTTTGCAGGGGGTTGGACTAGATGACCCTCGGTGTCCATTCCAACTCCACAATTCTATGATTCTAGGAGAGCTGGGCTTGAGCTTTGCTGCCAGCTCTGCTTGGCCTCCTGTTCCCCATCACTACAGCTGGTGTAGCAAAGATCACAAGCTGTGAATTGGGAGACCTCCAGTTGAAATCTCACCTCTGCCAAAACTCCTAGGAACCTGCCTTGCACTGAGTGAGACACTGGTCCCTCCAGCTCAGTACTTCCTGCACTGGCTGGCAGCAGCTCTCCAGGGTGTCCAGCAGGGTTCTCTCTAGAGATGCTGGGGCTTCTTCCTGCAGGCAAACAGAGGCTCTAACAAGGAGCAAAGTCCTTCCCCAACTCATGAGGTGACCCTGCAGAAGCTTTGCACCTGCCTCAGCCCCCCACCCCCAATAGCTTATTTAAATCATAAGAAATTTGTGGAAATGCTTCAAACACACACAAACGGATAAGTGGTTGTTAATAATTAATGTTTGTTTATATCCATGAAAGAATAACCTGCCTGTGCAATATTTGGGGGATAGGACACCCCTGCCCCATACTCGTCAAGCTTTTCCACAGTGTTTTGAGTGTCTGAACTTGTAAAATGGTGGATTCTACCTTTTGCCATTGATGGTTGTGAATGAGTTATACAGAATGAACTTATTCAAAAAAACAGAGCACATCAGCCTAGGGGCTGGGGGGGGGACATTCCGTTCTCTCTTGATGAGGGGAGGGGGATTCGAATCAGTTCACATTTAGCGGTGAACCTACCTAATTCACAATTTCTGAAATGATCACAATGATCACAGTGCAGTTCTCCAGCAAAGCAGCGTGTACCAAAATGTCTATATCGGTAAAATATGCATTTATGTATGTTGGTGAAAATAACATGCAAAAACTGTATTATTTAAGGGGAAATTGCTTCAGAAATGTGTATATTAGATAGAAGTGCATACAAAAATGATTTTATTAGGATAAATTTGCAGTAAAATGCTGTTGAATTTTCATGAGGACTTAAAAAATAATAATATGCAACTGAATTTCAGATGGGCAAAATGAGGAACAGAGGAAGTGGACAGATCTGCTCATCCATACTTTTGACACCCCTTCCCATATGTCAAATCATGACCTTAAGTGCTTAAAACTAGATTTAATGTCACACCCATCACCACAGCCCCACAGGCAGGTTACAGCTATAACCATTTTACAGATGGGGAAGTGTGCACTGTGAATTCCAAAATGTCAGGACCTGAACCCAGGTCCCCTCAGTTCCAAGTTTGGCGTATACAAGCAGGCAGGCAGCACTTTCAGTGAGGAGTTTGAAAGAGCACTCACAGAAGGGTCACAGAGCACCTGGAATTTGCGCACACATTTTATTGCATTCCTCAGGGTTTGAAGAAGGATTAAGGGTGGCTGGCGCCATAATAAGTAAACTCTAGTTCATTGGGCTGGGCATTCACTATTGCAGTACGTTCAATACGAGGTTGGTTGGTATTCCTCTCAATGTTTCCCATGTTAGGTTGCCTCTTTTCCATCTAACTCCACTTCTGACACTTGATTTAGGCAGCTGCACAAAAGTTACGTTTTTCCTCTGCAGAAATGACCTCTGTGTAGGAAACGTTGTGGAGCATCTGTGGCCTGCTTAGTGCCCTCCAGACATTTCAAGCTACACCCAGAGTTGCAGCCCAAAACATCTGGAGGGGCCCAAGCTGGCGAAGATGAGTGAGGGCTGCAGCTTGGGGGCTGAGCACCAGCTTGGGATGGCAAATGAAAGAGGTGGCAGGATAGACGCTGATAAAATGATGCCTGGCAGGAAGGAAGTGGATAGTTTTCTCCTTCTCTCATAACGCTAGAAATCGGTTCAAAAACCTCCAAGAAGGAGAGTCTGCCACATTCCACTGTGTCCATGCCACTGTGGAACAGCTCTTACTCTCAGAAAGTTCTCCCTAAGGTTTAGTCAGAATCTCCTTTCTTGTAACTTGAATCCACTGGTTCAGGTCCCACCTTCCAGAGCAGGAGAAAACAAGCTTGCTCCTTCCTCCATGAGACAACGCTTCAGGTATGTGAAGGTGGCTATCCATCCTGTCACCTCTCAGTCTTCTCTTCTTTGGCTTAGCCATCCAGGCCAGGCCCAGTGGAAGCAGCCTTCCAGGCTGGCTGGCCAGGGACTCCTGCAGGGGTGCGTTAGGACCCCCCATCCTCTGATGAATAGATTTCTGCTGCTTCTCCCATCCTGTGCTGCCAGACTTCAGCCCCGATGAAGTCACTGCCTATGGTGACTCCCTGGCGGAGCTCAGAACCTCCCTGTTTGCTCTGGGCCGTTGCCTCCCTCCCTCCCTCCCTCCACGCTGCTGTCCTGGAGCTGGAGAACAGGGACTGGCTCTGTGCAGCTGGACATGAGGCCTGAATCCCCAAACCTGTGAAATTCTACAAACGGCTTAAGCAAACAGGATGGTCAGGAGGAGGGGAGAGGGGGACGGGGAGGCCAAACTGAATCAGTCCCTTGTGCTGCCGTCACCTCAGCAGGCCGGCCCTCCTGCCTATGGGGCTGAGCAGGCAAACTCCGCCTGGGGCAGCGCTCCAATCACTGCCTCCCTCTGGAGCAGGCCACTTCTCTGGGACTGTGACCACTCCACTGGGATGCTGCCTGCCCCACCTCAGCCCTCCCCGTCCCTCGCACTGGAGGGTGTGGCCTCAGATACACACCCGCCTTCCCACACCTGGTGTCCTCAAGCTGCTTTGGGAGACGGCTCCTAGCAGTAGCACCCCAGCACCCAGATGATGCTGGGGCTGAGGGCAACATAGTGAGTTGGGTGGGACCCCAAGGGTCATTCAGTCCAACCCCTTGTCATGCAGGGATCACAGTTGATTGCTGCTCAAAACTTCTGCCAGGTTGGGGGTGGCCGATATAGACAGGCTGCCTGCCTTTAAGTGCCCAGGGTGCTTGGTTTTGAGTTTTGTAGTCTGTTTCCGCTTTTATAAAAAGAAAGAAAGAAAGAAAGAAAAGATAAGGGCAGAAGATCATGTCTGAATTGACACTGGGGTAGGATTCCATTTTCAGGGCATCTGAAAGCCCCTACTTCTTATTGGTTTATTCAGCTGTGATTCCTGCATTGCTGGGGGTTGGATTAGATGACCCTTGAGGTCCCCCTTCCAACTACAGTTCTGTGATTCTGCTTTAATGATTGTATTTGTATGCTGCCTATTTTCTCCAAGGAGCACAAGGTGGTGTACATGGTTCTCCCTGATCCTGTGGGGCAGGTGAGGCGAAGGGGGTGTGTGGCTGGCCTGAGCTTCAGGCTCAAGGGGCTTTCGACCCCTGGTCTCTCCCAGGCCCTAGTCTGACATGCTGAATGTCACTTTTGGGAAGCGCTGGTCCAGCAGCCCCACCCTCCATCTTTCCATGCCCTCCATTCTCAAACAGAAACTCTCTAGGGAAGATGATCCCCAGGCAGAGACTGAAGGGCTGGGAGTTGCAGGCTGTTTTCAGGGCTCTGGTGAAGGATCCATCATAAACCTTACTATTTCTTTTGATTTGATTAAATATTTGGATTCCGCTTTTCCAACAAAAATGTTGAGTTCAAAGCTTTTTAATGTTTTTAATTTTTTATGTTTTATCGTGTTTTTAATATTCTGTTGGGAGCTGCCCAGAGTGGCTGGGGCAACCCAGTCAGATGGGCGGCATACAAATAATAAAAATATTTATTATTATTATTATTATTATTATTATTATTATTATTAAAGTGGCTCCCAATAGTCACAACAGCAGCAAAAAGCAGCAAACATTGCAAGCAGGGTAGCATAAAAACAAAGCAGACAACAACAGCACATTCATTGGAACAGTTAATGCAATTCAATAAAGTCATGGTAATTCAAAATATCGGAAAGAGCTGCTGAGCACCAGCCCTGAGGCAGGGGACACCCTCTCTCTTCCGATATGTGGCTTTGCCTCCTACAAAAGCTGTCCCCTCCCACCATGGGGACGCCGACTTCTTCCAGCCGAGGGGCAGCCAGTCCAGAACGTTGTTAGCTGTACCACGCTATTAGGCTCTGCCACGGCCCAGCCCCAGAGCCACGCGGGAGGCGAGCCAGGCTGGAAATGAGCAGCAGCGCTCCTCCTGGCCTGTGTCCTGAGACCGCGGGGCTCCCTCTGATGTGGTCTCCCGCCCCTTGTGGTTCTGTGGGCTGAATGGAGGGAGCCGCCTCCCATCTGACCATTGGCAACCCTGTCTGTTTTCTGGATTGCTTTCTATAGTAACACGGGGTGGAGGCCCAGCTGCAGGCTGCCGTTAACCAACCCCCCATGTGTGCTTCTAGGCTATCACCAGCAGGAAAAATAGCACAGAAATCTCTGTCCCTCAATAAAGCCTGTGTGGTGTAGTGGTTTGAGTGGCAGACTAAGGGCTGGGAGGCCAGGGTTCGAATCCCACTCAGCCACGAAGCTCACGGAGCGTCCTTGGGCTGGCCATTGCCTCTCAGCCTAGCAGACCTCACAGGGCTGTTGTGAGGATAAACCGGGGAGGAGGGGGGCATCCACCAGAGTCACATCTAGCCATGTAGGGTGGCACTTTTCCTAAATTCCCTGTCCGGAAGGGGAAGGGGAGGGGGCATTTATTGGAATTAATATACCTTCTTAAAAATCAATGAAACACATTTTTTTTAGACAAAGCAGAGAGAAGGAGAACTATGCACTCCACCTTGATAGTTTATAAAATGATGCCCTGGAGAGATTTGAGAGAGAGAAGTCCCCCCCCCCCCTTCTAACTCAAGAACTTGTGGGCATCCCATGAAGTCGAATGTTGAAAGATTCAGGGCAGATAAAATAAAGTGTCTAGTTTAACCATGGAACTCACAGCAGCGATGGGCCACCAGACTGGACAGATTCATGGAGTCGGGGGCTCTCAGTGGCGTCTGGCCACAATGGCTGTGGTCTGCCTCCAGCAATGCTTCTGGGGGGAGTCTGCTCTTGTGCTCGAATCCTGCTTTCCATTGGGGCATCTGGCTGGCCCTATGAGAACAGAGTGCCAAACTGGCCTGATCCAGAAGGCTCTCCTTACTTTCTTACAGTTTCTGTCCCCAAACCAAAATATGGTCATCATGCAGCCCTGTGTCTAAGTGGTGAGGTGCCTGAGCGGTGGCGGCTGTGCCTTGACTTTGGTGTCCTTGGAAGGAAGGTGACTGGAGGCTGATGTTGTTTCTGTGATATTAGGCATTATTTGCCTATCTATCCAGGCTGTGCTTGAGATGGAAGGTTCAATAGCATCAACACTCCTAATTGATCCTGCTCTACCCTCAACACCACGACTTGTTGCAGAGAGCAAGTTTCAGAGGGCAAGTCAGGCCACTGCCAGGTTTGGGCCTGTTTTTTCAAGATTGCCAGCCCATTCTTCTCCAGACATGCCTGCTTCTGGAAGGATCTCCAGCCATTTAGTATCTGTGGCAACACCTTAGCTGCCCGTGGCCATCTCTTGAGTTATCCAGAAGCCCACTCTCCAAAATACTGTGTGTCTGTGCAAGGCTAAAGTGGTCCTCTTTATGACCTCTTCAGTGGACTTTTTTTGCAACAAAAGTCACAAAATTGGGGTAGGTAGAAGGCCCCCAAATCCATTTAATGTAAACTCAATATCATTACTGTATTTAGTTTTTTTGGACAACAGTAAAATGTGAAAAAACAGAGCAGGCTCTTGCCAAGTGGAATGCATAGTTGCAAAGGAGGAATTATTAGATCGAAACTGGGAGGAAGGCAGCTTAGTCTGGGAACCCAGGTGAGGAACTACGCAGTCACAGGGACAAAGTGTGTTCTCGGAGAAACAGGACGAAGCCTCTTCTCAAATTCTGAGCAAGAATATATAGCAGATTCCCAGAAACACTCCAACTGAAAGCAGAACAACCCGGTATTAAACTTATGTGACTCTTTGTCACCAGATCAGAACTGACACTGGAACAATGGTCACCGACCCCTGGCCCCAGAGGTGGCATGGGGCGGGCTCCGTGCCTCTTTTCACCAGACAAATATGGGGAGGGGCCTGTGTGCGGTCAGGACCCCGTGTCAGGCAGGTTGGGAAGCAGTCCTGGGAAAGGCTGGTGGCAAAAAACTCTCCAAGTGATCGTCCAATGAGCCTGAATCGCTCAGCTTCCATCAAATTTCCGATATTTGGCTTCAACTGCTAATTTCAAGTTAAGGATATGTAAAAACAGCAGCAAGACTGAGATAAAGAGAGAGAACTGTGTGCTTACATGCACTGTTGCACTTATTCCATTCTCAAGCAGCAGAATTTTTAAAACATCTGATGGGGGGGGGGGAAACAGGCAGCCCATAAATATAGTAGGGATTTCTGCATGCTGTGGGAGTGTCTAGGCATATATTGGTTCCTAAATATATATTTTAAACCCCTAAAACTGCCCAGCAAAGACCCATGTTCAGTGACTTCTGAGATCTGTGGAATATTAAGGATGGAGCGCAGGGGAAAGTACAACTTGCCTGCTTTCCTGCTCTCCAGGGCCCTCCCCACCCCTCGATACAAAAATAAAATACTATTGCAGCACGCCAATCTCCGAGTGCTGAGAGACTCCAGGAGTTCCTGCACTTTCCCCAGGGCTGGGTTTCCTTGGAAAGAAGGTGAACATGGTTTTATTTACACATATACAATCTGAGGACAGGATGGAGGGGTATAGCAGATCCCACCTCTGTATACCAAAAATGTAGTGGATTCCATAGCTACCATCAATTGTCTACGTATACCAATTGTGGCGGATCCAAACTGCATACACACTCTAATAAACACTGCAAGTTATCTTTTTGGATTTTGTGTGAAGGAAAACTTTGGTACTTGGAGACTGAGACAGAGGTTGAACTAATTAAGAAAGATTTTATAGAACAAAGTTGATAAAACAATGTTCTTTCAGGAAACAGTTAACCTATTAATAATTGTATTAAATCAAAAGGAGGTGACAGGCTTCTAATCAAACACAGCTTCTTTTAAACTTCAGTTGCTGTTCAGTTATTTCACTTCAGGTAAATTTTACAGGTTTTTAGGTTTTAGATGGTAAATGCTTAGCTTATTTCCAATTTTGTTACTTCAGTTTCTTAAACTTAATTGCGTAGGTCAGGGGTTGGCAACCTAAGGCCCATGGGGGTCGTTTAACTGGCCCATGGACCCCCACCCATTCGGGGACCTCCACCACCCGCCTGGCGCTAAACTGGCGCTCCTGCAGCCAATGGGAAGCTGCGCACGCCTCCTCCATGCCGGAAGGAGCGCCGGAAATAGCGTTTGCACATTCATGCGCATGCGCACTGTGGCCCACTGCAGCGTCTGCAGGACCATGAACCGGCCCAAGCCACAAAAACTTTGCCAACCCCGGCCTAGGCGTTTCAGCTTAATACTTTGGTTCTTAAACAAGGCACTACATTTTGTCAGTTTCCCCACCATATATCAATCACACACCTGGGGTACTTCTAGCAGGATAACAGACCCAGGGGGTCCCCTCATCCCTCTTCACTGGCTTGGGATTCTTCTCTCCCCTCATGACTGACAGGAGACCCAAGGAGATGCTATCCTCACAGCTCTACTTCTCCTGGCTCAGACTCAGCCCTCCAGTTCACTCCTGTCTGAATACTTTCCCTAGACATTACACACTGTCTTCCAGTCTAAGCTCAGAGGCTCCTTTTTCTAGCTGTAGATATTTTCCTGAGCGCGGTTGTTCCACACAGACCAGGCCCAGCTCTCCTTCTCTCCCTCCGGCTCTCTCTTCAACCATCTCTCCATCTGAGCTCTTTCTCAGAAATGAGTCCTTTTATACTCCTTCTCAAAGTGCTGGCTCCACCCCCTCTGACTAGCTGTCTTGGTAGCCAATCAGAGAGAGGCTCCAGCCCTCTGGTGGAGTTCTGAGGAACTGCAGCCCCAGCCCCTGCTCTGGCTCAGCTGTCCTTCACGAGGGGCTCACGGCATCCACAGCCCAGCAGCTCTTGCTTCCTCAGTGGACAGCTTTGAGGTCAAGTGCAGAGCAAGTCATGCCTGTGTCTCCTCAGCCCAAATGCGCAGGCCTCTCCCATGCATGCCCCGCTGGGCCTCAGATTCTCCGTCCTAGGAGGATGTGGCATCTAGCCAGGTGAGGGGGGAACAGGTCCACAGCTGTTCACTTCAGACCCGCAAAGGCCTTCTGAATGGAAACACGACCGGAAGCCTGGAAGTTTCTGGCAGGACATTAATCTTGAAAGTCACAATAGGCGGCTGCTTTGTGTCTGGCGTCCGCAGGGGACTCCGCCCGCCCCCTGGGCACAGGGTACAAAGGGCATCCCAGATTTAGGGACAGAGGTGGGGGAAGCCGTGACGCAGTGCAGGAAGGCAGCATGTTTTGCACCCCACCCACTCCGGTCTTTGTGTCGGAGAGAAAGGGGGGTCCCCCTGGGACTGAGCTCAGAACACAGGGACTTGCAGAGCTGGGAGGATCCCCCAAAGTGCGGGGAGAGAGGGCTGCTTGCCCAACCTGACAGGCACCTGCGTTTTTGGCTGGGTGGTGAAGAATGGCCGGGGGTTTCAGTGAGAACGACTTGGTGGATGGGGCCCCTCTGAAGCCCTGTGTGTTCCACTCTGAGCACCAAAACACCTTGAGCTGGGAAAGGGCTTGTGGAGGAGAGGTCCCCACAGTGACTAGTCGGGGGGGGGGCAGCACAGGTGTGGGGAGGGTAGCTGCTCTTGCACTCCTGCCCTGTTTGGGGGCTTCCCATCGGGGCACCCGGAGGGCCACAGGATGCTGGACTCGAAGGGCCGTCTTACGTTAAATATACATAATAGGTTTTTTAAATAATAATAATGATGATGTTGCATCAGAACTACTAGGAAGAAAACAATCAAAGTTGTATGATGTAAGAGCTGCACAAAAGCTGTGTTTTCCAAATAAATAGAGGGAAGATCGTGTAGAAAAATAAATGCAGCAAATCACATTGTGAAAGCCAAATTTCTCCATTTCAGTGGAGGAAAGAACATTTTGTGTTTCTGAACCTCATCGAATCATAGAATTGTAGAGTTAGAAGGGATCCCGAGGGTCATCTAGACCAACCCCCTGCAATGCAGGAATTTCAGCTAAAACAACTGGATGCATAAGAAATGAAATTCCAACAAACAGCATAGAAATGCCTTCCTTACCCCCAGAGACACGTAATTTGTGTGTTCATTTATCTGCCATAGCCAGTGTCCACATATTCTGGTACCACAATGAGAGGTTTAATCCCTTTAGTGTCTTCCATTTCTGGCCCATGGAAGGTCTTAGGGATGGAGAGCTTTGTTTCGTCTCCAGGCAGTCTTTTGCAGACAGCTGTGGCCTCCACCACCTTTGAATTACTCCATGTTGCTTATATTCCACTGTAACTTGGTCTGTTTGGACCAGGCCTCTGATGCCTTCTGAACAGCACCTCGTTTTCTCAGCCCTCGACAAAGAACTAACATTTTTATTCTTAATAAGGCTGGGCAGCTGGAGAGGCCTTGGCATTTGCTGCTGCCCTCGAAATCACAAACCCTCCGTCATCCAGAGGCACCGTCCTTGCGGCCTCTTCCAGTCAGGCAGGGCCAACCGGCAACAGGAAGGGAAATGAATCATCGGTGCTTCAGGTGTGTCTGAAAAGCAAACGGGAGCATGGCCAGTGGGTGGCCCCAAATTTCAGTGGCCAGCAAACCAACGGAACGGGAACAAACAGGCCTCTGTGTGCCTTCAGGCTGAGCTCACGGCCTGGCATCTCCCTAGAGGCAGGGGCTGCCTCCATTTCCCACCCTTTCCTGCTGATAAACCTTTGTGCATTTGGTGGCTAAATTTGGACGGCCAGTGTGGTGTATCAGACTGAGACCTGGGAGATCAGGGTTCAAATGTGCACTTGGCAATGAGGCTCATGGAGCGACCCAGAAGCCTCTCACTGCCTCTCAGCCCGACCTCCCTCGCAGGGTTGTTGTGGGGATTCAGTGAGGAGAGGGAGGGCCAGGTGTGCTACCTTGAGCTCCGTGGAGGAAAAGGTGGCATAGGAATGGAATGAAAACATCATCATAATAACTAATAATAAATAATTTTGCATTCTTGCCATATCAAGAATTATAATAAGGTTTTAATTCAGTGTTTTGTTATCCCTGGAGGGCAGCAGACATAGCAGGAAGTCCTGTGTCTTTCCACAACAAATTTCTCCTGTAGTTTAGAGCATCAGAAGAGGCTGCTGGATCAGGCCAATGGCGCATCTAGTCCAGCATCCGGTTCTCACAGGGGCCAACCAGACCAATTCACATATTGCTTTGAAAATATTATATTTTATATATTGTAAAGGATCTTGGCTGCATGCAATAAACTTGTCTTAACTTGACTATTTCCTTCCCCCCAAGCCAGCGTGGCCAGAGGTTGCTGGTGATGGAGATGTGTGGCCCCACAGCCTCCAGAAGGGCAGATACAGGTTCCCCATTGCTGCCCTGGAGTTTTCCCAGGTTGCCCCCTAAGAAGAGAACTGCTTTTCCAAAACCTGCCAGACTCTGCAGAGAACCTGCTTCTCACTCTCATTTCTTTGCTGCATCAAGTCATTGGAGGATTTTACGCAGAGGTCGCGTGTCCACCTGTCAGGGATTCTTCAGCTGTGATTCCTGCTTTGCAGCAGTGATGGACTAAATGGCCCTTGGTAGTCCCTCCCAACTCTACAATTCTGTGATTCCAAGTCTCTCTTTCCCCTCTCTAGGTCCCCCCCCCCAAGCGTGAGGGCTTCCCAAGAGGTCCTTGGCTGTCCATGGCAGGAGATGCCCCTTTGGTCGGATTCAGGGCTTATTCTCAGGTTGTTTGCTCCTACGACAACCTTGCATGGCGGGTTGCTTCTGACCTCTAGAATTTGCCCCCTGCCCCCTCATTGTTGGAAAGCTTGTGAAGGTGTATCGAGTAAGATCACACCTGCCAAAAGGAAAAGGTGCTTTGTTTTGCAGAACTGCTTCATGGCACACTCAAATGTGCATTTTTTTTCAAGAAAAACTGGAGGGCTGTGTGAGAGAAGCCTTTTTGCTAAACTGGTGCTCCCCAGCTGATTGGGGCGATGGGAGTTGAAAAAGGCTGCTGCGGGGGGCTACAGCTTCTCCTCCTGTTCCAACACCCCTAAACAACACCCTGTGAAAAGGAGTGGGGATCCCAGGCTGCCCCCACCCCAGATGAGCAGAGCCCTTGGGCAAGTGGACTGGATGGGATTTGGCAGCCACCAAGTGTAATGACAGGCTGCGTAATGAGAAGTATGCAAAGCCAGCCTCTCCCATGGGAGAGCTTGTCAGACAAGGCTGCTGCCAAGTAGAAAATCACAGGGGGATGGTGGCTTTTGCAGGTCTCCCCCCGCCCCCCCCCCGCCCCACTTCCTTGTCCTGCCAGAACTTGGAGCAAAGGCTGCACAGAACTGCATTTGCCTTGATTACACGCGGAAGAGAAGAGGCAGAAGAAGGCTTGGCCCTTTCGCAGACGCCTTCACCTTTTATTGTGACTGTCAGACTTGCGGCTCCAACTGTTGGAGGGCAAAACTCCTTCTCTCTCTTACCCCCCCCCCCCGGGGGGGGGAGATTTCTAGTTAAAATTGGTTAAAATTAAAAGCACCACCTTGGATTTTACTCTAGAGTGAAGTGTTTTGAACGCTCTGAAAGTGCTTTATTAATTCATTGGAGGTTTTTAAGCAGAGGTTGGATCGCCATCTGTCAGGGATTCTTCAGTTGAGAATCCTGCATTGCAGGGGGTTGAACTAGATGACCCCTTGGGGTACCTTCCTACTATTCTGTGATTCTAATTATTTAGCCTGCTTCCTTTGCAGAAGTCTGGACCCAAAGCATCATCTAGTCCAACCCCCTGCAATGCAGGAATCACAACTATTTCTATTATTATTAGTAGTAGTATCATTGGTCACATGTTGCTGATTGGGGAGGCTTCCGGAGCTGGGGAGGCTGCCCGGGGGTGTTTGTGACGGCAGCTGCAATACCTGGGAGTTGGCCTCTTTCAGCTCTGTGGGAGTGAGCCCTGAGCAGAGATGTGTAGAGGTGCTCACTCCGTCTCAGAGCATCCACCAGAGAACACAGGCTAGCAGCAGGTGGATTGGGAAGAAATGGTAGATCTCTGGGCAACTTGCAGGAAGGATTTAACAGCATCAGCCTCAAAATGACTTCCCCTGCTCCGGATTAGGCTGGTGAAATGAAGAGAGCTAAGCCAGAAGTTGACTCTGGTGGGAAAGGATGGTAGGATCAGTTCCTTTCTGGTCCTGAAAACAAATCCCTGGGCTCAGAACCAGAGCTGGACTTTGGGCCTCAAATGTGCCGCCCGCTGCCTCTCACACTTCATTCTAAATAGTGGTTGTGGTGCCTCCAATACTTTGAGCCCAGTGCAACTGAGCTGGCCATGCCCCCCTAAATCTGCCTCTGTCAGAATGTGCTCAGAGGCAGCCTTTTCTTCCTTAGCACACAATTTGCTGTTCCAGAAATCTTTGCCTTGGTGACAGAGCAGCTCAGGGCCCCCTGAAACTTCAAATCCTCCTGCCTTTCTACATCCCGAGGAAGCTGGACTTTGGGTGGGGTTGGGCTGGTGAAAGCTGCCCTTGTTTCCTTGCCCTGCTGGCGTCTGTGCCGTAGAGCAACCACATCTGGGCGTGGGTAGGCTGGTGGCCAGCCCCACCGTCCTCCCCACAGTGCTCTTTGAAGCAGGCCCTGGTGGGGCGGCTGGCAGATGGGACAGAGCAGCAGCAGCAGCAGCAGCAGCGTAGAGCTCCTCCAGCCTCCCTCCTTTCCCCAGTTCCTCCCCACATCACTCTCCTGTGTGCCTGCGGAGCACATCTGGCACATGGAAATTGTTGCCGTTTCAGCCCAGGAGGACGAGCGCCAGGCAAATCCAGCTTCTTTGCACTCGAGAGCCCAAGGTGGGTGGTATTTGGAACGCAATTAGAGTTTCAGGTGGGATGAGGATTTGCACCCAGAGCCAGGTCTGAAGTTAGGCTGGGGTGGGGGGTCCTTGCCTTTGCAGGCATCTTCCAGACCCTTTCTTGGCACAGGAGCACAGGAGCTGACTTTTCCTGAGTCAGACCCCTGGTGTCTACACTGACTGGTAGCAGCCCTCGGGGGTTTCAGGCAGCCAGTGGTCTTTGCCATCGCTTCCTGATCCCTTTCAGTGGTAATGCCTGGGATTGAACCCAGGCTCCTCTGCATGCAAGGCAGGTGCTGCGCCACTGAGCTATGGCCCTCGGCACGTTCAGCTTTCATTTAAAACAGCCAAAGGAACCCAACACAGCAAGTTTCTAGTCCTCTTCGTTCTGGAGGCACAAACAGGTGTTGTTTTGCCCTAATGGCTTGGTAAGAGTTAAAACTGCTTCCGCCACAGAGTTCCAAGGTGATTGACAAGCCCTTGGTGCTGGGGGGGGGGGACTTCGCTGAAAGTTTTAAAAGTGAAATCAATTTAATTTAAGCAGATTAGTCTACCTGCAGTTGGCACTGCAGTTCCATACAGATTTACAGGCTCTCGCCCTCCCCCCAGTGTACACTTTTAGTAGAAATGATTTCAAGACATTTTGGTGACTGTGGCAGAAATCCCATAGGGATTCCGTAGGGACTACAGGAACTGACCCTTTGTTTCTTTTTTGATGTATCCAAATTTTGCCATTTGGGGCATAGGCAGGACTATGTTTGTCTGGAATATGTCTTCAAAAAATGAAGACAAGGGATTCCCTGAGCTTACAGAGTCCTTCCTAGGACCACGCTCCGCGCCCAACTGTCATTACTAAATATGTGAGCACACAACATGAAAGCTTGGATGCGCTAAAGGTCATTGGACACGGATGTGAGGATGCAGCTAGGATTTCAACAGCTTGTCAATGGGACATAAGAAGAGGCAGAGGCCATCTCGCCCAGCCTCCTGTTCTGACAGGATTTGCCAAGGGCTTCCTGCGCTCCTCTGGTTTCCAGAGACGGTGGAGGCAGAGCCGAGCCATGGTGGCTAACAGCCCTCGATAGCCCTCTCCTCTTCTAAAGGCATCCAGGCTGGTGTCCCCCGCAGCCTCCTGTGGGAGGGAGTTCCCCAGTTCAACTCTGCGCTGCATGAAGAAGGACTTTCTTTTATGTCCTGGCTGAATCCTCCAACATTCAGCTTCGTGGGATGTCCAGGAGCTGTTATTGGGGGGGGGGGGAAGCTTATCACTCACTTTGTCTCTAAACTAAAAAGTCCCAAATGCCGCAACCTTTCTTCATAGGATCCTTTTAGTGGCCCTTTTCTGAACCTTGAAAAGCTTGAGAAATCTGCATTTGGCTGTGTAATATATATATAAAACTTATGGACTTTGGCTAATTTGGGGGAAAATGCACACAAGCCGCACATTTCCAGGGGGGTGGAGAACCCACAAGACTTTGGACTTAGATGTCCCACACTCTACATCCGGATGTCTCAATTTACCATATTTTTTGCTCTATAAGACTCACTTTTTCCCTCCTAAAAAGTAAGGGGAAATGTGTGTGCGTCTTATGGAGCGAATGCAGGCTGCGCAGCTATCCCAGAAGCCAGAACAGCAAGAGGGATTGCTGCTTTCACTGCGCAGTGATCCCTCTTGCTGTTCTGGCTTCTGAGATTCAGAATATTTTTTTCCTTGTTTTCCTCCTCCAAAAACTAGGTGCGTCTTGGGGTCTGGTGCGTCTTATAGAGCGAAAAATACGGTATATTGACATGCCACCTTTTCTTTCTCTTATTATTTATTGCTTGCTTGCTTTGTATATACCGTATGACATAATCTCCTGCTATTGCCCTTTTGGGTTGTTAACAATGTTAAGAAAGATTTGCAAAAATTGTGGCACGCTCCCTTCTGTTCTGTATTTTATTCCATTCCTTTTCCCTCTCCCAGACCAGGTGTGACCCTCTCTGCCCCTCGCCACAGCCCTCATGGCAAATCTGGAAGACGCGGCCCACGCCAGCCCCAGCGAGTCTGCCGAGAGTCCGAGTGAGGAGCTTTCCCCACAGAACGACTCCTTCCCACTCTCCTCACTGGCCAACCTCTTTGAGAATGAGGAGGGAGCCCCCTTGGCCGAGGCTGCGCGAAGCCCCCCAGGAGCCGGGGATGGAAAGCAGAACCTCCGGATGAAATTCCACGGGGCTTTCCGCAAGGGTGTTCCGAACCCCATGGACCTGCTGGAGTCCACCATCTATGAGTCTTCGGTCGTGCCAGGACCCAAGAAAGCCCCCATGGACTCCCTCTTTGACTACGGCACTTACCGCCATCACCCGAGTGACAACAAGCGGAGGCGCAAGAAGGCCCTGGAGTGAGTATGGCGGCTGGTCCGGCTGGATGGTGGCGTCTTCTTGGGCTGCAAAGGGGCTGGGAGCTGAACTCCCTTGGCTGGTGCTGGGTCGGGGCAAGCCGTTCAGCCTCAGAATATAGAATGTAGGATGCAGAACTGCAGGGGTGGAAGGGAGCCGAAGGGCCATCTAGTCCAGGACTCCTGCAATACAGGGGTCACAGCTAAAGAATCCGTGACCGGTGGACAGCCAAGCTCTGCTTAGAAACCTCCAAGGAAGGAGTCTCCACAGCCTCCTGAGGGAGCCCATTCCATTTTTTTAAAAAAATAATATTTATTAGAGTTTCAAAGAAGTTACAAAAAAGAGAAAAGGAAAAAGAAAAAGAAAAGAAAGAAAAGAGAGAAAAGAGAGCAGAAAATACAAAATACAAAAAAGTATATACAATTAAAAACATTTCCATCTTTCCGTGTCTTATCTTTCATTAACTTGTTTCCCTGACCTCCTCACACCTCCCTTTTTTGTATTCTAGTTCAGTTAAATATTTCAGCAAATCCTTTCCGCTTGGTTTTTATCCTAATAATTTATCTTAGTGTACTTATAATTTTACATTCTCGTTTCACCACTTAAAAAATCAATTTTTACCTAATCTTTTATATTATTTCTGCTAAAACCACATTGCTTCATTCCAATATCCTTCTAGCATTCCTGGATCTTGCAATGTTTCTGTAAATAAATTTTAAATTTTTTCCAATCTTCTTCCACCAACTCTTCACCTTGGTCTCAGATTCTGCCAGTCATTTCCGCCAGTTCCATATAGTCCATTACTTTCATCTGCCATTCTTCCCGAGTGGGTAAATCTTGTGTCTTCCAGTATTTTGCGATGAGTATTCTTGCTGCTGTTGTTGCATACATAAAAAAAGTTCTATCCTTCTTTGGCACCAATTGGCCAACCATGCCCAGGAGAAAGGCCTCTGGTTTCTTCAAGAAGGTATATTTATATACCTTTTTCATTTCATTATAGATCATCTCCCAGAAAGCCTTAATCCTTGGGCACGTCCACCAAAGGTGAAAGAATGTACCTTCAGTCTCTTTACATTTCCAACATTTATTATCGGGCAAATGATAGATTTTTGCAAGCTTGACTGGTGTTATGTACCACCTATATATCATTTTCATTATATTCTCTCTAAGGCATTACATGCCGTAAACTTGATACCTGTGGTCCACAACTGTTCCCACTCAGCCATCATGATGTTATGTCCAACATCTTGAGCCCATTTAATCATAACTGATTTCACCGTTTCATCCTGAGTATTCCATTTCAACAGCAAGTTATACATTCTCGACAGATTCTTAGTTTTTGGATCTAACAATTCTGTTTCCAATTTTGATTTCTCCACCTGAAACCCAATTTTCTTATCCAAATTATAAACCTCCATTATTTGATAATAATGAAGCCAATCCGGTACTTTGTTTTTTAGTTTTTCAAAGCTCTGCAGCTTTAATCTGTCTCCTTCTTGTTCCAATATCTCCCAATATTTCGGCCAATTGGCCTCCATATTGAGCTTTTTCAGAGCCTTAGCTTCCAATGGTGACAACCACCTAGGAGTTTTATTTTCAAGCAGATCCTTGTATCTTATCCAAACATTAAACAAAGCTTTCCTGACAATATGGTTTTTAAATGCTTTATGTGCTTTGACCTTATCATACCACAGATATGCATGCCACCCAAATACGTTATTAAAACCTTCTAAATCCAAGATGTCTGTGTTCTCAAGAAGCAGCCATTCTTTCAGCCAGCAAAATGCGGCTGATTCATAGTAAAGTTTGAGGTCTGGCAGGGCAAATCCACCTCTTTCTTTTATATCAGTTAATATTTTGAATTTTATTCTGGGCTTCTTGCCCTGCCAGACAAATCTAGAAATATCTCTCTGCCACTTCTTGAAACAGTCCATTTTGTCCAAAATTTGCATTGATTGAAAGCCCATTCCATTGTCAAACGGCTCTTACTGTCAGAATGTTCTGCATAATGTTAAGCTTTAGTTCTTCCTAATATTTAGTCAGAATCTCCTTTCATCTGTAGAATATATCCCAAAGAACATTTTTTTAAAACCCAGAAAAGGGGAGCAGTCAGAAAAAAGCGTAATGATGATTCACCCTTCACCAGCAGGTCTCAGGACGAGTTAAAAAGAGGGTCTGTAGGGAAGGAGCTGGGCTGACCTGAGTCCTTTACAGCTTTAAACACAAACACCTTGATTTGGGCCCAGAAACAAACTGGGGTTGTACAAAATCTAAAGGGAACCCCGGCCAGTAATCTGGCTGCTGAGCAACAACTATATGCTGCCCCTGGGAGCTTACACTGAAGGGTGGCTCTTAAATTATTATTATTGTTCTTCTATTCTTATTAAATTTGTATACCCCCCTCCTTCTGAAGATCACAGGGTGGTTCACAACATAAAAATACAAACAGAGTATCTGTAATGTCTGAAAAGTCTGTCCTGGGTATGAGATGCATAATTTCTAAGGAAGATCCCTGAAGTTCTGTTTTCCGTCTGGACCTTCCCACTTTTTGCAGTTAATTTCCTGAACAAGTTGAAAATTGGGGGTGGGAGGAAGGGAGTGAGGAATGACTGCTAACACAGTTTTGAAACACCACTAGAAAACAAGCATTTTGCAGGATTCACCACGAAAGGGCATTTTTGCAAGACTGTTTCTCCAAATGAATGCCTTGGGTGGTGGGATAAATTCCCATGGGGGCCATTTATCACCTAAGCAAACAATTGGCAGAGTGTAGGCTCTGGTGGGACGTATTGCAAAAGGAAGTGTGTGCACTGACTTGGCAGGACATCAAATTCAGGATGAAAAAGGGTGTTTCATTCCCCCCTCCTTCAAATTCTGACACTAAAAATGTATCCTGTTGTGAGGTCATTTTGGTAACAGAGGGAAAAAAGCAAGAGGGAGAATTGGTTTTAGGAAGCGATACTGGAGCCCACAAGAGTTGGTCCCTGTAATTGGTGATGTGATGATTCCTCCAGGCGGCTGTGTTGCCTGCTACCTCTGAGGCTTGTTTGGCCCAGAGCACACGGAGGTTTGCTCACCAGCTTGCTCCATCCCCAGGAAGAAACCCCCCAGCACCAAGGGGCCTGCCCCCCACCCGCCCCCCATCCTCAAGGTGTTCAACCGGCCCATCCTCTTCGACGTCGTCTCCCGGGGCTCCACTGCTGACCTGGATGGGCTCCTGCCCTTCCTGCTGACCCACAAGAAGCGCCTGACAGACGAGGAGTTTCGAGGTGAGGGGGACGAGAGGCAGGGGCACCCATGGGTGAAGGAGGGTGTTGAGCAGCCAGTGGCTGAGATGTGCTCCCTGGGCAGGGGACCTTTAGCTGGCATGAATTCTGCAAATGCAGACTTACTTCTTTAGCCTGACGAGGGCTGAATCTACACTGACCTGTTTAATGTTATTAGGATGAAATTAGATATATCATTCTAAAATGTCACAGGGCATATGGGTAAATTAAAAGCATTTCATATCTTGTTTTCTCCATAAAAACACAGTTTTCCTACTGTCTGTTCTTGGTTCCTCTGCAGCGCCCTCTGGTGTCTCATTTTAATAATGCATTATGAATGTTACAAGCAGAATGTAATGTGTCCATCTGTGTTACGAAAACCAATCCTTAACCCTTCCTTAACATGATAAACCATGAGTGTAGATCAGCCCCAGGCAAGGGAACGGAAAGGGGGGCAGCAGGGTATCCCTGTCCTTGAGGTACACGTGGCAGGATTGTTTATTTTATTGCATTTCATAGAATCCCAGGATTGTAGTGTTGAAAGGCACCCAAAGGGTCCCTTGTCGAATTGCCCGCGAGGCAGGGACTCGTATCCCCCTGTGTTCTCCAAGGAGCTCAAGGTGGCTCTTCTCCCCCTCCTTGTGCGGTGTGTCTGGGCGAGAGGCAGTGACGGACACCCAAGGCCACCCAGGGAGCTTCATGACCAAGCGGAGGTTTTGAACCCGGGTCCCTGGGTCCTCGACTGACATGGCAGCACACTGGCTCTTTCCCGCCTACTGGATGCTGGGAGTCTTGCTCAGTTCTCCTCCTCCGCTTGAGATGGGCAGGAGCTTTTCCAGAGCATGGCTGGCATTTCAAATATCAATTGTGGATTGTGTTGTGGAGGCTCCTCGTGCTTTGGTTCCTGTAGCCCAACAGGTTGGCCAGGTTTTTGTTTTGTTTTTTTAATTGTTTCAAAATCTGCTTGGCCACAGACTACAGTGGGGCAGAAGACGTCTGTGTGTCTGTGCCTGCCTTTAGAAGCGAAGACACTTCCCCTGTTTATGCAGGTTTTTTGTTTTGTTTTAAAAAACCTTTCTCCAGCAGCGGGGGGGGGGGGGGGAGAAAGAGACCCAACCTACTAGATCATGGCTCCTAGCCCCCTGGCAGTCTGAGGCGGCGGACGCTAGGAATGCCACTTGCGGAAGGCGCAGGAGGGCAGAGATGCTCTTGCGCTCCGCTGCTGCTGCTGCTGCTTGGGGGCTTCCCATTGGGGGCATCCTGGTGGCCACTGTGGGCCCCCAGTGGCCGCACCAGCCAGGGCTTCCATGCTGTTCTTAGAGCATTCCAGTGAGATTTCCTCAGGTGGATCAGAATTCTTAAAAAGCAAAACGATTGACAAATACCTTGTCGTGCTGTTTAATCCCTTGCTCTCACTCAGCTCACTTCACAGCCACAGTCCGTCCTGAGCCCAAGATTCTGTCCAGCTTTAGGTTTCTCTCTTTAAATATAAGCTGTAGAAAGCAGCTTTAAAACACAAAAATATGGCTCAGAATGCACTTAATTGCTCGTGCCCAGCATTATTGATGATGTGCAGCCATTATTGATGATGTGCTCAGTGCATAGGGGAGCATGCAGAAGAGAGGGGGAATGGACCTCAGTTTGTCAGCAGAGGGTGATGCAAATGCACATATAGAACCATAGAATTGTAGAGCTGGAATTGTAGAGTCCGACCCCCTGCAATGCAGAAATCACAGCTAAAGAATCCCTGATGGATAGCTATCCCACCTCTGTTTGAAAACCTCCTAGGGAGACCATTCCACTGTCAAATGGCTCTTACTGCTAGAAAGCGACTGGAGAGTGTCTACAGTTCCTGATGAGGGTTGGAGAGACCTGGGTTCAAAACCCCCACTCAGACTCAAAGGTTGCTAGGTGAACTTGGGCCAGCCACTGTCTCTCAGACTACCTCACAGGTCTGTTGTGAAGTTAAAAATAGAAGGTGGGGGGGTAACAACATACACTGCCCTGAGCTCCTTGGTGAAACGTTGAGAGGCGAACATTTTAAAGTAGTAATTGCTGAGCTCCTTGTCTGTGATGCAACATCCTGCTCTGTGCATCCCTCCCTGCTCCCACCCCAGAGCCCTCCACTGGCAAGACCTGCCTCCCCAAAGCCCTGCTGAACCTCAACAATGGCAAGAACGACACCATCCCATTCCTGCTGGACATCGCGGAGAAGACAGGCAGCACGCGGGAGTTCATCAACTCGCCCTTCCGGGATGTCTACTACCGAGGTGGGAGGGGGACTCTGGCAGGAGCAGTTTGGGGGGGGAAGGCAGCTGCTCCAAGGTGGGGCACTGGGCACCGTGCCTGGCGACTGCGGTGAGCTTGGCCTCAATCCCACCTTGAAATGATTGTCCAAGGGGCCTCAGTCCCATCCTTGAGTCCTGGTCAAGCCAGTTCTCTACAGGCTCCTTTCCCCCATCTTTTTACTTTGGTTCTGCTATCCAAGGAGAGTGGGAAAGAGCTGAATGCCCAGCCCTGAGATTCCGCCAGGCACTTCTTCCTGGGTTTCTCAGTCCTGAGGGCCAGAAACTTGTTTGTTTGTTTTTAAATGAACACCATTATTATTACAGTGGTTCCTTGGGTTACAGACGCTTCAGGTTACACACACTTCAGGTTACAGACTCCGCTAACCCAGAAATAGTGCTTCAGGTTAAGAACTTTGCTTCAGGATGAGAACAGAAATCGTGCTCCGGCGGCGCGGCGGCAGCTGGAGGCCCCATTAGCTAAAGTGGTGCTTCAGGTTAAGAACAGTTTCAGGTTAAGAACGGACCTCCAGAACAAATTAAGCACTTAACCCGAGGTACCACTGTATTTATTAAATTTATCAATCACTTTTCTTGCCACAGAAACTCAAACCGACTTATAATATTTTAAGCAAAAAACAAGCACATATATACATTAAAGCCAGCATCAAAAAACAAACTCCAGTCTACGCTAAAACATCCCACCCATGCAGGAAGGCCTGATGAAAGAGGAATGCCTTGGCCTGGCACTTAAAGATTTGTAATGATGGCGCCAGGCAAGCCTCCCCAGGGAGAGCATTCTGCAAGGAGGGAGCAACCACTGAAAAGACCCCGTTCTTGTCTTGCCACACGGAGCAGGGCCTCAGGTGATGAGCACAGGCTCTGGGCTGGTTTGCATGAGCTGAGCTGGTCCTTGAGGTACTGGGGTACTGAACCATATAAACAAAGGCAGGGGGGTCACACCTCATGCTCCACCCACTTTCCCCTCTGGCCACACCTACCGCTGGCAGGCGAGATTCCAAGTGAGCTGAATTGACCAGGCAGTGGCACTCTGGTCTGATTTATGGCGGAATCGCAAGAAAACATGTTAGAGGGGCCACAGGCTTGGCAGCGACTAGATGGGAGATTGGCTGGCAAGCCTAGTGGTGAAGCCTAGTGGCTTATGCCTGAATGGTGGTTCGGGTTGTGTGTCCCCTCCAGGCCAGACTGCACTGCACATTGCGATTGAGCGGCGCTGCAAGCACTACGTGGAGCTGCTGGTGGAGAAGGGGGCAGACGTCCACGCACAAGCCCGGGGGCGCTTCTTCCAACCCAAGGATGAGGGCGGCTACTTCTACTTCGGTGAGCGGGACAGGGAAGCCTCGAGATCCCTCCGTGGGGTCTGTCCTGATTCTCTGCCAGTAGCCGCTGCTGCTGCCGCCTCATGAATGTTGTTCTTTTTTCAAAAGCGTATAAAAGAGGAGCTTGCAATCTGATTCTTTTTCCAGCAGAGAACACAACAGAGGAGGAGAGAAAGGCATGGCAGAATGAGGAGAACAAACCACACCTACAGATGTTGTAGGTTTGGTTAACTGGAGATGGAGGTGCATTTGGGTGCCTGGAGACAGGAGATCTGGAGGCAGACAGGGGCACTGAGGAGGACAAGTTTTGCCATGGGCACATTTGGATTTTTTGTTTTTTTAAAAAAATGATATTTATTAAAGTTTCAAAGAAAAGATTATATAGATAAAAAGAAAAGAAAAAGAAAAAGAAATCAAAAAGAAAAAATACAAAATACAGAAAAAAGATAGAAAAAAACACTTAAAAAAAAACACATCGATCTTTCCAGAACTTACATTTCATTACCTTACTTCCCTGACTTCCTCACACCTCCCTTTTTTGTATTCCCGTTCTATTTAGTTAATTCAGCAATTCCTTTCCCTCTTTGTTTTTGTCTTAATCCTTTAACTTAATATATTATAACTTTGAATTCTCATCTGTTAACAATCCATTTTTACATACACCTTTATAACATTGCTGCTAAGACCACTTAATTTCATTCTGACATCATTCTAAATTAATTTTGTAGTATTTCTGTAAATAATCTTTAAATTTCTTCCAATCTTCTTCCACCGACTCTTCTCCCTGGTCTCGGATTCTGCCAGTCATTTCCGCCAGTTCCATATAGTCCATCACCATCATCTGCCATTCTTCCAGAGTGGGTAAATCTTGTGTCTTCCAATACTTTGCAATAAGTATTCTTGCTGCTGTTGTGGCATACATAAAGAAAATTCTGTCCTTCTTTGGCACCAATTGGCCGACCATGCCCAGGAGAAAGGCCTCTGGTTTCTTCAAGAAGGTATATTTATATACCTTTTCATTTCATTATAGATCATCTCCCAGAAAGCCTTAATCCTTGGGCAAGTCCACCAAAGGTGAAAGAATGTACCTTCAGTCTCTTTACATTTCCAACATTTATTATCGGGCAAATGATAGATTTTTGCAAGCTTAACTGGTGTCATGTACCACCTGTATATCATTTTCATAATATTCTCTCTTAAGGCATTACATGCCGTAAACTTCATACCTGTGGTCCATAACTGTTCCCAGTCAGCAAACATAATATTATGTCCAACGTCTTGTGCCCACTTAATCATAGCAGATTTCACCGTTTCATCCTGAGTATTCCATTTCAACAGCAAGTTATACATCTTTGATAAAATCTTAGTTTTGGGTTCTAACAGTTCTGTTTCTAATTTTGATTTTTCCACCTGGAAGCCAATTTTCTTGTCCAAATTGTATGCCTCCATTATCTGATAATAATGAAGCCAATCTCGCACTTTGTTTTGTAGTTTCTCAAAACTCTGCAGTTTCAATCTATCTCCCTCTTGTTCCAAAATTTCCCAATATTTCGGCCATTTGGCCTCCATATTGAGCTTTTTCTGAGCTTTCGCTTCCATCGGTGACAGCCACCTTGGGGTTTTATTTTCCAGTAGGTCTTTATATCTTATCCAGACATTAAACAATGCTTTCCTGACAATATGATTTTTAAATGCTTTATGTGCTTTGACCTTATCATACCACAAATATGCATGCCATCCAAATACATTATTAAAACCTTCTAAGTCCAAAATGTCTGTGTTTTCAAGAAGCAGCCATTCTTTCAGCCAGCAAAAAGCTGCTGATTCATAATAAAGTTTAAGGTCTGGCAGGGCAAATCCACCTCTTTCCTTTGCATCCGTTAGTATTTTAAATTTTATTCTAGGCTTCTTGCCCTGCCAGACAAATCTAGAGATATCTCTCTGCCACTTCTTGAAGCAATCCATTTTGTCCAAAATTTGCAATGTTTGAAAGAGAAATAACATTCTAGGCAATACATTCATTTTTATCGCAGCAATACGGCCTAGCAGTGAAAGCTTCAAATTTGACCAAATTTCTAAGTCTTTTTTCACTTCAGCCCAGCATTTTTCATAATTGTCTTTAAATAGATTCCCATTTTTAGCTGTCATGTTAATCCCCAGGTATTTCACTTTCTTAACCACTGTTAGACCTGTCTCATTCTGAAACCTCTCTCTCTTAATCGCAGTTAAGTTTTTCTCTAAGACCTTTGTTTTTAACTTATTCAATTTAAATCCTGCAACCTGACCAAATTCTTGAATCAGTTCCAAAACCCTTTTAGTACTAGATTCTGGCTCCTGTAATGTCAATACTAAGTCATCTGCAAATGCTCTCAATTTGTACTGTTTAGCTCCGACTTGTATACCTTTAACCAATTGGTCCCTTCTAATCATATTCAGCAGGACCTCCAGGACCGATATAAAAAGCAATGGGGAGATTGGGCAACCTTGTCGTGTCCCTTTTTCTATCTTAAATTCCTCCGTCACCACGTTATTTACAATTAATTTAGCCTTTTGTTCTGAATAAATTACACTTATACTGTTTTCAAAGCCTTGGCCTACCCCCATCCCCTGTAGGTTCTTCTTCATGAAACTCCAAGAAATATTGTCAAAGGCTTTCTCCGCGTCCACAAATATCAGAACTGCCTTGATATTTATATTCACTTGTAATTTTTCTAAAATGTTGATTATATTTCTCACATTATCAGGCACATTTGGATTTTAAGCAAGTGCCATTGGATCCGTCAACTAGGGAACTCCCTGCCAGCGGAGTCGGTGACGGCCACCAACTTGGATGGCTGTGAAAGGGGATTAGACACATTCTTGGAGGAGGCGATGGCTCTTGATGGCTCCTAGACCCAGTGGCTCTGCTCTGCCTCCACAGCTGGAGCCAGCGCCAGCGCCAGCCATGCTTCTCCATAGCAGTGGGCAGGGGGCTCTTGTCCTTGGGTCCAGAAGAGGCATCTGGTCGGCCACTGTGAGGACAAGTGCTGGCCCAGATGAGCCTCCTTTGGCTGGTCCAGCAGACTCTGCTGATGCTCTTGTGTTTAGGAGTGGGAAGATCACCCTCTCACCACCAAGGGAGCAAAGGGAATGATTTCAGAAGATTTGTGGGTGTCAGGGAAAGACCTCAAGTGCGCCCTTGTAAGCATTCAAGGAGGGGGTGCATTCAGTGAGTGAGAATTTTAAGAAACAGGCATCCCCCCCCCATAAAAGTCAGTTGGCTCTTGCAAGAGTGGCGGAGCCTCTGTGCATTGCAACACCCAAAGGCCAGGGGTCCCTTTTCCACCCAGGCTTTGTGGAGACACATCCATCCAGCAGCCCTGGAAGCAGAGTGCTCTGTGACTGATTTGGTTGTCTTTCTCTTTTCCATATAAAGGTAAAGGGACCCCTGACCATTAGGTCCAGTCATGACCGACTCTGGGCTTGCGGCGCTCATCTCGCTTTATTGGCCGAGGGAGCCGGTGAACAGCTTCCAGGTCATGTGGCCAGCATGACTAAGCCGTTTCTGGCGAACCAGAGCAGCACACGTAAACGCCATTTACCTTCCCGCCAGAGCGGTACCTATTTATCTACTTGCACTATGACGTGCTTTCTAACTGCTAGGTTGGCAGGAGCAGGGACCGAGCAATGGGAGCTCACCCCGACGTGGGGATTCGAACCGCCGACCTTCTGATCGGCAAGTCCTAGGCTCTGTGGTTTAACCCACAGCGCCACCCGCGTCCAACCTCTTTTCCATAGAATCATACAATTATAAGAAGGGGAAGGGGGACTTCCCAATTATAAGAGGTTGGAAGGGGGACCCTAAGGGTCGTCTAGCCCAAACCCTGCAGTGCGGGAGTCACTGCTAAAGAATTGCTGACCAACAGTCACCCAACCTCTGTTAAAAAGCTTCCAAGGAAGGAGAGCCCACCCTTTCTGGGGGGGGTCTGTTCCACTGTGCAACAGTCTGACCACCAGAAAGTTATTCCTAACGGCTTGTCGGAATCTCCTTTCTTGTCATTGGACTCTGTTGGCTCAGGGAGCTCTGGAGCTGCTCTGGAGCAGCAGAAAACCAGCTTGCTCCATCTTCCGTCTTCCATCTTCCCTCTTTCTTTCCGCCTTCCTGCCCAGGTGAGCTGCCCCTCTCCTTGGCGGCTTGCACCAACCAGCCGCACATCGTCCACTACCTGACGGAGAACGCCCACAAGCAGGCCGACCTGCGGCGCCAGGACTCTCGTGGCAACACGGTGCTCCACGCCCTGGTGGCCATCGCAGACAACACTCGTGAGAACACCAAGTTTGTCACCAAGATGTATGACCTGCTCCTCATCAAATGCGCCAAGCTCTTCCCAGACACCAACCTGGAGGCTCTGCTGAACAACGACGGTCTGTCGCCGCTGATGATGGCTGCCAAGACGGGCAAGATTGGGGTGAGATCCCTCCCCGGGGGGGGGGGGGAGCTGTTTGGAAAAAACCCAGCCCTGTTGGCCCAAGGCCCGGGGGCAAACCGGGTGCTCCAGGGCGAACAACCTCACAGGGTTGTTGTGAGGATAGGAATGTAAGAAGCGGCCGCTTTGGAACTGCCTGACTCTGGATTCCAGCAGGCATCTCACGCCACTCTTTTCAGCTCCTGACAAAAATATTTGTGTTTAGACAAGTCTCCTTGGATATGGGGAATGTTGACATCTGGTTTGTTTGTTTTTTAGCTTATCACTGATTTTAATTACTTTTTGAATATTTAAATCTGCTGTATTTAAATCCTTTTCCTGTTAATTTTTTTGTTTCATTCTTTTTGTAAACCACTTTGAGGGTTTGCTTTGACAGTCATGGGGTATATAACTTTTATGAAATAAATAAATTAAATTAAAATAATCATGGGGGGAGCCATGCCTAAAGTCCTGAGCGACTTAGAGGGTGTAGGGAGGAGTCATGCTCCACAAGGGAGCAGGTGGGCTGCCCAGGCAGCATCTCTAGGGAAGAGGAGCATCTGAGCGGGCGGGTGACACAAAGGGGCCTCTTTCGGCCAGAGACCGTGGGGAGTCTCTGCCTTCCACCCCAGGCACCCTTCAAGCACAATTCCCATCAGCCCTAGCTGTCATGTGACCGGGGGCAGGACTTGTTGTGTGGCTGCTCTTGTTCTCTAGAACAGCATCCCTGTCGAGGCAGGACAGGCTCCCACTTTCTGGAAACAGCTGAAGACATTTTTCTTCCAACTGGCTTTCCCAGCTGATTGCCATCCATAGCTTTCTCTCCCATGGATTTTCCCACTCCCCTTCCAAAGCCACCGTGGTCTCCTGCAGAAGCGAGCTCCAGAGCTTAACTATGCACTGCATGGTGAAGGAGCCCTTTCTTTCACTGTCCTGAATCTTCCGTTTCAGGCCCCAGAGGATGTCCTGCAATTGGGGTGCCTTTCCACGTTGGTGGACATGGCTGCCTCCTGCAGAAGGGAGTTCCGCAGTTCAGCTCTGCGCTGCGAGGGGAGGGCCTTCCCGTCATCTGCCTGACCCGGCTCCCCCCTTGTCTTGCAGACCTTCCAGCACATCATCCGGCGGGAGATCAAGGACGAAGACGCTCGGCACCTCTCCCGCAAGTTCAAGGACTGGGCCTATGGCCCTGTCTACTCCTCCCTCTACGACCTCTCCTCGCTGGACACGTGTGGGGAGGAGGTCTCCGTGCTGGAGATCCTGGTGTACAACAGCAAGATGGAGGTGGGCAGAGAAGGAAGCTGCAGATCAAGGCAGCTTGGGTTGGCGGTGCTGGGCCTTTGATGGGGCAAGCGGGGGCTGCTGCCATCTTTATTCACCGGGCCCCTCTCCCCGCAGAACCGCCACGAGATGTTGGCCGTGGAGCCCATCAACGAGCTGCTTCGGGACAAGTGGCGGAAGTTTGGGGCCGTTTCATTCTACATCAGCGTGGTCTCCTACCTCTGTGCCATGATCATCTTCACCATGGTGGCCTACTACCGCCCCCTGGAGGGCACTGTGAGTACTGCACCCACTCCACCATGGAGCTCACGAAGGCTGCCGAGCTGGGCAGAGTGGCTGTGATTTAAATTAGGGTTCTGAGGTTTGGGGCGCAGCCTCCCATTTTCAGTTCCCATGATGCCCTAGCAAAAAACTTCTGTGCTGTGCTGGGGCTGGTAAGAGATTGGTAAACGTACGGAGATTTGCTTTGATCCTCTCAGGCATTTGAACATGTTAAATAATGAGGAACCCGTGACTTATCAGCTTCCCTTATTTATACCCAGAACTTCAGTCTGGCAATTCCGCAAGAAAAGTAGTGATTGGGAGTGAAAAAGCCCTGCATTTCAGGGGGATGGACTAGGGGACCTTTGGGTTTCCTTCGAAGTCTACAATTCCATCATTCTATGAGTCTATAATCTCTAAATGCTTCTTTAACTTGGAGCGGGGGAAGTATTGGAGTTGAGTGAAATGGAGGAAGCCCCTCAGGCTTAAGGGAGGCAAGCAACGGGCTCCTAATTGGCCTTGCTAATTAAACACCCTAGTTTAGTGCAGCAGCTCCAGCACAGAGAGACATGGGTTCAAAGGGACGGGGAGGGTGTGTATGTGTGTGACTTACCTCACAAGTTTGTAAGTTCCCTGGAGAGGGTCAAGCTCAGGATAGATAAATAAATCACCAATGAGTAAACTCTCACTTATAAAACAAGTCTGTATTAGACATTGTATCTATGGACAGGGAAAGAATGGCACCTCCGGGTTCAAAGACAATCCACCTCCATTGATTAGACACTTGGGATTGAGAGTGAGGCAGGGGGAGCTGTTTCCATCACATGAGCATCACAAAAGCCACCTTCCTATCTCAAGGGCTGTCCCAGGGAAGAGGGAGGGAGATCACTTTCTCCTGCTCTGGAGGGGGGGTGTGTGTGCTCAAACCAATGGCTTCAAGTTACAAGAAAGGAGATTCAGACTAAGCATTAAGGAGGGTAAGAGCTGATCAAGAGTGGAACAGACTCCCTTGGAAGGCGGAGGACTCTCCTTCCTTGGAGGTTTCTAAGCAAAGGTTGGGTGGCCAGAGATTCTTTAGCTGAGATTCCTGCATTGCAGGGGGTTGGACTTGATGACCCCATGAGTCCCTTCCATCACCTTATGACCTTCCCAGAGGTGCTCTTTACCCAGCTGCTGTTGGGAAGGCAACATGCTGAAGCTGGCCATCCCGTTGGAGCGTGGCCATTGCTGCGTGCTTAGCAGGTGTCTTTCGGCACAGCCTCTCAGCAATGTCTCTTCCCCTCTGTAGCCCCCGTACCCGTACACCACCACCACCGACTATCTGCGACTCGCCGGGGAGATTGTCACACTCTTCACGGGCGTCCTCTTCTTCTTCACCAACGTAAGTATGAGCCGTGCGTTACTTGGCAAAGGGGTCTCCTCCTCCTCCTTTCCCCCACCGTTGCCCCCTTCTTCCTCGCCAATTTAGCAGATGTGTTTTTCTTTTTCCCTTTTTGTGGGCTCCTCCTGCCATTCTGTGGCCTGATTACAGAGCTTGCAGGCCACATTCTCATCATACTTTTAAAGTGCTTTGATACTGCTTTAAGCAGTCATGGCTTCTCCCAGAGAATTCTGGGAGCTGTAGTTGCTGAGTGGTGAGCAAGTCCCTGTTCCCCCTCAAAGGCCTACAATTCTCAGAGATCCCTGGGAAGAAGGATTGACAGTTAAGCCTCTGTGGAAATGGTAGCTCTGTGGGGCGGGAAGTAGGGGTCCCTCTTTAGCCATGACTGTTTGCAGGGCTGCCAGAGTGCTTTACTTTCATGGTGTGCATAAAAGGTAAAGGTAAAGGGACCCCTGACCATTAGGTCCAGCTGTGACCGACTCTGGGGTTGCGGCGCTCATCTCGCTTTATTGGCTGAGGGAGCCGGCGTACAGCTTCTGGGTCATGTGTCCAGCTCTGGCGAACCAGAGCAGCGCACGGAAACGCCGTTTACCTTCCCGCCGGAGCGGTACCTATTTATGTACTTGCACTTTGACGTGCTTTCTAACTGCTAGGTTGGCAGGAGCAGGGACCAAGCAATGGGAGCTCACCCCGCCGCGGGAATTCAAACCGACGACCTTCTGATCGGCAAGTCCAGGGCTTGGTGGTGTAATCCACAGTGCCACCTTGTCACGGTGTGCATAGGATTTATCAAATCACACTCAGTCTTGCGCACCATGCATGCTTGCACTGGGGCACCTGGCTGGCCCCTGCAAAGGGGCCTTGCTTGGATCTGAGGATGATAATGTAGCTTTGGTTCTTAACAAAGTTGCAGGACTGAAGGAACAAAGGTTACATCCACACCATGCGTTTAAAGCTCTGTGGTACTACTTTAAACAGTCCTGGTTTACCTGGCGCACCCTTTTTTTTTCTTAAGGAAAAACAAAGTTAACCTCTTTTGTCTCACTTTGGTGTGATTTTATTGAATATATAAAAAGAAAATTTGCATTTGTCTCTTCCACAAATCTGTCAAAAAATCTGGAATAAGTAACTTGCTTGGTTGATACATTTCTTGATGTGATAGAGAGCCTTTTATTCTTTCAGTCCTACGTTCATGTTTCTGTGTCTCTGGCGTCTCCTGTGGGCCACGTTGCTTGAGCTCTCATTTCTTAGGATGTTTCTTTCCACTTACCTGTCTGTATCTCATCGCAAACATCCAGATAACCAGCTTTATCTTTTCTTCTTGTGAATATAACATCCCCTGCCAACCTTGGTTTGGGCTGGTTTAATTTATATGCTTTTGACTCATGAAGTTCCAATTTGGTTTTTGGGTTATATGGTAAAAGTCAACAAAGACACTCTGCCCCCCCCCCCAGCCACCCATTCATGGCTTCCCCCAAAGAATTCTGGGAGCTGTAGTCTGTTAAGGGTGCTGAGAGTTGTGTGGAGACCCCAGTTCCTTTCCTAGAGCTACAATTCCCAGAGTTCCCTGGGAAGAGAGTTGGGTGGCTAAGCTCAGATGGGTGGAAGTTGCTGTGCAAAATGTCCAGAGGGCAATCAGGTGGACGAAGGCTGGACTAAAAATGCCAAGTTCCTTGAGTAGCTTCTGCCTCTTCTCCATTGTGGACATTTTGTCTTCTCTTCCTCCCCAGATAAAAGACCTCTTCATGAAGAAGTGCCCCGGGGTGAATTCTTTCTTCATTGATGGCTCCTTTCAGTTACTCTAGTAAGTAAAAGAAGGAAACCAGAGTGCAGCAGAATCAAATTTGCGGCCTGTGTGTGGCCCCCGACAGGTCAACCAGGGGCAAATGTGGCCCTCAGGCCAAAAGGCTAGCCACCCCTGCATTTAAGAGTGTGGGGGCCCCTTTGCCACACATTCCAGGGCATCTGCTGGGGTGCTTTCTGGCTCCCCCCTCAATTCATTTGGGGGAGGGAGCCAGAAAAGACGTCCAATGCACATTTAAAGCACATGACTTTCCCCAAAGACTCCTGGGGGTGGTGGTTTGCTAAGGGGACTGGCAGATTGCAGCTCTGCCAGGGGTTAAACAACTGTTCCCACAATTCTTGCATGGGAGGGGTAGCATGTGCTTTAAATGCACATTAGATGTGCTTGAAAACTAAGGTGTGAATCTGCCCATAGATTTTGGAAGCCCTTCTGGGTGAGGCTACCTGGTGGTTGCAGTGTTGCCCCGCTGCTCCCCACCTGTCCACCCCTGACTGGGCTTTGATGCTTCTTGCCTCCAGCTTCATCTACTCGGTCCTGGTGTTAGTGGCAGCTGCCCTGTACCTGGCAGGCATCGAAGCCTACCTGGCTGTCATGGTCTTTGCCCTGGTCTTGGGCTGGATGAATGCCCTCTACTTCACCCGCGGCCTCAAGCTGACTGGCACATACAGCATCATGATCCAGAAGGTGAGCCAAAGCAGAGCGCAGTGTCCGGGGCCTGTGAGGACCTTGGGCTGGAGGAGGTCTGGCCGGTCATTTGAAGGTGGGTGAAAAGCTGAAGGGACTGTGGGATGCCTGAGGGTTTTGACCAGCAAGGCTGCATTCATGTGTGCTTATCCTTGCAAAACCAACTTCTCATGGTTTCTTAGAAACAAGGTTGTGCTAACTTTGTCATCCCTCTAAAAGCTTCAGCAGAGCACCCTGTCAATCTGCTCAGAAGAGTGTGTGGCTGATGGGGTCTTCTCTGGGGCAACCGTCTTGCCTTAGTAAACAGAGTCTCAAACAAACTTTATCCTAAGGGCTCTGTGAAGCCTTGGTCCCCCCCCCCCCCCACTCTGGGCAGTGCTGAACTCTGCAGCGCAGGGGCTGGCATGATCCTCAGAACCTGAAGCTCCCCCAGCGTTGCTGGAGAACAAGAGTGGAGCGCCCCCCACCCTGCGCTTGCTTGACAGGGGGGACCAAAGAAACCTCTGTACATGCCCTGTGTTCAGATATACAGCTGCTGATTCCTGGAGGTTAAGGACTTGAGGGTCGCTCCCTGGTTCGACTGATGGTGTCAAGCAGCTGTTTTGGTCCCCAAGTTGTGGAACACTTGTGGAATGTGGGGTGTTGCCACCACCCCTCCAATCGTTCAAGATTCGCTCTGGTTCCTTGCTGCAAACGTTCCTTCAGATCAGAAGCGGGAACCCTTTTTAGCCCAGGGGCCACTTTCCCTTCTGGACAGCCTCCCAAGGGCCGCTTAGCAGTGATGGGTGGGGCTGGAGGCGGAAGTGGGGAGAGCAACAAATGCAATTTTTATCTTCCGTTTCTACACATGCTCCCATGCCCCCCTCCCTCCTGGCAAGCAAGGGGCTTGACCAGAGGTCAAAGACACATTCCAGGCAGGCATTTGGGGCCAGTGAAAGGTGTGCCCTGGGGAGGGTTCTGAGGGCCAGACAGAGCAGCACAGAGGGCCAGATTTTGGCCCCCCAGGGCCTGCCAACATCTCTGGCCATAGCCAAGAGGCAGTTTCCAGGTGTGCTTTACTGCCTATGCAACAGGTGAGCACATCCCAGTCAGGAAGGAACACAGGGGTGTGAATCAGGGCCGAAGGGAGCGGCACTGAAGGACACATTTGTCCTTGAATTTCCTCACTCTGGCTTCAGACTGTTAGATGGCTAATGTGGGGCTCACCCCAGAAGCAGCTGCCTTGAGCCTTTGCCTGCAAACGTTCAGCCTGGTATGTTGAGTGGCTGCCTTCCCTCTCTGGTTGCAGATCCTGTTCAAGGACCTTTTCCGCTTCCTGCTGGTCTATGTGCTTTTCATGATTGGCTACGCGTCTGGTAAGATGGCTGCCCTTTTCGGAGTGCTGGTTTCTGGGCTCCTTGGTTTTCCTAGATTTGAAAATCTGTGTCCTGCTGCTCAGCTGAGCAAGCTCCTCACATACCTGCAAAGTTTGAAACGGGCATCGCCAAGGCTTTTCTTGGGCAGCAACATTCCTTGACACAAATAGTGTTGGATTTTGAGGTTTTCAAAAACAGCCTCCAAGGTGTAAAAGATGCTGACTCTGACAAGCTGCTCTAGGGCGCTTCCAAATGTTTATTAGTGAGACTTGGACATCAAGCAATAAATTAGCACACAAATTAAAACAAATCAATTACAATTTGGAAACCACAAAACTCAAAACAGCAAATCTAACAAGTCTGGTTAGCAGCAAAACAGAAAGAACATTTCAGTCACCCAACCACATTCCTGAACAGCCAAGTTGCGACTGCTTTTCCTGAATGAACTTACTCACCCAGGCAGATGCTGGTTTGTTTTAAAAATATTTATTTATTGAATAGTTATGAAATACAAATTAAAAATGAAATGAAATGAGACAGATGCAAAGGGTGAGTTACTGATGTTGGAGTTTTGAAGCAGTTATAACAACCTTATAACTTCCTTCCTCTGTATTTTATGGAGTTTTGAAATGGAGAGATAACTCAGAATGTCCATTGTCTTGTCCAGTGGTTCCCAAAGAGGGGTCTCCTGCCCACTGGGGGGCCGTGGGATTTCCTAGGGGTGCTAAGATGTCAGTCGTGGAGTATCCTCCCCTCCCCCAGCAGCCTCAGAGGCAAGAAGAACACACAGTTCGTATTTTATGGTTTTTTATTCAGTCATCTGGTTGCAAGACAGAGGATCCATGTCTCCACGCATAGGAGACGTTGGCTTCTCTGAGTCCCTCTTCTTCTGTCTCCCACAACATCCTGGAAACCTACGGGAAGTCGCAGGAGTCACATTCCCGCATTTTCTGTTCTTGAATGCAGAGGGACTGGCGAGCCCTTGGACCAGGAGGGGCTCCCAGACTCTCCAGGGAGGTCTCTGCTGTCTGCTCTCTAACCCCCCCCATCTTGTAACTAGGGATTTTCTCATTCATCTGTACATCAACCTGTCTCCCTCTCCTCCTGAAACTGCTGGAGACACAGGGTCGAAACGCCCCACTCCTCCTCCTCCTCTTCTGAGAGGAGCCGATCAGACGAGGCCTCACTTCCCATTCCTCCTGTTCAGTCCAGTCCCTGACATAAGAGGCACGCAGGCAGCAGGGGGCGCTGGAGGCGTAAGCTGCCATCACTGTAGCAAGTCCATCAATTTATTGACGTAATTAAACAAAATAGTTTTTAATGGATTTTGAATAAAGGCGCAACTAATTGTTGTGGTTTGGGGTTTTATTTTGTTAATACCTTCCTTGGAGGGTCGTGCAACCCGCTATACTGAATAATGCTTTCTATATGGTAAGGTAGGGGTGCTGGGGACAAGTTTATGGAATTAAGGGGAGAGCCACTGGGATAGAGTATATCGGGGTGGGGGGCAGACTTAGCCTTTACAATTGTATAGTAAACAAACACTCTCCATATTTTCCCAAATGAGTCCTTTTTCTTCTGCACTCTGGTCACCCTCAGGATTGTGTTGCATTGCCACATTTTGGTCGATATTTAAAATCATTTGGAGAAGCATTTTTAAAAATGGTCCTGTTCAAAAGAAGTGGGATGACCTAGTGTTGCTATTTTCTGCCCACCTAAAGCTGAGATTTGAATTTTGCGTGCTCAATAGAGTGAATTTTCATGCTCAAATTGGTTGAATTTTTTCTGGCGCTCAGTCGGCAGGCAGGTTTAATTCCTATAGATAAACATTTGGAGTTTAATGACAGGCTTGGTATTTTTAAACCTTGTTTCTCCCCCCTCCCAGCTTCTAAATCCAACAATATTTAAAACTAGAAGCACTGCTGTAAAAAAATATTCAAAGAAGGGACAACACCACTTTGGGTGCCTTCAGACATTGTGAATATTGTGCAAATTTTCCTGAGGTTAGAACTCCTGCCCTGTTTTCTGATTAGCCTTCTGCACGGCATGCCTGTTGCTGTGAACTATGGCTTTGTGACCAATATGTGCTAAATTTCATTCATGCTGGGGGGGGGGGGAGGCCCGACAATCGGCGCCATTTTGGTTTTTTGCTGGAATCAAATAACACATTAGTTTTCTGGCAGTGGCTTTTACATCATGTGAATGCCCAAATCTGAGGCAGAAATTGAGCAGTTAGGAAAACTTCAGGAAAATGGGAGGTGGTGTGGCGCAGTGGTTAGAGTGTTGGGATCGGACCTGGGAGACCAGAGTTCGAATCCCCACTTGGCCATGAAGCTCACTGGGTGACTCTCATCCTCACCTACCTCACAGGATTGTTGAGGGAGTTAAAGGAGGAGGAGACCCGTGCACCTTGAGCTCCTTGGAGAAAAAAAGGTGGAATATAAATTCAGTGATGAAATGACAATAAGAATAAAATGGACTAAACTGTCCTATGAATGCAGCTTTTGAAGTGTGACTGTATTTGGGACTGTTTAGCCTTGACACCACGTTCTCATCCAGAGGAAGGCGACGTGGTGCCCTCCGGATCATTTAGACTCCAGCTCCCATCAGCCCCAGCCAGCCAAATGGCCAGGGCTCAGTGTGCAGCACCCAGAGGGCCCCTGGATGGTAACTCCTGGCCTGGCCGCTCTCCCAGGGAGACTCCCTTGGCTAGTGCAAGTGCTCAGTGCCTCCTTGGCTTTCCTGCAGCGCTGGTCTCCCTGCTGAACCCCTGCCCCAGCAGCGAGGCCTGCAACGAGGAGCGCTCCAACTGCACAGCCCCTGCCTACCCTTCCTGCCGGGACAGCAAGACCTTCAGCAATTTCCTCCTGGACCTCTTCAAGCTGACCATCGGAATGGGGGACCTGGAGATGATTGAGAACGCCAAGTACCCTGGGGTCTTTGTCATCCTCCTTGTCACCTACATCATCCTCACCTTCGTCCTTTTGCTGAACATGCTGATCGCCCTCATGGGGGAGACCGTGGGGCAGGTGTCCAAGGAGAGCAAGCAGATCTGGAAGCTGCAGGTAGGCGAGTTGCGCGGTGGGCTTGCAAAGGGCCCAGAACACACCTTGATGCTCTGGAACCGCCCCTGTGCTCGTGAATGCAATGCAATTTAACTGTCTTGAACTGTTCTGAATTCTAAGCTGCTGTAACCCACCCTGGAATCTGCTAGTGAAGGGCAGGTAACAAATGTAATAAATGATAATAATAGGTTGAAGTTTCATAGCACGGGAATGGGACGCTTGCATCTCTTCCAGTGCTTCTAGACTTGAACTCCCGTCCTGCTTGATTGGGGCAGAGAGGACTCCCGCAAGAGGGTCGCCGGTTCCCCATTCAGATCTAAATTAAAGCCTGGACAAAACCCAGTTGTAAGGGAGTGGCTTAGTAAAAGGCAGTGCACTGTCAAAACAATACAAGAAATCACAGGTTTGCAATGCGGGATTCCTTTATCATTTCTTGGAAAAAATTAGTATGATTTGAGAAATTTAGAGCTTTATAGTGTAGGCAAAAGTTGTAGAAGACATTATGGTGGGGATTTGTTGCTGATGTTTGTTTTTTGCTGTTTTCATGAATAGTATGAAATTGAGTTTGAATAAGGTTGATTCCAACAAATGGACTTTCTCGTGTGGTTTGGCTTCATGCTAAGATGACCTCAGCATTGGTAGCATCCAAAAAGGCTGCAGAGGCAATAGATCACTTCCGACAACATAGTTTTGACTTGCTGTAATTCAAATACTCAAAAAAATAATTAAACAAGTTCTTTGCATCAAGTGGGTTGCCTGAATTGCCCTTGGATTAGCCTGAGGGTGTCATCCTGACATCTGGATCAGTAGAGCCACTGAAACCCGGTCAGGAGTGGACTCTCATACTTCTCCTGACTTCTCTGCTTGCAGTGGGCGACCACCATTCTGGATATTGAAAGGTTCTTCCCCGTGTTTGTCAGGAAAGCCTTCCGCTCAGGAGAGATGGTCACCGTTGGGAAGTCCTTGGATGGGACGCCGGACCGGAGGTGGTGTTTCAGGTAAGGGCGAGAGTCCCCATGGGAGAGGGAGACGTTGACTAAATGCTTTCCATTTCTGGATTAGGCCCTTGAGCCAGAGTTGTCTGTTGGAAATTCTGCGCCAGTCTGGGTGACAAACCAAATTTTGCCCCAAGGAAAACCTCCCCCCACCTGGGGTGTCAGCAGGCATTGCCCGTGCCCTCCCAACCACCCATGAGGACTAGGCACTTGAGATACTCAGGGAACTGCATCCTGGATTAGGGTTACATTTTCTGCACTCCTACAGGCCCACAGGTGCACCTAGTGCTATTTTTCTAGAAAAAGAGGCACCAGAACTTGCCACGAACGCCTCCCTTGTTCTCTTAGAATGGCAATGGTGCCCCCTTGAGAGGTGCCAGAACTGAGTTCTGGTCAGTTCCGGCTGAAAAAAGCCTCGGGTGCACCCATTCTGACACACACAGCCTTCCTTTTTGCCTCAGCAAATGCTGCGGGTTCTGGACGCTTTGCAGAAAGCCATACATCAGCAGAGAGAGATCTTTCCAACATTTAGAAGGTGCTCTCCAAAATGGAATCTTTTTTCTTTTTTGTATTCTGCCCTATAATTTTAAGACCAGGGCAGGCAATGCCTGTTTTAAATTAGACAGCGCTCCCAAACAGTTGAGCAGGGAGTCCTAGTCCAGCACTCTAACCACTCTATAGCACTGTCCAGGTCTGCTAAACCAGGTCTGCTAAACATTTCAGACCGCCCAGGATGACCTCTCTCTCTCCGCTCCCCCTGCCAATACCTCAAATGCCACAATGCTTCCTTCCTAGAGTGGACGAGGTGAACTGGTCTCACTGGAACCAGAACTTGGGCATCATCAATGAGGACCCCGGCAAGAGCGACACCTACCAGTACTATGGCTTTTCCCACACAGTGGGCCGCCTCCGCAGAGGTAGGTGCTGCTGATTGCAGGGGGGGGGCTGGAGGGGTCACGGGTTGGGGGCATTCTGGAAGCAGGCGCTGTCAGCTTGCTCACAGGAGAGTGGGGTGCTTCTAGAGTCTGGACGGAGGAACCTGCTCCCGCAAGAGGCAGCAATGCCCCCCCCCACTTGGATGGCTTCAAAAGAGGACAGGACAAATTCATGGAAGAGGATGAGGCTTCCAGCGGCTGCGCTGACTCTGCAGTTGGAGGCAGGAAGGATTCCCGATGCCAGTTGCTGGAGATGAGGGTTAAAGAGGCTCTGGCAGCTGGATGGGGGATGTGATCCACTGCTTTGCCATCCTGGAGCCCTGTAGCAGATCTGGGTGGTTGGGAGTTGTAGTTCTAAATACCTGGAAGGCACCAGGTTGGTAGAAACAGCGAAAGTGTTGCTGGGGGGATGAAGAAGTCCAGAGGCAGCTGTCCTGCCCCAAATCAGAGGCACTTGGTGCTGGAGGCTGTGCAGAACCCAGGGAGGGGGCTGGGCAGGCTTCCTTTCTCTGCCCAAGTGGAACGGTGGAGGCCAAGCCTCCTTTGTGGGGAACGGCTGAGGGATTTGGGAAGGTTTTGCCTGGAAAAGAGGAGATTGAAAGAAGGACAGGATAGGATAGCTGCCTTCAATCATCTGAAGAGCCGTCACCTAGAAGATGGAGCCTACTTGTCTTCTCCTGCTCCAGAGGGTGGGATCCAAACCAATGCGCTCAAATGGCAAAGTGGGAGATCCCAACGAAACATTAGGGAGAACTTTCTGACAGTGAGAGCTGTTGGACAGTGGAATGGACAACCTCGGACTCTCCTTCCCTGGAGGTGTTTAAGCAGAGATTGGATGGCCACCTGTCATGTATGATCTAGTTGAGATTCCTGCATTGAGAGGATTGGACTAACCCTACAGTGTTATGATTCTGTGATTCTTTTTCTCTCCCTGTAGATCGGTGGTCCACCGTGGTGCCGCGGGTGGTGGAGCTGAACAAGAACTCGCAGCCAGATGAGGTGGTGGTTCCCCTGGACAGCATGCGCTCCCCTGCGGCAAATGAGCACAAGCCCAGCTACCCCCAGAGCTGGAGAAAGGAGGACTCCCACATCTAATGGATGCACAAGGAGCAGGGGCAGAGGGAGCTGGTCTCAAGAAGCTGCCCAGCCTCTTTGCCACTGCAAGCGCTTGGCGGGCACAGCACCGCTTGGACCCCGTGTGGAGGGAGTTTCCTCTTGCTCCTGCACCTTCACGCGAGGGTCCCGCTTGTAGTCTGCAGAATGTGGCCCACCTGCCTCCTCCAGAGCAGCGTGCAGGGGGAGGAGCCTTCCCCAGGTTATCAACTTGAGGTGGACAGCAGAGGCACATCTTTATGGGTTTGCTTTTGAACACAAAAAACAGAGTTGTCACAATACCAAATTATGCGCCAGTGGGTGGAAGCTGCAGAGGCTGGTGACTGGGAACATCATCCTGTGCGGTCAGACTACGAGCTCCATGGCACTGACGTTACAGGAGGCTGGGTGGCGACAGTGACTCTTGCGGGGGCTGCCTGAAGTGGCCAGTGACTCCTGGAGTGGCTCTTTGCGTCCAAGCGGGCTCTAAATTCAGGGTTAACTTCTGTGATGCTGAGCCGGGGCAAATGGCCCAAGGGCTGCTGCATTTCTTACTCCAAATAGTTTTATTTTGCACAAGGTTTTATCTGATTATTTATTTAGTAATAAAAGCCAAAGTATGTCAGCTGCCCCTCCTTGTCTTGCCTGGTGGAGAGAGTGGGGTGCAAGCGTGCAACAGGCAGGGAGTCTGCCGGGTCACTGTGAGCAAGTCACACGGCTGCATCTCACCCCATGTTGGGCCCCTCAGCCCCTTCCCAAGGAGGCCTCTTTCTCCCTCTCAGCTGCTCAGTTTGCACAGAAAACCCAAAGTTTCTTTGTGCCATTTTTTATCCAGAGACACTGTTCTTCCAAATAGATCTGTTTAGTCTGCCCCCCCACAACAGCTGCTGAGTTTGTGAGCAGCACAATCATGTGGTCCTATGCTTAGAAATAGTGCAGGGGTTGTGTGTGCCAGGGATGGGGAGCCTGCGGCCCTCCAGATGTTGTTGGACTCCCAACTCCAATGGTCAGGGATGGTGGACGTTGCAGTCCATCAACATCAGGAGGCCTACAGGCTTCCTCGTCCGCATTCTGGACTTTGGGACCCTGCCTGGTAAAAAGCCTCTGCTAAAACAATGCAGTTCTGAGGTGGTTGAATCTAGCAAGACCTGCACCACCCTGGTCCAGCTGATGGGGTGGTGGGGCTCAGCTGCCTGCTGCCATTCCCAGAATCAGAATACTAGAATCAGAGAATGGTGGCGTTAGAAGGGCCCCAGGGGTCATCTAGTCCAACTCCCTGCAATACAGGACATCACAGCTAAAGAATCCCTGACAGACGGCCATCAAACATCTGCTTAAAAACCTCCAAGGAAGGAGAGTCCTCCACCTTCCCAGGGAGTCTGTTCCACTCTTGAACAGCTCTTACTCTCCTTAATGCTTAGTCAGAATCTCCTTTCTTGTAAGTGGATTCCATTGGTTTGGATCCTCCCCTCCAGAGCAGGGGAAAACAAGCTTGCACCCCCTTCCATGTGGCAGCTATGCAGATGGTTGAAGGTGGCCCCCTTCTCCAGGCTGAACATGCCCAACTCCCTCAACCGTTGGCAAAATTATTTGGCGAAACTGTAGTTTTAGTTTTGTCACAGGATTTGCAGGCGGAGGTGCCTCTCCTAGTTCAGCCTGCATAGCAGCTTTAGTTAAAGGGCAACAAATGGGCAGGAAAAAATAACCCCACATCCAAGTGGGAGGGGGCAGTCTGGCATCCATGGTGTACAGTGAAGTTTTAAAATCACATCTAGGGCAGAAGAAGACATTACCCTTAGCAGCTCACAGCAAAGCCTCTGCATTGCTATGGAGGGGGGGGTTGCTGCCTATTAGAATGGTTAATAAATGTTGCTTAATAATATATTAACCGTTGAAATAAATACTTGAGTAATAGCTCACAGCCTTGGACAGGAGCACACAGTGTCAGCCTGCAACTGCAACTCTGAGCCACAAGGGGGCAGTGCAGCCCCGGGTACAGTCTCTGCTGGGATCCATTTAAAGAGAGAGCAGTTCTGCTGGCGCTTCCTCAGCTTGTGGCAGGCGGGCATCCAACAGGTATGGCATTCCCATGACCGCTTGGAGCTGACACCTGTTAAAGCAGGGCTAGGGAGTCAAGCCGTGGGCTTTGGACTGCCTCTCCCATTGCCCCCTCCGCGCTGGCCAAGCTGTCTGGGGCTTCAGTCCCAACAACATTTGGAGGGACCACGGGTTCCCCACCCCTGCCAGGGAAGAGAGATGGTCCCTCTGAGCATGTGCAGAGTGCCTTTCCCAACCAGCAAGCAGCTTTCTTTGAGAGTTGCTCTAGGGCATCACTGGGGGCATTTCCATCACAAGCACAGAAGTGCCATTCTGCAGAAAGGAATCCCACCACAGCTCCCCCATAAGCCCCCCCGCCCCCCCTGGGCTTGAGTCCTGATGGTTTGGCAATGGGGGAGGAAGAGGCGTGAGACGGACGTGGGGATCCAAGGGCTGAGGAGGCAGCATCTTAAGCCAACGAAAGTCAATTACTGCTGGGGGTCACAATGGCACTTTGTCACGTTGAAGCATGACAGGCGCGTGGCCGATGACGGAGCGCAGCATAAATCGTCCGCGTCAGGGGAGTCTGCCGGCAATGGACTAAGCAAGTGATGTGAAATTGCAGAGTAAATATTCCAAGGAAGGCTCCCTCCCTCTCTCTCTCCTCGGTAAGCAGTTGACTAGCCCAAAGCGCAGTAGAGGAAAACTCCGAATTGCATCTTTACAGCTCCAGCGTTAATCTCATTTTTGACACTGATGAGGATTTTCTCAGTTGCTCTCTTAAAGGAGACCTGGGAAGAGGCTGACAGCCTGCTTCTAACAAGGCTCGGGGTTGATGTGTGGGAACACGTGTTGATTTCTGAAGGGAGCGCTGGCTCTTGGAAGAGTTCTAAAACAGAGATCTATCTGGGGCTTAACAGCTTGGCCCGCTGAACAATGCAGTGAGACGCAAAAGGTTGCACATTATTCCGCCAGCCAAACTGCTGCAATAAAAATAAATACATAGGTGAAGCATTAGTACAGCATTGGACACATTTGACTCTGGTCAGAGCAACACCCCCCACCCCAGCAGCTGAGCAGCCACTTTTACCACCCTGCACTCAGAATCCTGAAAATGTAAAATAAAACTGCTTCAGGGGGTACCTGAGATTAGAATCCTAGAATTGTAAGGGACCTCAGATTCCATTGGTTTGGATCCTCTCCTCCAGAGCAGGGGAAAACAAGCTTGCACCCCCTTCCATGTGGCAGCTATGCAGATGGTTGAAGGTGGCCCCCTTCTCCAGGCTGAACATGCCCAACTCCCTCAACCGTTGGCAAAATTATTTGGCAAAACTGTAGTTTTAGTTTTTAGTTTCAGTCCATTCTGCTGCAACGCAGGAACAGATTGTAGGGGATTCATTAACAAGCCTGATTGCCTCTCCTGGAATTTGATGGCCTCTGCAGCTACTGCTTCTGCTGCCCAAACAAGTTGTCTCCAGTTTGGTTATGCGTGGCCTAATTGCCCAGTAACTGAGAACACCGGGGCTTCCAGAGGACGTGAAGCAGGTCTTTCTTCGTCCCCCAACCCAGGCAGGCCTCAGCCCAACAATCACTTGGGGGAAAGAGCAAGACATGGGGAAACGATGTATTTGATTTCTAGGATAGAGAGAAAGATGCCAGGGAGATTTATTGCCCGCAGTCACAAGTGCCCAGAGCGCAACAGGTCCCTCCTGCTAATGAAGGCCACGGACCAGATCATTTTGCAAGAGAAGCTTTTCTCCCTCATCACACTAGACCTTGAGGACGTCCAACGAAAGCGAATGTTGGAAGACTGAGGACAGATGAAAGAAAGGACTTCTTCATGTTCCACATAGAGAACGGCACTCGCTGCCGCAGCAGAAGAGGACTGGACCAGTTCCGAGAGGAGAGGGCTATCGATGACTCTGGGCTCTGCCTCCCCCAGGGCCTCTTGCGCTCTCCTTGAGGCACCTGGGGGGCCACTGCGGGGACCGGAGGCTGGACCACATGCCCCCCCGCCTCATCCAGCAGCCTCTTCTTGTAAAAGTTGAGAGCAAGGGGGGTGGGGACAGCGGTGAAGAGAGCAGGGAGCAGCTTAGTTTCTGAAGCTGCTTTTCATTTTTCAAGAAATGGATTCTCCAGCATTCATTGCAAGACAATAAAAACAGCTGACAATAAGCGCTGCAGTAATGAACGCTTCAGGAGCGGAGGTAATTGTTCAATTAAGATTAACACATTACCAAAGACCCATATTCTCTCCCCGCCCCCCCAGCTCTTTATTCTCCTATTGTAATTTAAGAACGCCAAGAAGGGATTTAAAAGCCCCTCGTGTCAATGCAACACACAATCGTTTTTATTATCATCGGATCCCTCCCATTTCCCCTCCCCTGGCATAACAAAGCGAGACAGACTGATGGGGGGAGGCAGGAACATCAGAGGGAAGAAAGGGGTGCTTAATGCAGGAGCCAAAGACAGAGGGAGAGAAGGGGGGGGGCAGAGAAGTTGCTGCCGTCCACATTCTCACTTCTGCAAAACTCTGAAGGGGAAGGGAGGGGGTCCTCCCCTGATTTTGCTTCCCCAACTTAAATTAGGGCTGCCGTGTTAAATTGATTCATTGGCTCCACTGATGCACACAACTTTTTGACAAAAAGCCCCCCCCACACACATAAAATGGTCAGATTTGTTTCTTTGTTTTTAAGTGTTTTTTTATAAGAATCATCTCTCTCTTAGGCTTAAAACCAGCTCAAAACACAACTAGGTCGTTCTTTTTCTCAATCAAAGCCAGTTTGGGGGAAAAGGCATTGAAATGCAGCTATTTCATAGGCAACAAAAGGATGGACAACAGATAGATATGAATCGGGGCCAACATTGTGTGTCCACTCCTTTCCAAGCCAGCGGATGCGGAGTAAACGGGAGTGTGTTCATAGCCTTAGAGTAAAATCCAAAAAAGTAATTTTTTGCTTCAGAACTGTTGACTTACTCATGCGTAGATTTACGCAGATGTAGATTAGTCAGTCAACTGAAACTCCTAATTAAGGGACTTGGGGCCCACCTGCAACCTCTGTTTAACGCAGTATCATACCACTTTAATCAGAAACAAGGAATCCCAGGCACTGTAGTTTGTTCAGGGGGCTGAGTTGTGAGGCGGCACCCCCCCTCCCCTCGCCCCTCCCAGAGCTACAATTCCCAGAGTTCTCTAGGGGAAGATGGCATGTTCAACCAATTTGAAAATTGTAACTCTGAAAGGGGAATAAGCTACTGTGACTGCTTTAAAGGTGTGGGGCAGATGGGGCCCAAGTCCCTTAATTAGGAGTTTCAGTTGACTTGGGGGGGGCAAGATTTATTTACTGGAGCAACAGCCTTAACCCTTGCAATGCTTTTGCACTGGGGAGCCCACGGGGTGTGTGTGTGTGTGTGTGTGAAGAGCACCCGCTGTGTCAGGTTGTGAGATAAAGCCTTCATGGGACACAAGTCTGAGCCTCTAAGAGCCTGTGAAAACAGGTCTGGGGGCTCAATGTAGTGAACCCTGATGCCTAGGAAACACCACAAAGCCTCTGGGACTGCAGTGGGGGTTTATTTTGGCCAGTTCTGGCCAGTTCCTGGGATTTGTGGGCAGCACCACACCTGGCAGGTGAAAGGTGTTGCCCTGGGGATGTTTCCTGGGCCTCAGGCCTGGCTCCCCTCCCCCTTGGCCTGGGCCAAGCGCGGCTCCCAGGAGGAGGTCACGAAGCACATTCCAGGCCACAGTCAATATGATGTCTATTGCCCCAAAGCCACAAAAATGGCGGTGCATTAACAGTCCTGGGTAATAAACAAGTATCGACATCTTCTATAGTCAATGCAGGAGTGAACTGACCTTTGCAGCCCATGCTAAATTGACACACAGCAAAAGCCAACACAACCCCCCCCCCCCAAGCAGGAGAGAGAGCAAGGGGACGGGAGACTTTAACGGGAATATAGAAGAGTGGTTTTTTTAATGCAGACTCTGCTTGTTATGAGAAAGTACTTGAATACTGAATGATGACATCACCCCATGGATTGAAAGCACTGCGATGACACTTTAAATGCCACGGCTTCCGTCAAGGAATTCTGGGAGGTGAGAATTATTAGGGGGCGCCTGTTTTCCTCCCAGAGTTACAATTCCCAGGGTGGTCTAACACTCAATTCCTCTTCCAAGGGAACACTGGGAATTGTAGCTCTTTGAAGGTAACAGGCACCTCCGAATGGCTCTCAGCACCCTTAACAAACTACAGCTCCCAGGTTTCTTTGGGCGAAGTCGTGCCTGCCTAAAATAGTATCATAGCGCTTCAGATACATGGCCTAATGCACAAGATCACACGATGTTGCCTTAAACCAAGTCAACCCATCTTCCCCCACCTGGCACACCACCCATGTTTTGGATTACAACTCCGCCCCCCGAAACCCCCAGTTCAAAAGACCTGTAGCCACCAGCCAGCCCTGACAGACCTGCTCACCCCAAACAAAGGAGGAGTCAGAGACAACATGCAGTTGAGCAAATGCCAAGCACAGCGGCAAATTTATTTTTAGATAAATTTGAAGGTTAATTTTGGAAACGAACATTCAATCAAAGTGAGAGATGAACGGAGGCTCCCCCCTCCCCGTTTAAATTATTTTCTGAGCTGTGCAGTTTTACAGTAGCTGCCTCCTGAGACCTGCTTTATCAGATGCTTCCCTTGAAATTATTTTTATCCTCCTGACTGTATTTTGATTAGGCCAGGTCTGCAGGGGGAAAAGGCTGCTATCCCCTGGCACGTTATAAAGCCTCGCAACTCTTGGCTTGGCAAG